GATACCTGGACACTATGAATCTGTCTGTGCGCTGGCGTTCATATATATATATTTCTGGTGGCTATGGCCTTCATTCACTGGACCGGGGTTGATGTATATTGCTGTCCGTCACCTGCTGAATTATATATAATCGATCGTGTTGATCGTGTCCGAATGATAATGTACCGGAAATATTCTTTCGGCTAAATTGTAATCCAATCTTAACGGCTGTGAAATCGTATAAAACGGCTATCTGGGCTGTATTCCGCCGCCCATGGATTCGGCTGGAAATGGCGACCCATCAAACACCCTCAACACCCGACAACCCTCAACACCGATATCCCTGAACACATTGATTAAAACCTCAACACCACAACCCAACCCAAATTCCCACAATGTCCGTACTATCGCCCTCGGGCCCTCCCCCATAATCTTTCCCCTCGATCTTTTTACCCGTCCTCGTGTCTTCGGCCGATACGTCCTCCCGCTGCGGCACTCACGAATATCCCTTTTAATATCAATCATCTCGCCTCTTGCACTATCCGACTGACCCTCCCGGATATCGTCACTCAATCCCTCCTATCGTGATGCCTCGATTGCCCCCTGCCATTATCCTTCCGAAATACAATCCTGACATCCACGGATATTGACCACTATATGTTCATTTGAATCAATCACTCCCACCTTCCCAATCATGGCAAATACGGCCACCCGACTGCGAAACCGGCAATCCACAATATTAAATCCCTCAACACCCCTCACTATGCGCTATAATCGATCCCTTAACACCTGTTTTATCCGCCCTGGTAATTGCTACACGGCTGAATTACCACTCGAAATGTCTATGCTAACAAACTGTAATATTAAAAACGCTGAACACACTGCTCGCAAATCCTGAACACGTCTCCAAAACCCCGAAATATCTCCGTTATGCTCTGATATCTGGAAACTGCAAATGTGTCCGTGCTCGGGCCTTCGAATATGTATACCGCGGGTGGCTGTTGCCTTCATTCGCTGGACCGGGGTCGATATATATTGCTGTCCGTCACTGGCTGAATCATATATAATCGATCGCGTTGAACTATTCTTTTGGCTAAATTGTAATCCAATCCTTACTGCTGTGAAATCGTATAAATCGCCTATCTGGGCTGCTCTCCACCGTGCATTGGATTCGGCTGGAAATCGCCATGATTCAATATCGAACAACCCCTACTGATAAGTCTGAAAAAATCATATGGAATTCGAATTCGAAAATCTTCTTCCGTGGCCTGCTGAATCTCGATCAATGGCTTCCATCCGTGGTACCGCTGTCAACATCAACCGGAACCCACATCTACCTGCATCGTCACGCCCTTGATATGCCCGCCGCAACCAAATCAACTCCTCCGTGATCTACGCCCGTTTCCGTGCCCTATTCCGCACCATCTGTCCAAAATTCTATCAACGCCTCGTCGTCCTGCTCCGCGTTCCGGACCCCTGTGCGGCCAACCGCTGGGACTACCGCTGCGATATCTCCACATTTGCATATGGCCCCTTCACCATCATCACCACTGTCGGGATCAATGCCGTCCGAAACCCTTGACACCGATCCTGTACCGCCGGACTATGCTCTGTCGTGCGATCCGCCTGCGGGCATATGTATTGCGGCATCCCACGATGGAACCAACCTTCCACCTCCTGCTCCAAATATGCCTCGTCCTCATATCGCTGGGATGCCGTGCCATGGTGTCGATCTGATAAACGGGCACGTTTAATGTCCTGCGTTCGGAATCGATGCCATGGGCAATCGGGATCCTATCCGGTTTGGCGGCCGTGGATACTGGTGGTGGATGGGTGGTGCCGGCTTGTGGTGACTCGGGCTCATGCTCGTATGATCGCTTCCTACCCGCGATGATGGATCTGGATGGCCTCTTCTGATGCCGCCGCACAATGGGCTGGGTACTTTGTGCTAATGGCGAACTCAAACTGACACTGCTGTGGCTACTGCTGCTGCTGGGCCGATGGGCTATAATGGAAACCTCATAACTCTGATCACACACCTGGGGTGGCGGTGGTATGATGGGCATCCATCGGCCATTCTCCACCGGCGGCAATGGGGCTGGTATATACTGGGATGCCACGGGGGAACGATCAATATTAATGGCCTCGGTCATCACGGGCTCCTGGTCCTGCCATCCGGGCGCACATCCATCACATAATGACTCGGGTGGATATCGCCACAACGCTGCCGGTGGGATCCATCAATGTGCCCGTCTACATATGTATCCAACACCACACGCCGGCAATCGTGGACCGCACTCCATATACTCCACAACACCGACATGCTCCGCCACACTATGACCCTGCATCCAACGGCCGTTGCTCCCGTCCAACCCTTTGACCGTCGGCCTGGATGATCATGGCCTCGCTCGGTTGCCCATCGCATCCCGCGCGGCCACTCTCCTGTGCGTCATCGAACATCGTGCGTGGCTGACCGAATGAATGACACTCCGGTTGTCTGGATATCAATTCCAATGCCCAATGCGTTGGTGATGGTGATGACGGCGCTGGGCGTGTCCCGGAATGCTTGCAATACACCATCGCGGTCGATTGTCATCTGGTGATATGCGGCACACCCTAATGACTCGGCCATCCGGGTGATATGGGCCACGGCGGTGCCATATATGATCACCCGCGGGTTGCGCGCGACGGATCCGATCCTGGATGAATGCAATCCCCTCGGGCATATCCACCCACTGCGACTGCTGTTGAATTGGGCCGGGGGCCCCGGTATGCACCCGATATGCCACATGGGGCGATGGGGACGTCCTCGATCCCATGTCACGTCCCCGTCGGTCCATCCCATCCGCCGGCAACACTCGGGCTCCGCACTGGGGGCAATGTCGCGGTTAAACATATCATCTGCGTCTGCGCGGATCGTAACTGGCCTCATTCCTTACTAATGGGCGGAATTCGGGGTCCGGCTCAACACAACATGGCACTCGTCAATCACCATCCGATCCAACCGCTTCCACGTCCGCTGCCGGTCCATGAATCTCCGGACTTCATGACTTGGTACCCTCTCGGGCGTCACTAATATAATGGACGCTCCATCGGGGGGCCACTGGCGATCCCACGCCGCACACGAAATCCCCACCTCCTGGTACCGGCGCTGCATGTCCCGTCGTAATGCTATCACAATGGCAAAACCACAATGGTCATCCCGCCACGACGCACCCACACGGGCCACATGCGTAATACACTGTTGCCACCCCCGGTGGGCATCACCGCGACAATCGGGCTCTCGCCGTGCTGGATGGACCGTCATATGGGCTGTTGCATCCCTCGTAATTGCATGGTGGGATCCCCCATCATGTGCTGGAATGCCTCGGTCATCAACCGCCCATCCATCATGCCGGCGGTGCTGGGCAAATGCCCGGCCTGTCAATCGGCCACCCGGGCCCGGATCCCGTCTTCGTCCCACTCATCCTCATCATCAATATCGGAATGCCGGCCTCCTCGTCCCCCTCGATATGGACCGGAACTGGCTGCTCCCGCGTCCATACCGCCGGCTGATGGCAATGGCGATATCCCGATATGCCTGGATGTTGATCGCGGTACCATGTAACCCCGTGCGGGTTTGTGCCTTCAATATCTCCCGAATCGGGGAACTCCACTCCTTCTGTTTTTCGGGGTCGGGGACCAAATCTAATCGGGCTCGCTCGGTGGTGGCGGGCTGCCCACGGAACCCCCGCTGATATGTCTGCATGGCCTCAATAAACGGCAACACCAACTCCCGCGGGATATATCGGCAAATCACCTGGTGTCATTGTTGATATGGAACCCTTGTGATATCGGCTGACAAACATCACCATCCCATCATCAATGAACCCATTCCGGCGCTCTCGCTCGCTGTCGAATACTCAACAACTCGGGGGCACGGCTGGGTTGCCCGGCACATACGTGGATGCCCACGCTCAACATCTCCCGGATTGACGAACACACGGAAATACTGATGGATCTCCCCCATATGAAACTCAATGCCTTCGGGCGTGATGAACTGCCGGCGTAATGGCCCACGGCACACCCGCTGGATCAACAACTCCGATCCATTGACCGGCCACTGCGTGCGGGGTCCTGGATGAAATTCCACCCTGGCTGGCGTCGTCGTATAAATGATCCCATGGAATAACGGGCGTGGTGGCCGGCGGGCAACACATCAACTGCTCAACCAACATCGGGCGGGTCTTTTCCACCGACCCATGCACGAATCTACGGAAATCGCCCATGGTGAATGGATCTGGTATACAACAACTCATCGCCCGACTGCTACCCCCGGATTGCCATTCAATCTGGCCTTCCACGGGCGTGTTGGTGACCCGGCCATATGTACGCAAATCGATCAACCACTGGATGGGCCCGCTGGTGCCGCGGCCTCGCATGACGCCACACAATATTCTACAACCGCTGCTGGGACTGCGAAACTGATACTGGGCGATTTCCAATCATGGGGGATCTGGGATGGTTAATGGATCGATGGAATGGTGGAATGGTGGGCTGGGGTTCGCCGGTGGGATGCATGAATATATATATCTGGCTCCTCGACATATATGCGGGCATGCGGACTCCCATTGACATCACCCACCAAACCACCAATCTTCTTGGACTGGAATATATATATGAAAATCATCATTCATGTATTCCTGCTGGTAAAACAACCCTTGCGAAGCGCCCATGTGATGCCATCAACGTGACCCACGCCTCTAATCACTGCACTTCTCCCGTCCATCATATGCCCGCCGTAACCAAATAAACTCCTCCGTCAATTGCGACCGTTTCTGCGCCGTCCCCGGCGCGCGCTGTCCGAAATACTGAATCAACCCTTCATCATTCCGCTCTGGATCCACCACCCCGCGCGACGCCAATCGCTGGTACCATCGCTGCGTGACCTCCGCATCTCGCTGCGGCCCCTTGCCCATCATGGCCACCATCGGAATCAACACGGTGCGGTATCCTCGACACCGTTCTTGGACCTCCTCGCTATGGTCCGCGTGATGATCACCCAATGGACATATGTGCTGCGGCATGCCACACGGGAAATGTGCGGTATAATTGGCATACTGGACCTTCCCGCGGACCATCTTCATCCAATCCTTATTCGCCTGGATTTCCCTGCTGGCTCCCCCGGCCCCGGTAAACCCACAACGCCACATCTCATGCGCATCATCATATCCCCTCTGCGTGCATGTCCAACACCGATGCACCCACTTCTCGACCTCACTGACCAAAAACGCTTCGTCGTCGAATCGGGGTCCGGCCGGACCGTGATGCCGCTGCGCGATGTGGGCGCGCTCAATGTCCTGCTGTCGGAATTGGTGTCGGATGTCCGTCGGGATGGTTCGGGGTGTGGTGGTGGGGATGGATGTGGGCTCGACCCTGGGGGTCGTGGGTGATGCTGTCCTTGCTGGTGCTGGTGCTGTCCTCGCTGCGGCTGGTGCCGTCCTCGCTGCGGCTGGTGATATAAATGGCACCTGGGACACAATACTCCCAGTATCACTGCTGCATGCCACCTGGGACATGCGCGTGGAAACGATCGGTGGCCCGGACTCAACGGGGGGCGCAATGTCATCCGGCATGCCTTCATCTCCGTCAACCATCTCAATATCCTCATCCATCGCATCCGCCTCCGCCGGGGACGACGACCCCATCCGCGACTCGTGGTCCTCCCAATCGGGCTGGCATCCATGTCCATCACACACCGACTCCGGCACCGTGTCCCCGCATCGCTGGCGCTGGTATCCGCCAATCTCCCCATCCAAATATGCATCCAATATCACCCGCCGACACCCAATCGCGCCGCGGTCCATATACTCGACCACCTGCGTATGCTCGGCCTCGGGGGCATCGTTCATCCAATACGGACGGATGTCCCGGCCCATCGTCCGGCCCTCGGCTTGCACGATGATGGCCTCGCTGGGCTGCCCATCACGACCGGCCCGGCCACTCTCCTGCGCATAATCCAACATGTTCCGCGGCTGGCCCACGTGGATCACACTGCGGATGTCCGGAATGTCGATGCCCATGCCCAACGCACTGGTGGCGACGATCACGGCCCCGGGCTGGCGGCGGAACGTTTCCAACATCCCGTCTTTGTCGACCGCGTTGCGGTAAAATGCCGGGCACCCCAACTGCTCGGCCACCCGCGTGACGTGCGACTGGACGGTGCCATACACGATCACCCGCCCGGGGTATGCCCGCCGCATGCGGTCCTGGATGAACCGGATCACCCGGGGCATCTCCACCCACTGGAACTGCTCGTCATATGCGTCGTCGACGGGGATGGTGTGCACGCGATACGCGATGTTGTGCCGGCTGGTGGGACTGCGGTGCAAACTGACCTGGTCCCGCTGCCACCCCATGCGATCCCACAACGTCTGCTCCTCGCGGGGGGCAATGTCGCCGTCAACAACACCATCTGGGTGGTCGCGGCCCGCAACGCGCCCATTTGCTGCAATAATGGCCGGAAATCCGGGTTGCGACTCAATACCACATGGCACTCGTCGATCACGATGCGGTCCAACCGCTGGGACACCCGCTGCCGGTTGACGAACCGCACGAATGCCTCGTTGGGGGTGGCCTCGGGCGTGACCAACACAATGGATGCCCCGTCCGGCGGACGCTGGGGATCCCACGCGGCACATGCAATGCCCAAATCCCGACATCGCGCCATCATATCACTCCGTAATGCCGTCAATGGCACCACGACGATGGTCAATCCGGCCCGGCCACTCACCCACGCGGGCAACATGAACAACGCACTTTTGCCGCCCCCGGTGGGCATCACGGCCACGATGCAACTGTCGCCGTGCTTGATCGCCTGCAACACGGGGCCCTGCGGTCCGCGCAACGCCATCGCGGTGCTGCCCATCATGCTCTGGAACGCCTCGGCCATGTTGGTCTGATGCAAGTCATATCGGCGCTGGATGCGGGCCTCGGCCGCGGCGTCTTCCCACGGGTTGGGCTTCCGCGTGATCCCCGGGGCTCGGCGGCGCTGCGGCTCCACGGAGGACGGGAATTCCAAAAAATGATGCCAATCGTGGCTCACGGCCCGGAACAACTCGCGGTGCCGCGCCGTGCTGTTGGGATTCTCCATCAACATGCGGCCGTAGTTCATCCCGGCGATGCTGGCGGAATGCGCGGCCTGCATGTCGGCGACGAATGCCCGCATGCCCTCGTCGTCCATCGTGCTGTCGTCGTCGATGTCGTCGGCGTCCTCCTCGGCGTTGTTCTTGAACTGGCTGCTCGGGCGCAAATACCGCCGGCTGATGGCGATGGCGATGTCGCGGTACGCCTGCAACCCTAATCGGTGTCCGCGTAATCCATCGGCGGTCTCCCGTTTGAACACGGCGCGGAACCGGTCCCCACTCCATGCGGTGCCGCGATCGGGGTCGGGGGACCATATATACTCGGCCCGACGGCCCACGGCGGCGGGCTCCCCGCGGACATGCCGCTGGTATGACTGCATCTGCTCGACGAACGGCAACACCAACCACAAATACCACACCACCAACTCGCCCATCTCCCGCGGCAAATATCGGAAAATGACCTTGGTGTCGTTGTTCACGTGGAAACCCTTGTGGTATCGGCTGACGAACGTGACCATGCCGTCCTCGATGAACACGTTGCGGCGCTCCCGCTCGCTGTTGCGGTGGCGGATGCTCATCAACTCGGGACCCCGGCTGGGCTGGCCGGCACAAACATGCACGGCGACGCTCAATTGCTCCCGGAACTGGGCCACCACCCGGAAATATCGATCGATGGCCGGCATCCGGAACGCGTGCCCGTCGCGCTGGATGAACCGCCGCCGCAACGCGGGCTCCTGGCTCACCCGCCGGATCAACCAATCGGCCCCCGGGACGGGCCACTGGGTGCGCTGGTCCTGCAAAAAACTCCATCCGGGGGCACTCTGCGTGGCGTCGTCATACAACGCGTCCCATGGAATGGCGGGCGGCGTCTGATCCCGACACATCAACAACTCGGACACGACCCGCTGTCGCATCTGGTGGACCAACCCATGGACGAATCCGCGGAAATCGCCCATGGTGAAATGGATCTGCTTGTACAACAACTCATCGCCCGACTTCCACCCCACGTGGCCCTCGGTGGGCGTGTTCATGTGGATCGTCCTGCCGTACGTGCGCAAATCCATCCACCACTGGACGGGACCGTTGGTGCCACGGACCATGAACAAATCCACCAAATACTTGACCCATTTGGCGAACGTGCGCGTGGGGTGCCGGCGCTGCTCCTGGGTGAATGGCCCGATCATGTCGTCGCGGGTCGGGGGTGGGGAACTCCGCATGGCCATGGGGGTGGACGGGGCGCTCGTGTATCCCTCGTCCTCGTATGAATATGCGTCGTCAAACTCGATCATGTCGCCCTCGACCCACTGGTGGTCCTGCCGCCCGGCCAATCGACGGCGGATCTCCTCCGAATTCGGGTCCAACCGCAACGCTTTGTGTAAAATGAAAAATCGGGTGATCTTGATCAAACTGGATATCTGCGGTGGGAAACTCTGGGGGGTGGCCCAACCGACCTCACTGTAACCGATGACGGCCGTGGCACAAACCATGGCACACCCGTATTCATCGTTCCGGATCTCCTGGCGTAACAAATCGATGCAAAAATTCAACAATGCATTCTCGATGGGGCGGATCTCAAACGGCTCGGGCTCGTCCTCCTCGTCGCCGGGGTCGGGGCTACCGGCACGGGCTTGCGCATGATGCCACACGGTGTCCCACGACTGCTGCTGGCGCTCGGTGAATGAATATTGGGGGGACTCCCAATCGTGTTCGATCTGTGCTGGTTAATATGGTCGGTCCGGAATGGACATGGGTTGTGGTGGGAATTGGGTTGTCGACGGTGCGGGTCGGGCCGGGCTGGTCACCCCGGTGGAATATCCACAACGCGGCAATATATCTCTCCGCCGGTAGACGGGAGCATTGGCATACCCACACCATGCTCTGGGCACACCCTCACTGAACACAACGTACCTGGGTCCGCGCAAAAAACATCAAAATGTGCTGCCACGGCGCCACATGCTTTGCAATGGCGGCGGCATCCAAATATGCCAACAATGGCTTGTGCGGGCTCTCGTCCTTGGTGGTGCGGACGACTTCGATCCGCAATAAATGACCACACGCCTTGGCAATCTCCTGGCTCACATGCGCTAATCGTTCAATGGCCTGCCAAATCACGAATGCGGCGCGCTCCGGTCCCTCGATATTTTCCTTGGGGCGCCGGGTGCTCTCGACCAATGGCTTGCGGGGGACCCCTTGTAAATACCGGACCCATCCCGTCCGATTCAACCATGGCGTGGCTTCGTCTAAATCGCCGGCCTGGATGATGGTGTCCTGGGCCTGTTGATCTTCCTGCTGATACTCCGACACGGTGTGCAATAACCGGCGGATGGCATCGGCGTCGGGAACGGGATTCACGGGCACTGCGGGGTCTGGCTGTCCCACGCAAATATAATGGGACCCGGGCCCTTGCTTAAACAACCGTTGGCATGAAACGGTCCAGCAGTTGGCTTCAATGCGGCCCTGGATGGCTCGAATCTGGGTGGGCGTGGGGCGACCACGGCCCTCATACACACGATAATCATGGGCCTTGCCCCAATGTTTCTTCATCACATCGATCTGACGACATGTGTATTGGTCGCAGAACCGACATATGATGCCATCCTGATAAACCGGTAACTCGGGGATGGGCTCGTCAATCTGATGGGGCCAACGGTCCACCTGGGGCTGCTCGTCGATGTGATCCCACTGCTGAATGACGCTGTGAATGTGCTGGGCCCACCCCATGGGAATGCGATGAGCGGTACTGATTAAATGGGCCTTGACCTGTCCTGGTCGTACTGCACATTGGCATTTCTGGCAAATCAACACCTGGAACGCGGGGTTGACAAAAAAAATGTCGCGGGCATGGTATGCGCGGCCCATGGTGGATCTGCAAATATATATGTTGGTGGATGTTGTAGATGCGGGGGAATGGTGCCACCGCGACCTCCTGGGATCGAGCTCAAAATCAAACGGGATGATGCGGCGGGATATCGGAATCGACCCCTGAAATTTGCAATCGCAAAAACCAATTTGGTCGCTAACCTGAATGGGGTGGTGGCCGGCGATGGTCGTGGTGACTGGTCGCGACCGGCGGGTGGTGGTTACCCCATCAAAAAATCGCCCACGGTCGGCGGGTGATGCGCGCCCCTGCAAAAACATCGGGCGTTTTCGAAACCCAGAAACCATGCTTATATCAATATGGATTGACCTCAAATTCGATTTGACTATCCAACCGAATTGCTTTTACAACATATTCAGATTTGGGGTATCTTTGTCAGCGAAAATGTCAATTCAATGGGCCCCGAAACCCATTTTACGACGGCAACCCTAAAACCCTAAAACCCTACGGCACATTGAATTTACGCCCATGGGTTGGGGCCCCGCTGCGGTCGCGGATTTCGCGAATTTGATGGGGTGTGAGTCTTCCGGGCACGCACCGTGGTACCGGGAGCACGCACTGTGGACCAATCAGACGGCGAAGAAGTCGGAGGGAGCCCTCCCTCCTTTAAGGCATTATGGATTAGGTCGAATTGGAAATCCTCGCGTATCTGCTTCCAATATTCGCTTTAAGAGTAATTCCTCTTCGAATTCAGTAAGTCTATGACCATTGGCGCGTCGTTCTGTCCGTGATTTTGAACCATGAAGCCGATCGCGTAGAGTATTTTCAGGAATCGCAAAGACCTGCGCAGCGCGTAAAATTGATTTAATTTGACCATTCTGATAGGCTGAAATAGCCATCTGAATACGCGACTCTTTAGAAAGAGGCATATTGTATTGTGGTGATGAAGATTCGACGCGTTAAACAGAGAGAATAGAAATTGGATTGAAAATCCGCGGTTCGGTGGTATCCGCGGTTCGGTGGTTGATTACGTTAAATCCTGTAGTGTCCGTAACAATTCCCGCTGTGGATTTATCAATTTTTTTGCTGTGGATGTATCAATTCCCAATGGCGACCTGTTGCTTATGTCATTGGCGATGCCACATGTAACTAGACTCGCTTTCTAACGCTGAATGGACGTGACTAATGCTGAGAAATCACAAGCGGGATTGCAGCCGCTATCTCCGGAGAAACGGCAACATAGATTGGCACGTCGGGACTCGGGATTATACATTCCGGTACGGATACTGTACGTGCCGAGTTCGTCATGGCCGCCTTCCCTCCTCGTTGCTCTGGCCGGCGGTGAATTTAATGAACTAATAAGTATTAATAGCAGCTAAAATTATTTCGTACTTACTTGGCTCCTACCAGTGTCGCTATAACACGCATCAGTAACTTATCGATTGCTTGTGGCTGGTGACGAAACTTGTTACCTGCTCCTCAGCGAATCTTGGTACAATGCCAGAGCATATTCTCATATTTGGTGCCACTGGTAAGCGGTTTCCTGCATCTGTTGGAGGTATCTCAAAAGCGGCCGCCCGAATGCTCACCTTTCCCCTTTAGGCCTATCGGGTATCGAATTCTGCTTTTCTGCGTTGCAACAAGGGCACCAGCTTACCCTGCTTGTACGGAGTCCTCACAAACTCCCTAGGGAGATTGCCAGCAACGTCAATGTTACGGTCATTGAGGGTACGTTTGAGGATGTAAAGAAGTTGGAACAAGCGGCAGGCGCTGGACCCCAGATCTTTATCTCCTTCGCAGGACCCCCAGGAATGTCAAAGGGCACGGTAAGTTTGATCTACAGGAAAGATGCCTCCTTTATACTAAAATAGCAATAGCATATCACAAATGCGATGAAGCTCATTTTTCCTATGTTGGTGGCCAACAAGTATAAACGCGCCATGGTGCTTGGCACATGTTCATATCCTGCACCACAAGACAAAGGTGCTTTAAAGTGGAATTTGTGTGTGACTTTGGTAAAAGTTATTGGTGGGAGTGCCTATCAAGAATTCAGGGGTTTGGGGGAATTTATAGCCTCTCAGGACGTCAACCACCTACAATGGACTATATTCAGAGTTCCCTTTCTTACTAACGGTCCCGAAATATCAGTGAACGCAACCTATACGGGATACGGCGATGATGGGCTTTTTCTTTCCAGAAAAGGCATGGTCAGATGGGTTTTGCAAGAGATGTGTGAAGATTCTCCATGGGTCGGCAAGGCGCCAGCCATTTCAAACCACTGATTTTGATGTTGTCTGCAAATTTTCTCCAGTTTTCCAAGATCTACGTTGGATGTAGTTAACACTGGGTCCTTTTAGTTGATTCTTATACTTTTGGTTTGTACAGCGAGAACATGCATAAGGTTATCGACAGCACAGACCTGGCGGAGGGCAGGGTAGAAGATCTGATCAAACCACCGCGAGAATTGCTCGTCAGTTAACCTCGTAAAGTCGCAGTGGTGCGGCAGGTGGGGAAAGAATATATGAAGAGTGAGAAAATCGGCGCCCTCAACTCGTGCAAAGAGGAAATGTGGCACGTCTTTCAATCGGGATGTGAGCAGCCGGGGCCGCTGATGACTACCAGCCTCCCGTTTGATGGTGATGTGGACATCGCTGTGAATATTTTGGTAATATTGCGGGGCCGAATAGAACCGGATCCCATGCACCGCTACCGCCGGGGAGTCCACAAAGCCCAAGATGCTGTCTACGTCAAAGGAGGTCATCGATGGCATCTTCTGGCTCCGTTCGGCATGAAGGCAGACCTGCTTCGGCTTGCCATCTCGGTACTGGGGTGTTGTTCCCGAGAATATCTCCCTCCATTGGTCAGGACCAAGGGGCGTCTCCTCCTGGAGAGCTTGCCGTGGGAAGAGCTGTGACTTATCCAGTGTGCGAGGGATTGCGTGATGGAAGAGCTGATCCAACTTATGATGATTGCAACTTTCCTCACCTTCGATGTGGGCTGCAAGAGATTCCCGATGCTTCTGAGCGCTACATCCATGGATCCCCACCAAAAATTGCTGAGCAAGCTTCTCCGTCGCATATTCCAGATCAGTAGACGAGCTGTTGTTATGGACAAGATGTGGCGGGTCTTCGACATACCACTCTGGAATCTGAGGGACGGTCTCACACCCTTCGTCATCGGCCAAGCCCAACTCAACCGGGTCGTCTTGGTGATGCCGATCATACTCAATGTCATCCTCACTGGTTTCATTAGCGAGAGTCTCGTCCCCGGGACTGGCGGCCATGCCACAGGCCGAGTCATTGACATCGTCACGTAGTCCACTCTCCATCACAGCCTCAAGTAGAGGTGACGGTGGGGCCGGCGATAAGGATGGGGCTGCTTCAATCACCTGATCTGTACAGGCAGGTTCGGCGCAAGGAGGGCCAATGGCAGGCGTGTACCGCGTGCTGGTGTTAGCACCAACGCATTGCTCATTCTTGCGGCGATTTCGGTACTTTTTGGCTCGGATAGCATCAAGACGACGGCGATGGGTGACCTGAGGATCTTCATATTTGTCATGGGCAAATCTCACACGTCTCGCGTGGTCCAAGTCGGAGGCGATAATTTCGCGCTCATTGGGATGCTCTGGGCCTTCCTCTTCCGAAAGTACGTGAGGGGACTCAGCCCAACGCTCATCCTCCACAGGAGTAACCAGCGCGTCGTTCGATGTCTTCACTGCTCTTCGACGGGCTCGATTTTGGCGTTGGTGCTCCCGTGTCCGCTCCTCTGCGTCATCGGCACTAAAACGCGGATGAGATCTTTGCGGACAATTCAATTGAGACGGGTGCTTTCTGGGCATCTTGAAGAACGCCAAACAGGAAGAAAAGTACGTACGGAGACTTTCATTCAGGGGATAGTGCGAAAGTGCACGAAGCTAGAAAAGGATAATTTGATACGTCAAATCGAACCCCTTATTCAACAACACGTGGCTCAGAGATCAGCCAATCATCGCAGGAAGTCAGCCAGTTTGGCAGGGATTCAGGCGTTGACAGGGATATGATCGGTATTATTGGCTGCGGCTGAGCGATCTGGGGTACTGGCGGTCTTGAGTCTATCCACTAATCCGGAACAGGAAATCGTCACGCTACGCTATCTCAATCAGGAAATCGTCACGCTCTTGGCAAGAGAGTCGAAATCGCCAACTTTTCGACGGTGAGGTGCGACAGCAGAATCTATTCTGGTGTCATGAGACGCATTGTTTGGCATTCCTGATTGACCAGACAATGATCTAGAACAACCTTGGCGGATTCAAATGGTGTTTGGTGTCACAAACTTAAATGCTGGCCGGTACATGGAATAAAATCTAAAACCCTCTGCCTACTCACTAAGCTCGAACTTGATTCCATCACGTCTTCAAATTGGATAGGGTGACGGATAACACTGGCCGAACTCTATTATATTGTGCCACATGGTACGGGCATGAGGCAGTGGTGAAGTTGTTACTAGAGACTGGACAGGTGGACGTGGATGCAAAGGACTCTCAAGGTTCCGCACCATTATTCTGGGCCGCATACTATGCGCATGAGACGGTTATGAAGCTGCTATTCGAGGCTGGGCAGGGAGACGTGAATGGAAAAGGACTATGGGATGCACACCATTATCTGCGGCGGCAGCTTATGGGCACGAGGCGGTGGTGGAACTTTTAAGACTGGGCAGGTGAACGGTCGATTCACAAATATTCTGCTGTGCCGCAATGAATGGACATAAGACGGTGGGGACGCTGTTACTTAAGACCGGGCAGGTGGATTTAAACTCAAAGGACGGTCACTGCAAAGAGAATATGTATTGTCTACATACGTCTTATTCGCCCCTCGCCTTTCGCACCTCGCCTTTCGCCCCTCGCCTTTCGACCCTACGCCAGACCAAGACCGACTTCTTGCCGGAGACGGGTGAGTCGCAACTCGGATTCTGGACAAAGGCCTAGCTCAACCGGAAGAGGAGAGTGGCGACACTCAGCCACGCAGGCAAGATGAGCCTTCAACCCGACCGGTCACAGCAGACGGAAGGTGAAGATCAGGTGCTTGGGGGATAAAATACTTTTCCGATCCAGCCAATAATTTGCATTTGGTCAGCCAAGCTCACCTTGTACGCGTTCCAGGAGCCTCAAAGAGACGGTGATAACCAAAGCTAAATGTCAGGATGTCGGATACGTGTATCATCTAGTATCGAGGGACGGCCAATTGATGCATGAGATGGATTAACGAGAGTGTGTCTGTGTGTTCCGATCTGTTGAAAATGATCCAGGGGCTATAAACTGCGTATTACATCACAGTTCTTCCGAGAATGACCCGAATTACCATACAATTACTATTGCAATGTGGGTGGATGCTGAATAACCAAGAGCAGTGGAGAATCCACAGTATTTTACCTCTCTCAGAGTTGACACTAAATAATCAACTTTTCGCCCCCATCATGGACCCCGGGAAAAGTACTGTCCTACGTGGATGACTGGCAGAGATTTGCACCCTTGGTAAGGTCTGAGCTTTCTTTGGCTGACGGATGACGTTTGTTCGCCTCTCACCTCGCTGTTCTTCTCTCCCAGTCTTTCCCCCTTAAACTGGCAGATAAGTTTCTTTGGGATAAGGCAGGTTTCGCACTCGCTATTATACACGGATGAACTAGCCGTTGCCTGCAGCGTGAACCTTGAGTAGGGATAGGCTGTTACTGGTAATTCATCATGGGCACTCTGTATCACAGAGGTGCAAGACCTTTAACCTCCGAGCTCCCTGATTCTCTGTTTGTCGTAGCCCTAACCTTACAAACCCTCCGCGACCTCCTTAAACACCAGATATTAAACATTAGGGCCCCCAACACCTAAAGCCCAACCGCCGCTAATCGCAACGACAGGAAACCGCATTTTCATCAGACATGCGTTCACCCAAGCACGAACTATTATAGACCACAGCCCAAACAAGGAAGCGTGTCATCGCAGCCTTGATATCAGATTCGCGATATTAAGATACATGTCTTGCATAATATTTGCCTACTCCAAAGTTAGTAAGGAGGACCAGCGGCATGGGATTTGAAGCCTCACTGTGTTTTGCTCAATGAAAACCCCAATCTCGTCGGCATGGTCCATTTGATCGTTGTGGCCTAAGTGCCAGTAGATCCCTTTCTTTCCGGGGATGCTAAAATCGAAATCTGGTAGAGAACTGATACCCCTGGCGGAGTTGAGTGGACCGCGCATGGACTCGGTGTTAACGATCCCGTCACTCTGGTACCAGTCTTCCTGGTTGACTCCCAGAATGTTCTTTTGCACCTGTGTAAGATCCTGGCCTCCCATTGCGTAGACGCTTAGCAGCATTATTGGTATGACGTCCTTTCGTGGGATGTACCTTCCGGGCTTGGGAAACACCAGATCGTAACCCAGTTCTCGGGAAATCCTAGCTATCACTGCATCAGTAATCCACTCCACGAAGGAGCGAAAACTGGTTACGGTAGTGAGAAAGCTCCATCCAGCACTAGTGATTATGCCGATCAGTCCGTCCACCACCCACGGAACGATCGGAATATTTCTCGTTGCTCCCCGGACAAAATCCTCAAGCCTTGTAGGAAAGGAGTTGATTGCATCCAGTCCCCATGCAGGCCAATCTTCGGGGAATGGAACTGTTGCATGGAAGGATAGGCTGAAGTAGTAGACCTTCCCGGAAGTATTGATTGCCTTATGGGAAAGGTCATGAACGCCTTCAATGCTGTTGTCGTAAAAGGCGTTGTGGTTAGAAGTCAGCCATTTCCACACAGGGCCGTCCACTGATTCCAGACGCAGAAGCATGTCCTGGAATGTTTCTCCCTTCTTTCTACATATTCCCCAGTGGTCAAGCTGGAGGTCGTAAGCCCTTTTCTCTGCAGGATAGAAGGATGCTGCAGCGAAGAGTCTTGCGACTAGACTGACTGCCTGTTGCCTTGATCTCTATGATCCTTCGTTAGTCTTTGAAGGCTTGACAATCCTGAGAACCGAGGGCTTAAATACATACGGAAATAAATCTGTCGAGGGCATTTATAATAGTCGTTCCTCTGTGAGGGGTCCCAAGGGTTGTGACAGATACGATCCAGTCATCTCTCTCGTCTTCGCCATCGCCAAAGTATTCGGGATGCCAAGTTGCTGAGCCATTGGCCATCAGACTGATGAGGTAGCGTACTGTGTTGCCACCTTGTGAATGGCAAATAAAATGAACTTTGTTACTCCGGTCCCACGTCCAGTCGTTAGGAAACTGTGAGTTTGGAAATAGGATCGCTCGTCTCCTGCCAGTGCTAGGATTGTCTTCTGGGGCGTGAGCAGGATCTGCAGCAAAATAAGAGCCGTAATCGACTTCGATGTCATAGACCTCGTCAACTAAACTTGTCGCTGGGTTAACCGTGCTAAATCTGATAGGAGTTAGCTAAGAATGTAGAAAAAGGTTTTAATAAATGCACCTGCCGACAGTGAGCTGTCTGTATAGCTCACATGCACGTTCCCAGTTGGTAGAGATTGGAGCCACTGGAGCAACGATAACGGTATATCCTTCATCGACCAGGAGTTTCGGGATGTTAATGACACCGCCAAAGTAGTTGATGGCACCAAATAACGGTGCACCCCAACCAAAGAATCCAGGCACTATGTTGCGTAGATTGTTAGATGCATTCGGGACCACTCGTAACCACTTACCGAAGACAATTGGTACTGATTTATCAGCAGGTGAAGTTCCGTTTACCTCTTGAACTAGGTTCCGCAAATTGACAAGTCCGTCCACGTTGTTCAGAGGTGCCATTTTGAAGCTTTTGATTAGAAGGTACTTCTGTCAATTGATCTGGAAAACCAATAGAGAATACAGAGAGAAATAGTGACCTCGGGCGGCAGCATGTCGAATCTTTATAACCTCACGAAAGGCAGGATATCTTGCATTCTGCGTCAACCGACGTAATGTCTCTCAAAGCTAATGGCTCGCATATGCGCTGGATATACCATGGAAAATTATACTGAAGTGGATATTGAATTGTACTAACATTGGTTACCCGTCTCTGAAGTCAGCTTGAAGAAAGTCTAGACTTGTTGAGTTTGAAAAATCTGTTGGAGTAAATTCTTGATGCATCTGCTCCTAGCAGGTTGAGGCCAATTAAGCCATGTGTTGTACGTAATTGCCTGCTTTCGGAATGCTCCGAAAACCTTGACATGGGAAGACTATTTGGTCTTGACCCAAGGCGAGCTGATTGAAGGATTCCAGACTTAATTCGACGGCGCTATTGACGACATAAGCATCTGGCCACAAGCTAACTAACTTTAGGGTCGATCTCGACCCAAGAACGAGCTGATTGAAGGATTCCAGACTCAAGTCGACGACACTAATGATGACATAAGCATCTGGTCATAGTTAGTAAATCCTGTAGTGTCCGTAACAATTCCCAGATAGAACTGTCTGATTAACTAATAAGGTAACTGTCGGGATATATTCTCCTGTCAGAACAAACTGGCTGTGACCCACTGCTAGCGACCGATGGATAACATCCCTTGCTTGGTGTACGCATTCTTGCGCTGGGCTGTGGCCTCGGTGTTGTGACCGCCGAAGGCCGGCGTGCGGGATCTAGGGGTGTTTTTCCAACTAGACTGAATATCGACACACACATCTATCAAGAGGAACCAACTGACTTTTGCTTTGGAGCATACACACTGTCCACTTAACTGTGTACACAGTACCTAGCGAAGAGGGGAACGCTCGATGGCAGCACGCGCTGAGACGTGCGGGTCGATTCAGCAGAAAAACCACCACAAAACACACGCGTATGTAGGGGTCAGGTCGGGGAGGTGTAACTATGCTCGACAACATTCTAGTTCAAGAATGAAAAGCGACAGTCTAGGAACTATTCCATGCTCGACATTGATAATTCTTTTTCAAATTAAGGGTGAAATCTTAACATGAATTGAACAAATTTATCAGTTTGTGAGGTGACGGAGCAAGGGCACTTTTCCACCTAAGACCCTGGATTGAATATATGTCCTTTGACTGAGCTTTCCCTCCACTGTTCCTCAGTTATTTGGGGTCCAATCCTGAATTGGCCAGCCTTCAATTGAAGTTCCAGCAAACTCATAGAATAGTTTTGTGCTCACTTCATCTGATGGCTGCATTCGGGGTGGGTAAGTGTAGCCCATCACAGATTTTGGATTCCGAGTGCCAAATGTCAGGGTCCTGCCCTCATGCGTTGGATTCTCTGGAGCGAATTCATGGTGCAATCCCAGTACGTGGCCTAATTCGTGCAGGAAAAAACCATCCATGTTGTTGATAAGACCTGCTTCAAAAGCTCTCTTGTAGACATAGATAGGGTTGATGTCATTAGAATTCGGAAAGAACGCCCTTGCGCAGGTGGGACCTTGATCACCACCATAGCCGAGCACAAAAGCCGCATCTTCCAGCCGGCTGACCCACTTGAATTTCACACCCAGCGAAAGACTGTTCCATTTCATGGCAGCTTCGTTCAGTTTACGGGCCGCATAGACAGCAAGGTCAGGTGTCGGATATCCCTGGAGGTAAGCAGCCCATTGGATTGTCGTGTCTTTTTTCCAGCGGTCAATTTTGCCGTTATGACCAAATTGGATATCGGCAATACCACTGGCAATATCATCCGCTGCGAGATTCCTCAGCACGGGTCCCTGTGTTGCGCATGGGTATGTAGAGATAGCGATTGACACATCGTTTTGGTAGAAATCAATTGTGTACGAGACAGCTTGGAAAGTCTCATCAACATTGATAGTTTCAAGGCTGTCTGCTCCTACTCGAGATTTGAAAGTTTCCACCCAATTGCTCGACGGTTCTGCCTCCAGAGTTGGGTGGTGTTGAGGCATAGTGGGTAAATCAGAAGTTGTCCCGCACCAACCAGGATAGAGAGATTTGGACTCCAGAGTGTAACGTGGTTCAGTCTCTGTGGTAGTGATTTTGTATGTAACGAGATTAACAAGCAAACCAAGTAGAGGTGCTTTCAAGGAAAAGCGATCTCTTTATACTTCAATCCTAGTTCCCCCCAATCATAGCTGTTCTACTATAAAGTCTGTTTAAGCGCCTCCATTTGCAGCCAATAGGGGTTTCTAGGCCACTTCCCATTTGGCTATCATAGGCTAAAGATAAATTTTTGTATAAGCGCAGCCTTGACGTCGTTTGGGTGACAATGGATCGTTCCGAATTCGCAGTCTAGACCATCGAGCAAACGATCTCATCATCATCAGCAGCAGCAGCGTAGATCTCTTTTTGTAGTGCATTTATGCAATTATGACCCTGTAGGTTCATTTGACCATACAACGATGATGTCAGTCCACCGGGCAAACGATGTCATCATCATTAGCAGCAGCAGCAACGTAGATCTTTTTTTGAGTGCATTTATGCAATTATGACCCTATAGGTTCATCTGGCTATACTACGATGATGTCAGTCCACCGGGCAAACGATGTCATCATCATCAGCAGCAGCAGCAATGTAGATCTTTTTTTCTAACCTGCATATGAATGCAATCACGTACCACGCTCAGCATCACAAATATAGCAGAGACTAGAACTAATCAATAGAGGATTCCTCAGGCTCCACAAAAATATCTTTTTCATTTCTCTATGTCTAGTATTCGCGAAGTTATTCACGTTTGAACTTCATCCGATATGGGTGGGGCGGGCCTTCCCAATCGGTCGAAACCGTCACTTAAGGTTATTGTCGAGGATAGTGGGGTAGCACCCGAAATAGCTTAGTTCCGTTTGTGTCGTGATATCTTCATTTGTACTAGGGAATTCTCGACACTCCGAGATCGGGAGGTTCAACCCCTCACCCTACTCATGTAAGCAAGGACACCCTAACGTGTCCTCGCAGCATGCGCTCTTTTCTCCTTTTCTTCAATCAATTCATCCTATCTTTTTGGATTGGTTCCCCTTGGTAGATTAGCCCCATTCTTGCATACAATGCCATACTGTATCAGCTAGCTGCGACAGATGGGGTGTGGGTCTTCCGGGCACGCACCGTGGGTGCCGGGAGCACGCACGGTGGACCAATCAGACGGCGAAGAAGTCGGAGGGAGCCCTCCCTCCTCTTAAGGCATTATGGATTAGGGGTCTTATACCCATAGGTTGACCGCTCATTCTGAAGGCAACCGCTCATTCTGACTCGGTTATGCACACAATTCTGCCAGGCATCCAGGCAGTAATGACCTCGGGGATCTTTTCCATGACAAAAACTCTCGCGACTTTACTAAAATGACCGTATGTTCCAGTATCAGCCGAATACAACTAAGCGGCAAAAGCTCCGGCCAATAAGGAGGTCAATTGCATCGACGTTCTCTGTCTTAATCTTCACCAAAAACGGTCATCTTAGATACGAACTCCCTGTTTTCGACAAATGGCTATTGATTAAACTAATTTGAAGATTTGAAAAGCAAGTAGATACTAGAGATCTGCATACATCTCAGCAAAAGTTCCTGATAAAAACATTTTTCTCCGCGATTTGGCCTGAAGCCACCAAGTCGAGCTCTTGGATTTCTTGAACAAACGGATTGAAAACAATTTCAAATATCCTCAAAATGGAAAGTGGTTTTCACATGAGCAGTAGTCCAGCCTTTCCAACGTGATGAATTGGTATCGGAACCATCAGGGCCAAAGGTGATTTCTTCTCCTTGTGCATCATCGTAAAGCTTGCCATGTTCCGCCACGGCTTTAGTTATGCCGTTATAATCCACATAAGCGGTGCCCGGGCGAGCAGCAATGGTATCAACAAGTTTCGCTCTGACTTCTGTTGAGAGTCGATTCTTAAGGTCGCCCATGGAGGGATGCCGACCCTGATGCTCGCCATATACATCTGCTCTGAAGGTCTTCGTATTGCCAGACATTGTCGGCTTTTCCAAGGTAGTATTATGGTCCGTTGACTGATTGTACAAATTTGTTATATGAGGTTCTTTGACTGTAGAAATTCCTCACAAAAATGGCTTTCGTAGGGCGGAAGTGAACCAATTTAAAGATAGAAGGGACGCCCGGATCCCGCTATCAGCAGACAGATTTCAATCAAGTGATTATCAGCCTAGACTTACAAGACCAACGTGGCCCAGGGTTTAGAAAACTTAAAACTGAAATCCGACCGTGTCGGATATGAATTGCGGGTAACAGATTAGTGGCGCGAGGCACTCTTCCACGATTACCTGTTCCACAGATCATTCATTTAGACAGAAGATACAGCCAATCTGGAGCGATGTAAACAGGCGTTCCATTTTCATGATTTCATGCGGTGAACGACCTAAAAAACTACCGGTTTGTCGTAAAGCTACTTCAGTAAATAGCATTTCAGGGCAGAGAGGAGCTCACTATGACGATCGATGTATATCTATATCTATATGCTGTTATGCTACGGTATATGAACCGATTTTTTACGAAAACCAACTAGGCACCTTTGATGTTTAAATTGGAAGGCCTAAGACCTAGGGGTTAAACTGGTCTAGATTATCGCGATAAGGGTCGTGACAAGACGTACCACGCATTCAAAGTCTCACTCCTTCTGGATGACGCCTGCACTCATCACAGGATTTCAAATAATGATTCGAGTGCATTATTTTAAGTGTCATGTCTAGATCCTGACCGGACAGAAACACGAACATAGCATAGTGTATTATTGGTAATAAGCTGCGTTGGTAATATGTGGCAAATGAACTAGCTAAGCGCATCTAGACCTCCCTTGCTAGTCGAGTCTGTCGTTCGATCGCCCGGCCTTTCTTTTTCGAAGAGCCTAACTCTCAATTACCAAGTCTAAAAAATCAATCCAAAGTTTAAGTGGGATGAACGTAGAGTGTACCGGAAAGTTGAACTTTTGGAAAGTGCTCGTCACGTCCAGAATGCAGCTCCCAATCGATGAATCTAGAGGGCAGTTAACCCAAGATTTCATGCTAAATAGTTCTGTTTGCCACTTAACATAATCATTACGATGACATTACGATGAGAGTTAAGATTACATGACATCATCCAAATCATCACCTTGCTCATGTCACCATGTGTAAATATACATATTCGCTGATGCCGTTCTGATCGATCTTTGCAATTCCTGAATGACCGTCAATTTCCACTATATTCACCAGGATCTTGATAAGGTATGAGGAAATTTTACATCACTACTCTTTTGTGTCTACAACCATGGTTGGGAGACTTACGTTGAATACAGCAGCTAAGTCCAAACCATGGGATTCAAAATTGGGCAATTGATGTAACCTATATTATAAAGATCCAAATGGGAATTAAAGGGCCAGTTCAATCTCCGTCCTTCTTGTCAGCTTAAGTAGCAGACAAGACGCACCGATCATGGACCCAGACCGGCGAGTCGCGAGACTCCAACTCTCCCATCATCTAATCTACTATTTGATATCCTTCTCTGTTGTGCTTTCCGCGTCATGGGCCGGCGCTATTGGACCTTCGAAGCAATGTGGCCGCGCCGTGGGAAATGCGCCTATTTCCCAAACCACATGCTCCGGCCAACGCTACGATTATTACGGCCTAGCAGCTTACGGTACGGTTCCATCTAATGCGACCGATCGATATGGAGATACCCTGGGTGGGTTTGGGAGTGCGGTGTTTTTCGACCAGTCATCTTGGAACAAGGGTCAGGATGGTTCCTACCACGGTATGATCTGGGCAATGCCTGATCGTGGTTGGTATGTTTCTTGGCTTACGGATGGGGCAATGAGAGCCAATTACTGATTACTCATGACTAGGAATACGAACGGCACTTTGAATTATCAATCGCGCATTCACAAATTTTCCATTCACCTATGTCTAGCCCCAGACGCCTCCGGCAGCCACCCGAGTCCGCCGAATATGAACTTGACATATCTCGACTCAGTCTTGTTAACCGGGCCTGACGGCGTTCCCACCACGAGCTTAGATGCGGATGCGACCGGATTTATATCCTACGACGGATTTCCTCCGCTGCCACGAGCCACCTATGACGGAGATGGCTTTGGCGGCCCCGGCCTAACTAACGTCCGAATTACGTTGGATTGCGAAGGCTTAGTGGTTGATTCCGACGGTGCTTTTTGGATCTCAGACGAATACGGCCCGTATATCTACAGGTTCTCAAAATACGGCAAAATGCTCCTTGCTATCGCGCCTCCGCCCGCGTTCCGTCCTCTACGGAATGGCACAGTCAGCTTCAGCGGAGCTGAGCCGCCAATGTTCGAACCGGATCGATTTCCTAGACCTCTCGATCCCACCGCTGGTCGAGCCAATAACCAAGGCCTCGAGGGTCTCACCATTTCCCCGGACGGACGTTTCCTATACGCTATGATGCAGTCAGCCATGAATCAAGAAGGGGGGCCAAAGAAAAAGACTCGACGACAGACCCGGATCCTGGAGTATGATATCTCAGATAAGAATTCCCCAACTCTGTCACATGAGTTTGTGGTTACGCTGCCTCCTTACGGCGATGAATCCAAAGCCGCCGTCCAGTCCGAAATCCATCGGCTATCCAATGGACAGCTCTTAATCCTCGCACGGGATTCGGGCTTTGGACGTGGAGCGGACGAGACTGAGTCAAAGTATCGTCATGTCGATGTTATTTCTACAACTGGGGCTACAAATCTTGCAGGAAAATGGGATTCAACTAATGGCTCTATTGCAAACGCCAAGGGGATTTTGGACCCAAATATCACGGCGGCGACTTACTGTCCGTTTTTGGATTTCAACTTGAACTCGGAACTCAAAAAGTTTGGGCTGCACAACGGTGGACCGAAAGATGACCGCCTCTTGAATGAGAAATGGGAGAGCCTTGCACTAGTTCCTCTGGGCCAGGAGGATTCGAATGCAAATCCAGAATACCTCCTGTTTAGCTTCAGCGACAATGACTTCATAACGCAAGAAGGTATGATCCTACATATTTAGCATAGCACTTTACACTTCGTGCACTGTTGGTGCAAGTCTTCATTTGGCTAATATTGTCTGGCACTAGGATATCAAAATTCTGGACGGTTTCGCTATTCCGACAAATCTGGCGAGGACATCGATACTCAGATTTTGGCATTCCTAGTTAGCCACGGGCAACATGCCGCCGCCATGCACAATGCTGAGCTGTAATTTGGTTATCTGCCGCGTAGGATATTGTCTCCTGTCATCGATATAGTCTCTTTGAAAATTTGTGTTTGGAAATCGTGGCTAACGCTGGGAAGACGCATCTCTATTTTATATTCAGGTTCAACCTATTTCCGAACGATAACGCTAGCAATTGACATTGTATATGGGAATCCAGAAATTCTGATCGTCCTCAGACTGGAATTCACCCTTTTAGTACTATCCGAACTTGTGAATATGGGATGAATAAGTTTTTTAACCATCTAATACTGATTTCATCTGAAGTCCAGCCATTAGGTGAGACTTCAATTCGCCAGTCGTTTGGAAGCCATCAAGCCAACCGATGTTGTGGTTTTTGGCATTAGAGATGATTGTTGGTGGTAGTGCGAAACCAGCGGTACTGATTGACTCGATTGTAGTCACCCACTCACGATTTCCAGGTTGTAGGACTACCCGGCGACCATAAAACTCAGCTCGCGTAACCACCTTCTGTGCTGATATAAGCCCCATCGCGAAACCAGTCTCGTCAAAATTGTATATATCATCAGATTGGATACCATTTTCATTAATCGTTTTTTCAACAGCTTTAAACCAATCAATAATGAACGCTGGGTTCTCGTTTTTCGCACGTTGATAATCATATCGTTTTGAAAAACGTGACTGTAGTTCTTCTCGGTGTTTAGTGAACTTGGTTACCCAGTTTTCTCCCACTGTTAATTGGGGGGGGTGGGTATTTCCACGGTCGGCCAGTAGAATATTAGCCATATCTCTCACATGAGAGGGCCTAGGCGCTGCACCACGCGAGTCCATAGAGAGAATCCACTGTACTAGTGAATTTTCTTCAAAACTAGTCAATTTATGACTATTCGCACGTGTATCAGCGCGTCATGATCGCCCTTTAAGGCGCGCGCGTAGTGTAGTGTATGAGACGTTATATCGTAATGCGGCTGCGCGTGTTGATTCAGCCTTTCCAGTTTGAATATCCTGGATAGCTAATAGGGTCCTGCCCTCATGATTAGCCAATCCTTGGCCTGATTGAGTGCGTGGTGGTGTCATAGTGGGTGGTTGAAGATGGTAGGTACGCGACGGGACGCGTTTTTTGATGGGGTTGACCGCCGGGGTGCAGGGTAGTTGACCGCTCAGTAGTGGATTACGTTATCCATCTTACGTGTTCGTGGACGTGCTGGGACTGAAGACTCCTGGGATAGCAATTGAGCTCGCTTTTGTTGCTAATAGCGGAGCCGTCGAGCGGCATTCTTCGCGGCCCTTGTTTTGTATGTCGTTGTAGGTCCTCTTCGACCCATTATGCTAGATTTTAAAGGGTGGCCAGGACAGCATAGGATGAGGTAGCATGGCTGGCCGTCATAAGTGTGTGAGGTGCGTTTGTCAACTTTTGACAGCGCAGTCCACCCCTGATGACACACCATGGACTGGATATATCATTTCTTGGCACTGAGCACAACAATCAGCGCTCACTGGCAGAAATATATGTGTGTGCACCGCGAATGGCAGTCAATGGATATAGATTGGTGTGTGTCATGATTAAATTGGATCATGATATCACATGTTGATGATTATGCGACTGTCTAGTTGTGAGAATACAAGTTTTGGATGCTTACTTCCTCCTGTTTACGCCTAGCACAACAGACAGAACCCCGGTCAGTAGAGGGAATGGCACGTGACTAGTCTGGGTTTTCGTCCGAGTTTCTATTGGCTGAGAGTATTTCATCTTTCCTGCCACCAATTTTCAATAATATGTAAAAAGAGAAATGGTTTTAGAGTCTGGCGGATGCGGGCCTTCTAATCATACTAAAATAATCTCCATCCGGGCGTTGTGGTGTTGTGGTCACCTGCCACAATTTGCCTGTTGGAAGGTGATGTTTCATGAGGAGCATTTGCCATATAAGGAGGGTTGGAGACCACGATGGATTCCGGTGATGTTTCCAGAACTGTCAGAACTGTTGATATTACAGATAGTGATATCACATTATACTTTGCCAAATTGATTTAAGGGTATTAGAAACCCTTTTATCTTATGGAATTATATATGTGTTAGCAGGTTGTATATCCAAATTCATATATCCAGTTATCATGCCATCAGATCGTAATTTATTGCAGTGATCATGTGTGGGCAGATATTTATGCATTGTTATCCTCAGAAGAAGGCACCACCACTGATTTAGTTGGTTACGTGGCCTAGAAAATCTTAGGAATTCTGGATCTAGTGGGAAGTGTAGTGTAGTGGACAGCTTTTTAATACTAGGTAGGACAAGTTCTATATTACGCAACCTAACGCTAGAGTAGCTGTGGTCACTAGCGGAATCGCAGTTTATTGCTGATTATAGAGCGGGCAAAGCTAGGTTTGCTACTGCACACTCATTGAGTGGTGTTTGTCGTGGAACGTTCGCTATAACTTAAGTAGGAAAACCTAAGCAAATCAAGGGAAGAAGGAGGGGGCTGATATAGAGCCTAAGGTTTAGAGATAATTGACTTAACCATAACACTCAGAAACCAGCAATATGTCTGCTTAACCAATACGTATCGAGATGCGAACTTTCTTGGATATCGTCAGATTGTGTCTTCGCGAGGATTCAAGGATATTAGAACGCGGTAATGAGAATGTCTTTAAAGTTAGAGACAATTTTGAAAAGACGACTGAATAAATATAAGCGTTTCCAACTTCAAGGTGAAAATATAAAGAAAATTTCCGAAATTGCACGCAAATATGTTGTCTGGGTACTGGGGTTTTAGTGCAGAACGAGCTGTTCTCCACCGTTCCTACTTAACTGGAAGGTTTTCCATTGCCCCATCGGAATGTCAACATTTGGCGCGAGAAGGGAGATGATACCTTGGTGAGTCACAACAATAATCTCTGGCTCTTCGGTGGTTGTTAATGATTCCAGGATTCGGTTTAACTCTTCCAAGATAACAGCCTTAAAATCCGGCAGTGGTGAGTTAGACCCTGACTTGATGTACCATTTTGGGTCTAGGTGATGGATTTGCGGTGCTATCTCTGGAAATTCATTTTCCAGCTTGCTGAGGGAAGAGCCTGTGTTCGCTGGGTAGTCGCTAATTTCCTGAAGATTGGCATATAAGACCAGCTTTACAGCTCGTCCACGATCCTCTGGAGAAAGGGCGGAGTTCAGTATTCGTGGAAATGCTGCGAGAGATGTCTGAATTGCTCTGCGCAGTGGACTCGAAACAATCGCACAAACAACGTTGGAATTATCTTTGATGAAACGTCTGCCCAATTCCTGCGCTTCGTACCAGCCTCTTTGGCTCAGAGGAGCGTCCGGGATGTTCAAATCAGAGCGTAGATTATGGAGACCTTCGGCGTGACGGACCAGATGAATCCTTCCCTGCATGGTCAAGATGAACTGCGAAAACTTCTGGACATCAAAGTCGGATTGGGCAGCAAGGAAAGCCGAGGTTGTTTCCACACATTTATTCGGTCCATAAGGCTTTGAGTGCCACATACGAGTTAATGATCATCATTTTATCCATGAACAGTAGATTACGCCATATCCAACTTAGGTAGATCAAAAACCTTACGTGAAAGTATTTGTAGGTTGCAGTTATGGCCGATCAGTATACGACCGAGTGGCTGTTCCCGCCCCTTTGGTTTGAAGCTCAGAGATATTATTTGGAGGACAGACAGACAGTTGCCACCGACAGCCTAAAAGCTTTCTTTCAATAAAATCCGACAAAAACATTCACATGATCTCGGTAAAAAATCCTCCAATACCACCGTTTGTGGGAGGTCACACGACCACCTATTCAACTGACCAACTCGGTTGCATGCAGCATAATCCAGACAACTCAATTTTAATTAAGCTTCTACTAGCTTATTAAATCTGACGCGAAAGGGTTGGCCATTGCATCGACGTTGAAGAGTTGCAAGAGGTACTTGAAATCGGCGCGCAGCTTCGCGAATCGATGGAATTTCTTTGTTCTGATGGGCTTGTATCGCGAGCTGAATCCTACCCTCTTGCTCAACAGAAGTTCTTGAATATTGACTGCGAATTGGAGGCATGGTAGGTTGTTGAATTGAGGAAGTTGACGCGGTGGGGCACGATCGCGATTTCTGACTCACTCGCTTGGGTGACTCACTCGCTTAGGGATTACGTTAACTATTAAAGTGGGAAAGCTCAAGGCAGCATGGTCGGTACAGACAGGTTGAGGCACGAAAGAGAGATAGCAGCAAAAGAGATAACTGGCAAAACAACCCAACAGCAATGCTGTCGTGGTATTTGTGATTTGAGGCTGCCCTCGAAACCTTAATTTTGTGGAGCATTCAATTCATGGATGTAACAAATTCATCTAGTTGATCCATGCGGCAAAATGTGTAAAATAAAGACAAAAACGGCGTTATCAAAAGTACGAAATGACGCACATATCCCAGTATTTGTGTAAGCTCTTGCTTCAGTAGTATCGGAGCCGTAGGGTCAGTGGGGCCTCCGGAGGGCGGCCTTCCCGAGCTATCTCATCTTCAGTTCCACTCTCTGCATCTGACCGACATATTCTCGGGTCGAAGTCTTGGCGCAGTCGATCATCTGCCAGACTCCAGCCTTGTGGAATATATGGCTGTTTGCGGCTAACTTGCGCACGAACCAAGAACTGCTAATGATATTTTTTGGTACTAGACGCCCAGAACATGTCGATTAGTTCGAAGGCACTAAAACTATGAATTGGCATCTTCAGGCTTACAAGACAACTTCCAACAAATAGACCGCCGATCACCGACAATGGAATCCACTCAGACGGCAACTGTTTTGTTCACCGATCAGGCGACACGCTGTTCGCAAAACATGTTTTCCATGTAAATCGAAGTCATACATTGGGTCTAGAGCATCGAACAGGCCTCGAGGCGTCATGATGGCAGCAAAGGTATCTCTCGTCCCGTTGTTCACTAGTATGTTTTGGGCAGGGTATAAACCTGCGAGATATAAATTCAGTCTGATGCTCTGTATATGAGATTGAGATTAAACATCAATCACAATCAAACTTAATTTAACCAATCTGGAATCCACAGGAACACACTGGTGTGGAACATCTGGCAGTCCACCGAGACCATTCACCATGCCCCATTCCTCCAATACTATCAACCCCGCCCGGGCCAGTTTCATCCAGGATCTAAAGGGGGCTGTCGGTTTAGAGGCTCTGAAAACCTTGGACCCAAATGCGACCGAGGTCCACAGCCCTCCCCCTGCAACCGGTTCCACGACCAGACTCGAGAGATACCCGTGCACCACGCAGAAGCCTATGCCTGCGACGATCGCCGGTATTACTAATGTCGCGGCCCTTCAAGTCGGCTACGGAAAGGTGATCCCTCGCTGGAAGACCGGATCGACGAAAACTGTCAACTTTGCCGCTTTTGAAAACGGATATCCAAAGCCAGAGCTCGCCTTTCTAGCAGCTACGAAGTTAAAGGAAGCCGCCGACGAATGGAATGCGCTGAAACTAGGCATTCAGCTTAACTGGGTTTATAAAATTGAGGATGCCGCGTTTGTTCTCTCCTACGCAAAGAACGACAACCCCGCGGTCCTTGCCGAGGCCTTCTTCCCTAATGATCTGGATTTGAATGTGTTGAATGTATACCCCGCCGCATTTGAGCCGGGAGCTGTGCAGTACTTGAAGAATATCTTCTTGCACGAGCTAGGTCATGTACTGGGATTCCGTCATGAGTTTGCCCCAGAATTGGAAAGCGACGAACAATCGGTGCAAATTGGTCCGCGCAACCCTACATCGGTAATGGCGTACGAATTCCCTCCCCAGTTGCAGCCTTCGGACATTGAGAACGCTAAAACTTTCTACCAATTCCCTGGGAAATATATTGGACAGGCACAAGGAGAACCAAAATGGGGATTGATGATTGTGGATTACGATGCAAACAACTAGTTTAAGGGAGTGGGGCAGGAGGGCTGGGAGAGTTTCAAACAGTCTCGGAAAGTATTGACCATTGCGCCTGTGGTGGGCTCAGTGACTTATCAGATATCGGCTAGTGAGCTTCTTGTCAACCAGAATGAATCCAACGCGCTTGTACAACAACATGAAACCATTTTCAAAATTGCTAAAATCATTCAAGAGCCTGCTTCTCTTGCATGAGGCAGATGTACTCCAGTTTGTGGGGTCTATCATAACTTTCATTATTTATGCCGGGATAAACAAAAGCTGACTGATTTGGAGGCAATTGATAAATTGCGGCCCCAGTGGAAGAAGGTTATGATTGAACTAAAACGGCACTGTAGGCAGTCAGGACGCCATTCGAAGCGCTGAAATTTTTTTTATTTATTGTTCGTCCTATGAATACACACATATTGAGACCTCAATTACTAGTAATTCTAATGTAAATGTGGGTAATTTGGGTGTCAAATTCGGATGCTGTGATAATTTATATTGTGGGGGTCGTTTTTTGTTTGGGTGGTTTTTTGTTGGGTGTCGGACCCTCCCAAGCGAAGGTCCAGTAATTTTGGTAAAAATTAGTTACGTGGGGCCGGTTACAGTGGCGTTCCATAAGTTTGAAACCCTCTGATCCTTACCGCCTATTTTTCCGCCTACAGCGTCAACGCCGATGTGCAAGAAATCTCCATATAGTCAATGCAAAGGATCGTGAAAAGTTTGCTTGAATTGAAGAGGTCTCTACTCCATAATCGACCACCTTTACCGTCAAAATATATTCTTGGGGGATGAAATTTTGACAATTGGTGGACCGGCAGAATATTATGTCATCCCAGAGATGGTTTCAAACTTATGGAACACCACTGTACATTGCATCAGTGAATCGGTCTTACACATACTTACTTCAAAGCTCGAATAACACAATTTCCTCGGAGCGAAGGTTGAGAGTCAGCTGAAATATATAGAAAAGCCGGTCAGTAGCTATGATGCCGTAGATCGAATTTTAATAGAATAACGCTCCTTATTACGTGTAGTTTCCTAGTCCCTCCCTAAGAGGCGGCTGAATTCTACTAAACTCCACACAGAATACTGGATAACCTAGTGTAAATAAATTTCGCATCTTTCGCGCTAGGATATGTACTGTAACCCTATTAACGTATTCGGTAAGCGAGTCGGCCATGTAAGCGAGTCGGCCACCGCCACCCGATTTCCACGACTAGGTGAGATTCAAGCACGTTTTCACCAACAAAACAATTGCATTTCTATATAAAACTAATTACTAGGCGGATTAGGACACCTAACCCTAGTATGCCCCCGAATATGACAATTAGAACACTGCGGTGGCGCGCGTACGCGTAGTCCAACTGCAGGAAGCCCTGGATCCCTAGTCACAGTATCTTGAGCTTCAAAGACCTGATTCTCCTGTAGAAATCGTTCCTGGCCCTCCTGAATAGAAAAACCCTCAGCAGCAGTAAGCTGCCTAGTAGACTTCTTCCGCTTTTGAAGCTGTTTCTCATGTACAGCTCGTAAATCGCGAATTTCTTGGCGCATAAGAACTGCCTCATTTAAAGCAATTTCATTGCTTTTAATGATTTTGTCCAATCGAACCTCTAATGAAGAGGTAGGACTTTGCGAGCCTTCCTGTACGCGTCTCTGAAGCTTTCTTTTCACTATAGATGCCTGCTTCTCGAGCTGCCTGGTGGTATAGGGTGTCTTGGGTACTGAATTGGTTGACCGACTGCCTGGTGGTGTTGGCGTATTCAGCTGAATATTAAGCTGGCTAAGCACCCTCTCTGGGTTATATGGAACTACCCAGTAGCAGAGAAACCACTGCAGATATTGCTAGTAGTATAGATCTCTGTACGCGCCTGAGGGAAAGCTTCAAGGAAGTCAAGCTTGTCGATATGATTAAACCCAAGGCGCATTCTCTTCTCCACTAGGTGTCCGTATGCACGCTTTAATTGTGAAAAACAGCCAACATCCAGAGGTTGCAGTAGATGCGAAGAATGAGCAGGCATACAGATAGGAATAATACTATTCTCACTGCATATCTGGTCGAATTGAGATGTTAGATGACTGCCATGGCCATCAAGAACTAGGAGGCGATATTTCCCAGTTGTACGGCCAGTAGTAGCAGGAATAAAGAGATTCTTAAGCCAGCGAAGGCTTATTTCATCACTAGTCCAGCCATTTGGACTAACTTCAATCCTCCAGTCGTGTGGTAGATTGCTCTGATACCAGGCCTCTATATGGACCTTTCCTTTGAAGATAATGCATGGTGGAAGGGCCCATCCAGAGGCACTAATACACTCAATAGAAGTAACCCATTCTCGATTCCCAGGCTGTACAAGAGGCGTTCTCCCATAGTAGTCAGCTCTAGTAACTACTCGAGCAGTAGCTACTAGGCCCATAGCAAAGCCAGTCTCATCAAAGTTGTAGATATCTTCAGGTACAATCCCATGCTGCATTACGGTAATTTGTACGCGATTAAACCACTCCTTTATAACTTTAGGGTCCTCACATTGAGCACGCCGATAGTCATATCGTCGAGAGAAGCATGTCTTTAGTTCATCACGTCGTTGGATGAAGTTGTATACCCATTTCTCTCCTACTGTTTGAAGAGGTGTGGTATTTCGCGCAGTAAGAAGAATATTGGCCATTTCTCGTATATGTGACGGCCGGGGAGGTGCTCCACGTTGAATAAGCGATAGGATCCATCGTACAAGCGATTCCTCTTCATTTTGACTCATTTTATGGGAGTTGGCGCGTGATTCATTGCGAAATGTCTTTCCACGTAATCGGTCTTGAAGAGTAGAGCGAGGTATATCATAAGTACGTGCTGCTTCACGAGTATTCGAAATTTCGTGCTTTTTTAAAGCTGAAATAGCAAGTAAGATTCCTCCTTCTTGCTCAGTTGAATTTCTTGACTTTGACGCGCTTTTGGAGGCATGGTTGGTGGTTGAATTGATTGAGGTTTCGACCGAGGCTAAAAACGCGTGACGTGGCCGACTCGCTTACATGGCCGACTCGCTTACCGAATACGTTAGTTGTTCATGTGACGGATGAACCTGGGAATAGCCTCGTCCCGTGGAAGGATGCCTGAGGCATAATATTGGGTCGTTTGCACAACGCGTTTGCTGGGGACTTAACCCCTCTTTTTCTGGCGGACTTTCTTTCTTTCTCCTTCCTTCTTCATCTTCGAGATTCTCGTCCTGTAGGCACCGAATGAATCTGTTTCTTTCGAACGGCCCGTAACAAGCAGCATATATTTAGAGCAAGCTACATCGGCAAATGAATTCATCATCATCATCATTGTAGTCGTAGAAACCCCGAATTTTAGTATGTTCTAGGTTGGCATTCATTTCATTATATTCCCAAGTTTGAACCTGACCAGACATTACTAAGTAGTATTTTTTGTGGTCAGAAAGTGGCCAGATTTTTTGATGGGTAAACCGCCAACCGCCGGTCGCATCCATCCCGGTCGCGCCCTACAAATCGAATTTAAGGTTTTTGGCCAATTAGGTTTTGATCGTACGAGCAATGTAGATGATTGCAGACGCTAAAATTGAAATGTGAGATGAAACATTTGCTCAATTTAGGACTTACCAAAATATGAATCTGATCGTACAAAGGAAATTGCGTGCAGTCAAGTCGAAAAAATCACTTGCAGTCAGGGTGGTGGGTCAAAATACTGCCCATATAATGTAAGGCCTCCGACCGCCCTGCAGTCAGCCTGACTGCACCGGTACTCTGGGATAAAAGAGCGTGATGCGGAATCTCTCCATTGAGAAGAACTTGGTCTGAAACGCGAGGGTCCAAGTAGTTAAATTGCTACAGAATGTGGTGCAGGTGCAATTGCTGTGACGAGCATGCACGCCGAACACCCAGTCGCCGACGTTCTATCTACAACGGATATCGTTGAGAGTTCCAGCCTCACCGTGCGAACTAGGCTGTGCAGCGGTGACAATTTCCCTTTACATCTCGCCTATGCCACCATCTTCAACAGCTTCCAGGGATTCGCTCTGGATCGTGTGTTCTAGATCTCACTCTGCCGGTCTTCGCCCATGGCCAACTTTACACTAGCTTACCTCGCGTCCGCTCTGCCTAGACATCCGCATTCTCCGAAATCCAATCAGGACACGCTTAATGTCGTTTATCACGAATTTTTACTTCCTCTCTGACTGTGAATTGAAACTCCATGCTAATTTATTCACCGCACCACGTAGCAGCGGCCTTCGGCCGCTGCCAATGCGACTCGTAAACTTATCACCTTGACGTCATCACGCCAAACCATCAGCCAGCCTCAATGACTGATTTATACCTGTCGCCGAATGTGGAGGGGTAATAAAAGGGCTACCCCGCCCTATCATGGAAACTCAAAACGGAATCAAGTCTTGACGTCAATCTAGGCTGTGACATGCTCTGGATGTTAATATGAAAGTAATGGGTTGATATATAAGCGCCGTAGCGACCCGATAGATTGCATCCTGTCAATACCCGCTATATTGATCAGTGTTAGTCGGTAATGTTTTCCCGAAGAAGCAAATCCCGTATATTTCTTGGGCTCAATGCCTTTGAAATGATTCTTGGTCTTGCGAGCCGTGGAATGGCGGAACCTGCATCGTGGATATCGTTCCAATCTGTGAGCATCTCTTGAGTCGAAAGTTCTAATCTAAGAGACAAATCTAAATCCCATCAAAGAGGCCTGACATCCACGCTCCTTTATTCAATGTGAATATCAACGACGAGAGCTTGGTCACACCAGGCTATATATTTGTGGCTCCGTACAGAACGGAACTCCCGGGACCTTACATATATACTACCGACGGGGTATGTATTTCACTTTTTCCAGTATTGAAACCTTCTCACACTCACCAGGATCTTGTCTGGAGTGGATCGGATGGTTCAACCACTGAGATTTTCCATGATCTGCACGTCTGCAATTATAGAGGGTCAGATCATCTTTGTTTCTTCCAAGGAACTCAAATCGAAGGCTATGCGCGGGGCCGAAATATGATAATCAATAACGACTATCAACCGACTACGGTGGTACAGAGTGGCCACGGACTGACTCTAAGCGACATGCACGAGCTAGAAGTCCTCGACGGAGAACGCATGTTGTTCACTGTCTACCAGCCACGGCCATACGATCTATCAGCCTACGGCATAAAGACCCCAAATGGCTGGGTCATGGATGGTTTTTTTCAGGAAGTCGATATTAAAAGTGGAGCGGTGCTCTTTGAGTGGGGATCTCTTGATCACGTTCCCCTTACGGAGACATACGTTTCTTTGGGGATCAATCCAGTCGTAGGCGATGGATTAAGCAATTCTACCGCTTGGGATTATTTCCACATAAACTCAGTCGACAAATCTTCACAAGGAGACTATCTTGTTTCCGCAAGACATACTAGCTGCATCTACAAAATTTCGGGTAAAGATGGCTCTGTGGTATGGCGACTAGGTGGTCTCAACTCTACCTTCAACATGGCCAGCTTCAATTTTTCTTCGCAACATGATGCGCGTTTTCACGAAGAAAATGACACACATACAGTGCTTTCGCTGTTCGATAACGGAAGTGATAACTACAGAAATACTTCACTCACATCGTCCGGCATGATCATCGCGATCGATCACCTAACCAACACCGCGACACTTGTCAAAAGATTCGAGGCTCCAGGACAAGGACTACGTTCTACAAGCCAGGGAAACACCCAATTACTGTCCACTGGAAATACATTCATTGGATGGGGAAGCAATCCATCCTTTTCAGAGCATACTGCAGATGGTACACCAGTCTACTTCGCCACCTTCAATGACGATGATTCGATGAATTACCGCGCATTCAAGTACAATTGGACAGCGACCCCATCCGATCCTCCAGCCCTTGCCGCCCAAGCTCCTTCATCAAATGGTGCAACCACATTTTGGGTGAGCTGGAATGGAGCGACCGATTACAGTCACTGGAACTTTTACGGGACCACTTCCGCATCCGATGAATTTGCGCTATTGGCTACAGTCGGCAAGCAGGGCTTCCAGACTACCTACACGAGCCCTAACTTCCATCCTCTAGCATTTGCGGAATCAGTTGCTGTTGATGGTTCAAGTATGAGAAATTCGTCGGTGACGGGATCCTTTCCTTAACGTTGTCCCAGTAGGAAATAAAGTATAAGATATACTAGGCTGAAATGGGTGTCCTTGGCAATCTCTATAATTGCACTTGACTTGTCCAATCCGAATGGAGTAAATGCTAGCTTCTGGGATCCAGTTTACCATTCAACTGTTCTAACTCAGAGGTATTATTGATTATTCCCGTTATTTCTGAGAGTGTTCCACAGGATATATACACAATGCGATGTCCAAGTTGATTTCTAATCAACTTGCTTTTCCGTATAGAGAGTGCTAGGAATAATTTCGACACAGCAGATTTGTTCCTGATCTATACCAGTCTCTTTCCACAATAGTGACCTGTCGATCGGAGAGACTGATATTACAATCAGGAGCAGGATGATTCAGCAGAAGCCCAATCTCCTACCTGTTGTGGAAGATGTATGGAGAGAAGAGGAACAGGACACTGAAGCGCTATAGTACGCTCAGATGGGGCATCTGAACGGCGGAGACTTGAGGGTGGTTCTCCGGCAGACCGGCACTCCATAATCAGAAGAGGAACTCCCGTGCAAGATGGCGACATCTGCACTCATCGAGAATATTTGAAATGATCCATTCGGACATTGTGGAAATGCCGATCACCCAGGGTGGCTCCAGGTGCTTGATCATCTTTACTGACGATGATCCTCGTGGTCCGTGGGCATACGCCATGAGATGGAAGCAAGATGCGCCCCAAAACTTTGGACATACTTATGCATGGGTACACCGACAGTTTGGCGCCCAGATCACAAGGTTCCTCGGTGACAACGGGAGAGAATCCAGTCCAGGAGTTGAGTTCGATACCTCGCCACCATACTGCAAAGGGCAGAATTATCGCGCCGAACGCAGGAATCGCACTATCCGGGAGTCCTGATCGTTGCGAAACTTCCTCCTTCCTGGTGGACCGAACTTTTAAACACGGTAGTCTATTTGAAGCTGCGAGCTCCAGCATCAATGCTACAGAGAATGACACCATATGAAGTCATTTACCGTACGCTGCCCTCGCTGTTGCATCTATGACGGATTGGCTACCGTGCATGTGTGTTGATATCAACCCATTTGCGAGTTTTGGCGAAGTCTAATCGCCATACTCAGTGTAGTGGGGAGACCCCCTCCCCTTACTACATGGTGCCATCCATGCTATGTGACATAGCCGGCAGTATACGGTGGCGCGATAGCTATTTCTAGAATACACCTTCTTACACCTCCCCGACCTGACCCGTACATTTGTGTTTCTCGGTATTCCCTGATTGCTACGCGTGTGTTTTGTGGTGGTTTTTCTGCTGAATTGACCCGCACGTCTCAGCGCGTGCTGCCATCGAGCGTTACCCTCTTCATTAGGTAGTAGCTGAGTAGGACTTCCAGCGGACCACCTTCGTGGTTTTATACGAGTAGGCTTTTACCTAACGGTCGGATCTCCCTATATTTTGTAAAATGTGCCGGTTTAGGCCGCACTCTGGACAACGAGGCTGAAGACACCCCCCGGCCCAACTTGGTTGACGGATTGGGGGTCAATCTAATTATAAAGACGCTTAACTAGCGAGTAGTAATAACTGTTGTGATATATCATATCGTATCAGAATCAATTCCTAACCTCACGGAATTGCCAGCTTTGATTGAAAATCAATCTGGAGGTCGCATGTGTATATAAACCCTCAAGTTTTCTGTCCAGAAAGAAAAAGAAGCAATCTTCCTCTGAATTGCAACAGTATTAAGTCGCAGCAGACAGACAGAATATGACACATTCCAAGCTGCTCAAATTTAAGAACTCATGTATTGATCAAGGGGCGACAAGGGTCATTATTATATGCCATATGACTGTGTGAAATAGATAGGGGACGCATGTGTAATAACCGAGCAAGTCTGCGCGTTGCTAGCCGCGGTACCAGATACGCTGATCAACCAACAAGATGTAGGAGCCAGGCCAGAATCCGCCGTCGCTAAAGCTCCAGGGAGCTGGGATCAGTATTATGTAGGAGCTGGGTTATCACCGACGACGATAAACACTCCTGGGCGTGTGTGACCGCCGGCACTAGATCGACGGAGGATCTTTTAGGTGATATTCCGCATATATCATGAGGGAACATAGATATATGTCGAAGACGTAAGTGGCTGGCTTTCGAGGTCCTGAATAGCCTCAGGTTACTCTGTCCAGCGATAAGACCTTTATAAAGCTAGCTACCCGTTACACGCAGCTGCCGCGACTTCTTGCGCCGCCGTAGCGTATGCTTTGGAAGCCCCTGCGACACGCGATCCATTTGCTGGTTTGCAGTCCATCCACTTCATATGCATTGAGAACATTAATAGGGCCGTAAGCGAACAAGAACTAAATACTCTCAAACTTTACTAGCGGAAGTTCTATAGTCACAAGAATTTTAATAACGGCATTTCTGTTCAGTAGAATTTTGAGCATCCTTTCCTATTCTGATTTGATGATACAAATGGTACAGTAAAATCACTACGGCTTTGCTTTCGTAAAGTCCAACTTGGAGAAAGGTACACGTACGTGGAGAATTTGCGATCAGTTAAGTCGGAAAGGACGCAACAGAACAGAGCACACAGAAACTCAACATCAAGACGTACATCTTGCGTATAAATCGAGCTCAGAGCAAATAACCTGAAGTTTTCCGTGGTCACTGGGGTACGTAATCCACAATAGGAGTCGTAGATAGCATAGTGCCTACCGGCAGGCGATAAAATTGCTGTGTAGCATCAATGTCCGATTGCTGAAGTTCTGGCAGCTCTTTGCGATAATTCATTACCGAAAGTGGATTTTCCTCGCCAATTTGTACCGCATTGCCTTCGAAACGCTTAGGTTGGGGTCCATAGCTAACTCATGTCTGAGTCCCAAGACATGACCCAATTCATGTGTAAGAACTTTCCAAAGGCTTTTTCTGAAATCGGGTCGAAAGGCAAGGCTATAGACATAGAGGAAGTTGAGGCCTTTGCGATTTGGGAAGTAGGCACTAACTAGCAAGCACATTTCCCTTATCACCACCATGGAGAGGACAAAGTTTGCGTCTTTTGCTAGGGCGACAAATTCAAAATTTACCCCAACGTCTGCCTTGTTCCATGCTTCAGCAGCCTGCTTAAGGTGTGCTGCAGCATGCGTCGCATCTGCTGGAGAGTCATATCCCATTTGCCAAGCAGTCCACTTAACCACGGAACCAGGCTCCCAGCGTGGAATTTCAGATTCCAACCCAACCATGATGGCGGCTGGGTCGGACTTTAGGTTCCGGGGAACTGACTCTTGCGTGATACACACAGGAGACAATGGGAGGGGCTCTGTATCAGTTGACACTGCCGAAATTCTGGAGTCCTCGACAGTTGTCAGAGCTTCGGGTCCAAGATGTTGTGCGGTCAACTGGAGAAGAGCCTCTCGGGTAGTTGAAGCGTCTGGGGCCATGATTGAGCCTGGGTAAGGTGTGCCACACCAATTTTCAGGAAGTTGAGCCAGAACAGTGAATTGATTTGTCGCCAGTGCCTTTTAGGTGAAAAGGTACCTAGAGTTGTTTTATCGTAGCCTACGATAGTAATATCCACAGAGATCGCGTTTAGGAAAAGACTAAGGGATACGATCTCAGAAGAAGAGGATAAGGACGAGAGCAGTGAAGACGAAAGTGATTATGAGATTAATTTGCTAGTAGTTGAGACACAGACACGTATATCTAGTAGAGTTCGGAAACGCTCGAGGCTTCTGGATAGTTATAAGGTTGATCTATAATTATCTACGAATAATTTTACAATATAGCTACATTCCGCATTAGTCAATTCGTTTTACTTCTAACTATTCTTAGTCTGTATTCAGAATACAAAAAATCTTAAAAGATACAGCAAAAAGCTACATAACTAATGCAAGTGACTTTTTTGAGTATATTTGCTGTTTTTAAATCAGTCCATAGGCGGCCTATGGGCTATGACGAGGTCTAGTCACATAGCATGGATGGCACCCATGTAGTAAGGGGAGGGGTCTCTCCCACTACCCACTACAATATTTTATTTCTTCAGTATTACTCCTACTTTCTAGCAGCACTATTCACTAGTGAGAGTACTTAGAACGACTCTGGTTTCCTAGTGCGGCTTTGATTTTCTGGCACTACTCCGATTTCCCTGCACTTCTCCCACTTTCTAGCACTACTCCTGTTACGGGTTAGAACCCGCTTCTCACTATATGGCCTTGCCATATAGCCCGCTCTTGAAGAATGTGTATATGATGGTTGTATATTGTGTGTGGGTCTTGTTGAGATTCCAGGATAAGGTACCGAATTGATGCCCCATTCCCGACCTCTGTCGGCATGCCTGTCCAGGGAAACCGGAGGCACTGAGCTTGATATGCGCTTCAAGCGCTCTTGCCACCATTATATTTGGTCAAATCAGTGAGCTAGCCAGTGAACAGTGAAAGAGTTCATTCAAACTATCTGGGCCAGCTAGAGAGTAGGAAGGAAGAGAAAAAGGCCGAGTGGGTGGAGAAGTGAGTGGAGTGGGCCTTGGTGGGACCCACCGCCCTGGACACACCACTGCCTACCATTTTCTCAAGCAATATTCTCCATTCGGGAGATCTTCATGGAAGAACCCCGATCGAGACCGATTATGAGGGATTTACTTCTGTCAGGGGCCTGCCGCCGGTTCAGGGATAAATACCCCCAAAATCGCGTGCAGACAGTTCAACACAACACAGTCAAGTCAAAAGTTCTGCCAATTCATGAAGGCCGATCTGTCTAACAGGCCATCACTCTATATTCAGTGCTTCGTCGTAACCCATCTCAACCGATCTGTGGGTCTCGGTCCCGGTTATGCCCTGAAACGAACGAAGTGAGAGAAAGGGTATTAATCAACACGGATGTGCGTGCATGCGAGACGTTGCAAAAAGAGTGGCTTGATCATATATGGTCTGTTCTTCCACGCTCGTCGCTAATTCGCCCGATGTGGTTCCACTCTTTGCCTTCTTTTACGCTTAGCCTGGCTTGGGGTTATAGGGTTTTGTCTGCATCAATCTGTATCTTCTCCTATTATGATTGCTTCGTATTATGCAACTTCCTTGTCTTTTCACTGTGACGCTCTCCACTCTATTGCCACACATGCCTCTCGAGATTTGCTTCTTTCCTCCCCATACATACCGGCCCCCTCCACAGTTCTCATGCTGCTCCTTAACGCTTACTTTGTCACTCTACCATAATGCTCGCTCTCCGGCTCTGTAATAGTTGTGGCCGTCGTGTGCGTCTATCTACAACTATCCAACCACCAAGGTGTCCTGTTTGTCGTTTATCAAATTTGCCCTCCGTTCTCCAAACCCGCCTCTGCTTAGGATGCCATCATCCAATTCCTACTGACTGGCCCCATCCTCGTTGTACAAATTGTCTATCTGCAGTCTTCCGCGCCCAATTATTCTCCTTGTTTTGATTGTGGTAACAACTTCCCTGCTCGCCCTGGCGTCGTCCGTTGCTTGACTTGTAGATCCAGAAGGTCCGCCGCGCCACCTCCTGTCGACTTCGGTCCCATCTTTTCAACATCATTCAACCCTGCCGCTAATTCATTCCAGAGGCTTGATCTCCCACAAATAAAACGCCACAGACCTGACTGTCACGTCCCAGAATCCTCAAGTCTTCAAATCAGTACGACTTGCAATGCATACTTTGTGATCGACCGTGCTGTTGGTTTTCTGCGCCAAGAGCATAAATCCCGCGTAAATGCTTCGGAGGCGTTCCCTTCTCCTATTTCTCCATCCCGCATCCGTCTTTCTGTAGCTCGCTTTGAGAAGAGTCTCCAACTTGCAAGCCGAGATCTTATATGTGCTGCTTGCGGCAAGCTTGTCCCTAGCACTGATATACGGCGGATTCTTGATAACGATCCTATCCTCCACCCATTAGAAAGGTTACTCGATGACTGCGGCTGGTGTGAAGGCTACTGGAACTTGTGCTCTGTATGCCACGCTGCACTTCTCCGAGGGTCGCCTCCAAAATTCTCTGCCAAAAACAATGTGAATGTGACTCTATGCCAGCACTACCCCGATGTCCTCAAAGATCTTACTCTCACCGAGGAATGTCTCATCGCCAAGCCCCACCCCGTGGGAGTGATATACTTGCACAATCCAAATAAAAATGCGGCCAGTGATTCGAAAACATGCTTACATCATTTCATGTTGCGGCCATTAGTCATCATTGGGGCTTTCTGTCATTGGTCCATTTGGTTTCGGACGCATTTCCGCTTCATACGAAACATTTGAACACGACTTTTCACTTTTAAATCCTATTTTCCTTTGCTTTCGTTTCAGGGCTGATGCGCGCAACGCGCGCGTCTTCCAGTATAGATACAGGTCTAACCCTAATGCATGAGTAGTGCGTATCAGAGTGACAGGACAATACCATCAGTACAGGAGATCCAACAGGCTACTAGGGTACATGTCAGTATTTGGGCACAATCTACTTTGGATGGCGAATTTATCAGAGGATCTACGGACAAAAGCAAGAGATCATGAAAGATGATGAATTGCGTCAAGAAGAGAAGAAATGAGGGACATGGCTCTGCGCTGCCTCTTACCCACCAAACAAGGAAGCCAAACACTGCATCTCGCGTATAACTTTAGCAAGCTCTGGTCGACGAAAATTCAAGGTGCACTAAATTGACCACTGACCTCTATCACGGCGTTCAACATATCCTGAGATGAATGGAGCTGGCGCAAGAGGCAACCCAAAGTGGACCCGCATCTCAACGAACAGTTAAAGGAACTGGGAATTGACTCGATTGTACAGTGGAATTCGGTTATTCAATTTTAACCTTGCATTCTTGCGATTTAATTACAGTACTAGTTAACTAGCTACGCAACGGCTCCGGTCTGGCAGATTGAGAGCACTACCACGGGATAGAGAAACTAGGAAAACAGTACGGGGTAGTACAGTACATTACATTAGTCGAAAACAATCTCATCCCAAAGGTCATTGGAAAATCGACTTCGAAGCTCGTCAAGGCCCCAGCCGTGAGGCTGGCCGATCCTTTGCAGCGCAGTACGGAACTCATCGATCTGCGAGAGATACGCTACGTTTTTCAAATACTTGCGCGCATCCTGTCCCTTCAATTGAAGACCATCCCATTCCTTGGCCCAATGAGGGCGGACGTTCAGATTGTCCCCGTATGACATCCACATGTCGGCAACTTTTTGGATAAAATTCATCCACTGATCATCCGCCACAGCGTCAGGGATAGTGAGCACCTCAATGCTAGCGGTACCTAGCCTATTACCTCGCTGAGGCGCCATGATCACGTCACTGCCTCCCATAATACGCAGTTCAAGTGTCAGCCGCATCGGTGAGGATGGGTCATCTTTGCTTTCAGCCTGTTGGTAGACCAGCTTGATGACATCCCACCATGCTTGTTGGACGATGGAGAAGTCAGGCTTGGTGGGATCGTCCTTGCGGGGCGGTATCGGAATCTGGAACTCAGTATCCCTAACCCTCATATTTTGTATACCACGTCGGAAATGCAGCGCATTAGGTAGAGCCGTTATTATGGTCGGTGAGCTATCCTCGCCACTGGCTGGGGGAGGGCGGCCATTCCGTTTGTAGCCAGCAGCTGTGCTCTGTTGTCTTTTTGTGAGCAACTCTACTTTCTTAGACATGGAGTCAGACGCATTCCTTACTGCCAATATCCCGGTAGAGCGTTAAAGAGAGGGACGGTAGTGATAACCCCCCCAGCCAGCCTTGAATCCATTGCAGGAAAGTTTGCGCCTCATCCGGATACTCTTCAGCTCCAGTAGGATCCGACGTGGCGTTCCAGGTATTTACCCAAGCTTTACGCTGGTAGGTGAACCAAAACCATTCAGAGTAATAGTGATTTTCTGCACGGCTGTCAAACTCTATCTTGGCATCCGCAAGTTTCTTTGATGCATCATTTGAGTGGAACCAGTCGGATTGGAGGGCAATTGGAATATCATCCTTGTTAATTGGGGGGATAGCCAGACCGATGTCGACTTTAAGGGGTTTCATTACTGCGTATGTCATAGCATCGAGCTCGAAGGTTATGTGCGTCACCACTCCAAGGAGCCCGAAAGCGCCAGCGGAAGCTTTGATGTCAACTTGGTCGTCGACTGTTCGAAAATCTCCGTTACAATCCACGTACTCAACGCTCTGGACATAGTCAGAGACCGTTTTGTGAGCATATCCGGCGCCGTGACAGATCGGGCCATTGACGCCACCGATTGTGACCTCGACAAGAATGACATCGACTGGCAAGCTCCAAGCGTCATTCTCAATCGCCCAGCGCCGAAAATCCTCGTTAGTCACGGATACGCCAACGCGACACAGTCTTTTGCCTTCATTATTTTCCTCTTTAAGCTCAATAGTTCTCAACTGATTGCCGTTGGAGGAGTTGAATTGCCCCGGGAGAACGCTGATTATGTCAGGAATAGTCGTAGCTTGATGAAGGTCAAGTAGGGAGATGAATATCTCATTGTCTTCCGAGAAAATATTGCTCCAACTGTGCCGGTAGCCGCCGCAACGGACTCGGAGGTCATGTTGCTTCGCGTAACGGACAATCTGCTGCACACCGTATACAGTTGTAGGAACACATGTGCACCGCGGGGTATTCTTGACCGTCTGACCCCAGTTTTCGAACTCAACACCTGTAACCACCACCTGCGTTACAGTTGTCAGCATTAAGGGAAAACAGCGGCAGTGTGTAGCAAATTACCTTCATGGCCTTAGTTTGCTCCTCATCTTCCCAAAACTCCGGTAGCTCTTGGATATAACGGTGCCTCGGTGGGAATCTGTATTTGATTGCCTCCTTGATTTGCAAGGCACAGATAAACAAGTTCTTGAGTACAGACCACAAGGAAAAGTGGCGCTTGACAGGGCCGGGATGGCCAGAAACTTCGAAGTCATGGTTGCGAACCGCGTCGTCCGCCGGCTTGCCCTCGATGAAGGCAGTAATCTGCTTCTTCAGAGTAGGATCGCCTATGCTTTTAAGTGACTTTTTGAACCCCAATGTGTTCCGAAATGCCCTGAGGAATCCGCGAAGTTGAACCTCTGGGTTGAACTCCTTTTCGATCACAGGAATAAGGACTTCATTTTTCAGAGTGCCGTAATCCACTAGGTTGTATTTTCTGGCAAAACGGTTTTCAATATTTTCGACGATGTCATTCAGAATGTGGTTCCGCTCGAGCTCACTCGGCCTGGGGCCGTTCAGACGTGGTGAACTCATAACTTCTTGCACTGGTTCCACGAAGTGCTCGTTCACTTAGTCGCAAGTGTTTAATGCTAATGAAGGAGGTTTTGGCGTTAGCTTAGTAGATACCTAGATCACAAATTTTTCTCTGTAGCGTTCGAGGAGATCGAAAGCTATCTAGGACTGTGGGTAGTTGGAACGGTAGATTGCCCAGGCTATCCTAGATTGAATGTTTGGCCAAGGGTGAGATGCTCGACGGAAGCGACGGAAGATAGGGAAATGGATTCTTTAAATCATTTGGAAGATAGACAATGGGTGGTGGAACCTGATAACTCACTCCGTCATTTAGCTGTGAACTCCTTAGGCGGCTTGCAGTTACAAAGTGCATCTGGTCCTGGAAATTGAATGACGAGTCATCAAAGCAAATAAAACTACAGACGATTTTGCAGATAAATCTATTAAAAATTTAATTTGATAAAACATATTAAACTTTTGAAAAGACGAATGAAGATCTTCAATGGGATCATCCCAGAGCTTTTTTTTTGGTATCTGTATGGCGCTACTCGCTCCAGTAAGACCTTTGCCCCGGTGACGCGCAACGTTAGACCTCTCACACGGAAAAAGGAAGGGTGGTGAGTCCACCTAGCCTCACCTATGACGATTTTATTATGATCAGTCAAGTCATGACAAGTCAGGCTGAGTAAAAAGACATCACTGTCATTCAAGATCAATATTTGACTGGGTAAGGATTTCAGTCTTTCAAACCAAACCTGGACCATACTTTAATGGTTCCGGCAACCAGTGCGTTCTATTGTCGCCTCCCCAACTAAATTATTGATTTCCCTCGGGTTAATTTAAATTTGAGCGTCCGAAGCGGATGACCGCCGCCATTTTCGGGTACGCCACATGACGCGCGTTGATCACCCGAGCCCGCAACCTTGCGCAATACTTGTCCGTGCTTTGCCCATCCGCAGTTCCTCATCACTGCCAAAGGGTAAGGCTAGGTTTCAGAGTTAATCTAGACTCCCGTGCAGCAGATGACCAAGAAAAGGATTAATTGGTTATAATGACGAACCCTAACCGCAGGGAGGCTAGTGGTCACGTGATTAGTTTGCTACTGCGCGTGCATTCTATGGCAATTGGTTGGGCCAGGGTAATGAAGTACACGTAAATGGTATGATCTGAGTGTTCTTTATGCGCAGCCTAACAAAAATGTGACAGAGAAAGTGAAGAGTTGCTTCGATACACAAGAGTCATATAATATATTTATGCGGGATTGGTTTGATCTGATCTATTCACAACCGAGGGCTTATATTGGACGAAACTTAGCAGGTTCGAGGCTATATATAAATCATCCTACCACCTCACTTATACTAAATAAACATGGCTACCTTATAAAGAGCTGTTCGTGAGTGCGTGGACTAGGCAATATCACCATCTAGGTAATGAGGCTACCTCTCGAGTTGAAGGCTCACATGCAGCCTCAAAGCAATATATTATGGGGCCTTCTGGTGATATCGTGCTTGTCTGGGAGCGTATTGACGAAGCTATAAAGGCACAGCTCGACGTCCTTCACCTGAACTTGCATCAGATAAGATCAGAACCTTACCTACTGCTCCCAGCAGCTATATTCGGAGATAAAGCGCACAGCATCGTGCTATTCAATTAACCTAGTTAAAGACCAGGCTGATAAGGCTAAAAAAGCTACCCCTTCCGCCCCTTTAAGCCCTTGTATTAACGTTTTTACTAGGACTATAGGGCTTCCATGCGCGCATCGCATAGCTAGCCTGCTAAAAGACGGCCTGCCAATTCCATTAGCTGATATTCACCCTTTTTGGAGGATTGGCCTTAGCCCACAGGCAGGCTATTTACATTTGCTTAATCCTCTACTCCCTGTGCCTATATAGAAGGGCAAATCGGCTGCAAACGAGGCAGATAGCGATACAAGGACCACCAAACCGAAGAAGGCACCATCAAAGTGTTCTATTTGTGGAGTTGTAGGGCATACGCGGAGGACATGTGGCAAATAAGGGTCATGTATTCATTTTGTACGTAATTAGGCAATATAATATAGGGAAGGGGGGCGCTAATGCTTCATATAAGCCTTCATGTAAAAGGTAGGGCACTATAAACCTAAGTTAGTTACATGTCATGTGTTGGCAGATGTAAGCCTGGATGACATAATTGCGGTGTCCCTAACAATTCCCGGGTGCCGTTACTAAAAGGTTGGGGTGTCCTTACCAATTTCCTGTCCCGAATAAAAGCTGTGCTGTTCCTATCAATTCCCGTGAACGGGTCACACGGTGAACGGGGCAAAACCCACCTACTACTAGATTTCCAAAAGTAGATAAAACCACCAAAACACCATTAAATTCAAAAAGCTATCTATTTGGGCATGGTTTAATTGTATCGCCAATATTCCAGCAGCCGCTACACCTCGGGGGTGCCCGTTTGGCTGGTGGAGATGGCAAAATGGGCGATTCAACTGGTGCGGGTGGAGGCTGTTCAACATCAATGCTTCACATAACTTAGGGCCTAGCGCTAATGAAGTGTAGAGTGGGTGACCTCACAATCTTGGCTTGCTACGATTATCCAAGAACGTTAAACTTCGTCCACTAACCCGCCATCCAATGTTCCTCCTGTTTTTCCATTTTACAACCTCATTCATCTGTCAGATTATTAATAATCTATCCAGCGATACCAAGGCATCGCTACGAGGTACGATAAACTAGTACTAACAAGTCGGTTCCAGCCCTCTAGAGGAGGCCAAATTTGTCCAAGGATATACTCAGCAGAGTCTGCTGCTAGGTGAGCCCACTTGATCCCAAATCCAAGTTTTCTAGCATCAACTTCATTTCGATCCCACCCAAATAAGGTTCATTTTACTAAAAGGGTGAGAGGACGAAAAGCCGACAATTTATGCTTGGCATTGAGAATTGCTAGCCGTTCCCCACCTCAAGTTATCAAGGTTCACTTTGCAATTTCCGAACCAGCATCCAAACATAGTGATGAGGGGCGCTCCGGGACAGTCTGACCAAGCAGACAGGTCGAGATAGGGAGATCGAGCGCACTACGCTCGCCAGACAGGCAAATGCTACCAGAATCAACAGTGGGAATAGCACGCAGGAGTGGTCTTCGCGGTAAACGAAGGTGGGATCAGATATGTGTAGGATTCATACTATCCTAGGCTGGTAGGCCTGCTACCGTAGCTGCTGTAGGGGCAACTAGGCGCCTCAAGAAGCAGACAACCAAGCTAGTCCTGAACGGGTAATACCCTCTCAATCAGCAGATCCCAGCAAGCCTGCCAAGCTGCACTCGACGATATCAGATTTCTGACACCGACACCAATCTTCCACTACAATATTTATGACCTCTCTCACCAATAAGTATAAACCTTTGCCTCCCAATGCATCAAGGGCTCCCGTCCAACCCACTCCTTTGGCACATTCCTCCTCTGTGTAACCTCCCTCCAATCCTCCCTCCCCCGCTGTGGCCAATTGTGTACAATATACTCCGTACCAGGTGTGTCCTGATCTGTAAAATTAGCCACGACAACCACCGGTGCCTGAGCCGGTGCTCCTCTCTTCCACGCCATAATCTTCCCCCCTTGACTCTGATCTACATGAATGAACTCAGTATCATTGTAACCCAGGGCCGGACATTTCTTCCTCAAATCCACAAGCGTTGCAACATAATTAAAGACTCTGCTTCTCCAGTCTCGCATGAGTCGCTCATAATTCACCGGATCGAGTTGTTTCTGCCCTGTCGGACGGTCCATTTGATCACAAAACTCCTCGCCCGCGAAGATCATCGGGATACCGACGGCTGTCAATAAGCATGTGAATGCGAGTTTAGTTCGTCGTTCGATGTCATAGACATGTGCGAACCAAAGGAAGTCAAAGAGGCGCTCTTTACGAAATCCCTCGACGTCGTGAGAGGTAATGTAGTTTACTGCTTGTGCACAATCTGTGAAAGGGTGCGCGCTATCTAGCGTGCAGTTGATCATCTTGCGGACCGTCCATTCAAAATTGTCACCGTGCGATGATTCCCCAATAATAGCGGCACGGAGGCGTTCTTGGAAAGGTTCGTTCCAGAGGGTATTGAGAGTGTCTTTAGATATCATGTCGATAGGGACATTTTTGATCTCTTCGCCAATGACGAGGAATTTCGAGGAACCGTTTCCGTATCTTGACTTGTAGAGAGACCATGCTTTCTCTTTGTATGATTTGATGAAATCGTAGTTCGCGATATTTTCGATACTGTCAAGCCTCAGACCATCGACACAGAAATCTGACATCCACCGATGAAGCTGGCCATGATGAAAGGCCTGTGAAGGATGGACGTTTTCCTGTGCACCTGATTCTGGATTATACGTGTTGATTTCTTGGATGTAGCGCCATAATGTTCCACCCCACGGGTTTCGGAGTTCACCGGAGTGAGATACGTAGCTATCTGGATTTTCCTTCTCATCTTCCGGGTTAAGATGAAACTGCGTGAAGGCAATCGATATATATGGATCATGTCCGAAAGCCATCACGACATCTGTGAGAAATCGAATTCCCATTTTGTGGATGCCCTCCACCAGCTTTACTAACTCCGAGGAAGTTCCAAGATCGAAGTCAGGAGCGTAGTAGTGAGCGGTAGCATACCCCCATTCACCTGTTGGCCATGCGTCTGCAGCAGGGAGGAGCTCCAGTGCATTGATACCCAGGTCAGCCACGATAGCTCTCGAGGCAACTTGCGGGATTTCTCTGAAACGTTGGCCAGTAGTATTCTTGTCGAATAGAGCCAGGACATCACTGAAAGTGCCAACATCGATTTGTACGCCACCAAATGGCTTATATTTGGCCCAGGAAGCTGGGAGCTCGTAGATCACCATATGATTATTGTCTGACATTGCATCTTGCGGCGGGACTTCCACCGGACTAGGCTCATTTCCATCTATGTCGCAAGGCCATAGTCTTCCATTGCTGTCATCGCGGAACTTGGTCACAGAAGGAGGCTGGATGTTTTCGTCCCGGTTCTTTGTGGCTCTGTAGTCTACCGTGTATGCAAACGGATCGGCCACCCGAAAAGTGGCTGGATGATCCGGTGATGTGCTCTGGAGCTCGAACCAGTAGTGATAGACTGTGCCATTCTTTAATGGCGGTTCTATGTCCTTTGGATCGAGTTCCCACAGATCGGGTATGTCTGAACGTTTAAGCGGGCCTGTGAAGAATTCCGTTACAGTAGCCTGAGGAACATGGCTAAAAGTTCCCAGTACTAGCGACGGAGTGAACACCTGTCCTGAAGGTATCCAGAGCACAAATTTCTTTTTTCGGCGCTCAAGGAGATCGAAAACCATTCTGGATAGTTTCTGGAAGTCACGGTAAATTGCTTGAATCCTTCTGGGTGTAGAAGTCAGGCTATCACTTGGCGAAGGTTGAGCTGCTCAATGGCAAACAAAAGGTGACAAAGAACAGCATTCTTTAAATATTTCTGGAGACGTGTAGGATGGTAAGGCGAGAAAATACTCCATCATTCAGTCGTAAGCTTTTGCAAGAGGAAATCTAAAAAGTTTCGTTGCCATCACATAGTTCATCTGTCAAATAAAAGTACGAAATTGCATTACAAAAAGTAAAATTCAGAATTTATTTTCCGAAACCCTCCTAAATCCACCAAAAAAAAAAGGCTTGGAGCTATACAGTGTGTTCTTCATTTACTAACTACCTACCCGTAATCGAGACCTTCAGAGATCTCTCGAATAAGATGTGAAAGAAACAAGTTGAATACAGACCTAGACGACAGCCTAAGCGTTTCTGATCCGTTAATTCTTACATTAATATTCCGGCCAGGCTCCTTCGAAAGCCAAGTCAAGACACTAGAATGGATCAGGTGTCACAGGGGATTATGCACGTCGTATACTCAAGCTAAATATGTGCGTCAAAAATCAGCCCTGAATTACCTATAGGCTATTAGTCTACGTAAAGGTCGGCCAGATCTGCCCGGTGTCTACATTTTTAGCAAGTATATTACTACACGTAAAATATGCTGAGTGGATAGCTTAGCCGACCCCACACCACTCGATCAGCAAATGCGGGGCCGCCCACATCATAGTTCATGTTGATCATCTGAGATGTAACCTCATATCTGACTTCATCCGGTGGTTCCGCTGCTCTCTATCTTCCCAGCCATGAGATCCGTTGGATCCCCGCACATGTGGGCGTGCATGGTAATGAAGCAGCTGATGTTGAAGCGAAGCTTGCTGCGGAGAACGGAGGTGGGGCGGAGAATAGTGCTCCCGAAGCATACCGCCTTGCCTCCCCAGCGAGGCGCTGGGTGCGGCAGCGGATGAGGGATAGATGGGCAACGGAGTGGGTAAGAGAGAATACAGGAAGACCGACCTATCGACTGGTCAACACACCGCACAAGAGGACTGTAGGTCTATATGAGGGGCTCTCAAAGCCCTACACCTCAATCCTCATTCAGATGAGGTCTCAGCGAATTGGGCTTCGACATTTCCTGTTCAAGATCGCCACCGCACAGCAGAGGGCAGAGGGGGCCACAGACCGGCGTCACTGCGACGAGGGCAGCCAGACTCCCATGCATGGTCGTCTCCAGTGTCTGTTATACACCAGGCTTAGGACCGTGATGTTGAACAAGATCTGGTACAAAACCGATCTGGGGAGAACAACCGATTATGATACGATCATGTCGGACTCGCAGGCCATCCGCTACATGGCCGAATTTATGCACCGGACAGGACTCCTCGGCCAGTTCAGGCACGTGGACTACGAGGATGTTGATGCAAATATTAACACGCCAAAATAACTTGGCAAGGTGGCAGCAGGAGGTGAAGACGCTGGGTATAAGGAAGAGATCAAAAACCTACAGCGACGAGAGGCAGTGGGAGAACTACAACGCCGATGAGGAACGATATCGAAGGAACAGGGCATGTTGAAAAACGGCATGCCAACTGGAGCAGATGTGGAAGCAGAAGCATGGGATGTGGCCGCATGGCACGGCGTGTGCTGGCATAAGCCAATTACATTCATTTTGAGCGTTCTATGACGGTTTTTGTGAGATTAGCACCTGTTTTTGAATCGCGACATGCAGTGTTTTCTTTGTATTTGTTACTGTTAGGCGCGGCGTTTGGACGAGTTCTTGTTTCCGACGGAGGAAGCACCTGCATAACCATTACGTTCTAGTTGGGCTGCATCAGGTTAATAGAACTTTGAATTGAATTGAATTGAATTTAATGGTGTGAGTGTCATTCATTGCGAGGAAGCGCGCATCATGTTGCGACGAAAAGTTGTAGTCCACCAATGCGAATGAAGACTGATTACCATCTAACCGCCAGATCAAAGATCCGTCATGGCCTGAAATCTTGTAGATAGTGCTGGTATGTCTGGAGGAGATCAAATAATCTCCCGTATTGGACTTGTCTACTGAATTGATATGGAAATAAACCCAAGAAGTGGTATTGCTCAGCCCGTCACCCACGATCGGGTTGAGCTGAAAGGGAACGTAAGTTTCCGATAGAGGTACGTGGTCCAATGATGCCCATTGGAATGGCACCTCTCCGCTGGTGATGTTGATCTCTTGGAAAACGCCGTCCATAACCCCTCCATCCCCAGCCGTGATTCCGTATGATACCAGGTCATACTCTATTGGCTGGTAAACCGAAATAAGAACACTTTCCCCATCCATGATCTTCAGCTCATGCATGTCACTCATCTCCAGATTGTTCCCACTCTGCACAGTTGCTGCAGGCCTACAGGAGCTATCCAGGAATAAATTAGAGCTTCGAGCATATCCTCCAATTTGAGTTCCTTTGAAGTAACAGAGGTGATGGATGTTGGCATATGAACAGACATGAAGATCATGAAATAGATCGGTAGTCGAACCATTTGAACCACTCCATACGAGCTCCTGCCTCTTTTCAGTGAAAATCCCGCTCGATTCTTGGAACTGTCATCTCACTGCACCCATTTCATAAATAAACGGCCCAGGGAGCTCCGTTCGATAGGCGCCCAGCAAATAAACCCCGGGGGACATATCTTGCTCATTTTTGACGCTTACATCAGCTCAGTAATGATTGCCAAGAAATTTGTCAAATACGTACTCACAAAGCTAATAGTTAGAATCGATGTCATCGGATGAAAATAGCCGGTATTCTCCGGGATGCCAGAACACTGCGTTCCCCACTCTCGGGACTGAACTGAGCGCACATAACCGAGAGACCAAACGCTCGTTCCTTGGAACGAACTGTTCCCAAGACCTACCCCACAATATACCGACGACTACAAAAACTGATGTTCACACATTTTTCAAAAAGTGTGAGTTAATTTGGTCTAACATTATCCATACGATGCCACTACAAAATATTTGAAAGGTGGCAGGCAATTCGGAACGAAAGAGGTAAATGTTTCTTCTCAGGAGCAGGGGCTTTTATTTGTCTCTTGATAGATAAGATTCATGACTTTCACCGCCACATTGAATCATACCATGTTTTCAACGGCAAGTGCTGTTAAGACAAAAATAGCAGGCAAAGTCTATAATACACTATTTTAAGTGACATGCTTTCTGGCTCTACCCGAGCCGCAAATCACCCTCGTGATCAATGTGTCTGTCGCCTCCAAACCTACGTCATGACTAGTCCGCATTCTCTTATGATTGAATAGGCCACACATCCAGCTCACTAGATAAATTACGGTAAATTTTGTACCATGAAACAACGTGAGTGGTGTATCGGTATTCTAGTACTCAAAACCTGGAGTTGCAGCTTCAAGTAAAGTTGTTATTTTGAAAAAGTCAACTCTGACCTGAGTTAACAATGTTGATATAGAGGCTTATAGTTGGGCCGTTTCATTTCATTTACCTCTGCATACAATAGCTCAAAGATGCGAGGCAAATGCAGCGGCTGTAGAACCCGTAAACCAGGTAGATCTTACTTTCCCGAAAACGCATGAACTCTCAGGTTCAGTCCGACCAACTCCGATAATCTAAAGTTTCCAGGTTATAAGGACTTTTCGACCCAAACTTTTCAGATAGCCAGGGCGTTTGAAACAATCCAAAAGTCTAGACTAGTCTCATGAGCCCACATGACGAATTAACCGGGTTAATAACTTGTAGCTAATTCAAGTTTTCTCCGCACAGTTCATTAGCCTTGCCAAGAAAAAGAGCTCCAGGGGCTTGTTTGATTTTAACTTTCACATCGGAGGCTCGATTGTTCTTTCTAGATGGCTCTGCGACCAGACGGATAGATGTAATCAAGAAACTGTAAACTGCAGAGAATGGATCAATGCGTTGGGCTTTGTTGAATTGAAGCAGGGAGGACTTCGGCGTCTTAACACATGGTCAATTGAGCTCGTATGCAAAGAGGTCTGGGCATATCTAAAGTGAGCGAGCTTTGAAAGATGGTGAAAAAAATACGCAAGTTCACTTATGTCAAAATTCCCGGGGGCGGGCTCAGTTTTTGTGGTGAAGAGCTGCACTGCATTTGCAACAGTAAACTTAAGCCAAGCGGCCTAAATCTATGCCAGCCAGCCATAGGCCTAGATCTTTCAACCAAACTTTTCATTTCCTTAGAAAGAAGAAAAAGACAATTTTGTGTTCGTATTTGGGACATATGACTTTCGCTCTAGACTCGGGAACAAGAATAGCTTATCCATTTGGGTCAAGAGCGGAGAACGGAGAACTCAAGACAAGTAATACTTGTATAGACCTCTCCAGTGCGATCCATACCATAATTGGGAAAGTTATTGGTCATATAGTGAAAGTCATGACGCGCAGAGAGAATCTAGACTCATTTGTTAAGTCTCTGCTGCTCAACAAAAATACCGAACTGTAGTTGATTGATATGCCGCCATCGTCTATTTAAATGCCCAACAATCCTTTGATTGTATATCCGAATTCATCAAGTTGAAAATATCTTCTACAAAACTCTGCTCCAAATCAGCAAATAAAATCCTAAAACCATCAGTTGGTCGTGAGAATGAAGTCTCCTCTTTACCTTCTGACGGTCCTGCTTCCTCTAGCAACTGAAATCGTGGCCGCTTCCCCGACCGCGGATTTCACGGATTCCGATACCCTTGAGGAGAGAGATCGCTTTAATGGCGGTGGAGGAGGTAAATTTGGTGATAAGTTCAACCCTTGTAAGATCCGAAAGCCATACTGGTACTGGAAGTACCCGTGCGACTCGAGCGACAAAACTAGCCGGGAATCTCCAGGTGGCCAGTGGAATGCGAGTTGCCGGTACAAGTAAGTCCAATTATGCGATTTAGATATAGATCTTTACATTTTGAACAAGCTGACTGGTATGAAAGGAACTGGTACAAGACAAAGAAGGGGTGGGTGCATGACTTTGAAAAGCCCAAAAACTGTCGTATGTTCTCTCCTCATCCACATTTCATCAAAACATATCTGATAAAATCAAAGACGGTAGTTGGGAGCATCAGCAGTGCCCACCACCTACTTTTGGCTAGGTACCCAGGGACCTAAGGGAGCTTTGACTAAAATCCGCTTTTACCGAACCTTTTGCACTGAAAGTCGGGTCAGCTGTGTATACTCTCGCGGAAACTTGCCATTGCAAGACAAAGAGGTGCCTAGAAACTTCAACAACATCTTGAACACCTCAACTTTTCGATTAATTTCCTTGTCGTACTTGCGTTGCCGAAATTCCTATCGTCTCGACGGGTATTGTTAATTGACCGTGCTTGAGCTGTATTTTTGCTTGCTTCAATGAAAATAAAAATAAAGATAAAACTTTCGCGCGTGTTCACCATCTATTACTGCCAAGTGGGCTTCTAAACAGCCGTTAAAACAAGTAAACACTTCGAGGAATAAGTGTAGGCACGTCTAAAACTCTAGCTACTCAACACTTCACGGATAATACACGTTGTTTCAATGTATATCTCGAGTACAGATGGCGTCTACTATGTTTAAAGACACATGCGGACCATGTGACCAGAACTACGAATATTCGCATTCGTATTCGTCGTCGTTACGGGTCGTTCAAAAGAAACAGATTCATTAGGTGCCTACTGACGAGAATCTCGAAGATGAAGAAGAAAGAAGAAAGAAAGGAAAGTCCGCCAGAAAAAGAGGGCTTAAGTACCCAGCAAACGCGCACCAGCAAACGCATAACGTAATTCCCGGTTAGGCGGCCCATCCCACCCACTACTAAAGATTGAAAATAGATAAAACCACCAAAACTCTATTAATCCAAAAACTATCGATTAGGCCACCAGGTAATTGAATGGACGACATTCTTGTAACCGCTACACCTAGGAGGTGCACGTCTGGCCGGTCGAGGTGGCAAAATAGGCGATTCAACCAGTGCGGGCGGAGGCTGTTCAACACGTTCAACTGGCTTCACTGGCTGCACTGGTGGCAGTAGGCCCTCTCCGACTGTAACACTCTGTTCCATCGACCTAGACGATTTTTCCGGGCTCGTTTTTGCCGTTTATTCTCATTCGGAGTCCGAAACTAAATGACTGCCTGCGCTAGTAGCGCGGCAGTATGTATTGAGTGATAGCTCCCCTTAATTAACTGATTGATAGCCATGTTGGTCGGGGTAGGGGGGCTTCTTGATTGTTGTCGAAGTAGATTTTTGATCAAAGCAGCTTGTTTTTGTAATTTAATCACTATTTTCGGTATTTTAGGGCTGAATTGACTCGACCAGCTGTTAGGTCCGGCTAGATGGGGGTGTTGGTGTTCGAAGGGAAATATTGAGTTTTGAGAGAACATGTTCAGGATCTAGCGGAACTAGACCTGCTGCTGTGAAACTAGACTGAATCATCTCTAGTTTAAAGGTCTCTTCTCGTGCCTGAGGATAACTTGCTAGGAAATCTAGCTTATCGATATGGTTGAACCCTAGGCGTGCTTGATTGGTAATCAGACGACCATAGGCACGCTTCAGAACAGCAAAGAGTTATGAATTTTGGCTTTAAAGATGATGCATGGAGGGAGAGCAAAACCAGCTGTACTGATTGACTCAATCACAGTCACTCATTCACGATTTGGGGGAATTGGATGAATGATGAATAAGCCTATCCCCAAGGGTCCTAGTCGTATTTGACCACTTCTTCTATTCGCCGTATAGTCCAAGTTGTCCGAAGATGCAGATGGGAATGAGGATTCTCGGCCTAAGGGCCATGAGCGAGAGATGCCCAATTGATATTCTTTCAATCAGCTTGGAATAAATACTACAAAACGAACAGATATAGACTTCTTCGTAATTGATAGAACTTGTTCTTGATCATCTACAGTATTGAATGGAAGTCCAGATCAACTTCAAAACCCTACCACGCGATCGACATGATCACGAGCCTGCTACGCGAATTAGCTTTGCTGGATCCGCTTCACATGTTTCAACAAGCTCACAGGCATGGCCACACTTAGCATCTAAGGACTAGGGGCCATGAAAATCTAGAGTTCGCTGAGGCATGGTCAATCATCCGGGCACCTTAAACCGATGCTGCCTCTATGAACCAAGGTTCCTGATCTAGAGCTCTGATATGTTCTATCGTTCGAGGAATCTCGGTAGACGTCATTACATATTATGTGTTACGTAGAAAACTCACTAGTACAGGGTGTTGTAATTCACCGGTATGTATTATTTTATTCTTGAGGGGATACACGAGGCTTTATATTGAAGAGGGTAACGCTCGATGGCAGCACGCGCTGAGACGTGCGGGTCGATTCAGCAGAAAAATCACCACAAAACACACGCGTAGCAATCAAGAAATAGCGAGAATCCCAAATGTAGGGGTCAGGTCGGGGAGGTGTAAGAAGGTGTATTCTAGAACTAGCTATCCGGGCACTGTATACTGCCGGCTATGTCACATAGTCTGGATGGCACCCATGTAGTAGGGGAGGGGGTCTCCCCACTACAATATACAACGAGAAGACCAAGTTGATTTGGCAACCCGGGGTTATTTCCGATGTTGCGGCTTTGTTCCTGATCTGCGCTAGCCTCATATCACAACACAGGGCTCTGAGCTAAAGCCATTAGTTGACTCCAGAATTATGTAGAATACGTGTAAGGTAATCAATCGATTTTCTTATTTGGCTTCTTGAATGGGTTCCGCGGCTATTGGCCACGGCACGGAGCGCAATTGGGGGAAAACCGCCGTAGATAAACATCGCCAAAAGCGGAAAGCCCCGGAGTAATGTGCGTCGTGCTTCGAGGACTTCCCACGCAGCCTTGGCAGAGTCCATCATCCGCCAAAAGGTTGCAATATCCAGTCTTATGGTGCGCGTAACTGGCTTGTGTACGAGCCAAATTTCAAAATCCTGGAACATGTTCCTTGGCATCTCGGAACTCGGAACCAAGCACTCTAGACCCAAAGCGAAGAACAAAGCCTTCTCAAAGGTAATTGAGAGTGTTAGATGTACAGGATGATCGTGAACGGGTGAGAAGCAGGTGGTATTGGCTATCTGCTGCTATCTTCTGCTATCTGAGAGAGAGAGAAGAGGAAGGAAGAGAGAGCGTGGGAAGTGAGAGAAGAGGTACAGAGTCAGGTGACTGTGGTGACTAAGTGAGTACCTGATGTATGTAGGCTCAGTAATGTTGCCTGATCAATCACCAAAGTGGTCAGTTGGAAATTCCTCATTGCTGATTAGCAGTTCTTTTCTTTTTGGTGGAGATATTGAATCAGGCTAGACATAGCAACTTTCAGCCAGTTCTTGGTGGATATGTTCACGAGGTAGTATTCTCGTGACTCACAGAATGCTCTGGTCCAAGTAAGCAGCCTTACGAGTTATAAATTTTGGCATGATGTCCATCAGATGTTTTGGGAAAATGTCATTCAAAATAAATTTAAACTGAAATCTTATTTATTGAACCAAACTGGAACGAAGAGGAACACACTGGTGTGGAACATCTACTGATCCGCCGAAACTATTCACCATGCCCCATTCTCAACATACTATCAACCCTGCCAGAGCCAGCTTCTTCCAAAACCTCAAGGAGGCTGTTGGCCCAGAGGATTAAAAAACATTGGACACGAATACGGCCAAGGCACAAAACTTACCGCTCGTATCGGGCTCCATGTCTAGACTCGAGAGATACCCGTGCACTACGCAGAAACCAATGCCTATCACGATCACTGGCAAAAGTAGTGTGGCGGCCCTTCAACTGGGAGGTCTTGGAAAAGCCATTCCTCGCTGGAAGACGGGATCGAAAAACACTGTCAATTTTGCTGTCTTTGAGAACAGATATCCAAAGCAGGAGCTCGCTTTTCTAGCGGCAAATAAGTTGAAAGAAGCCGCCGATGAATGGAATTATCTAGAACTCGGTGTGCAGTTTGAATGGGTTTACAAGATTGTTGATGCCGCGTTCGTCCTTTCTTACGCAGAAAGTAACATTCCCGGTGTCATTGCTGAGGCCTTTTTCCCGAATGATCTGGATCTGAATATACTGAACGTGTACCTGACGCATTCAAATCCGGGACCATTCAGTATCTAAAAAATGTCTTCCTGCATGAGCTGGGTCATATCCTCGGACTCCGTCACGAGTTTGCCCCCGAGGTGGAAGATGGGAACAAGACAGGAATGAAGTCACTGCAATTCGGTCCACGAAACCCGACATCAGTGATGGCCTACGAATTTCCTCCCACTATACAAACCTCGGACATTGACAGCGCTCAGGCGTTCTACCATTCTTCTGGGAAGGGTCTCACGCAAGACAACAAATTGATACCTATTGTGGACTATGAGGCAAATAATTAATCCAAGGTGGTCGATGTAAACAACACTGTAATGCTGCAATGGCCGAACAAGGAACAAAAGCCTCGGTCGTTGTGACATGGAGCTTGGTGAAAAGTAATTTGGCGGAAATTGATCCTGGTGGAAATTAATATTGATGGAATTTGAATTTGATGAAAGCCTGCGCTAGTTTTGTCAAATCTATTTCACTCCTTGGTATTCAATGGACCTGGTGAAGTTGCCTTCTTGCTCGTTCTGGCATGTACATCTTTGTGGACTTAATCGCCTTCTTAATTTTCCTCCCTGGGTGAAACATACCAGGACAAATTTGCCAAACTCCGAAGATCCTTTCTTTTTCACCCATGATTGGCCAGGTTTACATCAATACTTTCTTATCCATTAAGAGGAACATAGCACTGTGAAGACTTCCAAGGTACATCTGCTGCTTCAGGACTGAAGCTCTGGAAGTTGCGGTGTAAGAAGCGCTCGTGGCGTTTCGAATTACTGAGTACAGATATAGTCTTGCCACACCCAATATACGAGTATCGAAAAGCCATTTTGCCTGTGTGCGAACGCGAGTGAACTAGCAGGTAGGATGGGCGCGAAAAGGGCCTGTGACAGATGCTGTATATACAAATTGTTTTGGTGATCCGCCGGGGACAGAGATATACATTATTTCTGAGCCTGGTGAATGGTTTTGGTTTGCTGATGGAACAGCGATGCGGCCACAGACGCTGTGGTTTGAAAGAAGACGTTTGTTGATGAATATAAGTAACCATCTGCTGTACCGCGGCGACCAAGGGTCCTGTTTGGAGACCAATCCCGGCCCCTTCAAATGAACTTTGTAAGGCTTCAACCGGCAACTGACTGAGCTGATCACCCAGTGAAAAAAAAACGCCACATTCACACCGACATCGAAGACGACCCAGTGAAAGATGGAGCCGTGGCAATGGTCCTACAGTATTTAGCTCTTTTTTTGCCTTCAGGTTAATTTGAAATTTAGCGTCCGAATATGACCCCAACCGATTTCGGATACACCACATGACGCACGTCGATCATCCGAACCCGCAACCTTGTGCTTATTTGTCCGTGGTTCGGTCATCCGCGGTTCCTCCTCAATCTCCAAGTCAAACTCCGCTTGCATGTAACCAATCGGTATCAACTGGGTACGAACTTAAAGCTAGTCTCTGCTGATGGGGTGCATATTACTCTTTGTCAGTGGTTAAATGAGTGAGATAGCCAGTGAACAGTGAAAGAGTCCATTGAAACTATCTGGGCTAGCTAGAGAGAAGGAAGGAAGAGAAGAAGGCCGAGTGGGTGGAGAAGTGAGTGGAGTGGGCGGTGGGTCCCACCACCACCCTGGACACACTGCCTACCATTTTCTCAAGCACTTTTAAAAATAATCCATCTCTCTCAGAGCCTGTTCGGCTTTCGGGGCGACTCCCAGATCTACTAGAGTGGCAGCTTGGAGACGGACTAAGTTGTTCGCCAAACATTAATCCTTCGAAGGGAGCACTGTCCTCATCCAGTTAGATCTCGTTCAACCTCTCTTGCAAGGACTCGATTGCCTACGGAGCATGTTAGTCCTGCTTGCATGCTGGAGACCCATATGACTGCATACCTCTGCATAGAGTCTCTCTGATCGTAGATGGGGATATAGCTAGCCGCAACTTTGACTTCATGCGAGAGCCAGACAATTCCGGCAAGACAGTGGTCCATGGCATCAGCTCGCTCACCACCTATAAGAGATGCATCGGAAAGGGGATCTATTTGAAACTATAGAAAAAGGCACCCGGAGCTTACGTCCCATATTGCCAACAACAGGATATATTTATTTTATGTTCAAAAGGATGATCATCATAATGCTGGTTGCAGTGTTTAGTTCCTTTCGAACATCAGATCTAGTCCGTTAGTTGGTAGCCTTACATGTGAAACTTCCATGGTTTATTCATACTTGAATTAAGGGAACAAAGTAATAACGGGTGTTCTTTCCTCCAAAATACAATACTCCATAGATTCAAATATCAAGGCCTGAACATACCCTTGTACTATCAGCATTTGGTGTACAAATACAGTATCCGCACGCCAAAACTCAGTATCAATTAGCCATTCACTCACCCGAGATGTTACATTCCCAACCCATCGTCACTTAGGTCGCACGCTATTATCCCTATCAATCCTCATTTTCTTCTCCGGGTGCATCACATACTCGGGCACAGCATGTCCGCCAGTTCTGACCCACTTCCAGCCGGCATCGCCATTAGGCTCCTCGAGGGAATACCCGTAAAGCGATATTGGGTTGTAACTGGAGAGTTTGATCTTCCGTATCCGGGCAATCGGATGGAAATACTCGTTCGTAGCGCCACCAATACCTTCACCAGGGGCTCGGGGGTAATTGCCCGGCGTGCGGTCTTGCTTGCCAAGAATACGGAAGAAGGCCCCTTGCAGCCCAGAGAAATTAGAAACGATGGGTCCGCAGCCCCAGCCGTTCATGACGTTGTTTTGGGAGTTGATATCGGCCAGCGCTTGCTGGTGCTGCTTGATGAGTACTTTGATCGCGCCCTCTTCAAAGGTTAGCATGCCGGAGAGATTGTCCACCTAGGTTGCGAGGGGCATTGAGTCAACTAGAATCGTCATTTAGGAGGACAGGAAGGGCCTTACCATCCACGAATGCGATGTCGCCGATCTCTTCATGGTCACCTGCGGTACGTGGACATTCTGCTTGGCCACCGATGTTGCCGTGAACGCCGGGAAACCAACATTGTTGTAGATCCTTGGCCGGGGCACCAGGGGTCTTGTGCCAGAGGGTAGGAAGGAAGGTTTGCCGTTCCTCGTCAATGGCAAGGGCTTGGAAGGCATAGTCCAGATCTGATGGAAAGCACCGTTCAGCGCCGGTATACTAAGCTATTGGCGATGTAACTCACTTTTTGATAGGTTCGTGTTATGAAATGCGTACTGTTTGTTGATTGCGATGCCAGCTTTTGCGGCAAATCTTACCAACGGCCATTCAGGGATTCCCTAGCCATGTTAGATCAGGCTCGTGGTAGCAGTATATCCATTAATCATCCCTTGTGTCACGTACCAGAGCACCAACAGTGTCCCAAACCCCAACAACTTTAATCCTGAGGTCATCCGTCAAGCGCAGCTTGTCCTTATTCTGCTGATACCACGGTGTCTTCTTGAAGGGCTCCCCGTCCGTATTCTCACGGTAGGCCTTCCACATCTCTGCAAAGTGCGACATGTGCACTGCAGAGAGGACACCGACGTCGGCTACCAGGCCAGCGACTGAGCGCACCGTGAAAGCTCCGCGCGAGAAGCCAAAAAAGAACAACTCATCGCCAGGCTCGTAGTTATTGGAGATGAAATCATAAATTTGGCACACGTCGACGTCCAAACCCCGGCCGATGCCGCCTATGAGGCAAGCAGCACGTAAGCCACAGTTGTTCAATAAATGGGAAGCAGCGCATGCTAGCTGTGCACTCACCATATATGGCCTTTTGGAACGGAAGGTCTCCGGAGCCCAGGCCCGAATGGTACGATACGATCTGCTTCGCGATATTGCCATCAGCATCGGGGCCACTGGTCGCAATCGCTCGAGCGATCTTCGCAACGTTCGAAGGCACAGACTTGTCGCCCTCGTCAGATGCCAGCCATGTCCCGTCGGCGCAAAGGATTATGCGCTTGTAGCTTGCCAGCTTAGGCATTTGTTGCGTGGTAATAGAGCGAATCTGGATCGTCCGGGAAAGGCAGGGGAGAAAGGATAATGACTGTTCGTAAGGAGGCTTGTTATTCTCAAAAAGCCTGGTTCAGCGTTAACCATCCAGGTTCTACATAAACTTAGCGTAGGCCAAGCGTAGGCTTGGCCTGGACCCTTGTACTAAGGAGATGGCTTATTTGGAGCATTCAACATTAAGGTACTTACTTTCCTGATTGATGTAAGATTTGGCCTGTTGGAGGAGACCCACCACAATATTTACTAATTTGAAGTTTTATTTGGTGCTTATTATGCGATTTGGAATGATTAGAGAGGTTCTTGCCCCCCAGAGCGCTCTGACAACTATATATGAAAGAGAATTACGCCCTTCATACATCTAGTAGAGTATTAAATCGTAATGATGTCATATTTCAGATTGCGTTAGATCGATCCTTCTAGGCTCTAAGGTTACCGAAAGCAAACTGCTCTGGGAAGCTAAAGACGTCATTAAGGCATGAATGATTGAAACTGGAAGGCTATTCCGTAATTTTGTAGGTGGTAACGATATAGTATTGAGTCTAAAATCTGAAATGAAACATCCTTCGTAACTGGTACCTTAGTAAAGCTATTGTGACAAATTTCTTCATGGCGGGAGATCAATAATTTTCGGCCTCCACTGGGGGTGGGAATAGATAGGCCCCACCGTAAAATTATGGATCGCAAAAAGCTTATATGGTGGTCTTCGCGATTAACAAGATGCACCACAATCGTCTTATAGAAAGACCCTGATTGAATGCTGATATACATCATTTGGTAGTCTAGAACTCCCTGCCTGACTGCCGTAAATTGTAGGCAAACTTAAATTTAAGGCTGATCGATGATCTCGTGGGGTATTGTTTCAAAGTCAAGTTAAACTCTCGTGCGACAGATGACCCAGAAAGAAATTCACAAAACAATTACTAGGATGCCGACGTCTGTTCATATCTGCTTCGTAAAAAACTAATGGCGATAGTATCAGCGCTATATAACCCTTTATTGCGCTATTATATCAAGTTTGAAAATTACAAATTATAGTTTCTACACGAGTAGAACGTAGGCTTCTGCCGTCTTACTAGTCGGCCTGGTTGCATCCTCTAGTTGATCCCATTGATATGGGCTGACTGAAAGATTTGAGGCGTAAATGCTGATTCCGTAACCGAGACGGAGAGTAATGAAACGGGGCCAGTTGAATGGCGGTCAGCGTAAGTTCCTAGAGTATAGTAGTAGTAATAGTAGTAGTAGTAATAGTAGTAGTAGTAGTAGTAGTAGTAGTAGTAGTAGTAGTAGTAGTAGTAGTAGTAGTAGTAGTAGTAGTAGTAGTAGTAGTAGTAGTAGTAGTAGTAGTAGTAGTAGAAGAAGAATTCGTTTATCCTGACCTAATGCGAGTTGAAACACTGAATTGAGGTACAAGTGTGATAACAAAACAGAACTATCTGAGGGCAGATACTTCTAATTGTAGTCGAGGTTACTGTCTGCGTCCTGCCTACTCCTGTAGCTGCCTATTGAGCAGTCACTTCTACCCGTGATCTAGGATCTAATCCGCGAACGATATGCAGGCTACAATAACTGTGTAAATTCATATTTATTTGATCCACGGAGATTTTCCTAAACTTCCTGCGCGGTGAACTTTGAGCGTCACCAGTAAGGCCTGTTGTGGCCTCGTTTCCGTTTGTTACATTAAGCTGCCTTCATGGCGCCGCCGTAATAGATTTGCGAATAATACGGGCAGCAACTGTCCCCATTTAGCTGCATTTCTGCTAGAGACCGTGAGAACGCTGGTAATGCCGACTTTAAAAATCTGAACAACGACTGTGTTACAGATGCCGGTTTGTTGCGGGCTCGATAAGCTGGGTATTTCGTGGTCTTGTTACCAATCTTGAATAGTTACGGCTTATCATAAAAATGGCGATGAAGATCTTCGATTGTTTGTGCCGGTTTAGGAGGATGTGTGTGGTAGCTTTTAGGTGTCGATGGCAGTGGAGATGATTCGGGACGTTGGAGGACTGATGCGTAGGTAGGAATTTAATTCTCTGCTATAGAGGTGTGTGGTGTCTGTTGGGGGGTTTGAGGAGAGCAGATTGATTGAGGAGGCAGTGGCTCCGTTTCAATCATGGTGGGGACGGATGGGTGGGCGAGCCAAAGTCCATGATGCGAGGTCCCTCTAGGGAAGTAGATTTAGGGGCTGTTGGAGGGCCTAACACTGATACAGGAGTTCGACATGGCCGTCTTAAGTGGTGACCTGTGCGAAGGAAGGTGGCGGTTGGTAGTTAGTGGTCCGGTCGACGGGGTTGTTGATTGAGAAACTGCGTCGGGGTTTCTCGAAATGTGATTTCATATCACGATAGACGACCTGCCACACGCAACTCTCGACATGAAGTCGCGGTGGCTCCTCGACGGAGCTCTCTGGAATATAGATAAGGGCGGCGTCGTTCCACATGTAAAGCAGCACGCGGTGCGGTTGCTGAGCCCGAGGGGCTTAAAATACAGGACATTCTGGGCCATATCGAGGCGCGTGACACCGTTGAGTATTTGTCCTTGAAACGAGATCGTGGAGTAGGTAGTGGGGATATGGCGACAAGGCTGGTTGGTGTGATGTGGGGTGGTTCGTCTGGGTGAAGTAGTGGGGTGGGCGGTTCGAAAGATGTGAGGCTCTTTTTTATCTCAATGGCAGTGCAAGAGAGATAAGTTGAAGCACAAGTAAGTAAACTCTCTTATGCTATATGCCGTGTTATGGTAGCTCTTAAGAGATCCCTTGGTGGTCGCAGAAATATTCTCTTCAATACGATAATCAGGCCCGCATCGAAATGTTCTAACTTTCAATAGACCTAAGTGTGACGGATGAACCTGGGAATAGCCTCATCTTGTGGACGGATGCCTGAGGCATAATATTGGGTCGTTTGCACTACGCGCTTGCTGGGGACTTAACCCCTCTTTTTCTGGCGGACTTTCTTTCTTTCTCCTCCCTTCTTCATCTTCGAGATTCTCGTCCTGTAGGCACGGAATGAATCTGTTTCTTTCGAACGGCCCGTAACACTAAGTAAATGATGTCCTGCCTAACAAGGGAGAAGCTGTTTGCATTGTCAGTTACCCTAATTGTGCTCCTCTGTCTGAGAACCGGCAAGAAACCGCGTGGCGCGCAGGCACTGGTGGACAACTCGCTGGACCGGCTCAATTCTACGCGCTCAAATGCAAGGCTGCAGAGAAATATGAGAAGAAATTATGAAAAGGGTGCGAGCTTCTTGGTTAGTCGACATCAGTTTTATATCTCTCGAACCCTCTTTCTAAACACGCAATACCTATTTACTCTACCTCCCGTCTTCCACTGCAGTTATTAAGCGCTGCCACTCCCCAGATTTAAAAACGTTATTATTACCGCATTCTAATCTCCTTGAATGCTCGCGAAGACACAATTTGACGATATCCTAGAAAGTTCACATCGTGATACGTATTAGTTGAGCAGACATATTGCTGGTTTCTGAGTGGTTATATCAAGTCAATTATCCGTAACTCTTAGCCTCAATATGAGCCTCCTCCTTCTTCCCTTGGTATTTCTTAGGTTTTTCTACTGAAGTTTTAGCGTACTTTCCACGCCAGGCATTACTCAATGTCTAGTAGCAACCTAGTTTTGCCCATTCTATAGTTAGCATTAAACTGGGCTTCTGTTAGTGACCACAGCTATTCTAGGATTAGCTTGAGTAATGTAGAACTTGTCCTATCCAGCATTAATACGCCGCCCACTACGCTACACCTCTGGCCAGATTCAGTATTCTTAAGGTGTTTCTAGAGCGCGTAACCGACTACATCGGTGGCGGCGAATCCTTCTGAGATTAGCAATGCTTAAACATTTGCCCACACATGATCACTGCAAGGAATCACAATCTGATGGCATGGTAACCGGATATATGAATTTGGATATACAACCACAACCTGTTAAACACAGATAATTCCATAGCATAAAAGGATTCCCAATACTCTTAAATCAAGTTGGCAAGGCATAACGTGATATCACCATCTGTAATAACAACAGTTCTGGAAACATCGCCGGAATCCATCGCGGTCTCCAACCCTCTTTATATGGCAAACGCTCCTCCTGAAACATCGCTTTCACATATTTGATTGGTATTTTGTAGAAGACACCCTTACCAAAAACAGATTGGAAAAGAGCAACTTCACCACAAGCCACCTTGTGTTTTGATGAGTCGAAATTTAGTTCGGAATTCTTTGCCTTTTGCTCTGCATGTCGGCGCTTCCGGAACCGACCGAGGTCGGAGATGGCGAAGGATCCTTTGTTGCCTGGATATTGAACCAATCTGTCAACCAAGTCTGGATCTGGTTTGATGCAGTCACCCAGAGCACGGTCTTCTCGGGAGAGAGACACGTCGTGCTCCACAGCATGAGGGCGACCAGTCTGATCTAGATCTAGCACAGGTATTCCAGACTCATTTACCTGTCCCGGGTTCCGGAGGCCTATATGAGAAGTCTCATCATGAACTGTAAATGCTCTCTTCACTAGGGTATGTCGGATATCGACGCCAACGCCGATGTGTTGGAGAGCATCTTTAAGCTGGTCTGCAGTGATATCTCGACCGTCGCGGGGAATTAATCCGTGATTCGCAAGAGAATTGAGGGCAGGGCAGGGAGATCGTAAATCTCCTGAGGCTGCAGGGCGATATTCGCCTTTTTCCAGTGCTTCTGGTGGACTAGGCATTTTATCGTATGAGATTTTTGTGCAGACCAGGATTCTCTTGGTTCCGAAGGTATTTATCCTGTATATTATAAAACAACTATTGAAGGAAGGAGGAGCAGATGTCAGGAAAATTTGAGGTATCGGTGTATCGCGGCCCATTGGAAACATTACGTAGCCATGAATTCATCAGCAGATGCTTGTGTACTAAAATGAAGGTCTAGACCCATGCTTCATTACCCTGACCATACGCAATTGCCATAGACTGCACGTGCAATAGTAAAATGGTCATGTCATCTCTATCCTACCGCCTGCTGGGCTTCGTCATTATAACTGATTCACTAATCTTTTGGTCATCTGCCACACGGGAGTTTAAATTAACTTTGAAACCTTGCAATACCCCGCGAGGTCATTTACGAACCTGGAAAGTTTCAAGTGCCTGCACCATCTACCTTCAGATATGGCAACAAAACATACTAGACTGTCAGATAAAGTATCATAACTTTTAATCAGGGTGTTCGTGTAAGGTAGTTCCCAAGAGAGCCGTCCACCTGACCCACTACTGAATATTCAAATATATATAAAACCGCCAAAACACTATTAATTCAAAAAAACTATCGAGTAGGGCACCGGGTAATTGAAAGGCCAATATTATTGCAGCTGCTACATCTCCGGGGTGCACGTTTGGTTGGTGAGGGTGGCAAAATAGGCGATTCAACCGGTGCGGGTGCAGGCTGTTCAACAGGTTCAACAGGCTGTACTGGCTGTACTGGTGGCAGTAGGCACTCTCCGACTGTAACAACCTGTTTGCATCGAACTAGGCGATTTTTTCGTGCTCGCTTTTGCCGTTTCTTCTCATTATACTCCCATAAAAATTCGGCTATCAACCGCCCCCTATACTTAAGAATAATAACCTTTTCCTTTAACACCAGGATTTTTATCTAATTTGGACCCAATTTTTACAATTTTATCATAAAACTAAGGATAGATAAGTAGAGAAAAATAGGACAATAAGGAATAATACGAGTGTAAATTTTATGAGGAGATCCAGCAGTATTTCTAAAAAATTTCTTGCCCAGTTTTTTCGGCCGAAAAATAAAGAGTATATGCTACGTGGAACGTAGAAATCAGCCAGAGAGGGGGAAGATGGTCCATTCTGAAGCGTCAGGGCCCGGGCCTTACGGCCGAGTCTGACGTAAACTATGCTGACTAAGTACGAAGCCCTCACAGTATACTTCTGCGTAAAATATATATTTCCATACTCAACCACCACAGGTGAAAGTTACGTTGACCACCAGCCTTAATATTAGATTGATCTCAAATTTGGCCATATGCGACCGTATAATGTTAAGATGAATATACATTTCCTTAGATGTTTCCTAAAAATACATATTATTATGAATGAGTGACTTAAAATAAGGTAGTTCATACAGAACCAAACCAAAACACATGTAATTAATGCATGAAAATCAGGCAAGTTTTAGGCAGAATCAGGCCAAATTAGGCAGAAAATGGGTCCCATGGGATGGGAGTGGGAGGAGGAAAAATTTCGTGGGATGGGAGGTGGGAGCAAAGTTGCTCCCATGGGAGTCCCATTTAAATGAGAAAGAGAAAACTGCGAGGGGACGCATTTAAAGTGAAATACTCACTTTACTGATTCGAAAGTTCCAGTATTCTAATACACTTTTAATAACTGTCAGGATGAGGAATCGATGTACTGGCTAGTACTGAAGATGTCCAAACAGAATAAGATGATTGATTGAAGGTTGTTGAGATCGGTTGAGCGATCTCAGGGGTCTTTATATTTGAACTATGGCGTGTTATGACACCATACTAGGTGGAAATTGGGTGAACGATGAATAAGCCCATCCCGAAGGGTCCTAGTGGTATTTGACCACCCCCTCAGTTTGTCAATAACATTTGCAATACGCAACAAACTAGCAGAAAATACCACAAATCGATAGCGCTTTGAACCATTATAAGTGTCCCAGGTGTCAGAAAAAACCCAGCCTCCGACTTTACTCTCTCGATAGGAGCTCAGCACAACTTTACCTGTTAAATAGATGGCCAGCAATTAAATTCCAGTTCATAATCTCTTCCGAAATTGGGCCATTACACAGCAATATCCATAGTCATTGTCGGTGCCGGGGCGGAGATATTCGTGATAGACACTTTCGAATCCTGACCCGCATACGAGCGGCTGCTAGGATTGGATATAAACGTGAAGCTCTTATTTCCCGTACTTCCCGGGAACGGATCGCCAGGGTCACCGCGGCCTGCACGTGTGGCGAGCTGATTCAGTGCATCAGCCTGCATGAGACCCACCTTGTAATGGCGTTCGTCATGATTATCATCCCGCGAGTCGTCAATGTGCCAGACTGCACATTGAGGTTAGTTGAGCGGAACCGTGTCAAATTAAGGAAAGAAAATCATACCGAGAAGACCGAATCCAGGAAGTGACTGGTCAAACCCGATGGGCTCGCGATTCTCTAGTAGGAAGTACTCCTGGCTTGCATTATCGCCATTCTTCCACAGTCGGTGGACTTGTAGCCTGTCCTCCACGGCGTCCAAAGTGATAGATTGGAGGTGGGTATCCACGACTTTGTCCACCCAGCCCTGGGTCTCTTTGCACCAGGCGGAGGGGTGGCAAGGCTTAACGCCCGGTGGTGAACCACCCCATGAGCCTCCGGCCATCAGACACCAATTTCCAGCACCTTCGGAGCTCCAGTCTATGTCGTAAAGATCCGGCCAGCCGAAGACGAGATGGCCCAGCTCATGAGCAGCCACGCCGGCTTTAGCATCCTCCGGGATGGTAAGAAAGGCAAATATATTAACTCCGTTGACATCAGTGACAGCTGGTAGTGTCCACTTAAGAGACCAAATATCGTCCTTTCTTCCGGTCTCCTCAGCGCCCTGTCCGGCATGAACCACCACAAAGGCATCGACGTAACCATTTTGGTCATTATCATAGGGAGCGAAATTGACTTGACCTTTGACCGCATCCAGTGCGTCCGCAGCCATAGTCTGAGCATTTGGAGTAGCATTGGTCATCCCGCTATCGCCATGTGCGTAGGCTGAAAGCTTACGGGGCATGCGCAGAGGGCCAACAACCTCGCCGCTGAGGCTGATCTTACCACCACTAACCTCATTGTAATATTCGGTGACACTGCCAGTGTTGATTCTTCCAGTGGAGAAAAAGAGATCTTCGAAGTATTGTGCGGCATTTGCTCCCATTTTTTTATCTGGGAAGTCAACCAGGACAACAGCAGCTCTATTGACAAACGTTGCTGTCAGTCAAAATAACAGCTCGCGCTGATATATTGGTCGATTTACTTACCGAATAGTACCACGGAGAGGAGTTCGCTCTAATGCAGCTCTGCTCAAACGGCTCGCAGAGACAGCAGTCTCAAAATGAGATTCAGGGAAGATGCATCCATCATTCAGACCTGTGCGTGTTCCAGTCCTGGCGCTGAATGAAGGACGTCCGGGAATCTGTGTGGTGATAGAGGGAGCAGTAACTGAATTCGGTTCATATCGGAGTCGAGCAAGGAGATCTGGGTGGGGAGGGACAGGGCACGGTCTCGAGTCATCACATTCATGTCCTGACGTCATTGTGCCGCTGTTATTTCGCTCTCTTAAGGCTCTGATTGGCAGTAGGTATGATATTAAATCCGTCTCAACAGATCCCGTGGAGCTGGATATGAAGATGAATGCCTTTCCAGCGTGGGGGAAACGCCAACCTTTATAAAAGGCCTGGCAGGAATATTATTTGCAAATATGATGTAGGTTGGAACCTCCAGCCGGGCGCCGCTTGCACGGTGGCTTCTCGCCTCACTAAATACTCCCCGGCCCCGCTTTGGTGGGATAATGAGACCTTTGCCACTATTAATCATTTTTTAACAGATATCAAGCAGTCATTGGTGTTCTGTCCATTTTCATCTTAAGAAATCTGGGACGAGGGTTCATGTGATCATGTTCGCTCTTCTTAATCTGGCCTAGAACCTGTCGCAGGTGTAGGCAACGGAGAAGCATATTCTAGATTCTCGATCGCCCATGTGACGCAAGCCACTCGTAAGTGTGGTCTTTGTCGGCGTAATCTTCCGGTTCCTAACTAGTTACGGATCTTGATAGTTTATATCTCCAGCGCAGGGATCCGAGATTTGAAGATTGAATTTACCGTCCCAAGGGATTATAGGACATGCAACGAGGTCATCGTAAGTGTGACCTTCATTAGCGTAATCTTCCGGTTCCCGACTATATGCGGCTCTTACAAAGAGCCGCATATTGGTAAACTTAACATAGGTATCTGCTGCCAATTCCACGTCTGCTTTCATCTTCTAGACACTTTAGACTCGGCTAGATTGTTCACTTGACTGTAATGCGCGCTAGCGGAGTTTCCCTGGTTTAATTTCGGAATTTATCACCTGCAAACCAAACTCCACCAGAGCCATAAGTTCAAGTTCGTGGCTGGGTACAACTGGCTGTAAGCGGGGACAGTATTCTGCCAAGCTAATAAGTGAGACCTCATGATATTACTGATGGGCCTTTGGCACCTCTTCGAGGGATTGGGTGGTAAGGACGGCTGGCTTTGATTTGCCACCGCAGACTGGCCTGTCTCTCGATTCCCATATGAAGATAACATTTCCCGCTAATTGGCGTGAGGCCATTATCCTGAATTTGCGGATATAGTATATGACCCAATATCCAATGGGGAGGATATGCCGCAGTCTAAAAGAGGGTACATCCCAGATAAGAAGATAAGTATTACTTAACTAGCCGTGCCTGATTGGTAATCAGCTGACTATAGGCACGTTTAAGAACAGCAAAATATCTAATATCTAGAGGTTGAAGAACATAGGATGAATGTGCTGGTATGCAGAGTGGGATAATTGAGCTTTCAGCACAAATTCGGTCGAATTGGGGAGTGAGGTGGCCTCCATGGCCATCTCTTTAAGAATCAGAGGGTGATATCTTCCTATTATCCGAACTGAAGTGAATAGGATGAATAGGTTTTGAATCCATCTGATACTGATTTCGTCTGATGTCCAACTATTTGGAGAGACTTTAATTCGCCAGTCTTTTAGAAGCCCATCAAGCCAATTTGTGTTGTGGTTTTTGGCTTTAAAGATGATGCAGGGGTGAAGAGCAAAACCAGCCGCACGGATTGACTCATAACAGTCACCTATTCACGGTTTCTAGGCTGTAGAATTGCCCGAGTACCATGATACTGGGCTCGAGTAACCACCTTTTGTGCTGATATAAGGCCCATCGCAAAACCAGTCTCATCAAAGTTGAATATATCCTCTGATTGGATGTCCTTCTCACTGATCATATTTTGAACGGATTTAAACCACTCACTCAAGACCTTTGGGTCCTCATTTTGAGCACGTTGATAGTTATAGCGCCTTGAAAATTGTCTTTGGATCTCTTCTCGGCGTTTGACAAAATTTAATACCCAGTTTTTTCTAACAATTAGTGGGGAAGTTGACGTAGTGGTGTTTCCACGGTCGGCTAATAGAATATTGGCCATATCTCTCACAGTTGAGGGCCTAGACGCTAAAACTCGAGAATCCATAGAGAGTATCCACTGAACAAGTGAATCTTCTTCGAACTTAGTCAATTTATGACTAGTAGCGCGTGAATCAGGCCGAAATTTGTGATTGTTTATAGACCGAAAATAGAACAAAATAATGCAAACAAAATATGCAAGTGAAAAGGGGCACGAACAGGGGTAGTTCGATGCATCGAACGCCATGCGTCTAATGTGACTTCAATATATTGGACGCCACTCATAGTGAAGGCTCAGTATTCAGAACTTCGGATGAACCATCGGCCGTCACTCCTAAGGGTAATCACGTGTTATTTCCCGACAGAAGGTGTACTTTAGAACTAGTGTCAGCATTGGCTGGTATGCGATGACAAAGCAAGCTGACTGATGCTAAATCATATAACCAGGAATGTGTGGAAGAAGAAGAGTGAGATCAGTTTAAAGAGATAGAACAGTCCGATTAACGAATAATGTAACTAAGTAGATGTTGGAAGTCAAAACAGTTCAACACCTGACTTCCAAGGCTGCGCTCAATATCACCTGATCAATTGGCCGTGTCTCTCATTTCGGCCGAAATAATGCTGTCAGATGAGTGCATGTTCGTCCCAGGGGCATCTCGCAGGTGAATGAGATATATCAGAATTACCCCGCTTTACACCGCTTGTTTGCTTACTGCTTGTTACTTCTGTTTGCTGTAGTTAACATATTTACATCTTTATTTTTGTATTTAAAACTGTTCCTGATCATAGCTAGAAGATCAGGCGAATTCTAGGTGAATCTTACCCGCAGACTCGACCCCTCGAGGCAAAGCCCGTCCTCGAGCACAGTCTGTGATCCGTCTCAATCCACAGCATCCTCGGTCTAGCACATGACTCAGCACTGTCATAGACCCGGGATGCCGACACAATGGCAACAATATGGATTCGAACGACAATACAATGATGGTTCACAACTGTCGGACTTTGGGATATCGGTATCGACTAGTACTCGCGAGGGGCCACTTGAACCATCTCAGCGATTGATTGATTGACTGAAGAACTATCTGTCGGCCCCCGTTCAGGATGCCATCTATTCAGGGGTTTTAAGTGTGTTACAGCAACCCCTTCTCCGAGAATACCCCGATTACCATACAAAACAGGTAGGAGATTGGGTATCTGCTGAATCATCCTGCTCCTGATTGTAATATCAGTCTCTCCGATCGACAACAACTTCTGAACACGTGCTCTGATCCGGCTGAAATTGATGTAGATGAATATTTAAATCTTGACAATTCACCCCCTGAAATTTCGGCCTCGAAAACACAATATGGACGCCGGCGTGACACTAACCCTAATGGGCTGGGGTTTTCGGGGTACGAGATGATGCATCACGGTCGGCGGCTTATGTAAAACCCTACCGCACCCCGTCAAAAAAAAATTGGGAATTTTTGAACCCACAAAACCAAACTAAAAACTGCTTCGATCGGTCTGAAATTTGTTTTGATCGTGTTGGTATCACCAGCTAGGTACTGTGTACACAGTTAAGTGGACAGTGTGTATGCTTCCAAAACAAAAGTCAATTGATTGATGTTGATGCTCAGTCTAGTTGGATAACACACCTAGATCCCACACGCCGGCCTTCGGCGGTCACAACACCGGGGCCACAGCCCAGCGCAAGAATGCGTACACCAAGCAAGGGATGTTATCCATCGGTCGCTAGCAGTGGGTCACAGCCAGTTTGTTCTGACAGGAGAATATATCCCGACATAAACAATCAACTCCCCTCAACAACATGAACACTGAAGCATCACTTATAAATCAACAGGGCCCATGGGCTGCCCAACCCGCCCAAGTACTGCATATTTTCCCAATTAGGATGCATAAAAAGATGATTAATCTCAATAAATAACGGTAAAAGACGGCTGTTCTGGTCAGAACAAGTATGACTTCCATCTTCACGATGATAAATAAAGGAAATATTTAATTATTCTGCCGTATTCAAAGAAATTAAAACCTCTAGATCTAGGGAAATGAATCTCTACTCCATTTCGCTTTGAGAAATGAGAGTAATACTGAGGTATGGTGAAGATTCGAGCTCCACACTCAGGGATGTATTGTAATCGGGTAAAGTGAAAATATATATTGGAAGTTACGATGGTTCTACGCACAGCTCAACACCCAACTTTCTGTTGAGGTCTCAGGATAAGGCACCGAATTGATGCCTCATTCCCAACCTCTGTCGGCATGCCTGTTCAGGGAAACCCGAGGCACTGAGCTTGATATGCGCTTCAAACGCTCTTGCCAGACCGATCATAGGGGTTTACTACTGTCAGGGGCTTGGCGCCCGTTCAGGGATAAATACTCCCAGAATCGCATGTAGACAGTTTGATACAGACAAGTTCAAGTTCTGTCAATTCCATCAAGTTCGATTTGTCTAGCAGGCCCTTATTCAATATTAAGTGCTTCGTCGTATCCAAATCTCAACACTTTCAAGGCTACGATCAAAATCACCTGATCAACCGAGCAGTGCAACGGGTCAGGTCACGATCTATGATTACATAAATATAATTTTTGACCACTATTAAAACCACAATAATAACATAAGTTTAGCTATTGAACACGTGTAGGGCATTTAGGATATGTATGACCTTTTATCCCACAGCTAGAACATGTCACCTGCCGCCGAACCAAGGGGGTAGAAGGTAAAGTAGGCTCAGTAACCAGTTTTGCAGGCACCTCTGGTAAAGATATATCTTTGCTTCTATCTTCATCCTCAACCACCACATCATCTTCACCACCCTCTAGACCACCAAAGATGCCTTTCTGGGTCGTAAACTTATGTTTGGTCTCTCGTTTTTTTGGCCTGTTTCTTGTTGGTAGCTTCTAATTGGGTACAGCGATGCTGGAGAAAAATGTGGCCGTGGACTACTTTTATAGTCATCCTGTAGGTCTTCTCAATCTCCTTTTTTGTTGGTGAAGAAAGAAAAGAAGAAGAAGACTCTAGACCTTTTTTGATCCGAGATTGCGATTTTGTGAATCTTGAGAGGGTCCAAAGAGTATTTGGATCACTATCACTGCCAGAAGAGAGTGGTCGCTGGGAGAGGTTCTCCAGAGGAGGAAGAGAGTCCAGGTGCACATTTAGCTTTTCCAAGACTTTATTAGCATCAAATGGTGCTAATCCAGTAGCCAAAAAGCTATTCTGTATAGTGGAAGACTTAAAAGAACCCATTCTCGCATCTGCGATTAGTTCTAGGAAATCTTCCTTGTCAACGGTGTTAACTCCGTTCCGCACCAAAGTTGAAACCGCTCCTCCATAAAGTCTCTTTAAAACCGAGAAACAACCCACATCCAAAGGCTGTAAAAGATGAGAAGCATGCGGAGGCATACAGATTGCGATGATTTGGTGTTCTTCACATATTTGGTCAAATTCAGGTGTTAAATGACTCCCATGACCGTCAAGGACCAGTAAGCAATATTTTCCCACTCTTGTCCCAATATTTGGGATAAAATGATGTTTTAGCCACCATAAACCAATTGTATTGGTAGTCCAACCATTTGGGCTCATAGTTAGATGAGCTGCTTTTTGATTTAAAAGGAGGTAGGGTCGTAAATGCTCTGGGAATCGGTTTCCTTTGAAAATGAAGAGTGGAGGGAGAACACTTCCAGAAGCTCTTATACACTCAATCGAAGTCACCCACTCACGATTTCCGGCTTGCAAAAGTGCTCTTTTTCCATGGTATTCCGCTGAAGTGATAATCTTTTGTGTTGCGCCAACACCCATGGCAAAACCAGACTCATCAAAGTTGAAGATATCGTCTGAAGCGATACCCCACTTTTCCATCGTCCTTTGAAGCAAATCAAACCATGGTTTAATAATTCGAGGGTCTTCTGAAAGAGCTCTCTGATAGTCGTATTTGCGTGAAAGTCGAGTAGAGAGATTTGGGTGTCGTTTGACAAAATGAGAAGGCCAATTAATACCAGTGGTACAGGGGCCTTTTTTCCGTGCACTAAGTAGAAGATTGGCCATATCTCGCAACATAGGCAAAGTAAGAGCTGCACCTCTTGAGTCCATATCGAGTAGCCAGTTTTCTATCGATTGCTCTTCGATTTGAGAGAAAATATGGCCAGATGGCCTCTTTTCAGTAGCAGATTGGCGCCCATTGATCCAGGCCTTCAAAGTTGAGACAGGTATCCCAAATGATCGTGCAGCAGCTGCAGCAGAGGGATATTTGCCATCTTTTATAGCTTTTATAGCTAATAAAAGGCGACCCTCCTGCTCTGTCAACTTTTTTTTTTTATCAGAGCGTTGGGGGGGCATTGTTGTTGTGGTTGAAAAAGATGGATTATTATTGAAGTGGATTTTTGATGGGGTCGCTCGCGCGACCGTGGATCACGTTATATTAAGTAGAAGAGGGTGCAGAATAGTATTAGAATAACTAGAACATACATATCTTATAATTAAAAACAAGACATTGTCAGCTATATAAGAGTCACGTGGCGGCTAGAATAGGGTAAATTAGCGAGTTATGCTAGTGCGGTTATCTTGCGGCTAGCCATGGCTAACCACTGCCGAAACCGCAAATTGCGGGTGCGGTTAGCAAAGTGGTAACCGCAAATGCGGTTTTTCCGCACCCTAGTCTGGAACCGGCTCTATAAGATGGTGCTATGGAGCTGTACAAAAGTGCTGTGTGGGGGTGGAGCCATTTCCCGACATTTGCCCTCTAGACAGTGCGCGATAGCGACCCTCTAAAAAGCAATTCAATACTTGACCGGTCCATACTTCTGCCGGTGTTTCTACCAGGATGCTCGGGAATATGATAGGGTGCGAACTTGCTGCAGAGCGACGCACCACGAGGGCGAGAGCACGCACCATCGGCGAATCAGGATGCAGAGAATTGGGATCACTGGCTCGTCCCACTTGACAATAGGGAGTAGCGCAGCCGATCATCTGATAGTGTGATATCCGGCTATAGGGTACACTCGCAAGGCACTCCCGTTGCCTCCCAGTGCGCGAACCCAAATGATGTCTCTGGAGTCGGCACAACCTACAACTGCCCATTTGCGTTCCAAGGGACTGTGACCTTGATTGGCAACCAGTATTACTACTCCACATGATCCTAGCGAATATGCGCACTGCTCGCCCGGCAGCCCTGCAGAATGACCCGGAGGTTCTGTCCGGTGGACGTGTGGCTGGCCCCGAAAAACTCAAAATAAGCGTAAGGTCCAGACCATGCCGGTTGGTTCATCAACAGCAAAACAGACAGTCAGATCTTCAAACTTAGGCATTTGGAAGTATGACCCACTGATCCCCGAGAACAACCGCAAAATGACTGTGTTGGTGACTGATCAAATGACACCCCATTTTCGAAATGTCAAGTCATTGAGGCATCATGGTGACGAAAGCAGCAGCGTGTTTTTCTCCTTGGTGAAAAGTATTCTATTGGGCGGATTTTACTCCCGCAAAATATAAATTCGCCGTGACATCCTTCAAAGTCTGTGGATGGAGATTGATATTCATTACAACCATACTTCTAGTGAACCAAGCTGGATCTTAGCAAGACAAACTGGTGTGGAACATCCACTGATCCACCCAAGCGATCCATCATGTCCCACGCTCAAAGTACTATCAACCCTGCCCGGGCCAATTTCTTCCGGGACCTGAAAGGGGATCTTGGTCATGAGGTATTGGAAACCCTGGACCCCGAGAAGGCCAAGTCCCAGAGCCTTCCGACAGCAGCAGGCTCCTCTACGACTAAACTCGAGAGATATCCATGCATAACCCAGAAGCCCACGCCTGCGGCGATTGCAGGTAGTATTAGTGCTACAGCCCTTCAAGTTGGGCTTGGAAAGGAGATACCCCGCTGGAAGACCGGACCGACAAAAACTGTCAACTTCGCCGTTCTTGCGAATGGATATCCAAAGCCGGACCTCGCTTTTCTGGCAGCGAACAAGTTGCATGAAGCCGCCAATGAATGGAATGAGCTGAAGCTCGGTGTGCAGTTTGAATGGGTTTCTAAGATCGAAGATGCCGCATTCGTCCTCACCTACGCAAAGGAAGTCAGCCCTGGGACCCTTGCTGAGGCATTTTTTCCGAATAATGTGGATTTGAACGTGCTGAACGTCTATCCTGCTGCATTCCAGGAAGGAACAGTGCAATACTTGAAGAATATTTTCTTACACGAGCTAGGTCACATCCTGGGACTTCGTCACGAATTTGCCCCGGAGAGGGAAACTGATGCCAACCTAAACTCGGTCCAAATTGGTCCACGTAACCCAACATCAGTGATGGCATACGAATTCCCTCCCCTGATGCAGCCCTCGGATATCGACAGCACTAAAACTTTCTACCAATTCTCTGGAACACATCTTGGAGTTATGGAAAAGACTGGTAGGTTGCCCATTGTGGACTACGACGCAAATAACTAGTTTCGCATACTGGGTGATCTATCCTGAGTACTCAATAATCACGAGGCAAAGTGAATGTTTTATGTTCTTTTTACCGTCAGATAAATTGAAACCCATGTTGTTTATCATGCCGCCGTAACATTTGAACTCCGATTTTGTCCACGCGCAGGCTTGCCATAAACATATTACATCCGCCATATAGCTGGTCTGTCTTGGTTGCTGCCGCTTTGGAGTGTCCGCGAGATTGAGTTCATCACCTCCGTCTCCTTAGGCTTCTCGAGGCATTCTCAGTTAATCCATCTTCGTCAGAACCATTTGTCGCCAGAAACTTGTCGCAGATGTAGGGAGCGGAGAGGCATGTTCTAGATTCTCGATCGCGCATTATCCGAAACTCAACTCATCTGATCATACCATCTAGAATTTGGCTCAATCTACCTGGTGGAATTGGCATGCTAAGCCTAGTTGACAAATTTTAGAGATTGTTTGCATCGCTTTAATATCATATATACCATCACTTTTGCGGACTTTAAAGAGCTAGAACAGTCCGTTCTATAAGTTATCTTATGCTGCTTCAAACAAAAGTCACGGTTCCCCTCATCAGAGAAGTGCGCAGCTACTGCACGTAAGCTGAAACAATTGATAGTGTACATTTACAGCGTGCGGCCGTCATTTTCTAGACACTTTAGACCCGGCTAGATTATTCACGCGACTGTAATGCGGTCGTCATCCTGCTCATTCCATGTCTGCTTTCATTTTCTAGACACTTTAGACCCGGCTAGATTATTCACGCGACTGTAATGCGGTCATCATCCTGTTCATTCCATGTCTGCTTTCATTTTCTAGACACTTTAGACCCGGCTAGATTATTCACGCCACTGTAATGCAGTCGTCATCCCTGAGTCAATTACAGGTCGCATCTGTTCCTGATGGTTTTCATGTTGCCATGTCGCGAGCCCTGAAGTGTATAATAGTGCTCTAAGTCCACAGCACCTCTTGAATCTTTTAACTGCAGTAAACCCCGATCAACAAGATTTGATTGTCAACAGTATTGTACAATATTGTTGAATTTTTTTTTTTTTCATCTCCATATCAACACGCTCGGTTGTGAAGGTCATTCAAGTCATGGACGCTCCCATCGAAATTAAGTCTCTTGTGCAGCAACCTCCCTTCAAGACTGAAGGGACAGAAGTGCGGATACAAGTCCCGGCACTCGATATTCCGTTGGATGATGACAACCGACCGAATTTAAAGCACGAGAACGGTCGTCTGCGTGTTTCAGTGGACGTCGGGGCTGACGGTCTTAACGTCATCTCCCCATTCCCGACACCAACTCCTGTCCCTTTAGATGTTAAGCTGGTGGCACAAAGTCACCCGGACGACAAGGAACTCGACGGTCTACTGCCCCCTGGGTCGCAATGCTCATTTACGCCCAATGAGGCACCCTTGACGCACGTTAACCTTGACGGTTCTAAGAAGAGGAAAGACGTTGACCCTGGTGCTATCATCTTTGATAGCGACGATCGTATTTTGTTCCAGGACACCAGGTATCCATGGGGTATCGTTGGCAAGGTTCGCACCGCGGGCGGCTGGGGGTCCGGGGTGATGATTGGGCCTCGCCACGTCCTGACTGCAAGCAGCATTATCAATTGGAATTCTGATGGCCGAGGTACCATCGGATGGGCCACATTCACTCCGGGCTATTACGATGGTCAAGGGCCGTGGGGTACCTTTGCCGTCACCGATATCGTGTATTACGAGAAGGTGTCAGGCGACGTGACCGATCAGGAGACCGCGTTCGACTATGTTGTCTTGGTCTTTGGACCGCCCATCGGTAACAGCATCGGATACGCTGGGATTAAAATTTATGAAGGTGCCTGGAACAAACTTCCATCTTGGCAATGCGTTGGTTACGCTCAGGATCGTGCCAGAGGAGAGCGTCCCCTATACCAGGGCGGTGCCGTAATCTCCAGCTTGCAATCCTTTACTCTCAACGGCAACACCGGTTATGTACTTGGCCATTTCAATGATTTTACCCCCGGAATGGGTGGCGCGCCAGCCTGGGGCTTTTTCAGGGACTCGGCCGGGCCGAAAGTCGTCGGTGTGGGCAGCACCATCGGCAGCACGGCTGTCGAACGGCCCTCAGGCTCTACAAATGGCGATAATGAATACGCTGGGGGGCCTGCACTGAACAGGCTTGTATCGCAAGCACGAACAAAGTACCCGTAAGCAGCGTAAGTATCTCTTCTGAGAGAGCACGCTTTCATTTCAGATGTGATGTGATATATTTTTCTGGAACTAAAAGTCGGTCATTATGATGCTTGCTGATAGGTAATTAATACCTAAAATCCATACTGTCGTTAGATTTGAAATATTGTCATGGGTCCACTTGTATCTGATGGAGATTTCTCAAGTCTGGGGGTTGAGTATTATCCGGAGTCTACCTAGAGAGGATTACTCGCGTGGTGAAGGTTGATTTTGATAACTGACAAACTGAGGGGGTGGTCAAATACCACTAGGACCCTTCGGGATGGACTTATTCATCGTTCACCCAATTTCCACCTAGTATGGTGTCATAACACGCCATAGTTCAAATATAAAGACCCCTGAGATCGCTCATCCGATCTCAACAACCTTCAATCATCTTATTCTGTTTGGACATCTTCAGTACTAGCCAGTACATCGATTCCTCATCCTGACAATAACTCTAAATAAGTGGAAGAAAGTGCAGAATAGTATTGGAATATGTCGATCGAGTTACAATCAGGAGCAGGATGATTCAGCAGATACCCAATCTCCTACCTGTTTTGTATGGTAATCGGGTATTCTCGGAAAAGCAGCGCTGTAACACACGAAAACCTTGAATAGATGGCATCCGGAACGGGAGCCGACAGATAGTTCTTCAGTCAATCGTTCGATCGCTGGGATGGTTCATTTGGCCCCTCGCGAGTACTAGTCGATACCGATATCCGAAAGTCCGACAGAATAACTAGAACATGCGTATCTTACAATTAAAAACAAGACATTGTCAGCTGTATAAGAGGAGTCACGTGGCGGCTAGAATAGGATAAATTAGCGAGAGTTATGCTAGTGCGGTTATCTTGCGGCTAGTCATGGCTAACCACAGCCAAATTTGCGGTTTTGGCTGCGGTTAGCAAAGTGGTAACCGCAAATGCGGTTTTGCTACGGCAGCCGATAGTGAGGTAGGGGCCAAAAGTCGAATTTGGCAGGCAGAAAACGGGCGGTAGGATTAATATAGTAATCTCGACACCTAAGGTACGTAATTTTCTGCCAGAATCTATGGATAGGGAATTTTGACATTGCCAATTAGGTTTCGTAGAGAAGGTGACGTTGGTTTTATGGATCATATGACCATATAAAAAAAGCTCTCCAAGTGCCCATAATCTGTTTACGTGCCAGAATTTGACCAATTTCGATGATTTTAGGTGCTCAAAATGGCCTAGATATGCATTTGAAAGCTACTTTAACTAACCAGACTCTGTTGTTCCACCACGAGGGGCCATACTGCGCGTACGCCGCGGTGAGGTGGCCCCTGATAGTGCCGAGAGTGCTGCCACTGGAGTACACCTAGCTCTATCTTTCCTGACACCACCACGTCGCCGCGGGCGCCCACGTTGCCGGGCACCTGAAGCCTCTCTTCGCTGCGTTATGTCCTCCTGCGGTATCTCCTTCGATGTCTCCTGCTGGTGTGCTTTCTCTAGCTGAACAATTTTCTCACTAGCAATTCTAAGTCTCTCAGCGAGGATCTCCTCCTGTGACGCGGTACGCGACTGGAAGCTTAGCCCTGGGGTCTCTGGATTGCTCCAGTTACTGACCAAGCTTGCCTCACGGAGAGGCTCTGACTCGGACTCAGGCTTGATGACCACGTCCTTATCTATCTCTTCTTCACGTATGATGATAAGGTAGATCTGGCGTGCTTGGCTACCGAAAGTAAACTGCGAAGCGAGCTCTGCCGCGCACCGTGCATGGTTTTCAGTAGCGGATAACCACTGTGGTTCCTTCTTTGGTTTTTGGCCCTTTAGCCCAGTCGCGAGCTGGTATCGGTCGATGTGTGGTATCGGATTATAGGCTCCAAGCTCCGGACTAAGCGCAGGAAGAAGGTCTCTTGTAATAAAGTCTTGGAAGTTAAAGACACGGTGGGGAGAGATCCACTGGGAGACGTCAGCTACAGTGTAGCGTCTATTAGCAAGCGCGCCTTGAAAGAATCAAGTAATAGAGTCATACTTACTGAGTTCGTCCATCGTCCAAGTTTTTCGATCTGATGATGGCTTTCGCCAGAGACAGAAGTGGATAATTGTCGGAATTCTCTGCTGCTGTGGTGCTAGCATCTGCGCTGGTCTGCTCTTCTGCATATGGAGCTTGCGATGCCTCCCTGCTACCCTACCCGTTATTCGCTGGCTGACTAGGCTGTATGGCTCAGGAAGGAGGTGTTCGTTTGGTATGAGCTGACCAGGTCGTCTCGGTGGTGCTCCTGAGTAGACGGAAGACGAGGAGGATGGTGAGTCATCGTATGTGTCTGTTAAATCAACGAGATCGGGTGTGTCGCTTGGGTAATAGTGAGAGGCCATGCTTTGTAGATGTAGTAGCCTAGGAGATGCAGAGGGCGCAGAGTAGGTGCAGAAAGCCTAGGACGCCCTCTACACCCTGTCTCCCACTAAAGTTGAAAAAACTAATGATTGATAGTCATTAAGGTCCTACCAAATATAGGTATTGATCTCCATTGATCCCCATTAATCTCCACCACGGTGCGGGCCCGCAGCCCGCACCCTTAATCCTGCGCCCAGTTAGGGGGCATAGTTGGCTTCTCGCATAGTGAGAGGACGGGAAAGAGGCCCCCTTCGGTATGATCGACAGCGAGCTCCCGTAACCGAAGGTAGGTATTGACATATGGGTGGGTGCCATGGTCTCTCGCTGGTGGTTTTTCAGGGTCAAAGCCCATGCCCAGTAGCTGAGTACGGCACCAGTGTATAGTCTCTGTAGGTAGATATACGTCAGTATCCCAACTCCCCACGTCAGTCTTGATAGCATCAAGCTTTGTAGGGTCAATATGATGCCTATAATCCTTAATATCCTCCTCGTCACGCCCTGGGTAATAGTAGTTCAACCATGGCTTGCCTGGAACGCTATAGGGGCGACCCTTCTGCTTCCTGATCCGATGGGAGTTCCATGTGAGCACGAACTCCGCACATGTATCCTTAATTGAAGGCATGTAAACAGCAAGAAGTGCAACTTTGTCGATCTTAGACGCCTCGTAGTAGCCTCGCTCTTGAAGCCAACTAAAAAGCTCACGCCATACGAAGTTCGTAGAGCTTGTAAGCTGTCCCCACCAGGACTCGATGCGCTGGTTTTGGGTGCTGCGACCGTACCAAAAGCAGTCGGTAAACTGTAGTTCTGGGTGGCCATCAACAGCTTCAGCGCCAGCTTTTCTTAATGCATAGTGGGCGTCTGCGATCAGCATGGTCTCTGTACCATAGTCAGAGCGGATCGCGCGCGGTTGGAAACCAGTGGTCGATATTGTATTCAGATACTGGTGGAGGACACTGAATCCGGTCCGCGTGCTGATGCCCACGTAAAACCAGGTAACATAGCGCGAATACCCATCAACCGCAGCATATATCTCGATCCCGAAGAGCTCTAACTTCATATAGCCATCAATATGCCATACAAAATTCGGCCCAGGGCATCGGTATGCACCGCGAGACCGCTGTAGACCGGTCGAGCGACGTAGGAGGGCGTCAGGCCGTAGAGAGCACCATACATCGAAGATTCGGTCTCGGGCGAAGACATGACCATGACGGCGTAGATGGGCCCAGAGGTGACCTTTTCCATATCCTTCAACAAGGCCAATGGCCTGTTGGTCCACTAATATCTCGAGTATCTCGTCCTCCTGCTGCTCCTGATCATCCTGGTCGTCAATGCGAAGACGTATACCAAGTAGGCTACGAATTCGCCTGAGTGTGTCGGTAGAGATAGGTGTTTCATCGAGCGAAAGTACCTGAAGAATCTCTTTCGAAGAGAGATTACCCTCACAGATAAGGGTCTCAACACGCATTTGTAAGGCTCTGTTATTGGTGATACCATTTGGTGCTCGCTGTTGGATGCCCCAGGCCCGCGTGCGACGTTTGAATGTCCTCGGTGACATTTTGAGACCGTAGTATTCGTGTAAAATGTCTAAAATATTGCTTATAGGTATCTTCTGTGCCAGAAGCATGGTAATTTGGTCTTTGTATGGCTCCACGTCGAGCCGTGGGCGACCAAATGGCATATCAGGTCTCTATAGGTGGTCAGCGTAGTCAAAAAAAAAGAGTATTCAGGTCATTTGGGGCATACAAAATGGAGCAAAATTGGTCAAAAATTAGTAAAGAAACCAGAATTCAGTCCCATGGAGATTTATTTTGATGTATTTTGAAATCCAGGTTTGGATCCAAGCCGAATAGACTTAGTATGACTAAAAACCCCCTACCATATGACCCACAAACCAGCGGTATCTCTCTTCCGAAACCTGGTTGGTGGATGCTGGCTTGAGCGGTCAGGCCGGCGGGGTCTAGGGCGGTGAGCCGAATGATTGGTCCTCGACTTTTGACCCCTACCTCACTGTCGGCTGCCGTAGGTTTTGCCGCACCCTAATCACAGCTCTTTTATTGTCGACACCTCGCTTTGTCGTCCCAAACGCATTCAAACAAATATTATACTTTGATTCCCCTTTCTTTTATCAGGATCGCTCCGTAATTTTGGAAGCTTGAAATAACAGAAAGGGATGGTTACAGTCTTATACTGACACTTCCCAGTACATATCAGTTGTTTATCACACTCGGAATTTTCGTCGCAAACTGTATTAGCTTTGGAACCGAGACCAATACCGATACCAGTTCATGGAGAATTCCGATGGAAGTGACCTACATTTGGGCTCTGAAAATTCACTTCGCTGCTCGTGCAATCATGTTTGCCTGTGGAAGCGTGATGTTTATTCCCACCACGCCGAACGGGATCGGCATCGAGGCCCGCGCTGGTCTTCCTCGAATCGACTATGGAGTACAGCTTCAAATAGAGATGGCAAAAATTGGCGGATTGTTTGGAATCACGACAAAGGCGACTCCTGCACTGTCCACAAGCTAGTCAGGCCACGGGATAAGGGCGCATGCGGGCCTGAGTTTGATGTTGACGGTACCTTTTGATTTTCAAAAATTGCAACAGCGATGGTGAATCCGAGATATTATACGGCATCAGAGGAACCAGAATTCGCAAATGTATTCATGACTGCAAGAAAATTGGCTGTAAAGAAAGACCCCATAATACTATTCGACAAGGCACATGCTGATATCGAATGATGGTCTGAGCCCTTGGCGTTTATACTATGTGAACCACAAAGGTCCTATTCATGCCTTGGCTTGGGTTTTTCCTAATTGCATACTAACTTTCCCCAAGATGTAATGTGAATACAAAGGTAGCCACGTTTCCCTCCACCATTTGGGTATTGAGTATTCTCATGGAGTATCCTGCATTAGGGTATACGCACCCGTACTTTTTTTTTACAAGTGTTGCTTTGATGTCACATTCATATTATGGCAAGCTGTGAACCGATTCCATGATCTTCGAAATTACAGCCCGCGCGCAGAGCCCTTAGAGGTAATTTGAACGTAAACCAGCATGTCTTTTAAGGGATAGTAGGCCGGAAGGAGTCCAATCTATGATTGAAATCCTCCTTTTCTCCTGCACGTCCACACTGCCATGTCACAACATTCCCGTATTTTTTCGAGGCTGACAAATGTACCATTTCAAGTGTCGGATAGCACCTTTCTGACAGCCTTAGTCGCCCTAATCCCCTTCTTTCGTTTTATGAGCCGAATCGGGGAGAGGCTTTCCATCTCAACCCTTCATTGGAACTCCATCTAAGTTATATCAGATCCATATTGGGCCTAAGTGAACGCCTTGGCGTTCAGTCTGGTGCTTGCATATCAGCAACGCAGTCATACAATTACCGCGAGTTGGGTGTCAAGTATGCCACATGTGATTTAAACATCTTGGGATTCGCGATCAATCGTCGTGTCCAGTGTGTTTTGCATGCAGTCCCCCTCCGTTCCTTCCATCATACAGCCTTTTGCAAGGTCCAAGTGCAAGCCATCATGGTTGTGTTTCGCTTCGGTTGGCAGTAATGCAGACTTCCAAGTTTACGGGCGTCTACCAGTCGCTGAATATCAATCATATCCAGATGCAAATCGGGTTGGAAATTCATATGCATTCCGCATGAGCTTTGACCTCATCCTGCCCTCCCAGATAATTTTAGTTTACATGTAATAAAAAGTTGAAGCCAAAGATCTCGGTAGCAAAACACGAGAGGAGAAGACGTAGTAATTTGCGCACGCAGGTGGGCTCGAAAATTGTTATCAGAAAACACCAACGAAGAGAGGTCGCACTCAAGAACTATCTTTCCAGTTCACGAGTCCGAGACTGTCAAGAATCAGCATTACGCAATGACAGGAGTACCGCTTCAACAAATGTTGATACTCACAGTGCCTTTTCCCTCACAGTTGACTCCTCTGCCTTTTTCGCTTTCTTTCTCGAATTCTTCGAGTCGATCGGCTTCAACAACTGGAAATTACAGAGAAGCTCTTCAGAGACCGACATAGTCGCTCCGCAATTGTCGAACTCCCCACAGTACTAATCCAGGAATGTTAGCTCTGGTTTCTTACACGCAAGAAGTGTGAAGCCACAAAGAACTCACGTTGGGCGCGGAAAAGATCGTCACCAATGACCGATTCCCAAAGAATTCATACCCGCCCTCCACTACCATATGGGACCGACATACCAAGTCCAAATTATGGCGTTTCAAGAAATTGAGCACCGGTGCCTTTCCAAAACACCAACTCACGCCACGGTCGCGATTGGGTCCCCAGTCTTTGATATTGGCAGGGTCGCTCCACAGAATGTCATTCAAAAGGCCGTATTCAGGTACTTCAATCGGGCGTGCCAGATATCGAATCTCATCCAGGTTTGTCAGATTGGGGGAAAGCCCCCGTGAACACAAAATATCTTTTCCGCCACGATGGCGGCGATCGGAAGGCAGTTGAAAGTATCGGTGAATGCCTTCCACACTTTGACACTTGAGCGTCGCTTGCACTCGTCATGGAAACCGTAGATCCGGGAAATATTGGCGCATTCATGGTTTCCTCGGAGCAGAAAGAAGTTTCCCGGGTACTTAAGCTTGTAACAGAGAAGAAGAAGCATCGTTTCGAGGCTTTGCTTACCCCGGTCGACATAATCTCCCAGAAATAGATAGTTGGAGGAAGGCGGTTGTCCACACATCTTAAAAAGTCGGATGAGGTCCGGGAACTGGCCATGAATATCCCCAACTATTTGGATCGGGGCATTTAATTCCAGAAGAACGGGCTGCGACAGCAGTAGATTCCGCGCCGACGAGCAGATGGCCATGATCTCGCTTTCATTGAGACAGACACTTTTGGTAGGCTTTGAATAACCCACCTCTAGGAGGCGTGAGATCATGTTATCGAGATCGACCAGGGATCTTTGCATATTGAGGCGGTCCCTTGAAGAATCATCCCAGATAATTAAATCAAGATCCAGTTGGTTGCTCTTCCGTAGGATAGACACAGTCACCGTTTCACATGGCTCTTCTTCTGCCTTCACCTGCGCAGCCAGGTCTTTTTCAGGGCTCCGTTGTTCTGAACTTGTCCTATCCACTGGAGTTGTGACACTGGTGTTGGTGATTTGTGGACTGTCCGGTCGACTGGAACGACGAATATGATGGCTTCTGCCCTTCCAGAAATTACTGAAGGAATACCGTCTCGGCGCGTCGACTTTCGCATCCTCTTTGTGCAGCGCTGAGCTGCTCTCTGCATTGCGTTCAAGACCCATTTATTCGGGCCGTTGATGCTTGGCACGTCTTGGTTAAAGCCCCGTTCACTGCGGGCGATCAGAGTCACCCTACCTCAGGTTCGCTTCTGGCTGGTTCCCGGGTTGAGGGGAGTATACTATTCGCAGGTGAAGATGGCTCAAGTAGCCTGATGGTGTCGAGTAAGGGGTGGAAACGTAGTCTGTGATCGTGAATCGCACAGCCTTGGATCCTTTTCTTTCAGGGGGCTCCGCTCCGCCAACTGACGTTATCATGTTGCCTGGCTGCCTGCTTCCCTTCACTTTGACCCGGGGACTCAACTAGTGTAAGTGTAGCATGGCCCGGAGGAAGCGGGGTTGTACGAGAAGCCTCCTTGGCGGGTTCTTGGCGGGCGGCTGGTTGTTCAATGGACGGTTTATTGCCTCTCCCGTTCATGTGATATACCAGCCTAATGTCAGCGCTAGAAACTAGTCACTGACTACGGGCTCGGCGTGCTCTAGCTGGCGATTGATCTGCGATCCACCCGTTTGCCCACTGTCTGATTGGTGAATTTCAACCTGACCGGCGATCTGTCGAGCTCTAGATCGCCACTCCCCGCTGCTACATAATTCACCTAGGTTCAAAGCTACCCTGGGATAGGCGAGCTGAATCTTGGGGGTCTTGGAGCTTCCGAGAAATCAGGGTGGAGCTCGAGGTGACTCCACTCATCGATCACCAGACAATTGAGTGGCAAAGGCATGACTTGAACCACGCGATATGTTGTCTTGTCTGCGCTTGTCACCTCGTTCGGGGCTCGTCTGTTGTGGTTAGTCGCCCGCATGTTCAAGCCACCGATTCCATTATTCCAGTGTCTCGTTCTTGGCTGTATACCACGTAGACCCAGAACGTTCTCGCATGCGAAAATGTCTTATTCTATTGGGTTAACTATCGAATTTATTCAACTTCTAAAATGGAATTGCACTTTATGGTTTCCTCCTGAAGACGCCCTGCATTTCTTGCTTATTGATGGGCTTGATGAGAAAAGTGTCAATGCCCGAGCCAAGAGCCTCTTTCTGCGCCTCGGTACTGTCCAGCCCAGTCAGGGCGACGATGAATGTGCGTGGTGTAGTCTCCTGCTCGGATTCGGGTAGTGTGACTCGCCGCTCGTTCTCAAGGCGGCGTATTTGACGTGACGCTTCAACACCATCCATCACGGGCATTGAAAGATCTTTGTTCCTGGTAGCCCTGTACATGGAACACGGAGTCTTGTGATGTGTGCAAGTAGGAAAATCATGTAGGGAGAGAATTGTTCAATGTGGGTAGACTGTGGGGATAGAAGGACAGGGACATACCGATGATAACCACCTGGAATCCTCCCGGGCGGTTCTGATACAGCTCTACGGCCTCGGCACCGTTTTTCCCGGTCACGTATTCCAATCCCTCCTTCTTGGTGTAGGCACAAAGCAGCTGAAGATTCAAGTCGTTGTCATCCACCAGCAATACAGATGGACTGTTAGTTGTGGGATTGGTCTTGTTGGGCGTAGTTGCAGCCGTTGATTGGGCGCTGCTGTTTGCGTCTGCCTCGGATGGCTCTGGGTGATGGTCTCCAGGCGATGAAGGTCGGGAGGATCGTCGTTCACGTTTATCGCTGCCGATCGTGTCTTTCGTCGGTCTCTTGTTGATTTTCATCCTATCCTGGGGCGGATCAGTAGGGCCAACGTCGACGGGCAAATGAGACGATTCAGGCATTTCGACCCAACGAGTGGGCTCATTGCTGGCTCGCTGACCGCATTCTTGTTCTTGCTGTCGCTGGATGCATATATCCAGAGCGCGAGCTAATTTGCGCGGCCCACAAGGCTGACTGACAAATTCGAAAAATGTTGGATCGCCCCGGTTCTTGGAGGCCACGAACATGCCATGGGCCTCCTCGGGCGACTGACAGATCACCACGACTGGGGCTTGCCAGACCCCATCTTTGTTGAGATGCTGCTGGAGATTGAAGAGATCCCGTCCTCCGACATCCTCAGAATCCAGTTCGGTCTGCACTGCGAGGTAAAAGTCTAGCGGTTTGTGTTTTCCTTCTAATGGGGAGACTTTGGTGACTTCCAAGGTAAACCATTCACGACACATTCGCTCCAGGGATACAATAGGGTGTCTCGTTGCGAGCGTAACAACTCGCCAAATCCTAGGAATCCGATCGTTTTGTTCTCGGTTGAGTGTCGCAGGGAGCTGAATATCGAGCGCGAGGAGGAATTGGTATCGGAGACGGCAGGTGATTTGGTCAACGGTGCATGTATCGAGAGTTGAGTCCCAACACCCTTGGTAGATTGGATCTCGATCGCACCGCCCAAATAACCAACAGCTTGACGAACAATACTCAGCCCAAGTCCACTACCTGACGCAAGTGGATCTTCTTGTGAGAAAGGGCTGAAGAGATCTTTCTGGAGATAGTCCGCTCCAATGCCCTTTCCAGTATCTTTCACGGTCAAAGTAACTTCGAAGTCATTGCTATTCGATGGACTGTCCGTGGAGCTCGTCCCCTCTTGGGCCGATTTAAGCTCGAGATAGATATATCCCGACGAGGTATACTTCAACGCATTGCCAAAAATATTCATGAGAACGCGTCTCCAGGCACCTGCATGAGTGTAGAAGTCCCATTCTGTCTCGGGCTCAATATCGAAAATGACAGTAACCTGACTAGCCCGAGGACCGACCGGGTCGGCCTGGTCGGGCTGCCCGGCCGATCGAGAAGAAGATTCTGTGAGAGCAGGAGGGGGTGCCTTAGGGTGATTGTAGAAGCAATACCCGGCAAACACGCATTCGGTGACCTCCTCGAGCATGGAGTCCAGCTCCACTCGGGTGGATGGTGTCCTCTCGCCGAGCGGCAAACTCTTGGGTATCCCATGTTTCCCCTTTTTGGGTTGAGAAGTATTTCCTTTCCGGTATTGATCGATAAACGTCAGTCCAGCAGATTGTTGATCGTGTCTAGCAATGTGCGTCCACACGATTCAATCGTATGAACCATTCCATGCTGCAGAGCATTCATGGCAGTGTCACTCAGAATGTCTGCTGTTCCCAGAATCCCGTGCAAGGGATTCCGCAGCTCGTGGGTGATGCTGCTGACCAAATTGGTCTTGGCTTTCTCCGCAACTTCAGTGTCAACCCGCCGGATCTCCGCCATAATGCTGTTCGTAAATGCCGATATATACACCAGCTCATTCTCAAAGGTGAATATCCGGTCTGGCTCGTTGGTCCAGGCCAGGACCCCCGCGTACCAGCGGCTCCGGTCCGCACTGGACGTTGGACTTAGTTTTGGACGACCGACCTGGCCACGGTTCGGATCCGCTGTGGGTGAGTTCGTCGGTATCCTCGGACACCGATCCGTCGGCATTGTATGTGAAGATTTTGCCGCGGGGATATCGCTCAATAAGGGACGTAAATAGAGGTTCGGGTACCGCAATGGCTTTTCCGGCTTTCTCTTCGTTGTCGATGCTCGATACTTGTGAGCTGGAGAACCCCAGGCATTCTGAAACCATTTGGTTCCCTTCGGCTGACGAACGCCGCCTCGCTTCTGCATTTTTCTGCTGGGTCGAAGATCCCGAGCCCGCGCTACCGCTGTCGCTTGATGTACCATTCGTCGGAGTTGGATCCGCCACTCGGCGGGTATTCTGGTTGACAAGACTACCGAATTTCTTGCTATTGGCATCCAGAAACATGACCCCTTCGGCTCCGATGGACTCCCGAAGTAAGTTTGATGCTCGCGAGAAAATATTCCGGACGCTGGTAGGCAAGGTATCGTCTTGCAGGCTCTCACCGGCGAGGACACTCCGAAACGAGTCGCCCTTGAGCGAGACCTCGATCGAAGACTCTTGGCTGCGCTTTGCGCTTTGCCTCGGGAGAGACACTTGATTGCCAGTGCGCGTTTCTGGCGAGCGCGTTTCTCGGTTGGCGGTTGTGGAATCTCTCTGTGTGCTCTTTTGTTCTTCCATTTTACCGATCTGATCAGCAGCTTTGCTTCTCACTGGCACCTGCATAACGGACGGCTTCCGTCCCGTCTGCCCAGCGTCCTTAGTTTCCTTAGCTAACTGCTGGATATCCTGCTGATCCATATTCAGTTGACCCTCGACCGACTCCCCAGAATTCTCGGCTGCATCATGTTGTGCCTTGGCCTCGCGCCACGAATCCCGCAGCGTTGTCCGGCCCTCGACAAAGCTCCCCAAGCCCACAATCATCCTTTCTCCTCGGCGGCTTTGCTGGGTGCTCTCCTTCATTGTCAGGTGCTCCATGACTGTCGCAGCCATGTCCTTTAAGAACTGCATGGAAACCTGGTCAGGAAATGAAGTCCTCGCCTTGCCGTCCATCACGCTCAATGCGCCGATCCTAAGTCCGCGGGGGCTCATGAGGGGAACGCTTGCATAGAATCGCACGTCCCGTAGCGGTACAAGAAGGCCTTCTGACCGAACGCGCTCGTCTTGGACCACATCCAGTATGACCGTGGTATATTTATCAACCACTGTGTGGTTGTCTGGCTGGCCCGACGGTGAGGCGATCTCGATATTGTGACAAAGTCCCCTCTCCTTCGGAAATATGCAACATCCAAGTTGTAGATACTCGGCGTCGTTGGCGAAATGCGCCCCGACGAGACTCATCGTGGGGGTCGCCTCGGCGAGGACATACTGGTGGGTACGATCGAACAGGGAGATCAGGGCGCGTTCGGTCTCCAGGCGAGTGGCCGCGATCTGAGCATAGCAATTCAAGGCTGTGTTTCTTGACGGGAATGGTCTAAAGGCTTTGCTGCTCTCGTGATCCCAGGGCGCGTAATGGGTTGCACAATCCTCGCGCGGGATATACCTGTCGGAGGGGCCTGATCAGTAGGGTTTGGTACCATGATGCAATGCACTGGGCACCGCTGGAGAGTGGTACCTGTAGAACTCCCGTTCCTGTGCCAGTCGATAAGGCGACCGTTCGCTGGGATCAATGATTAAGGCCATGCTTGACGGGGATGCGCGAAGCCAATGACCAGATGGTGGATCGTCCAGCCATGTGAATCGTCAACATTAATAGACGCCATCGGGAGACCTGAGCCACATACGTAATTCGGTATTAGGATTTCAAGGATTCATCGACGTTTGGGGGGCTGGTCAAAACCGGATTTGGCATGAATCTCCTCCACCGCGGACCGCGAGTTGCTAGTGGGGTGCAGTTGGGCGATCCCCGCCGGGAGGATGAGGTCATGGTCACGGGGTCCGGTCAAGTCAGTATGTATGTCGTTGTACAGTCCCGTCAGAGTACCATGTCGTGTGCCATATATGTCGTGTACGGTCCACGGGCTATTTTCCGATCGTAGTTACAGCTTTCGTGGCAGGGATTTTTGTTCTCATCTCATCACCCGCCTCGAATCGGCTGGAAGAGTTTCATTTCATGCTCCTGCTTAGTCAGGATGTGTTGCGAGGCTGACGGTTGAGGCTGCCGAAATATAACTATCAGAATGCAGGACTCCAAGTCCCCATAGGGTACGGTAACAATAACAATGGAATCCGTACACATAAAATCTCCTATACAATTCACAGTTCTTTCCCCCATTAGAAGCTCTCTCCGTGGGATCCTCCCAATATCCCGCATTGTCACATTACAGGTCTGAGGTGTTGTAGTGATCCATCCCTAGCCGCAATTGCGGAAGTATATAGTTCTAGCCCAAATGCGTTGTGTGTACCATCGTTGGATCGGTGCATCTCCGCGCAGCCACCGGCTTGCGATCTCTTAAAAAGGAGAAAGGCACCGAAGCTTCCAAAAAGAAAATGCTCTCCAATCGTATGTAACGCTCGTTAAAATTTCTTGTCCTCGACTGAGACCACTTAAAAGATAAGCAGAGTGCCAGCGTTGGTTGCCCCGCCAAGGCGGTGAGAAATGACGAAGTGGCGCTCCTCAACGGCCTTTGCAGCTTCACCTTCACCTCCATCGCCGACGCACTGTGGAACATGACCCCCGCCTCGCCATTTGCAGACCCTCTCACTGTCTTCCCTCCGGAGATTGTACTGCGCATCCTTGACTTCTCGCCCGTCTCGGCCCTCGCCTCTCTCACAGCCGCCTCTAAGGCCTGGCACGAATTTATCGATGTCACCCACCAACAGGCCATCTACACCTCGGAATCCAAAACACGCCAGCCGCCCGGATGCTCCCGTGATCTGTCATTTCTCGCTGATGCTCGCACCTTTTCGCGCCTCTTTGAGGAAACAGCATCATGGAAGGATCTATGCAAACGCCAGACGCTCCTGTCGCGCAACTGGACCGACCGACAGCCGATGAGCCAGGAGTCGGTCCTGCAGATCGGCAATGATCCGGTCTGGCGCTTTCGCCCCGACTTCAAACGCCGCTTCTTCGTTTCTTCCTCACATGCCGGCGGGTTGAATGTCACCGATATGGATACCGGCCGCGTCCTGTGGCGCCTGCCCTCCACCCTCGACAGCAACGGGGACGCCGTTCGCCCCTACGCCCACCTTGAATACCAGGATGGAATGGTCGTGTTTGATCGGGAGGGAGATGCCGTCGAGGTCTGGCAGGCCGACCAAGGCGATGCGCCGCGAGGCGAGTTTCGACGCATTGCCGTTCTGAACCACCGTTGTCAGACGCGAGGCTTCCAACTCTCATACTGGACGCTCTGTGTCGTGTCGAACCAGGGCCAAGGCTTCGTATACGACATGACTCAACGACCGCCCAAACTGACTACCCACCTCAAGATCGAAAAAGATGCAGTCGGCCATCTTGATCAGAGTGAAGATGTCGTGATTTACTCCATTGGACCGGCCGGCTATTATGCCTACGATAAGGCATCGGGCGACTTCTTGGGTGTTTTGCAACCATCTCATTGCACTGATCAGTACCATATCCTCCCACCCGCCGCTAGCTCGCCATCTGCGACTGCTGCGCTTGCAGGTGCTGCGCGATATGGTGCAGCCCATCGACCGTTTCCTCCGGGGGCTCCTCGAAAGGATTCCCTCGTGCCAATTGATATTGTCAAGGGACCTCTTCCGAGCTCAGAGCACATGTGGGAGGGACCAAACGAATGGGGTGCCGGAATGCTGGACGGCGATCTCTTCGTCGGGTTTTCTCGTGCAGGTCGTGTCTTCGTCTGCTCCGACTGGCGCAAGGCGCTCCGGGATCAGGCAAGCCTCGCAGCAAACAGCTCTCTCATTGAATGCAAATCGGACGGCTCGAGCTTCGATCTCGGTGGTTGGCTGTCTGTACAAAATCACCGGCTGATGTTTGAAATCCAAGATCGAATCTATGTCGTCGCCTTGGATGATTCGAATCGTGTCCAAGATACCGCGTCCCATCCCCCAGCCTCTTATTCGCTGCTCACGAGCTCCGCACCTCAGCTTGCTGTCCCAGTCAGCTTCATGACGCTGTGTGACGATGCGATCATGACCACTTACACTGTGAGTTTCAATCTGGCCGACCTCCTGCCTCGTTACAGTAGCACTAATGCAGATACCACCAGACACTCGGCTGGCGGCAATCACTCCCGAACCTCCCGGGCGGCGTACAACATAACGACAATCCCGCCCGCATCTTCCCCACCAAGGCAATTCGTGTCGTCAGCCTCGCCCCCGATCTCCCTGGAGTAACTTCCAAGTCAAACTCCGATACTCCTTCATCCACAACTGCAGATGGGCTGTTTGACCCAGAAAGTCAAGATCGTCCTCCAGCTGATGAGATCTGGCGCTCACAAGCTGGGCTCTTACAACTCCTTAGCATGCTCGGTGATGAGTTCGGCGAGGAAGAGGACGATGATGAGCTGCAAGCCGTGGTCACGGGCCTTGGCGATGGTGATGCGGAATGGGAGGATGTGGATGATGATGAGGACGAGAGTGGCTCCGACGATGAGCCCGACGGCCAGGACCCTTCACCCGCGCACCCGTCCGAGCACTCATAGAGAGGCCTTAATTCCCAACATTGTGCCCAGGGACCAGAGCTTGCCCTTCAATTCCTTTCACCGTCCATAGATCTGATGACTGACTAACCACTAGCGCAAAGTTACATATGAGACTAACGTGGCCGCAGGGCGGATGAAGCGTCACGGTCTTCAATGTATCGCCATGGAGCTTATGAACAACTTTGTACAGTTGCACCCACAATACTTCACGCCGTCAATAGTTTTCCTTGCCACTCGTAAATTGTGAGCATTACAAAATGCAGTCTCAGATCGATGGTAGTATGCGTCGTCGGCAGTGAGTGCCATAGGTCGAATGGATTGGCACTTGGCGGCCATGTGAGCAGTCAATTCTGATTGTGGCAGTCCCATCAGACGTCATCTGGGCCCGGTCCGAGGAAATGGTTACTCTGCCTTTTGTCAACTGCAAGTAGTTTATATCGACTATTTTTCCAACCCGAACGGGCATTTCCCAACCGACGACTTCCGCCATCGCGGAAGGCGAAATGAATGAAAAATGTAATTGCGAATGGATAGGTTATGCGCGGGACAAAGGCCTATCCATGAAAGACCATTGCTAGATAGTCGGTTTAATCCTAACCATGCTAGGTAATACTAGAAGTTCGCTGGCAATCATGGACTGCATGGCTATCTGAGACATCAACCCAGAGAATTTTGATCACTGGCCATGGTAGCTACCCTGCTCTGTAGGTCAAGAGCTCCCCACGCTTCCAAAATATCCCTCCGCCGTGATCAAACCCTGTTACTCTCAATTGCTTAGTCTTGCGGCATATCTCATCGTGTCATCTTCGGAAGCAACTCGCGGTCAGTCAACTGAACAGCTTTACTTGCAATTCGAAAAATTTGGCTCTGGTTTTTGTATTGATTGTCTGGTTTGCTCGGAATTCTAATTTTAGCATTTATTAACCGAAACGAGTTTCTGGAACTCCTTGAGACAATCAGCGTATACGTCTTCAATCCCGTACTTGTGTAGCACATCATATCAGGCTGAGGATGATGGAGCCGAGTCATCTGCTCAAATAGTCATTTTCATGCAAATGAAATTTGACATTGGAAAAGAAGTTTGACATCAATGCGCTTGAAGGAACGAGCCAGCGTGGTACGAAGCCAAAAGAAAAACCTGGTCTTTAAAGAGTCCGGACTGGAAAGCAATAGTGTTAATAAACGATTCTTTTAACCTGGCTTAGAAGACTGGAGTCCCTTATTTTTTGTTACTGCAGCTTCACCATCGCACCAGTTTACAATTGCAACATATTTTTGACTTGTCAAAATTTGACCACTGAAGATGAAGACATCGTTCTGCATTTCTCTCCTGGCATTTGTTCCGTTCGCAATGGGCGATGACCCATATGGACTCTCAGCCATGAGCCCATGCTTGGTTTGTCCCCCAACCCCCATAATACATCGCAAGACAGCAAATAGAGGGTTTCTGATGTCGGTCGTAAATAGATCGAGTGCAATCAACAGGCGATCACAGCGATCGGCTGCAAAGGCTTCACAGACATCGAGTGCACATGTCCGAGTGCAGACTATGTAGAAGTCTTGATGGATTGTTTAGCTGCTTCATGCACCGCGGCTGATATGCTTCGTATGACTTGGTTGTAGCCTCACATCACTGAAAACATGGCTAATGGAACTGATCTAGAATCTTTGAAACTGCATGTCAAAATCTGCAAGATTCCGCTTGTGGCTCCCGCAAGCTGGGCAGACTGAAGGACTTTAGCAAAACGCTGGCGGAAGCAACTCACATTTTCATTATTTGGTTGTGGTCCCGTATAGTGTTCAATTGTCTTCAAGTTATTCATAAGCTCCCGTTTATGATTCATAGAGGCAGTAATGAAGTTTGTCATGAATCCCAATCAAGAACGCAGAAACGTTTTCCCGCTAAATCTCATGGTACCGTGAAGCTACTCAGTAACTTCAATCATCTCAAGTCATACCTAGTTGTTAGTTCTATTTCAACAGGGTGTTATGGTTAGAGACGGCCTACCAGCAACAGTGCGGCCAGTTGAATGTGTTGAGCAGCCTCCGCCCGCGCCGGTTGAACATGTTGAATAGCATATTTTGCCACCTCAGCCAGCCATGCGAGCACCCCCTAGAAGTAGCGGCTGCCAGGATATTGGCCATTCAACTACCTTACCTGGTGCCCCTATAGATAGTTTTCTGAAATTACTGCCATTTTGGTGGTCTAAAATTGTTTTAAAATTTTAGTAGCAGGTCGGGTGGGCGGCTCGCCCGTTGATTACGTTACTCGAGTTTCAAAACGAGAGTTCGTTCCCACAAGCACATCTCTTTTTCCGCCTCTTTCTGTATACGCCACGATCGCGGCCATCCTCACCGTCCATCACATGTCTCCATTGTAGCGTGGCCATACTCGACGCCACCCTCAGTCGGAACAGGTCGGGCCTGAACGAGTAAATTAGTTGCACCAGTCGCGCCCCTCATTCCGACCCGCTCTTCTCTCCGCACAAGCGCAGCCTCTTGCAATTAGCCATTAGCTGCAAGCTATCCTAGGGTCGAATCTTGCTTTCACCAAGCCGGAAATATCTCGATATGGACTACGCGGAGAATGCGAGACTCTATCCCGGAGAGGCACTAGAAATCGTCGAAGGGTTTCCGACAATAAAGCACTACCAGCCTGCAACTACCAACAGCATTGACAGCAAGCCGCTTATCGTTTGCATACCCGGCGCAGCGCACCTGGCTCGCATATTTTATGGAGGGCACCATGAAAGCCTTTCCGATGACTTCATAGCCTACTGGCTCAGTCAACTGGGCTATGGGGTCTTGTCAGTGTCCTACCCGCTGGAGATGAATTCCTCATTGATGCCATCGACTGGGCATAGCTTCAGGATACGAGACTGGGGGCGACAAGCAGCAGTCTGTGCCCAGAAGACGATAGTTGAGAACTTTCTTCCATCGCGCTCAATTATCCTGCTTTCATGGAGTATGGGTGGTCGGATGGTGGTTCAGTTCAATATTGCATGCAAAGAACTCGGCCTCCATGTTGAGCAATATATCAGTCTCGCAGCTACGCCAGGCATTTCAAATATCCGGCCGCCCCAGTCGGACATGGAGTGCACTCCTTCCGGTTACGTCAGCATATCTTCACGGATTGGTGCGTTCTGCAAGCAGCTAAACACGGTGGACTTGGCAAATGGAGGGAGGGAAATCATTCCCCAGGGCATTTATTTAAAGGAATATGTCGGAGGTACACCGATCAACCTTATTGGGGCTAGGCTCAAATTTGATGGCAAGAGCGCGTTTATCCCGGATGAATTGGCACATGAGGACGATTCCCGAGTCTTTGATATTGTTAATACGCCATTCATATCCGCGCTTTACCCGACGAGTGTCCAGGATGCTGGACACGCTCTTACGGACAAGAGTACATGGGGATTTTTGATGACCTACAAACTAGAATCCATGGTGCCAAAGCAAGCCCTCAGAGATCTGGAAGGGACGCAGGCATGGGAGAAAATCTCGAAACTGATCCACGAAGCACCATCCAGAATGTCCCATGCCGTCCCAGGGAATCATTTCTTCTTCGTCGGCAAACAAGGGGCCGAAGAAACGGCGCAGAAAGTTGTTTCATTGTTACATGAGAGAATCGCTTTGGAATCAGAGCTAGCTTCACTGTTGGACTCAGGAAAAGCAGTCCGCTGAGGTACGGTATCGAATGACCGAGACTCATGCATACTCATGTACAGCTCTAATCCTTGGTTTTAACTCCTGGTCATGATTCTGGAGACGTAGATAAGGAGTCGTTCGTTTCAGCGCAAATGGAATACGCAGACATCTAGCAAAGCCGAGGCTCAATTACTTCAAGCTCGATGATGCTATGATTCCACGGAAGCTCTTGGGGCTTTATTGCTTCTTCACTCGCGTGAAGCTTTTACTGTGCAAAATTGTGAGCGTAGGATTGATTTTCAATTGATCGGCGTAGGCAACCCACCCTCTGATTGGCCGGCAGCCTGAAGCACCATTTTGCGCCTTAGCCTGTTACCATTTTAGGAAACTGGTCACCGTGCCGGTGTCGCATTGAGATATCATCCTGGCAACATCTGCAGGAGGAACAGTACTTACAGAACACTCTACATATTCTATCCGATTATTCCAATCAAGATGGTACTTGCCTTCTCACTCACGCGTCTCAACCTGGTCACCATCGCAAGAAAATGGCAAAAAACTTTTCAACTTTGATCGCCAGAAATTTGCAAATGAAATTTCCATGTAAAGGTATTATAACTCCAATTTCGATATTGCCATTTAGATGACAATAGCTCCTAGGTAGACAGCAGATACACTTGGGCAGTGAACCGTCTTTCTTCTGAAATGATCAGCATCCTGGCTAGTGTTTCGTAGCAGCGGTCGAGACCCCTGATCGGCAATCACTTTTCCGAATTCAGTTACACGGAATGGTTTCAATGCTTCCAACAGCAATGATAGAAGGCCGTGTGATTCGAATTTACTTGCCGCTGTCTAATTAGCTGCAAGCGCACTGTCACATATGTCTTGTAGGAGGACCCCAAGTCGAAGCCTAGTTGATTATTTCCAGAATAAACCCATCTTTAGCCCGATGCATGATCCTGCTTTGATTCGGTATTCTCGGCTGTAAGACCCCATAATCCCGATATGGAATGGGACTGCGAGGCTTGACGTATATAGTAGTGAACGCACCCTCTCCGAGCGATTCATCCCATATCTTCTGAAAACAAACACATCTAGGACCAAGATGCGCGCCTTCGTTGCTACTGCTCTCATATCCGCCGGCATTATCGCTGCTTATGATCTGCCTGATAACCTAAAGCAGATCTACGACAACCACAAGGTGAGCTAATACCCCTAACATGATGGTACGCCGAAACCTGGCTAATTTGACTAGTCGGGAAAATGTGACAACAAACTCGCGGGAGGTTTCTCTGATGGCATCAACGGCGCACACACATTCGGATACTGCGGCGACATCGATGGAGTCATCTATCCGCATAGCTCGGCCAATGGAGGAGAATATGACAACATGGACGTGGACTGTGATGGCTTAAACGACAAAGATGGTGACTGCGGAGCCGATGAAACCGGACAAGGAGAGACAGCATTCAAAGTCCAGCTGAGCCAGTATGGCATCGAAGATCTGGATGCCAATCTCCATCCCTATGTCGTCTTTGGAAACACCAACTTTGACCCTCAGCAATATGGAATGGAACCACTCAGCGTCATGGCTGTCGTCTGTAACAATCAAGTGGTATGTCCCGTCTAATTGACTCCCGGTCTTGGTTCTTATTCTGATTATCTTGATTAGCTCTACGGTATCTAGGGTGACACCAACGGCGAGGACTCCACTGGAGAAGCATCTATATCGCTCGCTCAGATGTGCTTCCCCGACGACGATACCAACGGCAACAACGGACATGGCCAGGAAGATGTGTTGTACCTTGGATTTACCGGTAAGGATGCCGTTCCCGGTAACGATGCAAACTGGCAAGCTGGGGACCGAAACGCATTCGAGGACAGCATCAAAGTCCTGGGTGACAAGCTGGTGGCCGGTCTCAAGGCATAAGCAACCTCACAAATAACCATCTTGTCAGAGATAGTCTTGACTATGACAAGTCAGTGCATGAATTACCGGTGTAAAATTAGTGTTCGCCAAGGTTTGTGTATTTCCGAGAGGCACTGTCAATTTGACGGCGAAGAAGAATGCAAATGTTAAGGTTTCTTCGAAACCCCTCCTGAACATGCTATAACGCCGTGGTAATACTCCTTCAACACCGTGAAAATCTAAGTCATAAATGCTTAACCTCCGAGAACAGTCCACCCCAACAGACCAACCCAGCCGACAACGAAGACCACGGTCAAGATCCCAGCACCTGCCCGATCTCCAGTAGTAACTTCTTTGCTGGTCGTGGAAGTAGACGTGTCGTTCTCGCCGGCAGTTGGGTTGCTGGTACTGTTTCCGCCCGTGGTAGAGGTAACAGGAGCAGATTTGTTGAAACTGATCAGGTTTGCAACGAAAATATCTGTTGCACTAATTTGCTCTTCCATACCGATCCAGCCATCGTACTCTGACTTGTACCATCGCACACCACATGTGTTGTTGTTGTGTCCTGTACATGATTTCGCGGCGGCTTGTGCCGATGTTTGTAGTTTCGGCACGATGGTGTCAAAGGTTGACGGGACGAGGAGGGCGGTAAAAGACAGCCAGGAAGAGACAAGTCCTTTGAACAGGATCTCATTATTGTTGCAAACCTCTGAAGGCTCACATGTAACTTCCTCAAAGATGCCCCCATTACTATCGGGGAAGAACTTGTTAATTGTCTTGGTCAAGAGACCATCAACAGCATCCAGCCATTCGGAGCTTCCGTTGGTCTGACCAGCAAATTGCGAGTCAGCGAGACCTTCAACAAAGAACCCGGAGCAGTCAGAACTTACGTAATTATACATGTAGGCTGCACCCATCATGTACGTCCCATAATTATATGACCACTGGGTGTTTCCTTGGGTGGCGCAATCGTCATCCATATTTGTTGAGTCGGCAACATTCCATGTAGAATTGCTGAGCAAAGGAGAGGATAGAGACCAGTTCCAAATTTTCTTGGCCCATGTGATATAGGTATCATCGCCCGTGTATCGCGCAAGTCGAGCCGATAGTTGGAACAGCCCTCCATTTGAAATCGAGTTCTTCATCGTATAGCCAGACTGGTAGGGAAAGATCTGCCATCGCATTCCACCGTTGCAAGCCGTGGTATCCCATCGTTTGATCTGCGTGTTGAAAACGCCTTGGGCGAGCGAGAGCCACGAGAAGCCATCGGAGACATCCGCAAATTGCAATTCGGCGGCGGTCATGGCGGCGAGACCCCAGAACATTTGGTCGTCATTTCCCTGATGGTGTCATGAAAGTCAGTTATGGATTCTATAGTCAGGTATTGGCAGCCCAGGCGCTTCCTACCAGGTAGCTACTATAGTTGCTTGGCATATAGTCCCCGTCATCACCGGACTGCCACTCCAGGCCCACACGTAATTCATCGTTGTACTTGGTATCGCCGGTGTAGTATTGGTAGTGAAGCAGGGCAAGGAAGAGAGCCGATCCTTCCCACCATTTACTGGGAAAAGCTCCTGGGATATGGCCGCTCTCGTTTCCGTGGTAGTAGGTCATCATGGCGTACGCGGTGGTGCTGGCGGCATCTTTGATCGATTCTGTTTCGTATAGATCAGGCGGTCAGTACATCCGTCGCAGCACACGGACAACAGTTGCGCACATACGTTCATCGCTGATGTCTAAACTGATTGCCTCTGTTGATGCCAGCAACAACATTAACCCAAAGAGGCCCCTGAGTAGCCTCCATGGCCCTGGAACATGCATTGTGCCGGAATTGGCCTCTTCCGGGATCCGTCAAGCGGGCCGAGATATCCGTACTATCAACACCACGGAATAGGCCTCGATGTGCACGGCGTTCAGGTCTGACAACGGGCAAAGGCCATCAGTCGCGGGAAATCACAAAAGAATAACCGAAACTACTCGCTCGACTGCATCGTCGCGGGCCCATTTCGCTGGGGATTAAATATAGCGCCAGAGGCATGCGTAATCCTCCGCGCTAGCGTCGTCAACTTTTCTGGTGGAGCATCGACCGACCACGCCTCAAGTGGGGCCCCGTCAAGCGCGAGCAAGCTTTTGAGTTCGTTTGGGTTGCGGGAAGCAAAATGCAAAATCATTCTCATCGGTTGTGAAAGAAGACGGCAGGGTAGATCCCATGTCTATCAATGTCTATCATCGCAGGGTGCTTTAAAGGGCAACCACTGTCGACGATCCCCCACAGCGGAGTCGGTTCCAACCGAGTCGCCAATCCTGTTCTTGGTTCTTTTCTTCAGCTTGTCAGGATTGCCGATCGGCATCTCATGGAAATCGTCGAATGGTCCCAAACACACTTGGCTTTTTTTTAATTCTTTTCTGTTTCTTTTTCTTTCGGCCTTCTGTTTTGCTGGCTCGGTCCTACATAAATAGATCCGTCGCCTCCCCAAGCCGCCAATGGCGGCTTGCCGACCCGATCGGTTATGGGAATGTGAAACATCTGCCGCCGCCTTTTCGCTTTTATGTCGGCTTCGATCACTGTACTTCATTCGGCCCGCCTGATATCAATCGGACTATCTGCAGGGCCAATAGTCGTTGGCACTTCCCTCGCTGCTAGTTCTTTGTCTAACGCCCGAAACGCATTTTGCAGATATTTCTGCTCCCCGTGCACTGCAACTCCGATGTGAATCCCAGTCAGCGCCATCGCCTCAAAGCAAGCCTTCTTCCGGTCGATTATCGGTTTGTGGCCACTCTCATGGAGTTCTCGCGGGCGCTGCCTCCAAAAGATCCACCAAAAGATCCACCAAAAGATCCACCGGAAAATACTAAACCCTTCATGTGGAACTTTGGTGTTTCTAGCTAGTTCGCCCGGCGCAATTCGAACTTCCCCCTGATTGCTCTCCACCATCGATTAGTATTTCCTGTTGGCTGCGGCGAGATTGACCAGCTTGAAGTTGTTGTATCGCATCCATGCCTCACATGCAGGTAGCAAATCAACGACCGGGATCTTGCTGATATCGGCGGTGGTGGTTGACTTGACGAGCGGTCACACAATCTCCAGTGTTTCCTTAGATAGCCAAAGAGCGCTCGAGCTAAGCTCTTCTCCAAAGACTCCGGCAACGCATAGTTTTGCGGTCCATGTAACCATGTTCTCCCGGTTGTGGCGACAAGCTGCAAGGGTCCTCGAGCCCAGAGAGCATTGACGACCTGGGCCAAGGGAGATCGTACCAGAGTTGCTGTCCATCGGATAAGACGGCCTCTTCCCCTTTTCCCCCACTTCTTTATTTTCCTGCTGTGGATCCGTTGAACCCTTTGTCCAAAGTTCGCGCGCACTAAGTACAAGTGTCACTAATCGTCATACGCAGGGCTTACGGTGGCAATGATCATCGTTGCGTGAATCAGTTCATCCCAGAGATCGTGCAACCGCCCCTCCAGTTGTAAAGTATCCAACTCGTAGTTGACGAGCTGGCTTTCCAGGTAGATCAAATCGTCATAGAGACCTTAGCAGGTTCTTGTAGGTTATCAAAGTCGTGTTCGAATACCACGCGCTTTTCCTCGTGGCTGAGGGACAGAGGAATGCAGCAACCCAGTGGATAGGACATCCTTGATGGAGTATTTTTATTGCGGAGTAAATAAATTTCAAGCAGTGAGGGTCTTCTCCACAGTGGATTGAAGCTTGGCGGGTGTCCGGCCAAAAGGAAATGAGCGACGCGCAACTCCAGGCAGCAACGCCTAAACGAAAACAAGTACGTGCTCTTCGTGTATATGGGTAGTTCACAATACGGTATATCCCTCTTGGGGCAATTTTTACAGGGAAATAGCTATGTATAAGAGTTTGCAGTGATTGCTGGCTGCCAAGCTCGATTCTATTAAACACCAAAAACCAGAAAATAGCTCTCCATCCCAGGAAGTGGTCCAGCAGGCTGCCTACGACCGGTCCGAGGGCAGGACCCAGCGCTATCCTCATACCTACATACCCGATATTCTTGCCACGCTCTGCCCGCATCGTCAAGTCTTCCACCACGGCACTGCCCAGCGCGATGGTACACCACTGGCCCCAGCCGACTGCAGACAGCGAAGCTCCATCAGGGCGGGATAGCTATCCTGCAGCGTGAGCCCGATGTTGGCTCCCAGTTAAATCTCAAATGCGATGATGTATGCCAGTCGACGCCCATAGCCGTTGAAGAAACTGCCATTAAAGGACGGGGCCAATCCCTGGAATATCTGGGGAGGTCAGGAAGTCGACAAGATATTCGAACGGAATGACGGTACCAGGTAGATGGTGATGGTCAAATTGATCAGGGAAACCGACATATTCATGTCGCGCGCCAATGAATTGAGCGCCCGCAGGTAGATGCTACTCGACAAGGGCGATATGAGGGCTGCAAAGGACCCTACCAGAACCACAAAGATCTTCTCGCCAGGGAAAAGCACGCTATATGGCGTGTCAGCCATAACCGTAGCGGGAGTCTTTTCCAGATCATCTTTCATCGCCTATGGCTGCGCCGCCTGTTCGGGAGAGCCATCGTTGCCGATCAAGGCGGCTAAAAGACGCACGACATCGGGGTGCCGATAGCCAGGCGTGCGAAGTCCATGGAAATGAGCGGTTGACCGTATCATTTTGTCTATCTGTGGGAGTCAGACTCAATATGTACTTGGAGTGAGGGTGAGGGTGAAGGCAAAAGCGTGTCGGGGGCGGCCTGTGTGTTTGCTGCAATGCCGGTGGCGGGCCGGTACCGGAGGCGGAAAACATTGCGAGCGGCACTCTTCCAAACAGGAACTTGTGCGATTGATCAATCCCCTGTGTTTTGATCGTAATTTGAAAATAATGGAATTTCGTTTAACTAAGGAACTTGTAAAGCAACGTTCTAAGCGTGAAAGTTGCAAAGACATTGGAGAATCTCGAGAGATATATACACCGGGACATTGTGGAGAGATAACCGACAAAATGGAACTGAGTGGAAATATTCAAGACAAGTTTGTAGCGCGCTACAATTGATATTCTCGTTGATAAAACAATGGAATAAATCTACTGCCCTATAGTAGAGCACTTAAGCGAGATGCTTCTCGAAAAAGTCGGCGAGTTGTGCGTATCTTCTAGAATGTTAGCAACGCCATGCCGAGCAGGTGGCTTCCACCACATCATCATATGGAGCTGGAAGGTTGATATTGAGGGAGACTCACCCACGCACATATTCCGCCCGACTCTCCTCGTTCTCCAAGTTGGCTCGAGCTCCCATCCAGCCATGCCACATGCTTGAATACGTCTCGACAACGCCGCTCTTGGGGGCGACTAGAGGAGCATACGCCGCGACCTTGTCGGCCTCCTCGTCCTTCGACGCCAGCACCATGTGCGGGATCGAGACAAACTGCGCGTCGGCCGGGTCCAGCAGACTACAAATCAATTAGCAACGGCGCCCACTCACGAGGACACGGGATCACTTACCCTGGGTGCACCTGACTCGAGGCCGCGAACGGGGTGTTCGACCCCGATGCGAGGATCGTCACCTATGCGGGTCAGCACTCGACAAGATGGGCAGCAATTCGGGCTTCGCTCACCTTGCCGCCCCAGCAGAGACCATTGGCACCCCATTTGGCGACTAAGGGGAACCGCGTGCGATACTCCGGCACGGCGGCAAGCACCACGCCCGTATTCCGCTCGATATTCGCCCGGGTGGCCAGAAACTGCCCGATGCGCTGCTTCTTCTCATCCGTGTCGGGCGGGATATTATGATGCTCCAGCGCATCGCCCTCGAAGAAATCCGGGACCAGAACGACGGCGTTCAGGCGCGTCGCCAGCAGATCCGCGCCCTGCAGAGTCTGGTTGGACAATCCGAAGACATCGTAAATGTCGACCAGACCAATGCGGGCCTCCGGGTTACCCGTCACATCTAAAATCAATGAGCAACCCGGCACGCAAAGCGACAGGCGAAAAGTGCATGGGAGGGACATCTCCACTGACACGTCTTGAGACCCGCAATGGTCTCGTACTGGCCCTTCGGGGTGTACCCCTGGGAGGTTACGGGAGGAATCGTTCGGCAGGCTTCGCAAGTCATGCTGACTGTGGACTGAGGAGCTCCGCGGGCCTCGGGGACCGATCCTTATGTATCGCACCTCGCAGCTACGGATTCCGGGACCGGGATGCCAGGACCCATCGTCGAAGCCCCCTCCAGGAAAGCACAATGAGGCAGTTGGTTGGGAAACGGAGCTAACGGGGTTAGTCATTGAGATCGGACGGAGATTGGAGAATCCTGGCGTGCCCAGGTCTAGATTGGATGCACATCATACTGATGTGCTGATGTACTGATGCTGGGCTTAACACAGGGACAGATTACATTTCCAAGTAATATCAGACTATCCTAGGGTACGGACGAAGATAGCGGACCCGCTTGAAACACAGTAAAACGATTGAACACAAGAGGATCACGGCCGCCACTTGAACGCGGGATTGCGCCAATCCAAATCCTGGATCTGCTTCTGCGACAGGCTCGCCAATGCCGCGCCGACATCCACCCGACTGCGACGGCGGTTATCCCATGACATGTATGCCCACAGCGACGCCCCCAGAATTAAGGTCGTCGTGGACGTCGCCAAGTTCAGCCCATTGCCAATGTGATAATCCGGACCGTCAAAGGGCAAGAAGGACCAGGTGGAGATGAGTCCGCCGATGTTGCCAAACATCACCGTCGTACCAATCGCCGAGGACCGCGCCGTGTCCGAGACGACATTGGCTGAGGAATTGGCATTGCACAGCGCACCAAAGGCGAATGCGCCGCTGGCAATGATGAACGTGGCCCCGTAGCGGACCATGGGGTCCTTGCTGGCCAGGAACATTATATACCCGACCATCATCAGCGGCGGACTAATGATGAAAAAAATCAATCGCTTGTCCAATCGCCAGCTCAGATAGGGGAAAAGCAAAGTGAAGAAGCCTCCGACCACATAGGGTGGCACCGTATGAAGCTGCTGCGACACTACACTCGCATCGGGGTAGATGGTCTGCACGATGGTCGGCGCGAAGAATGCCAGACCCTGAACCGTGATATTGTTCAGCAGGAAGATGAAGGCAGTTGTTAGCGTCACCGGGCTGAAAATTCCGCGCAGCGTCTTGGTAACATCGATCTTGTCGAGGACTTCGGTAGTGCCAATGCGCTCGGACTTGACGCGGGCAATGGCGAGGTCCTTCTCCTCTTGCGAGAGCCAGCGTGCAGTCTCGGGTCGGTCAGTCAGTGTGACAAAAGAGATCAAGGCGATGCCAATGGTGATAATTCCTTCTATGGCGAAGATCATCCGCCAGCTATGCAGACTTCCGACGTGATCGAGGGTCAGGATCCCCGAGGCGAGCAGTCCGCCAAACGCACCCGCCAGTGGGGCCATAACGATGTACAGAGAAAGGCGGAAGGCCAGCTACAAACGACAAGAGGGGGTTAGACATTGAGCGGCGGTCAGGAAAAAGCTCTATGCGGACTCACCTCGCTCCGACGGTACCACCGACTCAGATAGTAGGCAATTCCCGGCATCAACCCGGCCTCGAACATGCCCAGCAAGAATCGCACGCCCGACGCCTGTTGAATGTCGTGCACAAAGGCCGTGGCCACCGAGCAGATGCCAAAGCCCAGGGTGACGGCCGGCAGGAACCAACCGGGGCCAATCCATTTGCATGCGATCTAGTTCGGGGACACGCTCGTCAGCAAATCACCGCGGCGACATCCTGCAGGATGGCGCAGTTCTTACGTTACTCGGAATCTCAAAGATGATATAGGCGACGAAGAAGATCGATAAGACGGCGTTGTAATCATATCCCTCCAGGCCCAGGTCCTTGTTAAACCCGGCCAATTTCGCATTGCCTTGCGTAACCATGGCGGTCAGCATGAGACGAAAAGGCGTGGACTCGCACAGGACTATACTCACCGATATTGGCGCGGTCGATGAAGCAGAAGAGATACATCAGCGCCACGGTGGGAACAATGTACAGATCAATCTTCAGGCGTAGGCGCGATTCGGCCTTTTGGTCGAATTCCACCAAGGCATGCCCGTACTGATCCGTGGCAAGATGGCCGCGCTCGGCGGCATCGCGTGCGATCTCGGCCACCATGGTCTCTTTGTGGTCGGCGACGCCCTTGTCGTCGCCCATGAACTCGGGATCGGCTGTTGATGCAGCCATCGCGATGCGTGAGCTGCGGTGAGATCCGGTGGGAAAGCAGGAGAGAAATGAACAATGGAAGATCCGGGGCCAACGCGGCATGGGCAGCCCGTCCCTTTATAGCGTTGAGTGACCCGAGATACGGAAGATCCGAGCCTGTCTCGCATCTGCTTAGTCTGGTACGAGACTGGTTGGCGTCCGGGGTTGTGGGGAGGGGTGATCGGCTCGCCTGGCAGCTTTCCCGGGAATTTGACTGCCAAGCGGCGGCTTGTCGGAAGTCCCAAAGGAGTGCTTGGCGGACGGGAGGTGCAATCGCGTATTCTACTAATTGTACTTCAGGTACTTCTTGTTCTGCTGCAGCGGAGACGATGTCTGTCCCAACCGTGAGGCGAAAGTATTCGAGGATCCCCGAGAGTATGCTGAGGCTCTTGATCACGATATCGCCCGGCAGGACGAGCGCGGCGGGGATGTTGCCTGAAGGTACTAAGTATACTGACTAGTATAGTATACACCACTAGTACATCGTACATCCTCTAAGTAGGGGGGTGGGGGCCCTTCCCCACAGACACTGACGAGTTCGACTTCCCCAGACTTTCGGGCGATCCGTGGACCCAGCATCCTCCGGCAAATGCCCCCGGAAGCCCCAGGAATCTCCGACGCGCAGCACCCAAGTGCCGAAAGCTTCATCCGGCCGAGTCTGGGCATCGCCGTGGCAGCCAGACGAGTCCAATGCGCGCGAGGTGTGCACCAGGTGAATCGGCACCTGCGCCATCGCCAAGCCGCGACGCGACGAGGCGCGGGGGTTTCCGAGGGATCGGAAGCGGGCTGAGAGGTCATCGGAAGCGAGACCAGGGAAACAAAAGCCGTGGGCTCAACGTGCGCTGGAACCCGTCCGATTAGCCTTAACAGAGCCGAGGCATCGCGGCACGTCGACCTTGCGAACTGCCATGGTGGCGTAGGCAGAGCACTTGGTCAAGAAGCATGTTTCGTGTTTGCAGCCCCTAGTGGTTTATCAAACAGATTCGCACGAGAAGGACCACGAAAGTAGACAATATGGGCCCCTGAGAGGTTCTAAGGCGATTTCATTGTGTAGGCATAGACCGGATCTAGATCTATCTAGATCTGGTGTGGGGATCCCATGGCTCAAGATTAAAGAGGGGCAGTTCGGTTGGTGGCCTGTTGCGACTCGACTCGACTGGCACAATTGGAAAAAATATATATATAAAATGAAGACACAAGTATTAGCAACGAGCCTACTCAGATCAATCCCTGCCCTACCCTAAAACACAGCGCTATGCAATATCATTTTGTAGAGCTTCATGCTCCGGCAGGTTTTTCGCTGCGCTGCTTAGAAATGGGGGTGCTGACAGAGCGTACCACGTGACCCGGATATAGACGGAGGAAGCGGAAACAAGCAGCGCGCGCAGTACAGAAAGCACTCTACGACCGCCAGCGCCGAGTCACTGCGACGGTGCCTGGTCTGCTCTCGGATATGTCTGAGCCTTCCAATCCCCCCACCAGTGGTTGGCGCATTCCCAAGGCCTGCCAAGAGTGCCGGAAGCGCAAGATCCGCTGCAATGGTCTAAACCCGTGAGAGACTATGCGACGCCCGCGACCACCCACCTCCCATGTCTGATTAATTCCCCCCTAGATGCAAAACCTGCCAGCAAAGAAACACACCGTGCATCTATCGAGATTTTATCCGGCACCGGCGGAAGAAGCATGAATACCAAGAGGCGGCGCGTCCCGAAGACCAGCCGCGCAGAGCCTCCCCAGGCTTGCCGCAGCCACCGCGGCAGCGGAGTTCCTCATTCATGCATGATTTCCCCAATAGCGTCTCGGCCACCCACATGGCCTCGCCATCGTGCCAGATGCAGCTCTATTATGGGCCCACCTCGCATTTTGCCCTGATGCAACATATCTACCGGGACCTGGTCGCCAACCCGACCGCCCAGCCCGCACCGTCCAGCGGCGTGGAAGAAGCCAGTGCAGGCTTGGATCTATTCAGTTTTCGCCGAATCTTCTTTGGAACCCCGGATAATCATGAAGCGGGGAAACCGGCGGGCGTGGGAGATGTCCCCGTCATGTTCCTCCCATATGATCTCGCCAAGACGTTCCTCTCACGATACCTCTCGAGTCTGTATCATATGATGCCGCATCGCCCCCAAAGCTACTATGAACGATGCCTGGAACGACTATATGATCCCTCCCCGACGGCCCATCCGGACACGCTCACCCAGGCCAACATTCTGATCGTTCTCGCAACCGCAGCGCTCGGTACAGAATACTTCCCCTGGGGGGACGTTCTGTACGATCGTGTCAAAGCGTCCATGATATCGTATGATGATGTCGTGAACCTGCAAACCATTCAGATATCGGTGCTAATGATAAGTATCCCCCATCGAGGACCAAGGTCTAAGATATTCAGCTAACGTTCTCTTACGCCAATTTCCAGAATGAGCAAGGCCGTCCCAACTCGGCATTCCTCCACCTGGGCTCTGCGGCCCGGAAAGCTCTCTCCGCAGGTCTGCACAAGGATGTACCAAATGACAACATCGAAACTCCCGAAACCATCGAGGAGCGGCGAACCACCTTCTGGTCACTGTACATGTTTGAGACGTACGTTGATCCACTCCCATAGAGGCTCCTTTACTAAGGTATAACTAGATGGTTCTGCTTTCATGTGGGCCGACCGAGCTCACTTTCATTGCGCGACGTCGCCATTGAATTTCCTCAAGACCCCTTCATTCGACTATTAGTTCAGCTGTGCAAGACAATCTCACGCTCGACAATCGAAATCTACAGCGAAAATCATGAGTCTCTGTTGCACATGTGGCGAGTGGCTCGTTCTATCACAGAAGATCTGCGCGCCAATGAGTCCTACATGAAGCAGGCCCTGGGGTTTGGGCTAGATGCGGGTATTCAAACAGGCTCGTTGGGCGTAAGACAGACAATATATACAACATGTGAGCTACCCCTGCTGAGCGCATTGACCGGGCTCACTAACTTCCTATAGTATATTACCATACACTTCTGCTCACATATCGGCCTTTTCTTATCTTTCGCGGTCATTGGCGACGTGACATGAAAATTCCACCCCATCAGCAGGGCAAACGAGAGTCGAGTCATCACAAGGAAATTCCGTCGTGGCTGAATGAGGCCTGTAACCAGGCCCTGACCGCTGCAAGGAAGACGATCCACCATCTATGCGAGGCCTCTCGGGCGAACGACCTTGTCAAGGTAGGCAAATTTCGCAAATGAACAGCCTGTGTTTTCTCTGCTGATTTCACCCTAGGAACTGCGGTACCATGGTTACTTCATGGGCAGCTCAGCCTTTACTTTAATATATGACCTCCTGAATGACCCAGAGAGTGCCGCAGGTAACCTACCCTGGGTATATGCCACTTTGCAAAATCTATCCATCATGCGGGCAGGCGACCCCATCAAAAGCTCAATCGCCGCCATACAAACAGTCTTGAGCAACATCAACCCTTCCTACGAATGGCTTCCCTACCCGAGTGAAGCGGAGAGGTATCCTCGGCAACATGGAGATTCCACGGCGATCTCGCAATTTCCTCAAAACATCGGCGGACAGCAGGTCTCCAATAGGGCGTTTCCATCAGACGCACAGTTTGGCCGACTTCCCGACTTACCTGCATCTCAATGGAACTTCCCCTTGGAGGCCCCAGAAACTGGAAGATCAGGCGGCTCTAGTGAGGATCTCCTGGACTTTACCCAATCCGATATGGGATGGAATTTCGACTTTTCGACTATGGATATAGAGGCGTTCTTTTCTGTTTATCCGTCCATGGACACTTTGCTTCCCCGGGAGTTCGGACATCAATAGCGAATAATCTGTTCCGGAGAGGTTCACTAATGGGACACACATCTACCTGTACACAACTCAAATGGAATTTCCACATCGGGCTTTCCGTCCATGAAATTTCCTGCAGCATGGAAAATACGGAGGCAACGGCAAACATTGGCAGCTCTGGAGCTTGGGCGGATTGTTTATCTCCGAATTTGACCGGGCCGAGCATACGATGACAAAATGTATGCTCCACAATTGTGCGTCAGAGTATTTTTGGCCGAAGCGCAGCTTGCTCTCAGTCCTAGCAGCCGGAAGAGCAGCACCAGGAAATCTGACTCAAAAAGGCCCAGACTCCAATGGGATATATCCGAAAAACACCAAAGATTTCCCCTGAGCTGCAGACCGGACTGGATGTGGATCATTCGCGATCAACTACTGGGGCTTATGCGTATATCCGACGGGTTAGGCCGTCTTCGGGTTTACAGATCTCTCGATACTACGATATCCCTATAAGCCCGATCGCTGGGTGGTCTCTATGACTAAGCCGTTTGGAGAACTCTTTATCGTTTCGCCCTCGCGATATAACGATAAGGGAATATCTGGCGCTATCCGGGCCCACACCACCGGAAATATGGATTTAAAAATCTAGAGCTCTTCACGAAGCGCATGGAATATAAGGGCAAAAGCTTCCAGAAACTCTATTTTATACACAGGTGCAACTGGAGTCTATCTCTTACATCAATTCTGGCTGTATAAAGGGCCTCTCACCCGCTGAAGAGGCGCCAAGCTACTATCTACCATGGAAACCCCATCATCTGGAACAGCAACGCCAGTGGACGTGGAGATTGGTCCTGGGCAAATTCGCAAGCGGCTCACAGTCACCTTCCGCAATCTCAGTGTTCGAGTGACAGCGCCGGATGCTGCACTGGGCGACACGTTATGGTCGGAAGTTGATCCACGTCGCCTCGGGAACATCCTGGCCAGAAAGGAAATGTCGAAGAGGGTACGGACTGACTAATTCTGGATATTGCGAAAATATTATGCTAATCGAATTACTAGACAATCCTGGAAGACGTTTCTGGGCAGGTCAAACCTGGTGAAATGGTGAGCGCGATCCTGAAAGCGCTTGGTTTGTTGACAGGTAACTAACGAAAATAGCTTCTTGTCCTAGGTCGACCGGGCTCGGGTTGCACTTCACTACTTCGAGTACTTTCGAATGATCGAGAAACATTCGATGAGGTTGATGGTGATACAAGATATGGAAGTATGGACTACAAAGCTGCAAAGAAGTATCGCCAACAAATCATGTTCAACAATGAAGGTATGCTCCCCGCCACACTCAGGGTTCTCAAAGGGCTGCTTATTCAACTCCGGATAGATGACCTTCACTTTCCAACTCTAACGGTCAACCGAACTATGAAATTCGCACTCCGGAATAAGGTCCCGAATGAGAGACCCGAAGAACTTGCAGACCGGAAAGAATTTGTGCAGCAAAAGAGGGACGACATTCTGGACTCATTAGGCATTGGTCACACGAAGAAAACGCGTGTAGGTAACGAATTTATTCGCGGAGTATCTGGAGGTGAACGCAAGCGCGTCTCCCTGGCCGAAGTTCTTGCAGGACAGGTTGGTTCACCACCCGAAAGCCATTTTCATAACTACCCTAATATCGTCACTGTAGAGTCCCGTTCAAATGTGGGATAACCCAACACGAGGACTTGACTCCAAGTCCGCCGTTGAGTTCGCGCGCATGTTGCGCCGGGAAGCCGATAAGAACGAGAAGACCATGATCGCAACCACTTACCAGGCCGGTAATGGAATCTATGACGAATTCGACAAGGTTCTCGTGCTTGCCGATGGCAAAGTCACTTACTACGGTCCGCGTGCCCTTGCAAGGGGCTATTTTGAATCCCTGGGATTTATTTGCCCGAAAGGCGCCAACATTGCCGACTTTCTCACCTCCGTCACCGTTCTCACAGAGCGGATCGTCCGCCCAGGATGGGAAAGCAGAGTTCCAAACACCCCCGAAGATTTCGAGGCTGCATATCGCGACAGCTCTATTCACCGGGTCCAGATCGAGTCCATGGTTCCCACAGAGAAGCTCGTCTACGAAACTGAGGATCTAAGCCTGGCTGTTTCCAGCGAGAAACGCAAGCAACATCTACCCCGAGAGAGAAGTGTCTATACCGCAGGTCTGTGGGATCAAATTGGCTCCTGTACTCTCCGGCAGTTTCAAATCATGTGGGGTGATAAATTCTCTCTTGTCGTCAAGGTCGTCTCGGCTATCATCCAGGCGTTGGTTTGCGGTTCTCTTTTCTACAACCTGCCAGAGGACAGCAGTTCTATCTTCATGCGTCCTGGTGTCCTGTTCTTCCCCGTTCTTTACTTCCTGCTCGAATCTCTTTCTGAAACTACTGGGTCTTTCATGGGCCGTCCGATCCTTTCCCGACAAAAGCGCTTTGGGTTCTATCGACCAACGGCATTCTGCATCGCAAATGCTATTACGGATATTCCTGTGGTGATGGTTCAAGTGTCTTGCTTCTCACTCATCCTTTACTTCATGGCAGCTTTGCAGATGGATGCTGGTCGTTTCTTCACTTTCTGGATCATCGTCATTGCACAGACCTTGTGCTTTATTCAGCTCTTCCGTTCTATTGGCGCAGTCTGTAAGAAATTCGGCAACGCTTCTAAAATCTCTGGTCTACTCTCGACAGTCTTCTTTGTTTACGGAGGTAAGTCGTGTTCTTTTGAGTCATGTTCATTTTACTAACATGATCAACTCCAGGCTATCTCATCCCTTTCCACAAGATGCACGTTTGGTTCCGCTGGATCTTCTATCTTAACCCAGGAGCATATGCTTTCGAGGCACTCATGGCAAACGAGTTCGTTGGTCGGGAATTCCAATGCATTGAGCCAGACTACATCCCGTATGGTGCCGGGTATCCTAGCTCTGCTTCTCCCCATCGAGGATGCTCAGTGCTCGGTAGCAACCATGTTGGTGTCATTGATGGAGCCGCATATATCCGGGAACAGTACAGCTACTCATTCCACCACATCTGGCGCAGCTTCGGCATTATCATTGGTTTCTGGATTTTCTTCATCGGACTCACCTCCCTTGGTTTTGAACTCAAGAACAGCCAGAGCGGCTCATCGGTTCTGCTTTACAAGCGTGGAAGTGAGAAGCAAGAACGTAACAATGACGAAGAAAAGATGTCACGGAGTCAACAGCCAGCGAGCCTGGGTGCTCTGCAGGGCTCAGTCAAACATTCCACCTTCTCGTGGAACAACCTTGACTACCATGTTCCTTTCAATGGAGAAAAGAAGCAGCTACTTGATAAAGTTTTCGGGTTTGTCAAGCCCGGAAACTTAGTCGCCTTGATGGGAGCCTCAGGTGCTGGAAAGACAACGTGAGTATCTCGACCGCAATTTTCCAATGCAAATTCTAACCAAAGGTTCAGATTGCTTGATGTTCTCGCGCAGCGAAAAGACTCTGGCGAAATTTATGGGTCGATCCTCATCGACGGACGCCCCCAGGGAATTAGTTTCCAGCGAACAACTGGATACTGCGAGCAGATGGATGTTCACGAGAGCACTGCGACTGTTCGGGAGGCGCTCGTATTTTCCGCAGTCCTCCGCCAGCCTTCCACTACATCCTACGAAGACAAAATTGCATATGTTGATCACATTATTGACCTTCTCGAACTCAGAGACATCGGCGATGCACTGATCGGGGGTGAGCTGTCTTCTTCTCTTTTGAGGAAAATTGAATTGTCACTGATACTTTCTAGTTCCTGGTGCCGGTCTGAGCATTGAGCAGCGCAAGCGTGTAACTCTTGGCGTTGAACTTGTCGCAAAGCCTACCCTACTGTTTTTGGATGAGCCCACATCTGGTCTCGATGGACAGAGTGCCTACAACATTGTCCGGTTCCTACGGAAGCTCGTTGATGGAGGACAAGCTGTTCTGGTATCTTCAGCTTTTACCACGATGACTTCTCGAATGAAGCTAACACAGTCTAGTGTACAATCCACCAACCGTCTGCTGTCCTTTTTGATGCATTTGACGGCCTTCTTCTTTTGGCTAAGGGTGGCAAGATGACATATTTTGGCGAAAGTAAGTTATCAAGAGTGTATGATCCGCGAAAATTAGACTAACGTAGGAATTTAGCTGGAGAGGACTCCAACAAGATCTTGGATTATTTTGCACGCAACGGCGCTCCATGCCCGCCAGATGCTAACCCAGCTGAGCATATCATTGATGTTGTTCAGGGAAGTAGAGATGGCAGTGGTGTGGACTGGGTCGATGTTTGGAGCAAGTCGAATGAGCGACAACAGGCACTCGCTGAACTTGAGGCTCTCAACAAGGCCAAACAGGCCGATCCTGACTATATAGAGGACACCGCAGATTATGCCACATCGCACTGGTTCCAATTCAAGATGGTTTCCAAGCGTCTTGCGGTTCAAATCTGGCGATCTCCGGTGAGACATTCTCTTTTACTGACCAGCCATTCACGACATAGCTGACTCCTAAAAGGACTATATGTGGAACAAGATGATCCTTCACATCTTTGCGGCCCTTTTCAGTGGATTCACCTTCTGGAAGATTGGAGACGGCACGTTCTCGCTTCAACTGCGACTGTTCGCTATTTTCAACTTCATTTTCGTTGCCCCTGGTTGCATTAATCAGATGCAGCCATTCTTTTTGCATAACCGCGATATTTTTGAGACTCGTGAAAAGAAGGTTAGCCTCTATGCCACCTCCGGTATTTTGTAATACTAATCGAACGTTTGGAATGCAGTCAAAGACATATCACTGGATCGCTTTTATTGGCGCTCAGACTATCACGGAGATCCCATATCTCATCATTTGTGCAACACTTTACTTCTTGTGCTTTTACTTCACAGCCGGATTTCAGTCTGTGGCCAGCATTTCTGGTCACTTTTACCTTCAGATGATATGTGAGTGAGCCTACTACGTTCCAGATCGGTCCATTCCCCATCGCTTTTTGGCCTTACTAACCTCGAGCTAGTCTACGAGTTCTTGTATACCTCAATTGGACAGGCCATTGCTGCCTATGCACCGAACGAGTATTTCGCTGCGGTCATGAATCCAGTTCTTATCGGCGCTGGCTTGGTCAGTTTCTGTGGTGTTGTCGTACCTTACAGCCAGATGCAGCCATTCTGGAGATACTGGATTTACTATCTCGATCCCTTCACCTACCTTGTTGGAGGCCTTCTTGGCCAGGTCCTGTGGGATGTCAAGGTGACATGCGAGCCATCTGAATATGTCACCTTCAGCGCCCCATCAGGACAGACTTGTGGCGAATATATGGCCGACTTTCTTTCAACCCAAGCTGGCTATTTGCTTGATTCCAATTCCACCAGCATCTGCTCCTTCTGTCAATACTCCACCGGTGCCGACTATGCAAAGACTTTCAACCTCAAGGAGAAGTATTATTCTTGGAGAGATGTGAGTATTTGTCATACCACCCTGGCATTCTTCCTTGTGCTAACATTTGTTACTAGACCGGGATCACTGCGATTTTCTGCATCACATCATATGCACTTGTGTTCTTGATGATGAAGATGAGAAGCAAGAAGACGAAGAGCGCTCGGTCGGAATGAAAAACTCCTCTTCATCTCAGCCAACCACCTCTTGCTCTCTTTTGATAGATAATATCCATAGATTCCATAGTGGCGCATGCCACCTAATCATGTCATTTTCGACCTCCTTTTCTACTTCTTGATATTACATAGATTTTCTTTCCACCGTAGATAATTCAAATTTGTTATATACGCTTGAAGTTATGAAATGGTGGAATACATGTGCAACAAACAAAAAAGAACAGCGTGGTTTGATGCATTCACTCCTTCCAAATGGATCTTGCATATGGAATGTTCAGCCCGTACCCCGGAATTCTCAGAATGTAGCTTTGGCCAGATTATTGGCCATGTTACCATCATTCAAGGGAACATTGGCATCTCCAAAGTCAGTCGTGTCCAAAGCACTTTGTGCCGCCGACGGTAGTGATTCCCAGGCAATCAACGGCTGGGTACCACCGACCGTGGTTGTCAAACCACATTGGTGATCCACGGGCCAGACACTGTAGTATCGGATCAGTGGTGATGTTCCATCGAGGGTATATCCGTCCGTTGAACAATCCCATCCTCCATGGGCGCTTGGGCAGACAGCGACAATATTGTCAGAAGTTGTGCTGGTGGAATCTGAGAGCCAGACAATCACGCCTTCCCAGTCATGTCGGTGGCCGATGCCCGACGACGGCTCATCCTTGGGGAAATACCATGAGTAAAGTAAGGCATAATAGTCGCCAGAGCGACTGCCTCGGACATATATTTGGCCAGTGCTGCTGCTGCATTCACCATTCGATGAGCCGGTCGGGGCCAACCCAGCACTATCTCCGTTAGACTCTAGAACCTCATACTTGGCTTGTGACGGACAAGACCCACTTGGTATCTCCATTCTCATCAACGGCAGGGAATGGAACGCAGCCATTCACGACATAAAGATGGGGCTGGTAGGCGAGATAGACATCACCTACTGTTCCCGGAGGAACTTTTTGATCAAAGCCAACAATTTCATCCGAGGCGACTGTTCCTCGACGCGATAGGTGCGATCGCGGGCTTGCTTTAGACAGCTGAGCGATGGCTAAAAGCCCTAGAAATGGTTGCAAAAGCATTGTCGATAATCTTTGCGTTGGAAAGGGTTGGCTCAGTAAGGCCCTTCCGCTTGGCCGATGATCATGTTTATATTCGCTGATGATCGTCCAGGGCACTTCCGATCAGGACACATTCCGATCTAATCTGGCAAAATCACCGAGCTCTGCAGGTCCGGAGAATTCCCGAGTTCTAAACGGGCCGTCGATCTCCAAAGGGCATGGTGGCCGATGAAACCCCCGCTTTTCGCCGGAAATTCGACCCCCGTGGGTTCGCGATTGTCATTCATTCGTTTCTTGGGTCGACTTAATTTGTTGCATTCTAAATTTCCACTTCGTTTAGACCAGAAGTGCTATCCAGATGCATCTAGGCTTTAGTGCCTGGGATTCGTCTTGAGAATATCAACACACGTGGGCGGAGAAAAATCTCCGATCGAGCTGCTTACTTCGTCCTAGGAGAATTTAATTTAGAGTAACGTGGTATTAAAGCTGCATGATGCTCGAATCATCGGATCAAAATTATATACGTGGGAGTGTTCTGCGAATCAAGACAAGCACGTGAGCAGGCTACCCAGTTTCTTCAAAACTTCCCCCTGCATGGTGGCATTCGCGTCTTCTTTGCTGCCAGCCAACCCCACGGAGACACTTGCATAACATCCAGAGGTCAGGGACACCTTGATCTCGCTTGGAAGTCGGTCGTCGCCACAAGTGTTAACATCATCAGGGGTAATCAAAGGGATGGCGACGTGGATTCTCGACAATACGAATGAGATATCCTCGGCTTTGGTACATTCAGAATCTGAGACAGACGGGAAGTTGACATTCAGCCAGATCTGATGAGGGGGTCAGTGTACTGCGAAAATAATCAGGAAGGGGCGTCGGATTGCATACATCATTCGGCAGATACGGTTTGCCTGCTGCGACCAGGTGGTTGGTCAGGTTGACGGCCGCATCGGCGTAAACTTGACTATAGTTCGGATAGGTTACAGAAGCGTTCCAGGCAGTCTGAGAGCCGGTCGCCCCTGAGAACGCGATGGCGGGGACTCCGGCGTCATGAGCTGCGTAGGTGGCTGCGCCGGCGGTGCCTGAGAAGTAGACCGCGAGCCCGATATTTGAACCGACCTGCTGAAGTTAGTAACCAATGTTGGTGGATTCGTGCTCCAGACTTGAGGTATATATCATACATTTGGCCCTGCAACTGCAAGGTCGGGACGACCATCGAAGAAGCGCGGTCCGATCGAGTTGATCCCGTATTTCATGGATGTCGCAGGGAATGAATTGACGTAGTTGAGGCGAGGTTCCGAGGCGTTATGCCCCACGGCTGGGCTACCGGCAGGGCAACTGTTGAACTCGCATGCCTCGTCGAGCACGGTCGGGTTCTTCTGGGAAGAGCCTATTGAGAACGAATTAGCCACTGGGCGCAAGACAGGGAGCATCGCGTTGCCAACCTGTTCCGCTCTGGTTCTCTGCCGGGGCAGATACCACGACCGAATGACCAGCATTCGTCAGGGAGTCGAAAAAGGAGCGAATATTCACCTCTGCCCAGCCATCATCATTCGAGGAGATGATGTTAATTGCGGAGGCAGGCCCTGCCAGAGCAAGAGAGCCAGCGAGGGCAGTGAACGCGTTGATTTTCATGGTGTAGCGTATGCGAAACGTCCAGTTCTCGGGCTCAGGCGACCACAGGCGGATCGTCAGCCTTCAGGCATCTTATACGATCCGTTCGGTTTGACCGCGGATCCCTCGGCAGCCGGACGGGCGACGGTTGAAGCTGCCGTGTTGCACGAAGATCAGCTGCCACATTTGGAACTAGTACCCACATGGCTGTTAAGGGACTCCACCTTTCTCGTGATTGGCGGCATTTCTAAATACGGTGTGCATAACCCTCACTAGGCTGCATATGCGCTACAACGGGAATCGCAGGGGGGCACAGGTGGCCGATCATTGCGACAGTGTCTCCTTTCAGGAAGTCCTGTCAGACCGGTTACATCCTGACAGCGACATCCCCTGCATACCTAGCGTCTCCGTCAACTTTGACCTCGTCACGGCAAGTAGCGTGAAACATCCAGTCTCCTACGGGGGCCTCCCAAAGTTGGCATACGCAAGTCTATTATTGCAGAGCAAGTTATGTTGCGATATTCATTCGATGGCGCTGAGAAAGTGCAGATCCCGAGTACCTCACGTCCAAATACGCTCAGCAAGTCGCTTGACCAGGACTAGCTTTTCCCACATGACCTCCATGGTCATCCCTTGGGCCTCCTCCAAGGCTCATACTGGCAAAGCCACATTGGGGACTGACACCGAGTGAGTCTGCAATCACCTCAGATACCTCACGCCCCTGTCCCCGAGAAATAACCTCGGCAGCAGAGTTCACCCGCTGCATTAACTCATCTAGACCTTCCAGCTCTGTAGTCTTGGTAGAAACGACACCCAGCACAACATTTTTTCCGATGGGCAAATGACGCAGAGGCTCGAAGTCACCAGCCCGATCAGTGTCGTACCTAGTGAGGCTGTCAATCACCTTGTGTTGAAATGAAAGTGGATTGGGCGAAAAGATACTCACTCTAGATAGTATGTATCATAAGCCAATTCAGTAAACATCTTCTTGGAGATACGTTCATATGACCCAGATATGATATGAGTTGATCCCGCCATGTTTACGCGGCAAAGATGGAGTCCAATATGAAGGTCAGCCGGCTTTTCCGCGAGGCAATGATTGTGTGCCCAAATATATTTGTCAAGAAGCTCATCGGGATCGATATCATCGGCGACACATCCAGAGCGGAATTCATTCGTGACAAAGTATGTTAAGCAAGGATCGTCTATTTGAATTGAGCGCAATCCGGCATCGTAAAGGGTCTGAAACTCGGCGCGATACGCAGCTGCGAGGTCTTCGAAGTACTCCTTGTCCGAAGCATACGCAGACGACTTATATGCAGACGACTTATACGCACTTCCGACAGCCATCTGTTGCCATTAGTGAGAGAATAACAGCCTATTCGGGATCCAGAGCTCACCTGCATATGAATATGAGTAACTGGTGGCATAGTTAGTTTGCATTCTTTCCATTTGTCCTCAGGCAGCAAGCGGCACAGGGCCTCCCATTCAGATAGGTATGCACTATGTGTATGCCTGATTTTCCCAGTAGCCACTACGGAGTCTCTGGTGCCGATACCCAGGGATTTCAAAGTCCTCAGCGTAGGGAAATTCGTTCTGTATCCCTGGTCGAGTGGGATGTCCTTGACGACTTCCATGCCCTCGAGGTGCTCGAAGAATCCCGAATAGAATTTGTCGCGTTCGTATTCGCCAGATGTGATGAGCCGGATTCCAAGTTCGAGCTGCTTTTTAACCACATTCGTGATGGCATCCTCGGTTGCCTTTTGGAGCTCGGTCTCCGTCAGGACCGAGTACGTAGAGGTGCCGGCAGCCGAACGGACTGCCAGCAGGTCGACCGGGCGCATAAGAGACCCGATCTGCTCAGCATGAAATAGAGGGGACATCTTGATCATCGTCCGATGATATGGCAACTTATTTTCGATTTTTCAGGGACCACGATGGATACTTTATAAGCTGCTTCATGTGTGGGGCTCCGGCATATCCACAGACGCACATCTGAGCGCGATCCCAAAAGCTTTTTGACCAGCCAGAAAAGATTGGTATCTTCTGGTACTCCGCCTCGGGTTGACGATATCCACGCCAGGCTCTCTCGACCGGGCCCATAAGTTCGGATACACTTCGCAGGAGTTAAGATTCAAACATGGCTGTTTGACCTCGGTGCGGGGTAACAAGGTCATGGTGTGGTACGTGGGGAAGTATTGTGAGGAAGAGATAAGTACGAAATGGTATGACAAAAGTGTAATGATTGGAGTGCTCGGTCTTCCGTCACACCCTAACCCGGAATCTATTTATGCGCTCTATTTTCAATGCGAATATAATGAAAGCTCTCGGTAAATTTGAGACCATTAAGAACCCCTGATATCCTCGATCATTCCCGTCTGTTGCTTCTCCTCGATTCCGGCCTCCTGAGCATGTTGATGAGGAACCACAGGGCGCCCTCGGGATGAGAACACTCCACCTGTGAAGCCTCCCTTGGCGAAGAGAAGGTTGACGTCTTCCAGCTCCAAGCCCTTGGTCTCGGGGTAGAAAAAGTAGATTATGGGGACCCAAAGGAAATTGAGGACAGCAAAAACGATAAAAACACGCCAGTTGATGTTTGCTAAAATGTATTCGTTAATTCTAAGCTCGGTGCTGTTGCTGTATAGTTGAGGATGGAGACATACCAATCGCAATTGGAGTGATCTTCACAATGACGAAGACGGATGCCCAGTTCACAGCCGAGCTGATTGCAGCACTCTTGCTGCGTAGATGGGTTGTACTAATCTATAAGAGTCATACAAGTCAGTGATGGACAACGAGAACTGAACCAAAAAGCAGAGTCCGAACTAACCTCTGACGGGTAAAACCAAGGCACCGGGAGCCAGCCTAGGCCATAGAATATTTGAAATAGGAAAATGAAAGCTGTGGCACCATACGCCGTTTGGACGCGACCGAATGACAGTAAAATCGCGACCATAACAAAGCATAGGGTCAACCCAGCACCAGAAACCATGAGTAGTGGTCGGCGGCCAAAGCGATCCATGACGAATAGAGGGAGTGTTGCGCCCACGAGGTAGGCCAGCGAAGTGCACCCGGACAAGATCATGGACATATTCCGTGACATGTGGAGCGCAGACTCGTATACCGTTGGCGCATAGTAGTTGCTGTCAAGGTCACTTGCAATTCCGGCAGGGGTAGGCTGGACTTGGGCGACTCACATCATATTTGACCCTGTAAATTGCTGCATGATCTCAATGAAGACAATGAGCAGCATCCGTCGCCAGTTTTGCAGCTTCCCGTGGCTGAAAAAGTCACGCCAAGTGACCTTTTCGCCTTGAAGGTCTTCTTGAATCGACTTTGAGATATCAGCCAGGCTTTGCACCACAACCTCTTCATCCACTGATTTGCCGTTGATCGCAGCCACCACCTCCCGAGCCTCTTCGTGTCGATCGTTTTTCATGAGCCAGCGAGGAGTCTCTGGCAGTCCGATCACTTGCAGTACCAGCAAGATAGCGAAGACGGCCTGGAATGCCAAGGGGAATCGCCATTGCAGTGATGATTCAGTGAAGCTGGTGCCGTAATCGAGCCAGTATGCTACGGAAATGTTTAGCCCAGGGCAGTCGTCAACAGGTGGAAGAAACCGACCTATGCATAAGCCCAGTATAGTGACTGTACCCTGAAGGGTAAGAAGCGTTCCTCGGATGTCTGCCGGAGCACACTCTGCTTGGTATACTGGTGCTGTCGAACTGTTTATTCCGTTTCCCTGCGATGATCTGATGAGCCCCCGTGAGTTTCACAGAACTGGTTGGGGTCACGAACGATGCCAGTTACAATTCGCCCAACAATGAGCTGAGCGATAGTCGTAGAGGTTGCCAAGATGATCGAACCAATGACCATGATAGAGCCACCAGCCATCAACATCCAACGACGGCCGAATTTTTCACCGATAAAGAAGACAAGAATGGACCCTACAATGCAGCCGATCTGATGTGATTAGTTGTCAACCATTGGTCTCATTATAAATACAAGAGATCACTCACATCATATAGAGCCACGATATCCCCCTGCATGTCCGCGTCGGGGTGGTTAAAATCCCTTCCAAATCTGTTGTCAGCCCCAACCAGGCCTGACATCACACCTTGGTCATATCCAAGAAGCAGGAACGCCTGGCAAGAACAGGCCGTCACGGCGAACACTAGTGCTCGGCCCCGAAAAGTGTGCTTCCACATTGTGTTGGACCTTCTTGTAAACCGAGACGGTCGGATGCAAGTGAACAGACTGAAAGTCCCAGGGCCGGCCGGACTGGAAGGCCAGCAACTTTAGATGGAGACGCAACCGCAACCCCAGTCCTCCGCACGACGCGGATCGACCCCAGACCTGCTAGATTGGCACTTCCGGGGGTTGCACACTCCACTATACCTCACGGGTGTGGCCAATCGGCCCGGAGAATTTGGTTGCGAAGATCGGGCGCTCGGGGTGGGAGAACCCGAGGAAGCGGAGAGCGAGCACAGCGTGCCATTTGCGGTGCCGTGTGCGCTCACCGGGTCCACAAATGCCATCCATGCCGACGACTCGGCCCTTGTTTTGCTTTGCCAGGCCGCGGATTGGTCCCTAGGTCTCCCCGTGGGGACTACATGCGCGTTCATCTTCGGGTTAAGGTACCCCGAGGATGGTGGGTCGCATATAATGGACGGAGTATCCCCAGGAAAACTCCCCGCCATGCGTCAATGACTGTCTGCAGTGGCATTGAGATGGCCGGGTGCTCATCGTTGCGAGTGGAAAAGGGCCTGCTTGAGGTGGGATAGCAATGTGCACTGTATTTGGACTTCAGTTCTGCCCTCGGTCTCGGCCTGTGGTTGCCGTCGTAATGCTAGGATTTCAACGCCATGCCCAGTTGGCCCGGTGCCGAATCGACGAACCCATTCTTATAGTACAGTTTCCGACCCGGCTTATCAGCGAACAAAGTAATGTAAGGCTTTCCATCGGCAGGGGACTCGTGGTGAATCTGGCGAAGAAGTTCCTTCAAAATCACATCTCCGAGTCCTTTCCGCTGGTGGTCCGGATGAACCGCCATGTCGGCGATGTGAAAGTACCAACCCCCATCCCCAATGATTCTTCCCATCCCAATCGGCAGTGGGCTTTCGTTGGGCGCATCGTAGGTGATGTAGCAGCCATACCAGCTTCCTGTGGCAATAGCGGCTGCCTGGGATGTTGTTTTTGCCGAGAGACCTGACGCGGCACGAAGGTGGAGGTACTGGGGGACGTCGGGGTAGCCGGCGTGGAAGCTGTATCCCACCGGAAGCGCAGGGGCTGCTGGATAACTCATTTTGAAGGAGGCGAAATCCCCCGAGATCGATGCGCGTAGAATTAGGAAATCCCTGCGGCGTGTGGGAGGACGCGCGGGGATTGTGATGCTCGGACCTCCTCGTCGCAGTGGGGCCGCGGCTTGGTACCGTCCTTAAACATCGTTGTGATATTGTGACAAAGTGGGAGTAGTACACTAGTGTAGGGTAGCATCACCGAGTTGAATACATTGTAATGTGATACGCTCGCTGCTGATCCCACAATGCGAAGCGTTTATCCTGTGGCTTACTTCACATACCGAAATTAAAATGGACGATCTCAAGCATCAAAACCACTCAATGGGATTTGCTAGGAAATGCTTATGTTGCCAATATATAAAATGTAATAAGAACAGTACGCAACATGTATAAAACATAAATTAAGTGACTCTTGTCCCCATCGCCATTAAGTGAAATCAACTCCCTGTCGATGACTCAAATGACTAGGTCGACGTGGGAATACATTGGGAATAGTAGGCGTTGTACGAAGTGCAAGTGGCCTGGGCAGTGCAGACTGTAGCACCAGACCATCCACTTCCTCCACACTGTCCATATAGTGATTGGGTCGAGGGACTGTCACCCGTGGGGCTAGTAGTAGTGGTCAGGGTGGTTCCTTGGCTACTAGAAGTAGTGGTCCTAGAGGTCGTCGCCGTGGTTGTGCTGGTAGTCGCCTTTGAGGTGATCGTCGTAGTGTCTGCAGAAGTGGTGGTGGTTGGGTTGGGCCCGGTGGTAGTCACGGCACCAGTTCCTGTAACAGGGGTGCCAGAAGCAGTGATAGCAGAGGAAGATTGGGTGATGGACACAGCTCCGCTGTACAGAGTTGGACCGGGCACAACGTAGGTTGAGAGAGAAGCGTAAATGTTCACCAGGATGCCGGGATCAGTTGAGCTGTACAGCACAGTACCCAGGACGCCCGATGGCTCATCACTTCCGGAGCCAGTCACTTGCAAGTTGAAGCACTGGGGATAGTTTTGGGCACCATCCTCAGTTCCAGCGCTGTGAAGCGCAATGAGCTCGTGTCTCATTACATAGTTGCCCGGAGCAATAGTCGGTGGGATCTCGACCATCCAGCTGTTGTTGTTGGCAATCAGCTGGTCATCGCCCCAAGTGCCAGGTACTGTTGTGTCGTCGACAAGACCCACTCCATCGATCTTGAAGAACTTGAGAGTTGTCTTATCGACGGTTTCGCAGGAGTCACCACAGTTAGCGAGGTAGGTAATCACCGGACCATGATGCGAGTCGGGCCAGGTGGTCCACTGAAGACTGATCTTGTCTCCAGCAGCCACCACGGCGTGTCCCTTGGCGTTGGTGGCATTGAGATGGCAAATAATGTCGTCAGTTCCATAGTTCGCTGTTCCTGAGATTAGTTTCAACAGCCCGAGAGGCTCCTGAGGGGAGGTAGCTTCGTACATGGGGTAATAAATCCATTGGCAGTGTTCGGAGTACCCCATGCGACAACAATAGGGGGATCAGACATGTAAGGGTAGGAGTTGATATCCCACCCTTCATATGAAATCCCGTTGATCACGATATTGCTGATGTGACCATGGCCAGCGGCCAATGAGAAGAGAAAGAACGGTGCCGAAATGCGCAGCATTTTGTGGAGAACAACCTTTTTCGCTAGTACCGGCCTGAGGAAAAATAGGTTCGATGATCGACGTGAAGTAGAAATGCTTGTAACCGAGCTGCTGGGTCGAGGTTTATTGTCTCAGTCGGCGAACCCGACCGAGTTTATATGCTTCGCCGAGCACTCTCCATGGGGCCTCATCCGAAGCTCAAAATCATGGTCGTTCGAAAAGCAGGTAGGTAAAGCGAATAGCTGTCGCGGAATAAATTGAAAGCATGCCGGGTATGTCTAAATCCCGTGGCGTGAAGAATTTGTGTTCGAAAGGGCGCCACTGCACGGCGACCCAGCATCCGTGTCGAGATTGGAATTCATTCACCAGGAAATTCCAGTGCAGAAACGTAGATGTAATCACAAGATGAAACGTAATATGAGACGAAGGTCCTGGTTTTACCGCTCAGTACCGGAAAAATCGAACGCTACTAGTTTAGGCTCCCTTGGCAAAACGCGGTGCTAACGTATTTCGCGGCAGTGTCCTTATCACTTGAGGATATCCTAGAGCAACTTCACCTTTAGCATAAGAAGTCTCTAGCGAAATTAAATGACAGAAAATGGAAGAGGGATAAAATGTTCTCTTCTCTTCGCTTTCACAGCATTTTCTATCCGTTCCCTTCTCTGGTTTTTTTTTTTATTTTTTTTCCCCTTAAGGGCACACATGTGGTAATTCATCCGATAGGCTCTTCTAAGTCTCGGTTCTGGACGTTACCAAGAGCCGCTCTGCATGGGTAGAGAATTTCCGGACTTCCCAGGTGGGTACGGGCGTAATGCCAGTAGACCCTTGAATTTCGAATCCGTCCCAGAAACGTAAATTCAATCTCGAACAAGCCATGAGTGAGTTCAAAAGATCCATCAACTCCTAAAATCAAGGTCAATCTCATGGTGGCTGTCGCAAGAGCATGTCGGTAGCCCAGAGGTTTTAATCGCCGGATATTTCTTCACGGATATCCGTGTCTAAAGGAGCACTCCAGGAGTCGTGAAGACGCATCCGACCACAAGAGCCCTGCCCCGGCACATATGCTTTCTGCGAGCTGGGATCACTCACCCCGGATTCGCATGTGGATTGAGCAGTCTGAGCCGTTCCAGACGAGCCACGGGAACTAGGTCCGCTGTTCAACCGTGTGATGCTCTTGCGCACTCTTCGAATACACGATTGGAAAAATGGCTTCATGAGTAACAGGGATCCACAGATGATGGCGACATCGAGCTCGAGCACTGTCCAGATCAGGGTAAAAGAGCTGTTGACTATAGGATGGCCTTAGCAGTGCATTATTCTTCAGAAATAGATGATACGTACTAGTGAGGTTGTCGGTTTGGAAATTCTTGAGCGCGACCAGCCGAAAGATGCTAAAGATGCATACGCTACTCAGGTTAGCCTGGGGTCTTCCGATCCCCCGCGAGGTATTCCACGTACATGCAGCCTATTGAAAATAGCAGAGTGATTTCGAGTTTGTCCCGTAATGGGGCATGAAGCCTCCACACCACTGGAAGCGGCAGGCAGAGGATCAGCACATCCTGGGCCACGGACAAAGATCCGATGATGATGAAAAAGGTATTCTGCCCGGGCATACAGTGTCCCCGGATGCGCTTCACCCAGAAGTATTGAACTGGCCAGCATTGAAAAATGTTCCCGATGATTGCAGTGACACCCCAGGCAACCACGAGAATAATGACTAGGGTGGCACATAGCCTAAAGCGATCGAGGCATTCAAGCAGACGGCGCAGAAAGAGAATGATCGACACTTTGACCAGCACTTGGGCCATGGGCCAGAATTTCTGCAGGATCCAGTCGGCCTAAATGACCACGTCCTCAGGTTAGCCCCGCAACGTCAATTGCCGGCCACACACATACCAGTGCGATGTTTACTCGCTCTTCGCGCGGCAAAACCAAGATGGTCTGACCTATGCCGATACCATGGATGGCCGCTGAGAAGAATCAGATCAATCAAGTGGCTCTTCATTCACGACGGTGATACCCTACCGTATACAATGCATCCCGCGACGCCCCATGTGAAGAAGAGGCCGATCCCCATCAGCAGGTCCTCAATTCGCAGCTTTTGTGTCACTATATGGCGTGCATAGACACGGAGGACGTAAACGATTGTCGCAACCGCCGTACCCACAAGAGGGACGATGATCAGGACTTCTCTCCAATGCTGGCTCGGTGCCATTGTGATCTTGGCGAATTGCGCGACTTTCTGATATTGAAGCGGTCCACAATCAATCGGGAGGCATTGTGCAGCATCGTGTCGCCATCGTAGTCAAAGTCTGATTCGCAGAGCGGCCTTTCGTCGTCGTGAACATTCCCTGGCAAGACACTGCGGTGGTTGTGTGGAATGGGAGGTTGTGAGGCTGGTTGGTTGGGGGGGAAGTGAGGCTCTTAACGACGTCACCATCTCACCCGCGAGTTGAAGTCGCCCCACCAGGCGGAACTATCTTCCTCCCTCCACTCCCGACCCAGCATTTTCATCCCGCAACCACGGTTCTCCGCGACCACCATGGAGAAACGGAGAGCATCGTTGAATCGCGAAGCCGAAACCCCATCTATCGATGAGACCCATGGATTTGAATTGGTCCGTCAGATACGTGTAAGTGTCTCGCTGTATTCAGAGGGATGCCGACGAGACTAACAAAGGCAGGACTGGCAAATAAACAACGGCGCTCTATTCAAGAGCATCGCAGATGACGATCAGGATGATAGTGGAGTAGGGTATGCTATCGGAGTCACTGTGAGGCTGCATTTTTTTCTTTCGGCGTCAGCTGCCACTGACTCTAGAATAGGTCTTCCCCTCACCTTTTCCCTGGAGGCTGTTTGAACAAGCGAGGACATTACAGCCGATCTACAACAAGCTGTACTGTGCTATCGCTGAGGATCCCGATTGGATCTACTCGCAGATCAAAGATCTCATTCCCGTTGACCCCCTTGTCCACGAGCTGTGGGATCTCTATCAGGCTGCCCGACAGCGAACATCTGTGCAGCCCATCTCGGCCGGCGTGTTTCGCTCCGACTACATGCTCAATTGTGGCACTGGATCTTTGGTTGATCCCCAGGATGAAGAACGCATCCACAGCACTCGCTGGGATCAGCTATCGCAGGCAAGCCTGAAGCAGGTGGAGTTTAACACATACTTTTGCGCGGGGTTCGCCCACGCAGAAAGAGTCGCCAAGATGCACCAATACCTTGCGCGTACGGGAGCCTATAACTTGAACGGTCGCCAGCCGTTCCATGCAGGCTCAATGCCTTTGAACCATAATGTTGCCGAGATTGCTTCCCTCCTGGCTCTTGCACACGAGACCTACGGATTTGCAAGGAGCAAGTTTGGGAGAAAGACAGCGATCCTGTTCGTTGTTCAACCACACAATGTCAATGGTTTCCAGTCTGTATCGAGTAAAACTGACTACTGACTTCGAATACAGGTCAATACCACTGACGAGCGACCGATCGAGTATGCCTTGGCGGATCGAGACATACCTGTGTCCATTTATCGAGTGTGGTTTGGACACGACGTGCTAGCGTGCACATCGCTCACAGAGGAACAGGCATTGCTGTTCACTCCGCCGGGGTCCGTATCCGAGCCAGTGGAGATATCAGTTGTCTATATGCGAGCCGGCCTTGACGCGAGCGAATATTTCGACGACAGCGACATGCAGGGCTGCAACGACGGGGATGCAGATCTCTCGGAAAAGTCGAGGCATGGAGCTGGCTGGTACGCGCGTTTGCAACTCGAGCAGTCGGCGGCGATCAAGTGCCCCTCCGTGTTGGGACATATGGCCACTTTAAAAAGGGTTCAGCAAGCCCTGACCGTGCCAGGGGCATTGGAGCGATTCCTCGATCCCGACGAAGCCAGCCAAATTCGTACAACATTCGTGCGCATGTATCCCCTCGACAAATCCGAAAATGGCTTGTGTGGACGGGCTAAAGCCACCGATCCCGAGCAGGCGAGGCACATGATTCTCAAGCCATCCCAGGAAGGAGGTGGCCACAATGTCTATGGCGAAGAGATCCCGGAATTCCTAAAGACCCTATCGCAGGTAGAATGGTCTCGGTACATCCTCATGGAAAGAATCATGCCTCCGCCTGCAGATAACTTCCTGTTGGGTCGTGAGTGCGCGGGTTACGATACCATCTCCGAACTGGGTGTGTTGGGATGTTGCCTGTGGCGCAAGGAAGCGCAGGGTCATGGCCGCTGCGAGATATTCCAGAATTGGCAGGGTGGCTGGACGTTCAAGACGAAGCCCGCTGGGGTCGATGAAATGAGTGTGGTCAAAGGATTCGGTTGTTTTGATTCGCTGCGGCTATTGGGATGATTAGTAGTATGCTGGCGAGGACGAGCCAGTTGGTGCTATCTATGGAAATCTGCGGTTGTAGGGTGACGTGTGATTTGTTATTCTTATCATGCGACCATATACTATTCAGGGTTCAAGGCCATTATTTCCAAGCACACTGGGAAATCTAGGTAGACGTTTGAATTACTAGTGCTCGCAACTTGTGGCTGTTACGATGCTGGTTGCGAATTCCCTTGGGCTCCTTAAGTGCAACGGCATTGCCCTGACTGAAGACGCCTGGGTGCTACTACAATTTAGCAACGTAGAGTAACATGCCATGTTCAAGAACGCTGGCGTAAGTCGGGCGGCAGGCTTTGAAGAGCCAGACCATTCTCTTAATTCTATTTTTACCGTTTATATTCTATTTCTATCTGTCTGGTCCTAAATAAGCGAGATCATGACCTCTGGGTGTTTTCTTTCATTCCGGGTCCTCCCGGTTGATTATGCTTCCTATTTCGGCAGTAGGAGTGAGGATAGAGTTCTCTCGTTCCCATCAGTAGTGCCGTAAACGGAGAGACTCATAGTCCAGGTAATTTCTCCTTTCGGCACCTCTTTGGATGGGTGCGATTTTAGCTTTCTCAATTTCTCCGGGCGAATCCACCCGAAAGACGCAAGTTGGCCGAGCGCTATTCCTGTCCAACATCGCCAGTGAGTCCTTGCCCGGTCACATCCTGGTACTCGCACTTAGTCACGATCACGACCAAGATCATGCGCGAAGCAGAATTTTCACCGCACCAGAGCCTTCTTTGGTTTTAGTCTCCTCGCTGGTTTTCCATCGACATCGCAAATGTCCAGGCCTGGATTTGGCCAAGACCAAGTGGGACGATGTCGCATAGGGCCCGAACGGGGGGCTCCGCAGTACCGGCATGCAGCTCCAGAGCCTCGCGAGGTCCGAAGTCCGGAAGATTGCGTCTTTCCTGGGAGTATCCTACAGTATGGAAGTGGTTGGCGACATCTCCCGGAATCGGCAGTAACCACTCTCCAGGTGATGGCCGGATTAGAGAGTGGCAGACAAGCCGAGGCGGGTTCTGATCCAAAGGGGGATATAGTTGGGGCCCGCGCAACTCAATTGCACCAGGAGCACGGACGCCTCAAAACTCTGTGACATAGGGCGAATCTGGGTCGGCTTCTCCGCTCTCCCATGCCTGTCCATGTGCCCTCCATGTGGTTCGAGATTTCCCCCCACGCCAAGACGATCCGGTGTACTCTGGCTGCTGCTAACCAATCATGCCCGCCCGAAGGGTCATGGACGGACTTCCCCAGTTTCGCCCCCCGTGGAGTGGCGGCTTGGCGTTCGGAAGTTCACCGAGGTTTACCCTGCGATCTGGAGATGACAGCGCGGGTATGGGTGGGAGATACCTCAAGTAGGCAGTCGCGATTGCAGTTACTGTTGCTGCGTCCGCTTTATTGTGTTAGCTGATCCTCAATGTGCACAGTGTGATATGTCCATGAGCCCTCATCCTAGCGGGTACACCGCAGGATCCCAGCTGCAGGGCCCGGTGGCCGCGCTGGGTGTAACCCCCGGTCCAGAAAAACGACAAAACCACCGGCGATGCCGTCGAATAGCAATGATCGGCCATCTTTCTCGGGACCCAAGCTCCCTTGGTGCTGTCCCCCAGCCTTGGCCGAGGGCGTCTGCGTCCCACCGATAGTCGGCCTCGGGTGTAGATGCGGATCCCGGGGAGTCTGGGGTGCGTAGCGCAGTGCAGGTCCTCCCGGTGGCGCGAAACGGGGGAATTTGCCAGTTTGGAGGAAGATACTAGATCTGGATACTGGGGCTGGTCGGACGCTAATCTGTTCGTGTTGTTCCCCCGGAAGTTCCCCGCAAGGCCGCAAGGCCAGGATGCCTGGTCCTCGCTGCAGCTATTAAAGCACCCCAGACACGCACGCTCACTTTCCTGGCGATCTTTTCTTTCATCCACTCACTCTCTCCCCGCACCATCATTACGCGCTCGTTCGCGTATCTCTTCGATTTCCTGAGACAGCTTTTCCTCCTTCGTACAGCTGCCCGCCATGGCTGGTGGTAACAAAAAGCCGATCAACATCTTCCGGTTGAAGCACACGGGCGAGCCGTCCGAGGTGTTCAACTGGAGGCTCTGGTTTGCTGTCATCTCGTTCGGCCTCATGGGTGCTGCTCGCGGTATCGATGAGGGTCTGATCTCCGGCGCCTTCAACTCGAAGGATTTCCAAAGCTACATTCACTACAGTTCCTACAGCACGGTCGAGCAGACCAACATCAAGGCCAATGTGTCTGCCATGGTCCAGATTGGATCCGTCGGTGGTGCTCTCTTGTGCGTTTCTCTTTTTTGATTCCTTTCCTTCGGCTTTGTTACTGACATCGCTTGTTTACTTCTCACAGTGCCTTCCTTGTCTGTGATCGCATTGGCCGTATTTGGGCGACGCGTATCCTTTGCCTGCTCTGGATCCTCGGTATTGCTATTTTCATGGGTAATGGTGGCTCTCTCGGCGCTGTCTATGCCGGTCGCTTCGTTGCTGGTCTCGGTGTCGGACAGACTGTCGTCGTCGGTCCCGTTTATCTCGCCGAAATCGTTCGTTTCCCTCCCCCGTCCAACTTTTGTGATCCAACCTTTTTTTCTGACACACTGTCCAGGCCCCTGCTGCCATTCGAGGTCTCTGCACGTGCGTGTTTACTGGCTTTGTCTATCTCGGTACGTGGACTCCCAGCCAAGACCTCCTAAAGCATAAAGTACTTGGCGCAGTGCTTGTTTTTACGGTCGCCATTTTAAGCCCACACTAACGCTCCACTTTCTACAGGAATTGTGCTTGCGTATTTCGCAAATTATGGCTGTGAAGTCAACCTGGGCGACAACACCCACAACCGATGGGTATGATCTATTTCCCCGGCCCCCCCCCGGCGATGCCGTCATGTAACAAAGTACATACTGACAACCCCACAGTTGGTCCCTACCAGCCTGCACGTCATCTTCGCCGGACTGATCATTGTCCTCTCGTTCCTGCAATACGAGTCGCCGCGATTCCTTGTCAAGAAGGGTAAGATGGACAAGGCGATTCACAACCTCGCCCGGATCCGCGGACTCCCCGAAACCCACGATTATGTTGTTGAGGAACTCAACAACATCAAGCTCTCCCACGAGATCGAAATGGAAGCGACTTTGGGATCGGGTCCGATTGGCGTCCTCAAGGAGACTTTCCTGGTTCCCAGCAACCTGTACCGTGTCTACCTCGCCCTCATGGCCCAGGTTCTCTCCCAGTGGTCCGGTGCCGGATCGATCACTGTCTACGCCACCGACCTGTTCGAGCTCCTAGGAGTTGCTGGCACAGAGGAGAACCTTCTGGTGACCGCTGTCTTTGGTATCGTCAAGTTTGTGGCTGCCGTTATTTGCGCTCTTTTCTTGGTCGACGTGATTGGCCGCAAGCGCTCCCTGCTTCTGGGCATCACCCTCCAGGCCATCTCCATGATCTACATCGCCGGTTTCCTGACTGCGGTCCCTGAAATGGGAGTCGTGGAAGGATTCGTGCTGCCCGCGCACCAGAAGGGTGCCAGCCGCGGCGCCATCGCGATGATCTACATCTCCGGATTCGGCTGGGCCCTAGGCTGGAACTCGATGCAATACCTGCTGACAGCCGAGCTGTTCCCGCTACGCATCCGCGCCATGGCCACCTCGCTCGCCATGACCCTCCACTTCGCCAACCAGTATGGCAACGCGCGCGCCGTCCCCAACATGCTCCTCCCCGTCGCCGAGGGAGGCATCAGCCCCAAGGGTACCTTCTGGTGCTTCGCCGCTGTGACCATCGTGGGTGGCATCTGGGTGTGGTTCACTGTCCCGGAGACTGCAGGACGGTCGCTTGAGAGCATGGATCGTCTGTTCTCGCTGCCGTGGTACCGCATTGGTCTACACGGTAACAAGGATGCCGAGCTCCAGGACCAGGTGCTGGATGAGAAAACCCAGAGTTTCCACGACGACAACAAGGACCACTCCGGTTTTATCAACGTCGAGGACGTCAACCGCCCCCGCTCCCGAGGGCAGCAAGGTGTTTAAGCATCCTACAGTATCATTATTGTAACCCCGGTGGTTTATTTTTCAGATATCGAAAGCTTCACGGGTATCCATGACGACTTTAACGATTTTAGCTGCGCATCGCAGGAGATCGAATGTACTATCTTACTGCAGCATGAAGATACTATTTTTGTCAATGAATGTACGAGTGCATGGATGCAACAAACTCTGTGTAGTGACTGGCTGGTTTTGCGTAGATGGTGGGTTCCGATGCAAGATGTATATATTATAAGGCGGCAGGATTGTTGCTTAATTTATAATGTTTCTCTGGGGGATTCTCCGTGGGGTGCAAGCTTTTCTCTCTGTCGGCTTAATTGGAAGAGAGCTCTGTCCAGTCATTTGCAGGATCTTGAGACTGGGATAAAGTGCAACTGTCATGTGTCTGGGCCACATCCTGTATGATGTCCCTGGAGATTCCAACAAAGGGGATGTTCAGTTGATGGCGATGCAGCTTTTACCCTTATGTAGCCATAGTTGGCCATCACTTCAACAGCCCGGCCGGGCTAGCTCAATCGGTAGAGCGTGAGACTCTTAATCTCAAGGCTGCGGGTTCGACCCCCGCGTTCGGCTTTTCCTATAACACCTCGAGATTTCTTTTTCGCGTCTAAATGTTTTCCTTTTTTTTTTTTTTCGGGTCGCATCCGTTTTGCGAGAGCTCATGGCTCCTCTCTATTTTCTCGCTGCCTCTAAATCTCGTTTTCTTTGATTGCCTATAATCCCGTTGTGGCCCACGCGACCATGTGCCGAACTGCCGAGCTGCTGAGTCACACGCCTGAACCGGCATACGGAGTCCCGCATCCACCGCATTATCAGTGCTGTGATTCGATTGTCTCCTACAAATGCTCCGCTCTCAACGGTGGCCACGCCGGTTCAGACCGCCGCCGGCATCAGTTTCGATGCAAATTCCATGAGACAATGCGCAGGCGGGGCGGCCCAGGCCCTGGTGCCTGGTCTTGAGCTTTGCAATTGCACCCAATGAGATACTGCGATCAGTGCAGTTTCAGGTCTAGCGAACCCACACCGACGGTTTTAAGCCTAAATTATCACCGTGTGCATTATCAGCGGCGGTATTATGCTGTCCGTGTCGGCTTGTTCCTCTCCGCGATGCAACTTGGTATAAGAACAGACCCCCCAGGGTTTTCTTGCACTCGGCGCATGTATTCGATCCATAGAATTTACAACCGTTATGCCGAACTCCTCTGCCTTCCCTGAACATTCTCTATAATTCATTTTTTATCTTGCTTTGTTTTTGACCTTCTACATCTGTGCATGACCACAATCATGGCCGGCGATCACATCTCGCGGCCCAGTAGGTCTCTGTCCAGCTTGAGTGCCAGCACCGACTCCGAGAACCAGGCATCCAGAACCGAATCCCGACCTCAAGGCTTCACAGAATCAATTAAATCTCGACTTCGAACTACCTCCAATCCCAATGCGCCCCATCTGGACCGAGTTCACTCCGCGAAGCACATGGACGACCAGTCCGTCTACCACAGCGGCCATGCGACGAGTGACGAAGACTCGCTGGATGACGACTTGTCACTTGCTGCGGAAAAACAGGAAACCATCCAGGAGGTGCGATGTGGCATCGTGAATGAGCGAGATATCGATCTCGAAAAAGGGCAGCAGCAACAGACCCCGGAATTGCAAAAATCGAAATCGGCACTCCCAAATCGGTTTCGCCAAGATGCCAAGCTGGTATGTCGAGTCCTACCACTCTATAGATAGGAATACATCAATCTAACAATATCAGGTGGACTGGGAGGGACCTAACGACCCAGAAAACCCCAAGAACTGGGTCAACAAAAAGAAATGGGCCGCTACCATCACCGTCTCTCTATTCACCTTTATCTCGCCTGTGTCTTCCTCTATGGTGGCACCCGCCCTGTCCTCGATCGCGGCCGACTTGAATGTCACAGACCAGGTCGTCTCCCAACTGATGCTTTCGGTCTTTGTTCTTGCCTATGCTGTGGGTCCTCTTTTTCTCGGTCCGCTCTCCGAGATCTATGGACGAGTGATTGTTCTCCAGCTGGCCAACCTTTTCTTCCTCGTGTTTAACATTGGCTGCGCGGTTTCTCAAACCAAGGTGCAGATGATTGTTTGTCGATTTTTCGCAGGCCTAGGAGGTAGTGCGCCACTGGCTGTAGGTTCTTCCCTCTTCGGTCCAGATCAACTGATTGCAAAGGAAGTTGCTAACTCTGGCAGGTCGGTGGTGGTGTTCTGTCTGATTGTTTCCGGCCCGAAGAGCGCGGAAAAAGCATCGCAATCTACAGTCTCGCACCGCTTCTCGGTCCGGCACTTGGCCCCATTGCAGGTGGCTTCATCGCGGAAAACACGACCTGGCGCTGGGTCTTCTATTCGACTTCTATCGCAGATGGCCTTATCCAGTTGGCCGGTCTCTTCTTCCTCCGTGAAACGTACGGTCCTCGTATTCTCCGTGACCGTGCCAGACAACTGCGCAAGGAAACCAACGATGAATCTTACCAGACCGAAGCCGAACTCCAGAAGAAGACCCTCATCCAGGTCCTGCGCGGCTCGCTGGTCAGACCATTCCGCCTCCTCCTCACCCAAAATATTGTTCAAGTCCTTGCATTGTACATGGCATATGTTTACGGCATCATGTATCTAGTCCTCTCCACCTTCCCATCCCTCTGGACCAACCCCGCCTACTATAATGAGTCCATCGGGATCGGTGGTCTCAACTACATCTCCCTCGGTCTTGGCTTCTGGTGCGGCTCTCAGATCTGCGCCCCACTCAACGACCGCATCTACCGACGCCTTAAAGCACGCAACAATAACATCGGCCGGCCCGAATTTCGCGTGCCACTGCTCGGTGTCGCCGCCATTCTCCTTCCGGCCGGCCTCTTCATCTACGGATGGACCGCCCAGACACTCTGTCACTGGATCGCACCCAACATCGGTGCCTTCCTTTTCGGAACCGGAACGATCATCTCCTTCCAGTGCATGCAAACCTATATGGTAGATACATATACCCGATTTGCCGCCAGTGCTCTCGCAGCTGGTGCGTTCCTGCGATCGCTCGCTGGATTCGGGTTTCCGCTCTTCGCGCCGTACATGTACGACGCTCTCCACTATGGCTGGGGAAACAGCGTACTTGCTTTTGTTGCGATTGGTATCGGCATTCCGGCCCCGATCTTCTTGTGGAAGTATGGTGCCAAGCTGAGAGCCCGCAGTACTTATGCTGCTGGCTAAAAAGTCATCAAAAAGGTGTTGAGTTTTGAGGAGGTCGCATTTTGATTCTTGCATTGCGCTGCGTCGCCATTCATACCCATGATAATGTTTAAAATCTATAGATTTAATGAGAAAAGTTCATCGATGACTCCGACGAAGCTTCCAGCATTTTTTGGGTAGTTTAATGGAGTTAGGCTTCCGGCGATGATGACTGCCGCAAGTGGCCAATCAGCGTCAAGCACAACCCGCAGATCTATACCACAGTAGGTTAGTATGTTGTCAGCATCAGCCTGCAAGGTGCCGCGGGTTTAAGCGGACTTGATGAATTCACACTATAAATACGAGGAAACACTCGCTCGACAGCCATCTTACTATGTCACTATCTCATTGACATTCATCAATTGTGCAGAATTTACCCCTTCAACATGCATCTCATCCTCACCGGCGCAACCGGCCTGGTCGGCTCCGGCGTCCTCGACGCCATGCTCAATAACAACGCGATCACCAAGATCTCCATCCTGAGTCGAAGACCAGTGCAGATGGCAGAAGACGCAAAGGATCCCCGAGTCCACGTTATCACACACAAAGATTTTGAGACCTATCAGCCAGAGCTTCTGGAGCAATTGAAAGACGCAGACGGATGTGTCTGGGCCCTTGGAACATCCCAAAACAACGTGAACAAGGAGTACGCGAGACACCATGCCATCCCTGCACCCAAACAAGTTAACACCCAACAGGCAATACATCACGATCACCAAAGACTATGTCGTGGCAGCCGCCAATGCGTTCTCCACACTCAAGCCTGCAAACCCTCCCTTCCGGTTCGTCCACGTATCCGGCGAAGGAGCAACGCAAGAACCAGGTCGGTTCTCGCCGATCTTCGCACAAGTCAAGGGTGAGGTCGAGTCGATACTTGGCGATATCTCAGAGAAGAATCCGAACACGTTTCGGGCTGATACCGTGCGACCCGCATTTGTTGATCCGGCGAGCCACGATGCGATCAAGCCGTATCTCCCTTCCAACAATGGTATTTGGTATAAAGTCGGTATGGTGCTTCTTGGTCCTGGGATCAGGCAGCTCTACAAGTCGATGCATTCACCCACTGAACGTCTTGGGCCGTTCTTGACGGAGATGGCGATGGGACGGATGGATGGGAAGCTTGAGGGTTCGGGGGTGTTCAAGTTGGGAGGTGGTTGGGTTGTTGAGAATAAGGGGATGCGGAGGATTCTGGGATTGTGATCGCCACACACATTCGTACTATGAGGCCGGCATGTAATATTATCATCTAATTTAATCTTCGCTCTTGTCATTTTTCATTCTATTCGTCATTTCAACTCATGTCCCATTAAGGGCCGTTCATCTAACCATCATATCTCCTATGTTCATCCAATCATAATCCATATATCTTCTACTGTTGTACGCCGGGAAACGATTGGAAACGTAATCCATAGTATTTTGTATTGTACACCGAGAACCATCCTTGGTGTTCTGGCCGTCGACTAGCCCGAGCAAAGGAAGGTGGGATTCCGCAAGAGGGAATCTGGATACTCTCATATTAAGGCATCATCACATAAATACATTAGACATAATACATGAGTATCAACAAAGTTGAAAGAGAGTGAGGCGACATGGATGGCACCTTTCAAATATGAAAGCTTTTAACACACAGTGATGAACAAGCCTAGACTGGAGAATAGTTAGTCAATACTCGTTCAAGTGGAGCAGTAGGGACGATGACTTACGGAGCAGGGTTGAAGTCCTGGAAGAAGTTCAGGTCGGTGCTGCCGGCATTCTTCAGCTCAAAGGCAATGGTCTGACCAGCCGGGCATGAGAAGGTCGAAACGACATTAGAGCCACCAGGAGAAATGGTGATGTCACCAAGATCCTTCTCAACGGACGGGGCATTATTAAAGGTGGTCATGCTGGAGGCCACATCGGAAAGCTTCGCGACATCAATCTTGCCATCACCGCTGAAGCTAAAAGACGAGGTCTCGAGGTCCTCCTTCTTGGGGAAGAGGAATACCAGACTGCAAGTCTTTCCAGAGTCCGACTGAGGGATGTCGAAGTTGAAGATGCTCGAGATGCTCGAGCTGACAGTGCCATTGAACTGGGTGCCATGGGCAGTGTCCGGGGAGTCAGAGTTGATCGGAACGATCAGATGAGGGAACTCAAAGCTGCCTGACGACAGGATGGTGCCGCAACCATTGTTACCGGACGGGCCAGGAGGGGGAGAGGTTGGGCCGGAGCACGAGTCAGCCTTAAGCTGGATCTTCTTGCAGTTGCCCAGGTCATTGCTCTCGGTGGTGTGGATGTTCAGACCACCATTATCACCAGTCTCACAGGCAATGAAGTCGGGGCTGCCGTGGAACTCCAGCACGCCGTCGGAGTTAACCGAGAAGCCCGGAGTAGGAGTGGCGCCCACATCACATTGGAATTGGGTAGTGGGGGCTGGGATGAATTAGTTATGACGATCTTTGGATAAAGGCGAAGATCCCTTGAGGGGTCCCATACGAGTCAGGATGCAGCCGCGGCCATTGCCATCGGTGATAGCACCATTGGAGTCGATGCAGAACTGAGCAGGCGAGAGCCTGTTATCGCCGATGCGGTTCTGACCATCGCTCAGCTGACCGACAAAGCCAGTAGAATCACCCGACGGATCAAGGTGGAAGCAGCAGTTATCACCACGGCTGACGAGGGCATTAGAGCCAGCGGCGAGAGCCGCAACGGTAATAAAGCTCTTCATGATTTTGGTAATGGAGAACCAAGGAGGTTCGACAAGGCACAGAGGTTAAAAAAGCTTGAAGGTAGATCACGAATTTACTGAATTCCGGATCTGAATAAACCGAATCAAGCCGGGAAAGACACTGCTACTTATAGCTGCAAGAATATAGTCCCGGTGCCTCATCCAAAGAGAAGCTTGCTCACTTCCGAGCCCAACCGGACAGCGTATAGCAAGATGAAAGACGTCATACCAAAAAGAACGGGCATATATTTCGGTGAGCTAGTCGGCTAGTACCTCTGGATGAAATCATATGTCTTGCAACTTCGCGGGGACCTGGATCGACATCTGCACGTACTAAATTTGGGTACTGGATGAGGCGGATCGAGTGGCGACACGTCTGACCACGGTTTACCAAGTACAGGCACCAGTTAAGAGGTCGCACATGGAGCACCTTGCGGATCGAGCCGGTGAGAAGCACCGAGGAGCAAGAGCTAGCACCGACAAGCATTGACAAGCACAGATGATGCGCTGTGCGGGGTTCAGCTCTTAGTCGTGTTGATCGTTGGATGTCGGTGGAGCCTCGTGGAGACCCTTAAAGCCCAAGTGCATTTGCAGCTCCGTCTTACCCGTCATCCCCTTGGTCATAGCTTGGGACCATCGAGGTCGATGATTTGGTGGCTGGCACCTATTCGATGACAATTCCAAAAAATGGACGGGAAGAGCGAGAGCGAGGGCTGGTGCGCCCGGGTCACTTGAGCGATGCAGCGATGCCCTGATGCGGCTGATGCGGCTGATGCGGCTGGAAGCAGAAGCAGACACTGGAATGAACAAATGGGTCAGTCTGGTCTGCATGGGCGCAATAGTGTGCCCTAGCAGTATTCAGCATGTCCAGGTGGACCGGGTATACTGCATCGCAACACCTGAACGGGGTAACACGCAGCAAGGCACAACAGCGACCCTGAAGTGACCCAAAGTCAGTTGATGCATGTAAACAAGCTGATTGGCCCGGATGGCATTGAATCCGATGAATGATGCATTGCAATTGTTCGTCGGTGGAGAACGCCGCCGCCAGCCAGCCAACAACAGCCCTTCTATTTTTGCACCGGGTGAACCAGACATGCGCAACTTTGGGACTCAAATACATCTGGTTAATGGCGCTGCCCATGACTCGCACAGAGGACAAAACAATGGAGCCTTTTGATGCAGGGAAAGCATCCCAGAAAACACTGCATCCCCGTTTAGGCATGTGCGTGTCGAGCACCCACTGTCTTTGTTGGGAGGACGTCATGATCCCTGTCGGGGGCAGTTGATAGTGCATTTAGCTGGTCGGATGCCCGCGGGGCGATGCGATCGGAGGATCCAGCTGCACATTGCGATGGCAAATGGTTGGTTCGGAAACCGTGGAAGCATTGAGAATTGTAGCTGAGGGGGTCCGAGGGCACTGGTAGTCGTTTACGAGTACGAGTCAGGTGAATCGAGCGCGCCGAGTTGATTCAAGTCTTTTCCCACGACATCCCATGGTGCCAGTCTAAACGCTTGATGTGATTAGTGGCCGCCCACTAAGGCTTTTTGAATTAATATGTACACACAACAATGCAAAAATGCAAAAAGTTACACACAACGTGCAGTTTTAAGAAAAATCCAATACGCAGCCATCGTTTGCCGAAATTTACTCGGTGATGCCGGTCTCCTTCTTGCCGTTCTATGGATTGGTTAGTGGGGTGAATTAAATACCAAGAAACAATTAGAAGACTCACAATAGTACGGCTGAACTTAATTCCGGCGCTGTTGCCGCTCACCGAGTCGTACGGGACCGGGCTAGTGGTGTAGTTGTAGGTCGGCTTGCGGCCGTGGTAGGTCTTCTTGACAATGTCCAGGATACCGTGACCAGCAGAGCAACGGCCGGTGGTAGCCGGAACGGGCCAGTAGTCCTCATACACGGAGTATTCACCGTCGGAAAGGGGACCGGGGTAGGTCTCGTTCAGGTACAGGTTGCTGGTGTCGACGTCCCAGTTGACGTAACCAGTCTTCTCAGCGACCAGCCGGAGGATGTTGGCGCCGCAGTCCCAGCGACCCAGGGAGGGAAGACCCCAGTTGGCGGACAGAGAGGCAATGATGGAGTAGTGGGTGTAGAAGGTGTCGTCGGTGGTGCCCTTCAGGTGCTCAGGAATGGCACCGCCCAGCAGGATGCTGTAGACACGGTTGGGGATTTCGTAGGTGTCAGTCTCGTCAAAGGTGACCAGGACGAGGGTGTTATTAGTAAAGTACTCGTTTTCGAGCAGGGGAGGCAGGAAACGACCCAGGAAGTCGCCGGCAACGGTGATGTTGCTGTCGTGGGCATCATTGGTCATGTTGGGGGTGATGAACATGTGCTGGGGCAGGCTGTGGTGCTTCAGATCCTCGTAAAATGTGGTGAAGTTCTTGATCTGGCGCGGACGCACAGCGTCGTTGGTGACAGAGTCAAACAGGACCAGTGGGTTGTGCTTGCGCACATACTCGTCGGCGCCGGACAGAGGGTAGCGGAAGCCCTGGAAGCCGGCATATGGCATATCCTCCTGGTACTCGCCCCACGAAATCCTCTTGGTGTCAAACAGATCGGCAATGGTGGAGACATTGGCCGGGATCCGGTGGAAATCATCGTTGTCCATGCCGAAGGTGTCACCAGCGGCCGAGGCGCAGTAGTTGGGCTCCGACGGGTGAGTGACAGCATGGTAGTTGGTGAGCAGAATGCCCTCCTTGGCCAGCTTGGCGAAGTTTTCATCACCAGCGGTGGTATCGAAGTCCTGGATGGTTGCAGTTAAGGTCAGTACATACTCCAAGCCTATCATAGGGTGCTCCAGTTATATCGCGTGTTTTCTATGCAAGGCAATTGGAGCTGATACGCACAGTGTTTTCGATCCAGATGTTGGCGAAACGGTTAAAAGCCAGACCCTTGACATTGGACACGGGCGAAAAAGGCAGGGCAGAGGCACGAGCAGCCTGGACCTCCGCTTCAGTCGGATTCTCGACGGTGGTCGTCTTGGCCGCAGCCAGGGCGGCAAGGCCCAGGGAAAGCAAGGTCTGCTTGGAGAACATGGCTGCAACTCTTCGAAGGAAATGCACCGCAGAGAATTGTCAACAAGGCTGATACGTGAAAGAAGAAATGCAGGAGACGATCGGGCGCTGCACGCGATCTTATACCTCGTGCAAGGGGCGGCCCGGACCAGTCACTGGGCAGGTATTTGCATCGCGCTATTCTCGAGCCATCTGGACTGGCTCCCCTCGCTTCCACGGGGCGCTACCCAGACGGGGTCACATAGCCATCACGTTCAATTGCGGACGAGGGTGACTGGCGGACAACAAGATCGCATCCGCACTGGGAATCGCGGGCGGGGTGTTGGTGGAGACGCCGGCGCTCCTCCGGGGCCACAACACGCTGTTATTGGCGACAGGGAGTGGGGCGGGTGCCAGGCACGTTGTGTGCATGCTGCGTGTCACTGGCTGATCGCCAGGAGACAATATACTCTGGCTGCTCGGTTGCATCGCGAAATAAGGCGACCGAAGCTTTTACCAAGGCGGCACCCACGTGGCCTACGTCTCAGCTGTTCAGCAGCACGACGTTTGTGAGTACGGATTGAAATGACCTGATGCTATCTGCCGAGACGTCGAGTTTCTCAAACCGTCGAAAAACTCTAAACAGAAAATCATACTGAATGCGTACGGAATACTACCCTGCTAGAAGTAGCATCGGTACCTAAGGTGTTTACGGTAGGTACAGCACCCGTCGCGTACTTGGCGTATGTACCCCGCAAGTAGGTGTTCGCGCTGGATCTCGTGGAAGAATCTATATCATTGTCACATATACTATTCGGCTCATGTTTGAATGATAATCTACTTGAGATACGTGAGATCCGTGAGATCAACGAGATGTGATGGATAATTTAAAGTATTGAGGGTGGAACGCCAAGTCCGGAGCGGGGTGCTGACACATTCGTCAGATATATATCTAACATGCGGGAGGGCAGCATGACCACATCATGACCTGAGCTCACGAGTTCAAGGCGGCATAATCAGAACATTTGTACACTAGGATGTTAAAATGCCTCCATGATATACATTAAGGTAATCCGCCCAGGGGAACATGATGTTCCCGATGACGGTGCTCACATGAACTATTTACTCATCTGCAAACTGACCAAGTCTATCATTGCAAACATTTATCAAGCATGTTAGAAATAATAATACAGAACAATGCAGATCCTTTGCTCATGATTCTTGCCTCAATAACTATTACATATTTATCACGGGTCAAATGAAACACGGAAGAAGCGAAGTGAAATCGTCACCATCAATCGAGAGCGGGAATCGATCTCCGTCGACGTCGGGTCAGATCAGGCCAACACGGCAAACAAATAGGAAAATAATGTCAACAGAAGCGAAAACGGCGGGGTTATCAAAAAGCCGTAGGCCAAAATATCCGAGGCAAAGGGAAAACAACAAAAGGAAACTAGAATCACAAGATGCAACTTTTTTTTTTTTGGAATGGAAAAAAGTGATTGTTTACTCGGGCTTCTTGCCGACCATGAGGTACATGGGGGTGAACAGATTCTTCTGAGCACCCTCAACCAGGCAGTCGGCCGCCAGAGCCAGGCTGTCGGCGGTCTTTTGGGAGCCCTTGGGGAACAGACCGACCTTCTCGAAGGTACCGACGAAGCGGTGGGCCAGGCCACGGCCCCACCAGGTCATGCGGGCAATGGTGAAGAAGTCCCAGACAGAGCCCATGTGCTTGAACGAACCGGCCAGCGGGTAGTACCAAGGGGTGGGGTCGGGGCGAGCGGCCAGATCCTCGTGGTGGAGGAGCTCGAAACCGGCATCCTGGATGGCCTTGATACCTTCAGAGATAGTGACCATGTTGGAGATACCATCACCCTGTTCAATACCGAGACGGATGCGGCGGTGCTCGGCGTTGTTGTTGTCGTACTCGTCAGTCATCAGCCACTCGTAAACACCGAAGGTACCACCGGGCTTCAGGACACGGAAGATTTCGCTGTACACACCAACCAGCTCGGGGGCGTGGACGGTGGCCTCAATGGCGTAGACAGCGTCGAAGGAGTTGTCGGGGAACTTCATCTGCATGAAGTCACCCTTGACGAAGTCCATCTTGTCGGACAGACCCTGCTTCTCGGCGTAGTGGGTGGCGCGGTCGATCTGGTAGTCGTTGTTGTTCAGACCGGTGACGTGGGCGCCGCTGAACTTGACCATCTCACGGGCGGGACCACCGACACCGCAACCAACATCCAAAACCTTCATGCCCTCCTTGAGACCGGTCTGCATGGCCAGGTAGTGCTCGTGGCGGGCGATGGCCTGGTGGAAGGGCTCCCCGTAGGCGAAACGGCAGAAGTGGAATGAGGAGCCCCAGCCATACTCGTAGAAGTCGGTAGCCAGGTTGTAGTAGCTGTAGCCTATGTCAGTATACGGCAATGGGATTGCGTGTTCGCGCGTGGGAGAAGGCAACATACTGTCGGGTCAGAGTAGCGTATTCGTTGCGGCGAGCCTGTACAAAATACATGATTAGCGCGGGAGGTTCCTGGAGTCCGGGTAGATGCAGTTGATTCAACATACCTCACGGATCTCATCAGTCTCGTCGGCGTGATCCTTGTTATCCCAGTGCTTGAAGTATTCGTCGACGGCGGCCTTCTGGGCAGCGGCGTCCTTGCCACGCATGGCAGTCAGACCACCACGGGCCTTAGCGGACTTGCCGTGCAGAGCCTGGTTGAAGGCAGCATCGCGCGAGACATCCTCGCGTTCCAGAGCAGTGGGAGCCATTGCGAAAAGGAGGAAAAGTGGTGGGAGATAAAAAGGGGTGGAGAAGACGGGGAAAAGTCGCGACGGACGTGGAAGGGGGGAGAGGCAATTAAAGGGGGAATAAGAGAAACAGAACAGCACGGTCTGCAATTGACGGGCTGGACAGAAACGAATTGAAGTCAAGCGGACTTTGGAGAGAGGAGAAGGATGGGAAAGGAGGATAAATAGTAACCAGTCCAAAGGCACTTTTTGGCAATGCGAAAACTTAGGCCAATCATGAACCCCTGAGGGGCTAGCGCGGTCTAGGCTGAGCGGCGGGACTGGCACTTCCGGGCAGTGGCTGAACCGGAGGAGGGCCCATCCGGCCACAGCGCGCGGTGACCTGATAGCAGCTGCACACTACCCTGAGACGATACTGGAAAGTGGTAGCCTTGCGGGGTAGCGGATACGATCAGGCGTAGGCGACCGGATCAACAGATACCCATTACAACCCCCACCTCGAGCGCCTCAGACGGTAACTGTCTGCCCAAAAAGGAGGGCAAGAGCACGTGAAAGTCGTAGTTGACGAATCACGTGTGCACCAGCCACACTCGCCACAGCTTGTGAATGAGTCAGCACAGACTTGACTTTGATCTGAAAGTTGACCGGCCGATTTCAAGCTGCCCACAGCTTCAAGAGACGCCTCGTCAGCTGCTGCACCATGCCGCCCCAGATCAAAAAGGACCTCAACCGCTCCGGCTGGGAGTCGACCGACTTTCCCTCCGTCTGCGAAAACTGCCTGCCCGACAACCCCTACGTGCAGATGCTGAAGGAGGATTATGGCGCCGAATGCAAGATCGTAAGTCCACTCGCTCACCCCATTAGATATGACGGTCTTCGTCCTAACAAATGTCCAAGTGTACGCGTCCTTTCACGATCTTCCGCTGGAAAGCCGACCGCACGTCTCGCCAGAAGCGCACCATCATCTGCCTCACGTGCGCCCGTCTCAAGAACTGCTGCCAGCACTGCATGCTTGATCTGTCCTTCGGTCTGCCTACCGTTGTCCGTGATGCCGCACTCAAGATGATTGCCCCCGGCCCCGAGAGTTCGATCAACCGCGAATACTACGCCCAGAACAACGAGAAGGAGATTGAGGAAGGCCGTGGCGCCATCGAGGAATACGAAAAGACCGACGAGAAGGCGCGCGAACTGTTGCGCCGTCTTGCCAACAGTCAGCCTTATCACCGCAAGCAACGCATTGAAGGCACCTCTGGTGATGCCGACGACAATGCCGGGGAGGGATCCAGCGCGGCCGAGCCGGTAGGACACAGCCGATACGGCAACGGACCAGGTCCGATCCGCACTAGCGACAGTCGCGCGCGCGCTGGGCGTGGAGGACGGGGTGGTGCGCGGGGTGGTCGTCCATTCCCCGGCACGGCACAGCTCCCGCCATCTGCGCAGGACATTAAACCCCCGGCAGACCAAAACATCACGTCGCTGTTCGTGACAGGTGTAGAAGATGACCTGCCAGAGCACGCCTTGCGCACCTTTTTCACAGAGTTTGGCCAGCTTCGCTCGTTGGTCTGCTCCCACCGTTCACACTGCGCCTTTATCAACTACGTCAATCGTGCCGACGCCGAGGCCGCCGCCGAGAAGTGCCAGGGCAAGGCGATCATCCGGGGCTGCCCGCTTCGGGTGCGCTGGGGTAAGCCCAAGTCTCTTGACAATATGGATCGGGAGGAACGAGTCCGGAATGCCCGCGAGGGACGACAGGCTGTTGGCCCCGCTTCGAAGCGTGCCGCTGGCAAGAAGGCTGTGACTGCGCCGGGCGCGCCGACCCAAGAGGCCGAAGCCCCGAGTTACGCTGTGGCACCTCCACCGGGCTCGGGCGACGTCCAGTACGCCAGTATGCGAGGCGACTAAGGAGAAAGCATTTTACGATATTCTGGAACATTGATTTCTTTTCTGAGTGTTTGATGGCCATGGATTGGCGGTTGCATATGGATTTGTACAATAGCGGGCGTTGCTGGATTTCTTTATGCAGATTCGAATTCAAGAATACCCCCGGAGACGCTAGAAATCAAAAGAGTTGGGTATATTATGATACACAGTCACGGCGTAGAAGCCGGTCCTCTTTAAGTATGCCGTGCCGACCCTTGCCGGGGTCGGGTAGAAAGCAAGTCGGCTAAATCATTGTAGCAAGCTCTCATCCCACTCGGATCATGACGAGCAGGCTTTGTGGATCTTCACGTTCTTGTTGCCGATTTTGATTGAATCATTGTCGCCGCGCTCGATGTCGTCGTGGATTCGAAGTTCTGTAGTTTGGTCAGCCTCCGTCCTCCCGTTCGTTTTAAAACCACCACAAGATAAATTTGGATACCAGTCCAGAATTTTTGCGAAAGGAATATATTCACGTACCCCACTTGGCAGCCTCGTCGCCGTCCTCTCGTGCACCCTGCACAAGGTTGTGGCGGAGGATATTGGCAACCTCAATGGCGTGGTTGATTTGCATGCCGGTGTCAATGCCTACGCGGCGGTTCTGGTCAAAGTTGCGGCGGGCTTCCTGACGAGCAGCGAGCATCACTCGAGTATCATCTGCGAGAGCCACAGAGGTTAGTATGGAACATCCGGGACGGCAGGTGATACGAGAGTTCTCAAGGAGGCAAAACTGGACGAACCTCGGAAGGCAATACGGGTGGCCCGGAGGATCTGGCGGTATGCTTTCAGCGCAGGGAGACTGGGAGAGGCCATCTAGACGGTTGAAAGGTCTCGTAAGGTTGATCGAAAGTGTTCCGAGTGGATTGTTTTCAGGAGTCTGGAGGGGTGACGCTGAATCGGGCCTGGCAGCGAGTTTTTGACCGAGCGAATCGTGAATATGCGTTCCTGGGAAAGGGTAGGGCGCTCAGATAGAACAGTAAAATATGAATGCGAAATCGGGGACGGCGAGAAGAGTACGTAGAATGGTAGTGAATCTTGTCAATCAAGTTGGAGTGATAGGCGGGCGGTCGGGGCAGAAAAAAAAAAGATCGAAAAACTTTCCCACTTTGTTGTGACCTTCACCTTCAACCCCCACACATCTCCCCCTCAACACAATGGCTCCCGTCCAGGTTGTCAACGTTTCCCTCCCCTCCCTGCCCCAGGGATGGGCTGCCGACAAGGACTTCAAGGCCGTCGGTGGTCTTTCTGCTGCTACTCAGCGTAACGTCGAGCCCGTGGGCCCGCACTTCCTGGCCCACGCCCGCCGTGTAAGTCCCCATCACCACCAGAGACAATACAATGAAGACCGATTACTAACAACCTCACAGAAGCGCCAGAACCGTACTTTCTCTGAGGATGAGCGCATCCAGGCCGAGCAGAATGTCAAGAAGACCGAAGATGAGGAGGACATGGATATCTCCGAGCCCGAGGACCCAATGATGCTCTCCCGCGAGGCCAAGGACTGGAAGGGCCAGGATCACTACGCCGTTCTGGGCCTGAGCAAGCACCGCTGGCGGGCCACCCCCGAGCAGATCCGCAAGGCCCACCGCAAGAAGGTTCTGCGTCACCACCCCGACAAGAAGGCCGCTATGGGCAAGAGCGATGAGAACGACAGCTTTTTCAAGTGTATCCAGAAGGCCACTGAGCTGCTTCTGGATCCCACCCGCCGCCGCCAGTTCGATTCCGTCGACGAAGGCGCCGAGATCGACCCTCCCTCCAAGAAGGCCGCCCAGAAGGACTACTTCAAGGCCTGGGGCCCCGTTTTCGAGGCCGAGGGCCGCTTCTCTAATAAGCAGCCCGTGCCCCAGCTGGGTAACGATGATAGCACCCAGGAGGAGGTCGAGACGTTCTACAACTTCTGGTACAACTTCGACAGCTGGCGTTCATTCGAGTACCTGGATGAGGATATTCCCGACGACGGTGAGGGTCGTGACCAGAAGCGTCACACTGAGAAGAAGAACGCCAACGCCCGTCGCAAGCGCAAGCAGGAGGACAACGTCCGCCTTCGTGAGATGCTAGACGAACTGATGGCCGGTGATGAGCGTATCAAGAAGTTCCGTCAGCAGGCCCGCGCTGGCAAGGACGCCAAGCGTAAGGCCAAGGAGGACGAGGCCCGCCGCCTGCTCGAGGAGAAGGAGCGTGCCCGCCGTGAGGAGGAGGAGCGCAAGCAGGCCGCCGAGGAGGCCGCTAAGGCCGAGCGCGAGAAGAACAAGAAGGCCAAGGAGGCCGCTAAGAACGCCGCCAAGAAGAACAAGCGTGTTCTCAAGGGCTCCGTCAAGGACGTCAACTACTTCGCTGAAGGCGAGGCCTCCGCCGCTCAAGTCGACTCTGTTCTCGGTGATGTCGAGCTCATTATGGGCAAGATCGATGTTGACGAGCTGGCTGCTTTGGCTGAGAAGCTGACTCTTGCGGGCAAGGACGGCGCTGCCGTCAAGTCTGCCTGGTCCTCCGAGGGCCAGCGTCTGGTCGGTGCTGGCAAGGTCAAGGAGGGCGAGCTGAAGGCCTTCGCTTAGATGATTTAAAAAGGGCCGGGTGCCGGGTTGATGATTTTTTATGCCACATAGAGAAGACAAATGCATCATGTCACTGCTGATACAGCATTGAACTTTTTTTCTGAAGTAAGGTATTTCCGTAATGGGCTCACATTGCTTGGGGGCTACTCCTGCATCGGGTTTGTATATTGCGTTTGACGAGCTGAGCATCACATTTCTACCCAAGGCAGTAAACCGACAACTTATTTTCACCGACCGCTATATTTTTCATTTCCCATACTCGTTCCCGGCTTGAGACTTACATACTACTGCCCGCTAGAACACACGATGATCAAGACTACCAAGAAAGAGTGCCAGAATGGGCAATTGCTTCAGTTTCCCAAGACAGTCAGCCGCGTGAAAACCTGCAGACCACAACCCCTGAACATCGAGCCGACACCACCATCAACGAACACGCCGAGCCTATCAAATATGGCACCTGGTAGAAGCATGCGTAGTCCAGACTGCTATATGATTGGATGGATCGCAGCCCTGCCGATCGAACGTGCCGCTGCCATGGCGATGCGAGGCAGTACTTGATGGAGCACATGGAGTTGGTGCAGATAAACCAGTGTCTTCTGAAAGAAATCATAAACTTCTCCCTCAACCAGGCGGATTCGTATAGAATTTGGTCTCCATGTCACATTATCCATGAACATAACGAAACGATGAATATGAGAGAAACCTTCCTGACCAGACACTCACTGTTTCACCCATGCAAGTTCTCACGCATATAGCGAATCTTTTGCTAGAGACCCTGGACGGGAATAGTATCAAAATCTAGACAAATGGCCTTGACACAGTCTATCAACATTGCTGTAATAAACGGACACGTCGAAATTATACAGCTCTTGGTACAATATGGAGCAGATATCGATACGGTCACAGATATGGATTTCCCGTCTCAAAGAGGTTCCCCACCTTGCAGGTGCGGCTTTGAACGACGGAAAGGAAACAGTGCGGTTTTTGCTCCAGAAAGGCGCCACTATCGACATTGGCGACCCTTCCGAATTTACCATCGTTTCGATTCACGGCAGGATTGGAATGGCGAAACTGCTGTTAGAGAACGGTGCCAACATCAATCAATTGAGCCAGAGCCGGGGTACTGCTCTGCACGCGACAGCAAAAAATATGGATCTGGAAGTTTTACATTTCTTAGTGGACAATGGAGCTAATAGCATCGCAATAGACGCGAAGGGCAAAACTGCTCTCAATTATAGCGTGGTCCGCTTACAACCGGGAGCTGCCCGTTTTCTATTAGATCATGGGGCTGACCCTTATGTAGGGGGTTTGGGAAGACAAATTTGTCCTCCATATGGCTTGCTTTGATGGCGAGGAGGAGGTCGTTCAGACCTTGTTGGAGAACAGTGCAAATATCAACACACCTCGGCATGTATACAAGTATATCGGCCCTACGTTGACATATTCGGTCACGCCTATATACGTTGCTTCATCCCTCGGTCATCAAGAAGTCATCGATGCTCTGTTGGAACTCTGCATGCGTGCGGAGCTATTTGCAGGCAGGCTTGAGTGTGATGGGTGAGGGCTGGCGTAAGTTGCGATGAGCATGACACGAAAAGCGATAAAAAGAACAAAGACGCCGCGAGTGAAGCAATTAGTCACCCAGCTCAATGAGCATCCAGTGTAACGCTGTTGATCTGATCTCCCAGTAAAAAGGAATTAAGTTTACTGGTGATTGCCGGGAGCATTCAATAATGGAATAGTTGATGGTGCTGCGGAGGGGGCGGTTGCTCGGGAGATGCCCAAAGTAACACATGCATCTGCACCGCACCTCCAACCACCTGCCACATCATCGCGGGGTCGAAAGCTGGCGTATCTCGCAGGCGTTGGCCTCCCAACCCCGTCTACCCACCATCAACAGCCGAGCAGTGTCAACAGTGCCGAGTGGTTCGGGAAACCGAGCGGAGGCTGGGACCCACCACGACGAGTAAATATTCATATTCATATGTACTGCATGGTGTACTGCATGGCTGATTATATATTCGAAAGAGTACAAAGCACATCGAAAAGTGTCGACTGTGTACCTCAATAAATACGGACCAAAAGCGACCGGAGAAGTTTTCCCCATCTTCTATTCTAGAAGGCTCAGACGCTACGACCGTTGCGGTTAAAGACTGGTGGACCAGCAAAGCAGAACCAGAGGCACGAAGTGATCGTCGGTCGCAAAGTTTTCAACCGGCGATCGCAGCCGCAGCGGAGCTCGCGAACAAGGACCAGGCAGGTTTACATCTGAGGTCGGAGAATGGCGCGAGACGTGCAGCCGGTGGTGTCTGTTGGCCCTCCGCGGAGTATACGTACACCTCACGAGTCTTGGTATACAGTAGATCGGAATGTGCCACCCCAGGATAAGGAATTCCACATGGGTGGTCGCCTAGCAGGCGATCCCTCGAGCGTAAATATTGCGAATAATTTGAGCATCTGGAATTGTTCCAGCTGGTCAGGCGAACAGGTGCGGAAAATGCAGGTACTGAGCCACGGTGGCGACGATGAAAATAGAAGCACCGGACAAACAGTGCATACAGGTACGCCCTGGACGGGGATTCGGGGTCCTCGCCTGACAGAGATGGCTGTACTCAATCTCTCTCACACACGAAGCAGTGCCGTCCACTGCCAATCAGCAGCAGCAATCGAGGCTGGTGGCAGCGCGCAGAGGGCGACTTACGCGGCCTCGCGGCGTCCGAGTCTCACCGGGCCCACCTCATTTCCTCCTGCGACGAGGATCGGCATGAGGTCATTGGGTCGGCGGGCTCCGACTGGGAATTTCCCAGGATGTGCGCATCCAGTGCGTAAATGTATGGACTCGGGGCGCGATAGGAGGAAGAATGTAATCTTCCGGTTTGGCGTGTCGTCTAGGGTCAAGTCGACTCGAGGTTGCGCGTCCGCCAAGGCGAAGTATACGTCGCAGGATCAGCGACACTCACCCCAACAGCACCAGCACCGGTGGCGGGGGCGCAGGGAACAGGGGGATTGGCGAGCCAAGGTTATTAAACTGGAGACCCATCCACTTTATTTCTTATCTTAAAGACCAAGACCAGACCCTGAATCTGCACCTGCCAGACTCTGACCTACGGCTCTGCATTGCCTTCGAAATACTCTCAGGCCAGGCACAGTATGATCCTCTTGTCTTTCCAGTCTTCACGCGCAATACTAACCATGCGACTCCAGAACACTCGTTCTACTACACCACCCTACTCGTACCCAGCACTCGACACTCGCTAGACACTCGCTACCATGCTCTTCTCATTCACCCTGCTGGCCCTCCTGGCCAACATGACCACCGCCTTTCCCTTCATGAAGCGCGACATCCAGTGGTCCTTCGATCTCTACCCCAGCAGCCAGTGCGACAGCGACGGTGACCTCCACTCCGGTGCAGGCAGTACCGGCTGCCGCGCCGACCTGAACTCGATGGCCGCGGCCTACCGTCTGAACGCCATCGCGCCCGGCTGCCAAGTGGAATTCTTTGATAATACCATGTGCGAGCAAAGCGGGACCTCGGACGTGGTGTTCGACCTGTCAACAGGCGCCGAGTCCTGCCAGGTGCCCTCGTTGGCGCGGCGATACGGCTCGTACCAGGTGACATGCAACGAGGGCCATGAGCTGAAAATGTGAAGATCCGACGATCTGCATGGCCCGCCTGCCAACGGGAGAGAAAAAAAGATTCGCCGGCTGGACCGTGAACTTTTGGCGTTGATTGTGTTTCATAGATAAGACTGATTGCTCCTGTCTGCTTGCATCCGATAGATAATGATACCCTCGATTTGAATACGGAGCCATCCCCGCGCAGAACAGTAGACCGGAGCCGTGGAAGGCTTGCAGGGGCAACCTGGGGTTATGCTGCAGTCCGCGTTTCGCCATGTTTCAGCAGGAGATGCGATTCGTCAGTGGCGATGGCCATCCCTTGGCCCCGTCCGATTGACAGGGCACATTGAGGAGTTGCTCCGTTTAGCAGGGATTGCCAGCGAGGGTCGCAGGCGTGTCGAGAGTGTCGAAGGAAGGAGAGAAGGCGGAAGGGCGATGGAGTTTCCCGATCGAGGCGGACTCTTGGCGATCAGCCCTGCTCTTCTTCCCTTTCATCTCTTTCACTTTTGCGGATTCCGTCGGGTCACCACTTCTTCCATCGAAAGTTCAGCGGAACCGATTCCATCCTGGCTGCCTCTGCTGACTCTTTTCTTCGCTGGACCCTGCTGTTGCACCCATGGACGCCTCGGAGTTATCCAGCATCGCCGTTTTGGGCGCCAACATCCGAAAACGGCGACTCGCGCAACCTCGATATTCTCCGCGTATAAATTTAAAATGACACGGACACCCCGCCGATCCCATGGTGAAACAAAATGGACAAGCACGCGATAGACGAACCTGTGCCCGTGGGCTTCTTCGACCCCGCGCTGAGCGCCGTCCGCCGGCGCGTCTTCATCCAGTGGAGTCGCACTGTCTTTATTCTATGCGTCTTCGTGCTGGCCGTGCTCTCGCTCTTCTGGGGCTCGCAGTACAGCACCGAGGCCAACTATCGGGCGCTCTCCGTCTGGGTGGTCGACTTTGATGGCACCGTCGATCCCTATCGGATTGACGATCCCATTGTTGGCCCCGTCGTGACCAATGTCACCTCCAGCTTCATCAATTCGCCGGCGCTGCATCTAGGCTACGAGATCAAATCCCCCGCCGAGTTTGACAATGACCCCTGGGCCGTGCGCCAGGCTGTCTATGACGAACATGCCTACGCGGCCGTCATCGTCAATGCCAACGCCACCAGTCTGCTACGCGCCGCCCTGACCGACCGCAACTACACCTATGACCCCACCGGAGTCATCCAGTCGGTGATCATCTCCGCGCGCGATGAAAAGACCTACTACGCCTACGTCTTGCCTGATCTGGCGATCCTGCAAACAGCTGTGCTGATGGAGTTCGGCCCGCGGTGGGCCCGCGAAATCACCTCCACATCGTCAAGCACCAACCTGTCGCAGACCCCTCCCCAGGCCATCAACCCAGCCATCGGCTTCAATGATATCGACCTGCGGCCATTCACCCCGGCCGTTGCCGGACCCTCCATGACGATCGGCCTGATCTACCTCATCATCATCGCCTTCTTCAACTACCCGTTCTTGATGGGGATCCACGCTCATTTCATGAAACCAGACGGCCACCCGCCACTCAAAGTACCACACTGGATCATTTGGCGAATTCTGTCCGCCATCGCGGCGTATTTCTTCCTCTCCCTCTTTTACTCCCTCGTCTCCCTGGCCTTCAACATCCCCTTCAGCAATGATTCCGCTCCGGATACGCTGTCAGCAAATAGCCCGAATGCCTACGGGAAGGGCTCTTTTGTCGTCTTCTGGATGCTCAATTGGGTCGGCATGGCGGCACTGGGCTTTCCATGTGAGAACATGGCCATGATCCTGGGTTTCCCGTGGAGCTCGCTGTTCCTCATCTTCTGGGTCATTACGAATGTGGCCACGGGCTTTTACGTGCTTGACTTGGCGCCGGGCTTCTATGCATGGGGATATGCGTGGCCACTGCATCGGAGTGAGTTTTCCACGACCCCCAAACAACGGACAAAATATACTGACTACTGCAGTTGTCGAGGCAATCCGGACCATCTTGTTCGACACGCACTCGCGCATCGGCCTCGACTTTGCGGTCCTGTTCATCTGGGTCGCCATCTCGCTGGCATTGTACCCGGTGGCCACTTTCATCATGCGGTGGAAGATGAAGCGGGGGCTGGAATAATGCTGCCGCCGAATCTTATGTCAAAGCCAGGAAAAACAATACTGAACACGAGCAGACCACGATTTTACAAGCACGATTGACTAGCATCGAGCGTCAGCGAACATGCTCAAATTGACCATCTAATACAAAATGAACTTCCTACTACTGGCCTACATCCAAGAGGGTATTGTAGAGATAGATATTTATTGAGTAAAGATCGTATCGGTTGAATGACTACCAGACTGAGCTGCTCGTGTTCAATCTCTCAAACCAGTCAGACAGCTCTCCATCTGGCTCAGCTGGCCACGGCGATCCCGCGCGGGATCACTCAGACGGTGAACGCTAGATAGTCTTCATCACCTCATTAAATACGCTTATACAGCACCAATGAGAACTCACATGTGTCCGCTTTGGATGCTACTAGCATCCTCACTGCCGCTCTTCACCCGATTGAAATCCTGGCGGGTTTGTTTGTCCCCTTCGTCAGAGACGGGGCAGGAAATATCTCTAATAAACAATCAGCTTTTCCATGTTGTCTTCGAATACTTGCAGATATCGAAAACTCACGACTCGTGTCCGGCGGACTTAACCTCCGTCTCCCCGGCGCCCTCAGGCACAACAATCTTCGATTGGACGAGCGTCGTGCAGATGTATTCTTATCTGTTGCGGGTGACACTGATATGGACGGGGTCCGATTCCTTTTAATGCTTTTTTGTTGAATACCCGTATACTCCTTCTTTTTTTGTGTTTTCTTATTTTATGAATACCTGGTCTCCGTATGTAGTGTACTCCGTCGAATATAAGTAGTACTCGCTGGCGCCACCACCACCGAGGCGTGGTGATGTTGGCATGACATGTCTATAGACGCGGGTGCGGTTGGTACGGTGACCTATGGATGCGACCCGTCCCTGCCTGCATTGAGATAGGGTCTTTCACCTTTCAAGGAAGAGTTGGTGCCCTAGAGGCCCTGCCGTGTTGTCTATAGCTTGTTCACTTCTATAGATTCAAGTATTCGTTGGAGCTGTCATTCTAAAAAAGGGACTAGGGGATCGACGCCAAGCTTTTGTATAGCCAGCCACGGCCTCTCGTACGCCTCGGTACCTTCAATACGCCGCACAACGTCCAATCTTACCAGGTTCTGTAAGTTTGCTGGTTCTGTCGTGCCTACCTAAACAGGTACACTTTGACTCCTCCACTCGTTCGCGCATGTGCTCGACGACCTCCGCCTGGTTGGCTCCGTCGTTCGTTTCATCGACGCTCTCCCTCCAAAAGGGACTGCCAGGCACACCGTGACCGTTGCTCTCGCCAAGTGAGTACTACTTCGCATCCTCGACTACCTCAACCACCGCTCGGCTCGCTTTCGTCTTCCTTTCTTCAAGTCTCAGCCTCTCATCCTTCACTCCTTCCCCCAGTGTTTACTTGGATCCTGTTTTGAGCTCCACTGCTGACAACCCTCATGGCGAACCTCGAGAGTCTCGAGGAGGCCACTATTCGCCAGGACCTGTGTGCCTCGAGCCCTTCTATTGAGGCGCACGAGCGTCGTCGTCTGGCCTTGGAGAGAATCGACAACGCTCGCTTCGGTTATCACCATGTCCGTGCCGTCATCGTCGCAGGCGTTGGCTTTTTCACGGATTCCTACGATATATTCGCGATTAACCTGTGTTCCAACATGCTGGGTATTGTTTTCTGGGCAGGAGCCAAGCAGAATGCTGGCAAGATTCCTACCAACGCGGACACGGCCATCAAGGTTGCAACCTCTGGTGGCACCGTCATCGGCCAACTCTTCTTTGGATGGCTGGCCGACCGCATTGGCCGCAAGCGCATGTACGGCATCGAACTTATGATCATCATCTTTGCAACCCTGACCCAGGCCCTCACCTCGTCGTCGCCCTCGCTTTCCGTGGTCGGTCTGTTCATCTTCTGGCGTGTTATCATGGGCATCGGCATCGGCGGTGATTACCCGCTCTCCTCGATTATCACTTCTGAGTAAATTTCACCATATCCTCCCCCAGAGTTTCGTCGTTCGAAGCTGACATGACCAGGTTCGCAACTACGAAGTGGCGTGGTGCTATGATGGGCGCCGTCTTTGCCATGCAGGGTATCGGCCAGTTTACCGCCGCCGTTATGGCCCTCATCGTGACTGCAGGCTTCCGCGAGTCCCTCGAGACCGCAAAGGATGTAGGTCACTGCACCGGTGTCTGCCAGCTTGCTGTCGACAAAATGTGGCGAACCATAATCGGCATTGGGGCTGTACCTGCGTGTCTCGCATTGTACTACCGTCTTACCATCCCGGAGACCCCTCGTTATACGTTCTATGTCTCGCGTGATATTGCCAAGGCCGATGAGGACATTGATGCTTATATCCAGGGTCACCGCGGCCGACATCCCGATGAGGTCCAGCGTATCATGATTCGCCGCCACGACAGAGCAGAGTTCACGCCACCCAAAGCTGGCTGGCCTGACTTTGTTAAGCACTATGGCAACTGGGAGAACGGAAAGACCTTGCTCGGCACTGCGGGCTCCTGGTTCTTCCTCGATGTTGGTATGTTTAAACTCCCTCGCCATCGTCACGCATCGCTTCCAGGTATCCCATGCTAACCTATTGTTTTGAAACAGCTTTCTACGGACTCGGCCTGAACAACTCGATCGTACTCAGTGCCATCGGCTGGACTGGAGGTAAGAACGTCTACGAAATTCTCTACCGCAACGCTGTTGGCAACCTGATCCTCATCTGCGCCGGTGCCATTCCTGGCTACTGGGTTACAGTCGCTACGGTCGACACCATCGGGCGCAAGCGCATCCAGCTCGCCGGCTTTATCCTGCTAACAATCATCTTCATCGCCATCGGTTTCGGTTATGACAAGCTCAAACACACGCACAACGGTCTGCTTGCCCTTTACGTGTTAGCACAGTTCTTCTTTAACTTCGGACCCAACGCCACCACCTTCATCGTGCCCGGTGAGTGCTTCCCGACCCGATACCGCTCCACCTCGCATGGCATCAGTGCAGCGGCTGGTAAGATTGGCGCCATCATCGCGCAGTGTGTGTTCGGTCCGCTGGTCCACCGTGGTGCTCCCAAGGGATCCTCCGACTCGCCCTGGCTCAATCACGTCATGCAGATCTTCGCTCTATTCATGTTCTGCGGCATCTTCACTTCGCTCTTGATCCCCGAGACCAAGCGCAAGACGCTGGAGGAGCTTTCCGGAGAGGCCACCCCCAGCCCTATCGTGGCTGCCCAGCACAGCGAGAAGACTAGCACCGACGATGATCGCCAACAGACCGTCACCAACATGGCTGTCCAGGGCCGTTAGATACCCTGATGCAGGTTCTTTCAACAAGGAGAGGATTAGAGAACCCCGAGCGGCAAAATACGTACGCAATCTTTTCCGCTCGGCCTTTTCTCCTTGAACTTCACTATTTTTTCTAGTTCAAATTCTGGGTTCTGGTTCGTGGAACACTCATCTACAAGCCATCATTTAATGCTTCCTTCTGCCATATTATTACCCAGCTATGCTTTTAATGCTACATCTTCAGGCCTATGAGCGACAAAAGGTTACCCTATTCTTAGTACTTGCTAGCTCAAAAAGTTGCTTGTACCACTTATGTCCCAGTCTTCCAATTTGCTTGCATTCTGACTCCTTTTGTAGAAACGATTGCTATGAATGTTCAGGTAGTGGTACTTGGTACCGGATGGGGAGAAGAGGTGAGCGTGCTCTTGAATTCGAACAATAAAGTGAGGCTAAACTGAGAGTATGACAGTCAATTTGAAACTTCCTATTTTAACGCTATGAGAAAGTACTAAATGGTACATTGATAAACAAGTCACACCAGTCTCTTCCTGACGAAGAGGGTGTTGGATATGAGTATACACGAGAAGGCCACTGATAATGCTAAAAGAGGCTATCAAGTCACTTACTACGCCAGTCTATAGTATAAATCCTGATCAAGATATATGATCGAGCGAACCGTCCGCGGATTCTCAGCCATGTCTTCCGAAACTTTTGTGGCTCTCCAATATAACAGTATGAAGGGAACAGACTTCATGAAAATTCCATTTCAGGCGGTAAGGTATTCGTCCGAGCGCCTTGTTCGAGCTCCTTCGGGGATGTTTCTTCGAATTTGATGTCTCTCGTAAATGCAGCCACTCTTCGTGATCGTGATGATCTACTTGGTAAAGCTCTGGGGGATGGACCCACGTGAGTACGAGTGCATACTTCTTCTATATCCCACGCCAGCCTACAATACTCAAATTTTAGGGTCCGTTTTCTTTTCGAAAGATCATGGCACGTACTTTCTTTTTCATATCCCTAAGCACTTCATGATTCCATCACGTAATATAAATGGGCCTGTAGATGAATTGCTTTTTTCTGGAAGGATTTATTTATTGCTTTGCATAATCGAGCCAGGACTCCATAGAGATAATGCAAGTCCGTTGGATCTCACGTGTGTTTTCGATCGTGCAGTGTAATAGTGGGCGGATTTGAAATAGCGCAGGCTGCATCAGAATGCGTGGAACTAGTAGCTGAGAATCCTAGCTTATCCCTTGTCGAGCTCTATCACACTGTATGCTTGTTATACCATCTTCCTTGATGCCGGTTCTCCTTCAGTGCTTTGATATGGGCCCATTAAGGGCTCTTGAGTTTAAAACTTCCTTGCTCTTCATTTTCAAATAAAGCATTTGCCTTTCAAGTATTGAGATTAATCAGCGCATCAGTGAGTTAGTTAACTAGTTAGTTATTCGAAAAGATGGACAGTCATCCATTTCGGTCCGAGAGAAGAATTGTAGTAGTCAGGAGGAAGCTGTTTTCACTATCGACTGTATCTGAATAGCGGAGGAGTGTCGGTCTCTTGGATGCGCCCATCACCTTCTCAGCAGATGTAAAAAGAATGGAGAAAAAGGAAACCTCAAACTCTAGAATGACACAAGTGTTCATGCTTTATGGCGAAGAATTTTCAGGAATATTTCGTGTCGAGCTTGGATCTATGAGATGGTAGTGCAGAAATGCTCAAATGTAACGCGGACCGGCGGATCTCGCTCTCCTCCCGACAGATAGGACAGCTATTCGACCGATACAGCCACGTTCGGATGCATACAGGGTGAAAGAAATGTAGGCAAGATAGGAAATTGACAACTGTACCTACTGGGAGCTCCTCGAGACAAATAGCACAGGGTGCGTTGCCAGACATTTGAAACATCTGCCCATTTACTCTTCGCAGGGGTAGATTTAACATTGCGGATGGAGTAGCAGGAAGCCGACCCACATCAGTAAAATGAACATGCCTCTCAGAGCTTGTCGCATGGCTATAGCCATCATAACCCCTCATTTCAGTGTCATGGATGTTTGCCTGGGCATATCGTCTCGCTAGAAGACGCGGTCTCCGGCGGGGAGTGCGTTCTTCAAATGTGTTTAGATAGCCGGTGATATACCCTGGCATATTTAGTATCGCTTCCTCAAGGGCGTCGCAAGTAACAGGCCTTCTACTAGAATCAGCTGTATTTGACTCGGGCTCGACAGGGTCGTCACTGGCCTGGTTATTGTCTGCGTTCGAGTCGACACGGTTATGTGACATGGCGACTTGCACGACTTCGTCGGTCAAAAGCCTTGGTCAAGGTCGACAATGTCGATAGATGATGTGCAAAAACAGTTCAAGCACGACCTCTTGCACAAGACTTTCCAAGAACCTCCAAAGTACCTGTCTGATTGTCGTCCAGGTACCGCCCGTATTTCCCTCTTCTAACTGACTGATCTGGGACTGGGAGTGCAGGGACGTCGACTCAGAATCGGTCTTATCTGATGCCATAAGATCCTGCGCTTCGAGGAGGACTGTATATTCGGCCTGTCACATGTAGGCTTGGGCACACCAGGATCTCGAATCTTATATACTGTAGCTCTGTGAAGAAAGACGATAATAGAATTCTGAAGGTGCTAGGGCTAAGTTGCTTTAATTGCATCTCTGTGGGCAGGACAAAGGTAGGCATTCGAAGACAATGAAATGGGCGACAATGCGAGAATGATGCCTTTCTCCGAGGAATCATAAGTTGATTGAGCCAGCACAAAGGGACCGTAAAGCGAAACATAAGTTGGAGTTGGCCTTCAGCTAAATGCTCCGTCTGCAACCTTGAGTATAATGTGGTCGCGCGGTGCGTATCATTTTTCTATCGAAGTAACGTCTTGCACGTTCAATCACATGTTACGTACTTGGTGTCCCGATAGCCCTGGCATCGCTGTATCTGACAAGCCGACCGAGGAGCACAACAAACCACATCCGCGAATGCATTGCCTAGCGCAACTGCACGCAAACGCTCCCCAAACGAGACTCGGCACGACGCAGACTGCACTACCGTCTCCTAGTCATACGGTCCGGCACGCAGCATCCCACCGGCAGCCGATCAATCCCCGACAACCAGCCGAGGCAAATCCCGACGCGATCGTGCCAACATTGTCTGACGAACCGGCATCTCAATCCCGAATACCCCCCTTTAGCCACTACCTTAATAATCGCTCATTACCTCTTCTTTACAGCCGGTCGTACTATCCTGAACAGCCCGAATTTGCCGGACACCAGCCAGTGACGCCCTCCGCCCGAAGCCGATTCGCGCGGCGGCGGGAGAGGCGTATTGGCGTGCAGGCTGGGCGACGGGGGGCGAAACAGGCTAAATCGGGGGGTATTCACCCGGGGCGCGGGTGAGAATGCGACAGAGATGGACAGACTGTGGGGAATCGAAGCGGGGAATCGCATTGCAGCATTGCAGGCTCGGCTTTTCCGTCTGTGTCACCGAGGGTTCGTCAAGACGGTGATGCGAGACATTTTTGGTTGATGATAGGCTGAGAATTGTATATATATGCAGTAAGATAACTCCGATGGAATGATCAAACAGGTCTTGCACAGTTTCTCCATCTCCAGAGCGAACGTCACTCCACGCGGGGCCCCGGGACCGCCTCCGTGATGTGGGACCCCCGAGCAATGCGCCAATCAGTTCCATCAAAGCCCCTCTCACGATTCCAGGGCCGAGCGGGCGATGCCGATGACGCGAACGAGGCATTTCTACTGCAAGAGGGGGGAATTGAGGAACATTGCACGATGCTGGCGTTGGCGTTCGGGATAGTATGCAGGAAGCGCTATCTCACCGGTTGCCCGCGTAAACGAAGCACACTTGCAGCTCTTCACGATAAGTATTTCGGATTCTGGAATCCTGCATATCAAACACTGATCGTAGAATCCGAATTTACCCAAAGTTCGCAGCGAGTCACCGGATAAATCCCAGCCCACGCACGGTTAACCTCCACAAGCAACGCCCCCCAGCCCAGCCGCAGCCACGTTCCCACGTCTGCACTGTTCCGACCTGGTCTGGCTCTCTGCCCGGAACACGCGGCGCATCGGCTCGCAGAGTGGATGGGGAAGATTGGTCTGGTGCGGGAGCCCTTTGGCCCCCATGGGGATAAAGAGCCGGGGAAATTACCCAGCGCGAGCCGGCCGATGGAATATAAGGAGCGCTGATCCCAGGCCTGTGAATGAGAGAAGGTCTCCACGCCTTTTGCTGTGACTTTGTCGATTATTTTCTGCTGCATTCATCATGGCACCTCCCATCGCCGGGGAGACGGTCGTCTCGGCCAAGCGAGCTGAGCTCGCTGGCAAAGGTGGCATCATGGGCTTGATCAGTAACAAGAAGACATCTGCGATTGGATTGTTTGCGTCGCTCGGTGGATTGGTGTATGGATATAACCAGGGCATGTTTGCGCAGATCTTGACGATGCACGCGTTCGTCGATGCCACGCAGGGCTATGCCGAGAAGACAGGTATCAAACAGGGTATTCTGACCTCGATTCTCGAGCTGGGTGCGTGGATCGGCACGCTCTTCAACGGATATCTGGCGGATGCGGTCGGTCGTCGGCTGACCGTGTTGATTGCGGTGGTGGTGTTTTGCGTGGGTGTGATTGTGCAGGCCTGTACGCAAAATGCGGACTATGTCTTTGGTGGTCGTTTTGTGACGGGGTTGGGCGTGGGCAGTCTGAGCATGATTGTGCCGCTGTACAATGCAGAATTGGTGAGGACAGACTTGAGAATATCAAGAAGTCACGGGGACGCTAACAATGGCAGGCACCGCCTGAAATCCGCGGCTCCCTCGTCGCCGTCCAACAGCTCGCCATTACCTTTGGGATTATGGTCAGCTTCTGGGTATGCATTATACACCTCGCCAGTTTGTTTCTCTCGATTGTTTTACTTACCTCCTCTAGATCGGCTACGGCACCAACTACATTGGCGGCACCGGCGCCACGCAATCAGATGCCGCCTGGCTTATCCCGGTCTGTATTCAGCTTGCTCCAGCCATCATCCTCGCTGTCGGCATGATGCTCTTCATGCCTCAATCGCCTCGCCATCTGATGAACACCGACCGCGAGGAGGAGTGCTTACAGACTCTGGCGCGCCTCCGCGGCACTTCAACTGACGACATGCTCGTGCGCATCGAGTACCTCGAAATCAAGAGTCTGCATATGTTCGAGAGGGAGGTCTCTGCCGAGAAATACCCCCAGTGGCTGGACGGCTCGTTCTCGAGTCGCTTCCGGATGGGCTTGGCCGACTACGCCTCGCTGGTCACGAACAAGTCGCTGTTCAAGCGGACTGTTGTTGCGGTATGCATCATCGCTCAAAAAATATACGATACTCCCATCTGACTCTTCCAGTGCATGATCATGGTATTCCAACAATGGAACGGCATCAACGCCATCAACTATTACGCGTGGGTCTCTCCAATCAACTACTAGATCTTTTCTTAATTGACATATTACTAGCCCCTTCATCTTTGATAACATGCAGCTTCCCGGCAACACGACCTCCCTGCTAGCCACCGGTGTTGTCGGCATTGTCGAATTTGTCTTCACGATCCCTGCTGTCATGTGGGTCGACCAGATCGGTCGCAAGAAGATCCTGATCGTGGGTGCAGCCGGCATGGCCATCTGCCATTTCATCGTGGCGGGCATCATTGGCGCCTACCAGGGCGAGTTTGCCGAGCATCGCGCCGCCGGATGGACGGCGATTGTGTTTGTGTGGATTTTCGTCATCAATTTTGCCTACTCTTGGGGTACGTTGCACTGCAGAATCCGGTTTAATAACTGTATGGCTGACCCAACCAGGCCCCGTCGCGTGGATCGTGACTTCCGAGGTCTTTCCCCTGAGCATGCGAGCCAAGGGCGTGAGTTTAGGAGGAAGCAGTAACTGGGTGAGTGCCACATCGCCTGCAACCCAGCGTGCGCAAGGCCACTAGACCGCTAGATGAACTAACATCTCCCAGCTCATGAACTTTGCCGTTGCGACCGCCACTTCCCCCTTCATTAGCGCATCGACCGTGGGAACCTTTGTCTTCTTCGGCTGTGTAACCACCATTGCGATCTTCTACGTCATCTGGGGCGTGCCCGAAACCAAAGGTCGCACGCTGGAGGAGATGGACGAGCTGTTCGGCACAACAGGAATAGCGGCTGCAGACGCCGAGCGCAAGCATCGCATCGAGAGCGAAATCGGGCTGCTAGCGCTGGTCAATATGGAAAGCCCGGTGGATGAGAAGCACAAAGGGGGTGACGAGGAGTTTGTAGAAGCCAAGCAGTAAAGGATGCGGTCATCGGTGCAACGCGTTTGCAGGATGCGTTGAATCAGCAAGGAGATGCCAGATACCGGCTAACCTTAGTACTCCCTCGTATCGGATGCCAATATATGCCCTACTGTATGTACTCTACTGTATGTAAAATGTACCCGAGCCTTTTGACTTTGTGACTATACATAAGCCTGGGTATAATAGCGAGGATCGGCTGTCTGTTCGCAGCGATGCCCCGATCGGCGGTTTGGGCCACTGTGATTAGCTAAACCGCTACTAAGGTGTGCGGTTCCCCATGTGGCTTGCAACTATATCCAACATGCAGCGAATGCCTCACATCGCCCCGCACTCGCCAATCGATGGCTCAGCGATCGCCGATGCGGATGTTCTCCATGCAGAATCATTGATTCAACTCGAAGATGAACATTTTCATTGTTCTCTTTTTCAGTGCTGTCACTGGATCAGCCTTAGCGTGCCGTAAATAGGCCAAGTGGAGCTGGGCTCCACCGCTGGTTGGGCTGCGTCTGACACGTTCCTCGTCATGTCTCACCTTTCCGTGGGCTCGTTTGCCTTATATTGCAGTCTTTTCTCTTTTTCAGCTCGCTCACTCCCTCTCCACTGCCTCTTTCAGCTACCCGCCAGTTTCCCTTTCCCGTCTCCAACCACACCAGCTACTCTACACTCTACATCTACACTTCCAGTCAAATCTCACCATGTCGACCACCACTACCACCGCCGCTGCTGCCAGCTCCTCCTGCGCCGTCTCTTGGCAGATTCCCACCGACGATGTCGCCTGCGCCGGCATCATCAGCGGCAACATGACCGATGCCTTCGACTCGTGCTGCAAGGGCGACAAGCCCGTCAAGTACAATGACGACTGCAACATCTACTGCCTCGCCCAGGACCAGAGCCGCGAGAAACTCCGCAGCTGCCTGACCTCCAAGAGCGGCGACTACACCAACGTCTTCTGCACCGGCAACAATGACACCGCGACGGCCACCTCCAAGCCGACCAACACCAAGGACAGTAGCTCGACCGGTACTTCAACCAGCACCTCCACTGGTACCTCGACCTCCTCCGGCGCGGCCATCGTCAGCCAGCCCATCTCCAAGACCGGCCTCGGTCTGGTCGCCATGCTGTTCTGCTCCGCTCTCGCCGGCGTCGTCGCCTAAGCGATTACTCCACAGCGCATACTGTGATGATGACAGCCGCAAGACCGCAGGGACGGACACACGGTGATTGATGAATGGGAAAAGAACACGGATTTGGACTACGGACATACTTTGGATTCCGCTATTGGGGGGCCTTTGATTCTCTGTACCACTAGCATTAGCCTCGCACACATTTTAATGAACCCTTGACTTACTTTACTTTGTACATGGTACAATCTCGCATTCCAATGCCTCCAGAATTTCCCATCGCGCCCTCGCCTTCTCCGAGCTTGTGGTCCACCAGAGCTCGAAGCGCGAATCGCAACTCCTGCCTTTTCCCAGATCGTCGGACGCGATCGACACGCCTGCTTTGTATCTGCAACGCTCCCTCCCCTCCCCATTAGGCAATTTTCCGGGATCCCTCAAATTATGAGGGGAGTGTTTTGGAGCTATCAACCCCGCAAATTCGCCCGGAGAAATAGCAAACACCCCAGCTACTAATTAGCCGAGCTCATCTATAAAATTGGAACGTACGCAAACAAGAGGGATACACGAAGCACCGGTGGGCGACTGACGCGAGGATGCATCCAACTTGGCTTCTGCTTCATGTTTTCGTCCTGGATTTAGCCCAGGGTGCTGCTCTGAGCCCGCGCATCGACAACGGGCTAGCCAAAACGCCACCCATGGGGTAATATCTCCACCAGCAGCTGTCTTGCCCCCACTAACCTCCCCAGATGGAATACCTACAACCACTACGCCTGCTCTCCAAACGAAACAATCGTCAAATCCAACGCCAAAGCGCTCGTCGACCTGGGCCTTGACAAACTCGGCTATCGCTACGTGACCATCGACTGTGGCTGGACCATTCCCGATCGCCTTGCCAACGGGTCGTTGACCTGGAACGAAACCATCTTCCCCACCGGATTCTATGCCATCGGACAGTACATTCACGACCTCGGTCTTCTGTTTGGCGTCTATGAAGATGCTGGGATCCAGTCGTGTCAGACAGATATCGCCCAGGCGGGCAGTCTGTGTACATTATTATCCCGAATCCGGATGAGAGATCTACTGCTGACCCGGCGATCGCAGTCCACGAGGCCGAAGATGCAGCCCGATTTGCATCGTGGAAAATCGATGCTTTGAAGTGTACGCCGCCCCTGATAATCACTGAGCGAGGGATATTCGCAACTAACCATCGCAGACGACAATTGCTTCTCCGACGCAGCCACCGGCTACCCAAACACCAACTACGCCCCCAGCACCTCCCCCGTCCCGCTTCGCGAACATGACAGAAGCACTCGCGGCGCAGGACAAGCCCGTTCTCTTCCAGATCTGCGAATGGGGCATTGACTTCCCTGCATTGTGGGCACCGGCTTTGGGTAACACCTGGCGCATCGGCAACGACATCATCCCCGCCTGGCGCGCCATCTGGCGCACCGTCAACCAAGCTGTTCCGCAGACATCATTCGCAGGACCCGGTCAATGGCCAGATTTGGACATGCTCGAAGTTGGGAACGATCTCTTCACCACGTCGGAAGAACAGACCCATTTCTCGTTGTGGGCCATTTTGAAGAGCCCGCTCGTCATCGGTGGAGCATTGAAAGATGAACGGACGTCAATTAGCAAGGAATCTCTTGCGATTCTATCGAACAAGGATGTCATAGATCTCAACCAAGACTCTCTAGGCAGGAGTGCTGATCTCCGCCGACGTTGGTCCGAGGAGGCGTACGACGTCTGGAGTGGTCCTCTTTCGGGTGGCCGGACCGTGGCTTCGCTGGTGAACTGGGCTGATGAGGCACGGGAGCTCACGCTCAACTTCCCCGACATTGGAATCCAGTTTGCGGGCCAGGTCAAGGACATCTGGGCAGGTAAGACGACGAAGGATGTCAAGACGTCGTATACTTCTACTGTTCAGCCACACGGGGTGATGCTTCTGGAGCTGAAGGATACAGTGGCTGGCGGTACCTACAGCGTGAAGAATTTTGCAAAGACTGATGGGTATTTCGAACCCCTACAGCAATGCATGATGCGATGCTGACTGCTTCCAGAACCACGTACACGTTCGATTCGATCTATGCAAACACCACCAGTAGCAACCACACAATCACCGTCCACTTCGCAAAAACACCATCAGAAAAGACAAACATCAAGCTCTCTACCGAGGAGAGCAAGGACCAACAAACCATCTCAGTCCCTCGATCTCACGAGATTGTTTCTTCAACCCTGTCCCTGTCTGCCGGCAACGGCAATCAAATTCAACTCGATTCGTCCATCCCAATCGACTCAATCCAAATCCAGTCACCCGGCGGCAGCTACTACCCCAGCACCTCATTCACCCTCTCAGGCTCCGCGACGCTCGAAAAATGCAGCACAGGCTTCTGCAAACCAACCGGCTCAAAACTCTCGTACCTAAACAGCACCAACAAGGCAACCGCAACGATCCACGCTTCCGTGCCGCAGGGCACATCAGTATCCAAGTTTGTTGAAGTGGACTACACGAACAACGACGTCGCCTTTTCGACCTCCTGGGGCCTCGGATCGAACTCGCGCAACATCACGGTCTCGGTGAATGGCGGTACCCCTGTTCGGTTGGATGTTCCGTTGTCTGGAAAGCATAGTGAGCTTTTTGGGCCCGGGAAGGGATGGTGGGATACTGCCACGTTGGGGTTCTTGGTGGGGGTGGAAGGATGGGGAGAATGTGGTCGTTGTCGGGAATGAGGCTGGGGAGAACGTGTCGCAGAGTTGGGGTGCGGAGTTCGTGGGGTTGAGGGTCTTTTGAGTGCGAGTATACCGATACACAACACACTTCACCAGGATGCAGATATAAACCGACTCGACGAGTTTTGATCAATTTTGACTGAACATCGTATTCAGAAGGTAGATGATATACAAAAACATCGCCGCACCGGGTGAATCAAACATGCGCACTCCAAGTCTCCGTCAAGAATTCCTTGACCGTCTTCGTCTTGACATCCGGGAAACTATTTCCAACGCGTCCTTCATGTGGCAAATGGAAGGCCTCGGCGAGATATAGCTGATAGCCAAAAACATTATAGGTTTGGGCATCTTCCGGCTGAATTCCACTCCCCTCGGCAATCCTCATGGGAGGAATGTCCCCATTGGCAATATCTTCCGGCTTCATATAGGTGACTTTGAATTTTTGTCCTGCTCTGGGCGTTAGATAGGACCTTATATGCAGTTGGAAGAGACGACCTACCGCAGACCTCTTCTGCCAGTCGAAGGGCTTCACCGAGACTGGTATCTTCCCCAGCACAGAAGCTGAATTCGGGCCACTCGTCGAGCTCCAGTAATTTGGCGACAAAGGTCCCAGCATCGTAACTGTAGATCATGGTCAAGGGTGTCGAACCATCCCCTGGAATGCACGCTTCTCGGTTAAGGACATCGACGGCAATATTCCAAGGAGGAATATTTGATCGCGCATGTGGTAGTCCCAAGAAGTCCATGAATGCCCCGCAAACCGGACGCGTAAATTTCAGATCGCTCTCTTTGAGCGCATTTGCGGCGGTCAAGAACCAGTCAATGCCAGGGTCGATATATTTCCTCCTGGAGGTGTGTCAGCGTTAATATCAACAGAAACAAGAGCCTTGCGGGAGAAATTGTTTCGTGGAGGGTGGTAGCATCGTACTCTTCGCGCGTCACAGTATAGTAGCCCCACTCGCTGGGCATAAACCTCTGTACACTCGCTGCCTGTTTGGCAGCATTAATCAAATTGAGTTGGGCTTCGGAGCAATCATCTCCTAACATGCCAATCGCGCATATCACCGTCTGGACTTGATGGGCCTCCAAATGTCGCGCAAGAGCATCGACATCATCATAGTCCACCTGTACATACTGGACACCGGCGACAGGCGACTCGACGTGCTCCTATCCATTCAAAACGCGCGCTTGTCAATGGTGATCCACCGGTATGGAGTGACGTGGAGGTTTCTGATTGAACACACCTGTCGCGTCAACGCAATCACGGGGAATTTGTTCTCATGTTGGATCTGTTCGACCAAGGTCTTTCCTACGCCGCCGGTGGCGCCGGCTACCGCAACTGTTGGGGCCATGGCTAGGGATTGAAGATGGATTACTTGGAGTAATAAACAAGCTCAGTCCAAGTGTTCGCGTCTTTGATCTGCGGGGTTTGTCCTATAACACGTGAGTCGCTTAAGTGTCCCACCAGAGTGGGTTTATCGATTGCGACAAAGTTAAAACAGAAACTTAACGTAATGGGAGCCCCGGCTGATGACGTAGTTGGGCGATCGAGCTCTTACGGTTGCAGATACCATGAATGGAACATGAAATCGTCAAGCTAGTCATGTTTCATGTTGAGCTTTTAGAATGTAATTTCTACGATTTTCAGGATACTTTGCCAATTTAAGCCCGTATGCGCAACAACTCCTGAGATGCCAAGCGCCAGATGTTCAGAGCAGGCTGTGTGACTCAAACTTGACCGTGCATAATCAGTAAATCAAGGGACTATGTGGCACTATTCGCAGTAGTGTTGGGACAAGTCATGTAGCTGTCAGCGATGTTGACATTCCTGACATTGGCTTCGCGGCTGTTCCCGGTGCCAGTTCGGCGGGAGTTCGGCACACCCGGAAATGAAATATGTACTAAGAAAAAAATTAAAATTGCGAGCACAGTTATACCTGGCTAGGGCACACTTGCAGGAACGAATAGCCCTATTTGAATACTAGTAAAGGCCCATAAACTTCGGGGGTTTCCCAAATCTGCTTCAAGTACAAACAAACTTAAAACGTCAGACTCATGAAGATGGAGCCCAAGCTGAAGTGGTGACTAAGCCACGCGATCAGGTCAACGTGATAGGACAGCAATTGCATCGCGGTGAGCTCTAGAATCAATTTTCCTGAATTTTGGGTACAAGATCTGTGATCTTATCGATAATTAATCTTCCCGATTGAATTTCAACTTTGGATCTTTGTAAGCACGGTCGCGACTCCTCTGTTCCACTTGCCCACTTCCGCCATGGCTATCACGAGTACTCGACCTCGGTAAACGGACGGTTTGTTACTCCGCGCCGCTTGTTAGTCATCAGAGGGACATCTGCTACTACCCTCTCTAAACTTATGAATATGTACCTTGCGAGGTCGGTTTGCTCCGGGTTTGTCATTTATTATTACGAGAATACTTTCATCGCATTTTTGGAACGTGTGATAACCACAGAAAATCCGGCAAAACAACGTGACTGAAGATGCCAAACACCACTCTTCTTACTGCCACAGGCTATGGCTCTTTCTTGCTCGCCGTTGGACACGCAGTATGTCAAGGGCGTGTCTCCAGAATAGCGCGCAAATTCCTGAAGCTAACGGTGTTTTATCTCGAAGCTTTCGGGCCAGGACTTCCTGAAGCTTGCACAATTCAAAGCGCTCCCGGGCATTGCTTTCACCTGTAGCACCGTTGGATGGTACCAGGGAAGTGCCTACTTGGTTCTGACGGGTACTATCCCATTACATTCAAGTCATCATGTCACGCTCAACCTTCGTTAACGCTCATTCGACAGGCTTGCTCAACCTCCACTGGGCGTCCAAGCCAGGAGATCTAGATGAGTCCCTGAATCGTGCAATGGCTGCTGTGATTGTTGCCATCGCGTGGGGTAGCTCAGCGTGGTACTTCCGAGGAGGAATGAAGGAGAATGGATTTATCACTGCTGCTGCTGGCATCATTCAAGGCTTGGCGGCCCTTCACTAGAGATGGTCTGATCTAGGAAGAATCCACATTGATTGGGGAGTGAACACGAGAAACCAGAACCAAGTACTAAGAGACGTATGTACAAAGTCCTGCGATGAGAAAGAGGATTGGGAGAGGCAGAATTGTGATCCAATTGATCTCGAACGAATTTTGCAATTCGACTATCCTCAGATTAATTTGTGGGAGGTAGCGTAGATGTGACCAGATGTTGTATCATCTCCGCTATTGGCGTTTGAAAGACGAGCACAGTCTACTTTGGGTAGTTATTGGTGGTTAACAGGTCCATCCAGTAGGAGATGGCATCACTGCGGAAGTTATCCTTCCCAGGGCGACAAAGCTCTGTGGCGTTTACATCAAAGACGAGCGCTTTAGGGTTATCAATGTCGCAATTAGGCCACTGGGTAGTTCCATTGACTAAACACACAAGTTTATTTAGATTATCTGGCACGGGAGGGGTTATCTCGCAAAGGGTGATTTCACTCACTGGAAATGTTGTTGGGCCTCAGGGTATCAATGAAGCTGAGCAGCATGCTTGAGATGAGGTAGCTCGGGGGTTCAAATGTTTCTTCTAGTCGGCCTGATCCGTGGGGCTGAGAGACTCGGCCAGCGTGACGTGGGGGGCGACGAAAGCGACATCATCCTGCTCTTGGGCAAGACGATTTCAAAAACCGAATCGTCTAGTATACTACAGCCAGTAATGGTCGAACTGATGAGCCTTGCGCCTGCTTCGTACTAATTTGAAGTCCATTGTAGCTAGGAAGCCCAAATAACGCTTGTAGCTGTATCTTTGACTGTCCGCGACGACGTCCCGAGCGATTAGTCCCATATTTAGCAACGACCTAAATCTGCGCAAGGACCGAGTATGCTAATTGAGGAATCACAATTTTGAGTATGCCTAGGCGTCATTGTTTAGATTGAATCTGCCGACTGTCACGAGGCAAAAATTGGCGATGATGCATGAAATGATAAAAAAGACTGGACCTGCATAACATGCGGACTGTCCTCACGAGCAAGCCACACCGCAGCTACAGTGGGCCTAAGAGAACTTACTCTGTACAATCACAATGGACTAGGACTACAAGAACGCTGGTTGGAACATAAAAAGTCATTATATATTGGAAATCCGGTGAACACAATCTATGCGCACCGGCCGGGACGCATCAGAGACCCCGACATTTCCGGGATGGATATACGAAGTCAGAAAAGAAAAATGAAACGCCAAATCAATGCCAATCAGGAGCTCTTGACAGCGTTCTTGACCATGTTGCCGAAGTTAGGCGTACCCAGACCAGTGACAGGATCCCAGCCCTTGGTAGCATTCCAGCTAGCGTAAGGGACGACAGGGCCGCCATTGGCAGGGCCGTTGAACCGACCATTTCCATCACAGCCAGTGCTTCCACCGGTGGTGATGTCGTTCAGAACGGCGGTGGAATTGGAGTAGAGCCAGGGGTTGAGGAAACCCATGGGGGGCTGGCCGGCCTCGATGCGAGCGTCGTTCAGGAGGGCGATAACACCGGCGAAGGCGGGCGCGGAGGCAGAAGTACCGTCGACTCGGGTAAGCCGGCCCTTCTCGTAGATAGCGAAGTTTTGGCCCTGGGCGGCGACATCAGGAAATGCGCGGCCCTTTGCGTTGAAGAGGCCGGACCATTGGTCTCCAAGGTCTTGCAGGAACGCACTGACGGCTTCTTCTTGGTACTTGGGGCGCTCCCAGAGATCGGAGAAGCCACCGGAGGAGAAGGAGACGGCCTTCTCAGGGGAAGTGTGGGTCGTGGCACCGACCGATGTCACCCAGGGGCAAGCAGCGGGGAATTGGGGAGGGAAGTGGGTGGTGTTCTTGCCGTCGTTGGTCTGACAGGCAGCACCGACGCCAGAGTCACCCGAGGAGAAGATGACGGAGACGCCACGGCTACCGAGCTGGGCGAACAGGTTGCAGACGGTCCGGGCGTACTTCTCAGGGACGCTCTGCTCGTTCTCGCCGTACGAGGTAGAGATCACCTGAGGCAGCTCTTCGTTGCTCATCTTGACAACGTTCTGCAGGAAATCCAGGTACGGTTCGTTGTTGTTGTTGTTGGGATCGGGCTGGTCCAGGTCGGGCACAAGGGGGCCACGGCCACCAGTGCTGAATTCCGTGACAGAGGCCGGGGAGCTAACACCGACGATGTACTGCAGGTCGAGGTTGGCCTCGCTGCTGTCAGACATGGAGTTCTGGTCATTGCCACCGCCGTGATACTCGATGACAGTAAAGTTATCGCCCTCAGCCCAAGGAGCGAAGTTCTTCTCGAACAGAGCAAGATCCTGGTAGCGGGCGTACTGCTCGAGGTAGCTGGAGAAACCGATCTTGTTGCCATTGTCCGAATGACCTTCATAGTCACCGACATTGTAGATACTCTTCAAGCACTTGGGAGTAATTGCGGTGTCACAGCTGGACGAAGGAGACAGGGCTGCCTTCTTGAACGCCTCATCGGCGACTCGGGACTTGCTGTGCATGGTCGCGCGGTTGGCCTTCAGCTGGCCGAAACGAGTAGTGGGCGAAACCAGGTTGACATGGGGAATCACCTCCCGGGGAAGGGAGTACTCCAGAGTGCGCAAACGCTCAACATGCTTGTGACGATTGACATAGTACTGGAAATTTGCGTCCAGCAGATCATTGGCTTTCTCAACGGTCGTGTGGATGGTCAGCCAGTCGGCGTCCCGGTGAATATCATTGATTCCAGCGCCCTCGAGCCAGTTGCGAACCACCTGCACTGAGTCGTCGCTCGGTTGCAACATGCGCTTCATCTCATCGTGCGACTGGAAGTGCTTGCCGTAGTCGCGGTGACCAGGGGTCGACATGTCTAGGAGGGTCTTCTCGAACGCTTCCAGGCGCTGCTGGCTCAGGGCGAGATTGAGCTTAACGGGTTGCTTTCCATTGGGGGTGCGGCTGTAGCGCCATCCTACGAACGAGATATTCTAATTAGCGCCCACGTTCTTCGCCAACCCAAAGCAGGGACAATAATACCTTCTGGGATACCGGGCAGCTGTTCGAACACATCTGCGGCAGCAGTAGAAGCAAGAAGCGACACGATGGCCAACGACAAGGCTCCGCGGTTGAACAGTGAAGCTAGCATGACGACAAGGAGCGACTGGTAAGACACCCAGCCCAAGACCGCGCAATTAGTCGCGGATACCAGAGTATAAATAGGGCAATGGGGCTGGAATGAGCAAGACACGAAGGGCGGCGCGGCGTTTATTTATTATGGTCGCATTGGTGGGGGAAATGAAAGTCCGATGCACGCAAGAATGCTCGGGTCGCGCGAAGAAAGCAAATCTCCCGTTCTGGCAACCAAGCGAATTGATCCTCCGTCCGCCATCCGGCCGTCGCACTCCCTCCTGGCTTTGCATATCAGGTCCACCGACTGCAGGTCAGTGGATCCTAGCCAGTCGGGCATCCGTCGGCAGCAAGCCGGACGGCGGGCCTGTATCCAATCGATCAGTCGTGCAATTTGAGAGGCAGCGGCGTAGTCGCATCTGGTGTTGCTTAACCCCTCCCGCGGGCTGTCGCACTCGTGCAATGACGACGAAGGAGGACTAATGATGCGACCTGGTATTCTCCCTTTCTCCCAGGACAATGCGACCCTGAGCGCGAGTGAACAGCGCCACTCCGTCAAGGATCGGCAGGGGCGAGACCCACACGACTCGGGCGACAAGACAAGCGAGGGGGTCGGAAGACATGGCAGATGAGGCTGGGATCTTGCTCGTGCATCTCCCATCTGCACGCATGCACAGCTTAAAATTAAACGGAGGAAGCCTTGCGATGGCCTACGTATATGGCCCTGTTGTTGGTCGTAGCAGCTGGCCAGGGCGTCGGTGGAAGCCTGAGGAGAATGCGACCATCCGGACCTGCCAAGCGACGCCCACTTGGCGCAATTGATCATTTGGTGTGGGCGGGTTGCATTTGCAGGGCATTGTTAAGGTTTCTCAAAGGATAGGAACAATGCCAATCGATCGGAGGCACGCGATAGGGTTTGAGATCATGCGTCGTAGAAACGGTTGGCCCGTTGGACGAGTGGCTGGATGCGATGAATGACTTGATCCATGCTCGACGGCGGGCAAGACACTAATTGTTGGATCTTGGGGGCTGGTAATCCGGGCCGGGATCGAGGCAGTTTGTGCCTTGCAATGCAGGTATTAATCATAGCTCCATGCGGAGCTCCTGCGAGAGCCTGCTTGAGCAGCGGGTGCCTGGTCGCCGTCGAACATGACGAACCACGCAAGACATGATGGACATGGTGGACATGGCGGGGGAGGGAATCTCCGGCGCCCCGCCTGTCGCGGAGCCCGACGGCGGACCCGCATGTTCCGAGTGACGAGCTTGAGTTAATCTCGCAGTTGCCCGGATCGGGAGTCAGTTGTAACTCATCAGTGTAGTGTGTTTGGTCGAGTGGTTCAAACTGAAAAGGAGACTGCGGGCGCAGCCGCAGCTGAGAACAATCAATGGGGGCGGCACGTGCCAGGCTCCGGAAAAGCAACTACATCAATCTACGGGGGCTAACAAACATATCTTTGGGAGATCCGGGGAAACCAGTCAAGCTAAGAATTGACTGATTGATTGTTTGTACTAGTCATGTTTAAAAATAGTGGTATCCCCACAGTATATACAATATTGCATGGAAAATGCGCGCAGAGATTGATCTATCCTGCTACTTTACCCAAATTTCACAGGACATCACTTGGATCCAACGGGCACTTCCTGGGCAGGTGGCCCGTTATCCTCCAGGTGTTGGGCGTAGACCATCTGCGCAATGGCGTCTTCAGTCTGCAGATAGGTACGGCTGCCCTGGATGAACCAGAAGGCAAGCGCGATGACCAGCATGACACCAAACACGGCAATGGCGTAGTTCATGTCGCTGGGCGCGGGGTTGGGACCGCCAGGGAAGAGGAAGAAGATGGTCGTGATGATGCAGTAGACGATACTAACCCAGTTGAACCATGGACCCCAGCGACCAAGACGGAAGGGGCCAGGAGGCAGCTTGTCGCGACCGGTCACGAGGAGGGCGAGGATGGGCATGGCATAGGAGACGGTGAGGGCAATGGTGCTGACACTCAGAATGGCCTCCAGTACAGTATTGGCAAACAGGTACAGGATACCAACGATGCCGACGATGACGCCTTGTCCCCAGAGCGATCGAGCAGGGACTTGCCACACCGGGTCGACGTGGCTGAAGTACCGGCTCCAAGGAAGGCCACCATCACGGGCGAAGCCCCAGGTCAAGCGCGAGGCGGTGGTCAGGACACTGATTCCTTGGCCGAGACCATTGAAAATGAACAGAGCAATCAGGGTAGCGCCACCTTTCAGACCGACAGTCTCGAGCATAAGCTCCATAAAAGGCAGGTCGGCATTGGTGACCTTGTCGACATCCTGAATACAGAACAGACACACCACCATGAAGATGAAACCGGTGATAGCGCCAAACAGCACGGCCATCCAGATGACGCGAGGGGCGTTCTTGCGGGGCGCGGGGATTTCCTCAACCATGTGGATGACAGAGTCGAAGGCTGTCAGACCGTATGCAGCCTGCACAAGGCCGGTAAACCAGACAACGCCGTCACTCCAACCAGTCTCGTTCATCCACTGACCAAACACAAATGTTCCAGGCTGGAAAGAGAGGTCGCTCTTCACGCCTACACAGATCAACATAACCATTGACAACACCACGAACAGACCGGCGAACCAGACACCAACGAAGTTGTTAATCCAGGGGAGGACCTGCTCCCGCCGGCAGCTGATGACGTTGATGAGAGTCAAGAGGAAGACGACCCCAATATATACGACAAAGTTCAGCCAGCCCTTGTCGGGACCGTCCCAGTCGGGGTTAAACATCGTCTTCATACCCAACAGAAACTCGGTCATGAAAGCGACCTGCGAGGCCGTCAAGGTCCACCATCCAAACGTGTTGATCCACGCACACATGTAAGACACGAATCGACCGAGCGGCGTACTCCACAGGCGATACACCCAGTACGCCTGGCCGAGGGCCGTGGGCATGCTGCTGGTCAGCTCACCCAGCGAGAGGGCGACACAAAGATTGCAGGCCGTGACGAGCACGAGACCCCAGAGAATGGTGATGGAAGCGCCATTAGTGAGACCACTGCTCAAGTCCTGCGCGAATGTCGAGTAGGTTCCTGAACATCAGATCAAGTCAGCCATCATGCCCATCACCTCGGTGGTGGCGACTATCGCCCCCCCCACCCACCACTGGCAGCTTCTGCGGGGACCACCTACCAAGTACACAAAAGGCCAGCGCCAGCATGCTCCAAATATTAAACTTGCGCGTCAAGGCCTGGGCATGGCCCATGGCAGCGAGATCCGTCGCATCCTGAACATCCTGCTCATCTTCAATCGGCGGCTTAAGGGGCAGCGAATTCGTTTCCACGTCCATCATACTTCAACCCGAGGCAATATAGAACAATTCGGTGGGAAGGCGGATAGGAGTTGCGCCCATTTTCTGCCGAAGATTGAGCCAGAGGAAAAGAGGCAGTAGAGGTAGGCCGCACGACGGTATATGTATATTTTGATGCACAGGACCGCGGTGCACGATCAGCGCCCCTCGCTCACGGACGCAGTATCGCGTTCTCTTCCCCAGAAAAAATATGGGGCAGATAAACTTGGGGACGGGATGGAGGCCGTGAACCAATGGCAGGCGCAACAGGGAACGGATTGAGTGGGCGCGACAGGAATTGGTCACGCCGGCCACAGCTGTTGGTCATGAAAACGATCGTCGATGGTTTTTCGCATACGTTTTTTCTTGCGGGGTGTGGGCCTCGCGTGGAACCGCCTCGGCAGGACCTGCTGGAGTGGGCCTGGCAGATAACCGTGGCACGCTCAAGGACTACTCTTAGAAGTATTTGTTAGACGTGCCGATTAATAAAGCAGAGCGAGATAGAAAACAGTCGTACAAAATATCTAAGCTCATTCTAGAAGGTGCAATGGTCGTGATCTGTGGGATTTGTCGGCAGTATGTCCGTATCGTAGCTACCTTAAGTACTGGTATACTATCATTATCACACCCCCATTGACCACGCAGCACTCCAATGATTTACATTCTAGACCACACTCGATGACCACAGAATAAGCATCCGCATGCCTAACTGCGAACCATCTGTAAATGTCAGGGTCCTGCAGCCACGCAGCCAAACATGCCGGGTGGCGATCCTCGCCGGAAACGGCAAGTCCACGCGGTCGATAAGCTATCAGCGGACTATTCTCCGCTGAACCTCAACGAGGACAGACCGGTCAACAAATGATGACGATGATGGCATGGTATCTCGATTTCAATATCTCCCTGATAACACGCGTGGATCAAGCTGGTATCTATCATCGCGGTGGATTCAACATTCCTATCGAATTCCGAAGACCATATTCCCCCCTTAGACGTATGCTCTGCGACAGTCCAAACTCAATTGCATACATACCAGGGTCGGCGATCAACATAGAGCCGCGCAGCTGACTAGCGCCACACAAGAAACAAGCAGAGTTCTTACCTCTCGAAAATGTATCAGGAAAGAGGAAACGATAGCTCGGGCGTCAAGTAGCCGCATGTGTCCGCGGCATATAGACCTATGTCCGGGGGCGGAGCAGGCCCACGCATAGAAGCAATGGGGCCGGGGACGGAGACGGGACCATGAACGTGGCGGCCATCCAGTAGCGCGGAATGACGGGAAGTCTTCTAACGGAGATTCTGTCTTCTAGTCGTGACGATCCGGGAGAGGTCCCCGAGAGCTGGAGCTCGAGCAGCGCACCATTGGCTAGTGCCGCCGGTCTCGGTGCTGAATCTCCTGTTCTTTCCCTTCGCGGCGCTCAAGCTGTGAAATGTGCACTCGGATGGAGTCGAGATAGACTCAGGATCGGGGGGATGTGAAATGCGGGGTGGTTCCATGACACGAGCATTCTCCTCGGGCTGAGACTGAACTTACACAACATCAAACTTCCCCGCGGCAAATGGAAGTCACGATATCTCCGAAGACTCTGTGTAGGGCAATTTGTCCTACTGACGATATGCAGGTACTGCACTGCATGCCAAACCCATTTAGGCATTTAGAACCAAATCGGCCTTGGCTAGACGGATCCGTGGCGATATCCGAGCTCGGGGATGGTCGTGGAAAATTTGCATAAGCAGTCGATTTGTTTTGGTTTGATAACGGTATGAATAACGTGCTGCGGCTGTTTTCCGCGCAGATATCGATGATGCGTCTTTTTTTCAGTGCCGGCTGGAAAAGGGCTTCGTGGCTTGTCGGGTGACTAGGGTGCCGCGCCTGGACGCCTGTCGACTCGCAATATTATCAATCATGCTGAGGAGTCGACTTGTCAGCTTGGTTCTGCCTGCGACAACGCTACTCTCTTCGGTCACTTCTTCTCTACCCTGAAAAGCCCGCCAACTCACCATGTTCCGTCGACTCAGCGTTCCCAATCGAGCCACTTTTCCATACGGGAAAGGCTCGGTGGTGTGTCCGTGAAGAGAAAAAAAAGCTTCGACACAGAAGAATTCGCACTCCAAAGTTTCTTTTTCGTTTGTCTAGGCATAGTTCGAGGTCATGAGAGACTGTTGCTAGTGAATCGAACCGGGCCGTCGCTGGATCGAACTTCGCTGAGCTGGCCCTCCATTCATTTCATCTCGCGTCGTCGGGCACACTGGTCATCATGATGGAGTGGCACCATCAAGGAGACAAAAATAAAGGTTAAAGAGTTGCAATGGAGGAAGAACGAGCTCACTGACTTTTACAGCAAGGAGAGCAGGTGCGGACAGAGAAATGCAAACGGGACAAACCTTGACATGGCAATAGCATCCAACATCGACACCACCTTGAAATCAAATCAAGAAAAGCCCTTTGAAGAAAAGAAAAAAAGTCAATGACACTCAGCAGACATCATAAATTGGTGAGCGCAGGACTCACCTTTATAGATCGCGTCGTCCGATGTCCAGCGCAACTACTTCCCGATCGGGAACATCAGCCAACACAGTGGAGCTACGCCTACACCCATGACCAAGTCTACTCGCACCGCTCTTCGAAAACAAGCAAATGAATCAAATCACCCGAGTCTGGCAATTACATTGATGTGGAATACTATCGGATACACCAGTTACCCATAATGGGGAATCACGAACGCAAAACACTTTTGTTGTCACCAGGCCCCGGCAAGACCATAAAGATGGGAGAGGACAGCATAGCGATGCAAATTAATCCAGAACGCCAGATCCAGTCCAACAAAAAGCCCACCTGCCACAACGCCTCTTAAAATACAGATTCGTAACGGTCATGAGAAAGAAATCAGCACCAGCCAGTGATGTGATCGAGTGTGGAGAAAAGGATCTCAAACACGAGACTGTTTCGCGTGGCGCCAGATGCCGCCAGGAAGTAGATTCTGCTTGAGTAAGGCGAGCTCCTTATGCAGGGCCTGATTCTCGTGCTGGACGTTCTCGATGTAGGTCAGGGCGTTGGTGAGGATTTCAGATTTCTTGAGCGAGGCGGTGCCGGCGCGGGCGGTTTGCTTGTGGACGCCGGCGGGGGAAATGGCTTTCTCGAGGGAGAGAAATTTGGCATTCATATTGGTGCGGTAGCGCTTCTCGATGATGTTGTGAGCGGCGCGCTTGGCGGCGTTGCGAGTCTGAGGATCCTGGCTGGTCGACGAGTGTCGCGAGTCCTGCGACAGGCTGCGGGTCTTGCGGCCAGTGGACGCGGACTGCTTGCGAGTCACCCGGGGAACGGGGTAGTCTTCCTCTGTCTTGATGTTGGGGCTGGAGGACCAGCGGGCTGATGAGCTTTGCGAGGCGTTGCGGGTCACGGGCTTGTTGGATTCCATCGCTGGCTCGGACAGGGCCAGATCGACTGAGGGGCGAGCGCCCGTGGACCAGGTCTGATCGTCGCTGTCCAGCTCCTGGGTGATGTTCATGTTAGCAGCGGTTCAGTCAGGCCAGCAGGTGTAGCAAGCGTTACTCACGGAGGTAGGCGAGACGGCGTCGTCGGCGGTGGGCATGGTGAAACCACTGATGCCGGTTGGGGTGCCAAAGGGATCCATAAAGAGATCCTTGGTATCGGCGTTGGTCATCTCAGAGAAGTCAAAGGCCGTGGGGTCCATGTCAGCCGGGTTGACGGAGAACAGGTCGATGCCGCTGTCGTAAGCCCAGTTGACTGGCAGCGGGTCGGAGGCCTTGGAGCCGTAGAGGTCCATGGGGCGCGACTGGGGGCTGATCTGCTGGTTGAGGTACCGCTCGTCCTCGGCCGTGAGTGTCGACATTGGATTCGGTCGACTAAACGCGGCCATGGTGGAGATGGGAGGAATACACATCGGGAGTGGTAGTCGAGATGATGCTTGACGACTAGCAGTAGGGAGGTGTGGGAATTGAATCACGATCGATGAGATCGGGTGGGAGATGGATGTATAAAAGAGGCGAATCTTTCGGAGGTGAGGTTACCGTGGAACAGCATTAGGTTACCGTCGGCCGCCCGGTTATATACCTCCCCTTTAGGGTACGAAGTATTTTCACAGATCTTCGTCACGGCCCAGCCAGGATTACGACGTAGAACCGACGCTGCGAGCCGAGAGTGATGTCAGGGGCTGGACCTGGTTAGTGTCTTCCTAGTGTAGAGACCCTGGTGAGCTCCACTCCATCACTATAGTATCCGCCTAACACTCCTCCTGGTTGCTGGACGAGCACGGCGAGCCGAGATCACCTTTGATACTCGTAAACTATTTTGCGCACCCAATACTGCGTCTGCTATGCTGATCTGAGTGTACTTTGGTCTGCGGCCGGCTCCGATGTACGCGATTCCGCGAGGGTGAAACCGTTGGCAGATCCGGCCGAGTCTCGGAGCCGACACCAACGGGGATCCACGAGTACCAACGACTTTATTTCTGGTGGGTGATCCTATATTAAGCCAGGTATCCGTGACTAATATCCCCTTATGCACCGGGAAAATGCATTTCCTGTCACGTCCATCCCTGCATGCAGACGATCGCAGGGAGGGCTGGACTCGGCACAATTGGACGGCCTGTCTGCGTCGAGTAGTAAGTGATGATCGCGAAAGTGAAGATGATCGATCAACCTTGCCCGTCAATTTGCTGTCTTTAATCCATTGGGAGCTCAAAAGTACTTTCTGAGATCCACAATGAATTGTTCCCATACCCCAAAACGGCGATACACAGCCATCACGGTCGCTAAACGTAGCCCCGAAAACTCAACCCAGTGGCAACGGCTCTAGATCTTTTCTGTAGGTATGTTTCTGCATCGCAATGGTACAGTCACACTCCATTCGACACAATCCTCCGTCCCCATGTGCCCGATCAGCCAGGCTGTCCGCAGCTGCGGTCCCCCATCTCGCCCGATGCAGCCGTGAAACGCCGAGCACCCAAAGAGGACAACATTCCCTGCCGAACAGTGCAATACATCCTATACTCCTATACATACAGACTATACATACTATACACATTACTAGTATACATACCAGTACACCATAATCTCTAGACCACCCGGAGGCCGCCAATACTGGCTGACCGGCTCCACCCAAGAACACTCCTGTCACTTGCCTGTTTGGGCCGTGGGGTGACTCGGATCGAGTCCTTCCTGCCCGGCACCCGCCGACCCTCTCCTTCCTCTTCGCCCTCGTGACACCGCGGTTGTGAGGCCCACGAATTTGAAACGGAACGCCAGCTTCGGTGAACCCTTCCGTGCGTCTACTCTCGGGATGCGATGGTCTCCTGATCGAGAGTCCCACGGCGTTCACCCGCGAGACGAGTATCCAGCTCACCACTACGACTTCACCCCAGTTCTTTTCGATGCGTTAGGCCATCGCTCGCGGGGACACGCCTGCGCACGACACCCCTTCCAGAAGACTGCCAATTTACTGGCTGATCGAGCATCAATCTCGCCCCTGGCGGATCCTGATCGCGCCCGAAGCGCAGAAATCTTGATTTCAGCCCTAGCCTGCCGACCTCGACATTGAGTCGAGTGGACCCAAGCCACCCCGCTAGCGCCCTGCGGGCTGACCGTTGACACCCGTCATCCCCATCCAGTCAGTATTACGGGCATCGCATCGCGGTCTTCGTCCGCATTCCGGGTCAGTCGACGTGCCCGGCCCGGTGGAGACCCGCTAGTCTCGTCAGATGGCCGCATCCACGGATCTGAGCTGGATCTGATCTGCCGGCCGGCCGCTTCCCCGGATTTCGGGTTCCGGCGACGGGATCGACGTCGGTTGCGAGCCGTGGCGGCGGGAGGGGTGCCCCGGATAGAAGAGACAGGAGGGGGTAAAGTTTTTACCTCTTGCTATAGGGAGAGCTGTGACGCAGCTGTTGTTGGCGATCACTTCCTGTTGCACGAGCGAGACAGGACACAAGCGAGATGACCAGTCTCTGTCTGTGGTGGATGATGGAGATGCAAACTGGCCGCCAACCGTGAATGGCGTGGTCGATATACCGAATGATGAAAAGCAGTGCTTACTCTATTTAGGCATAGCTCCATCGTGTTTACCTCACGTGGCCCATTAATCTAGAACAGGTTGTCCCTCGAAAGATACAAGTATGCTGACTTGGTCGACCTTCGTTCACGCGAAATAATCTCTACGAGAGGCATGCTGCGGAAAGCGAGGCTACTGCACGAATACCCACACGAATCAATTATACAGTACCGATGAGATGGATTGAATGGAAATCTTGGCATGCCCCTCCTGCTCCATTCAGCCTTAAACTCTCAGTCCCCAGACTCGATTTCCGGTCGACCAGATCCTTCTCAGCTGCAAAGGTCCTCCATGACGAAGCCGAGGAGCTCCGTCTGGACACCCTCCCTTCCACTCCATAGACAATACTCGGTCTGGTGGTCACGCGACGATATCTCAAGCTCGCCATAGAAGCGGTGGACAGCCAACCGAGCCCGGTCCTCGTTTCAAGGCCAGTGACGCAACCGTGCAACGTGTCACAAGGCTTATCGCGCGGCGACCGACGTGATTGGATTTCAAGACGGGACAATCTCCAAGAGATGAGCCATGATTTTCGTTGTGAGAGGTGGTTGCTGAAGGCAATAAGATCTTCGCTGCTGCTCTTTTCTCTCAGATTCCAAGATTTTCTCGGTCTTCTCCGAGATTTGTTCGTGCCGATCCCAGCCCCACGGATTTTACTTCCACGATCGTCCGCGATGATCTCGATTGATCACGATGTGGGGCAGCCCTAATGGACCCGTCGTCTCTGGTTCAGATACAAGGCTGTTGTGTACCCCTCAGATGCATATGTACAGGCTTCGCATCGTCATCGCGATCTTATCGCAGCTCCATCACCTTCGGCCTACGTCGTGCAGGGACATCCGTCCATGTTTTCGAGATTCCTGCCTTGCATCATCAACTTTGAAACTGCATGTCCCTCATTGTGGCAACTAGTCACCCGCTCGGCTGCCCATTGAAGGAGCAGGATTGCTTAATCCACACGGATGCCCCCACAGTTCTCGCCAGACGAATGGAGCGATCGATGCGAAATGGAGGGGCCGATCAATATTGCCTACTGAGACGAATCATGTACCAGCCCGGACCCTCATGACGTACAATGCGCGTACAGTGTGCCGTCGAGCTGAAGACGTAAAAGCCCCTGAAGCCGCACAATTATCCCCAAAATCTGTAATCACAGAAACCAACAAACATGTCTCTGTAAGGCATCCCAATCCACTAATCGAGATAACCTGCTAAATCATAGCCCAGCGCACCCGAACAACAAGTCGAAGAGCTCGTCCAACGCCAAAATGTCTCGGACGACGAGGTCTTCGCTCTCTTCGACCAACTCAAACCCGTCAAAGCGGAGCAGTTCATCGGCGCCTGGAAAGGCGGCAGTGTGCGCACCAACCACCCAGTCGTAGAGAAAATGACCTCGATGAACTGGGCCGGTAAGGACTTCCGGTCGACAGAGGACGTGGACCCCATAGTGGTATACAAGGACGACGGATCTCGAGTCTGGAACGCGGACTGGGGTCATGCTCGCGTGAGTATTCCAACCTTCTCACTCAGGCTGTGCAAATACTGACAATCTCCTTTTAGTTGCGTCCGATGGAGTACCGGGGTGTTGTTACCACTGCAATGATTTACGATGACCAGCCCATCATTGATTACTTCCGATATGTGCGGGATGACTTGCTTTTGGGCGCGATGGATGCGAAGAAGGCTGACGGGACTTTTTTCTTTTATTTGCATAAATAAGGCTGTACACTACAGTTGTCAATAGGGTTGTTCTCGGGCGTCGTTTTTCGTGTCATGGATTTGTACTTGATAGGTGTGCAATGTCCAATTGTGATGAAGAGTGATGAGTTTACATTTAACTTCGTCCCCCCGATGGATATATATTCCGGCGACCTCCAAATAAGATCGATCTACTCTCGATGTTCTTCCAACCATGCTTATCAAACCGGACCACCTGTGAACAATCAGACGCAATAAACCAGCTGATATATCAATCGACAAGGCGTTTGCATTGAGAAGCCTAGTGTTGAGCTGTTGTGAAGCTCGGTGCCGCGATCTCATCCAGCTTACTCAAGGACTCGGATTCGTATTGCAACCTCGGGAAAGTACGTCAATGGCCCTGGAGATGGAGGGGTCGGAAGCCAACAATCACTCCACTTTTCTACAATTAGGCACTGCAGTTTACATTCCAACAGTTTTCATGGCGAAACACAGCTAACTTCCAAATATCAGCGCAAGAGTCCTGACTATGTTTGCCACCAACCGGTGCTGAAGAGTATCGAATCGAACTCTTCGAATGGAAATTCCAAAGCATCCTGCGCACCAAAATGAAATACACGCTCACAATGCCATACTATCGACCTATGCGATGCACATGAGCCCCTGACAAAATCCGTCGAGTCTCTGTTCTCTGCAAAATCGGCACGGGTATCCGAAGCTAACAGCGCCATCCGATCAGCCCGAAGCCCTAAGGAGATCCGCGGAGCCAACCAGGCGTTGCAGACTGATCGCAAGAACCAAAATCAACTAATTGCAAGCCAAGAAAGCACAAGCCCCTGAATTGCTAAATGGTTTGCTGGCCCTAAGAATAGCACAGGCGACAGAAAGGGGAAATCTCCCGAAGCAACTCCGACAATTGCCTGCAGATCGGCAGTGGCTGCTTCCCCACATCGGATAAAAGCGTTTCTGTCGTTAGCCGCGATTCAGGGTCTTCAGAGTCGCGCGAGTTTCGTGGGATGTAAGAGAAGAATAACAAGTCGGAAGTCTTCCAACCATGCTGGAAACAATTCTAAATCTACACAGAGCCAACTGATAATATAATTGTGATTAACAATGGCGCAAAAGACAGTATGCGGGTAAATATACTTGGTTCTGAGGGGTTGCAAGACATGTTTCAATTCCTTCACGACCCAATATTCAGTATCCATTCTGACGGAGCAAGCACCCCGGTCGGAAAGGGGGCTTGCCCCAGTTTTATGACATCTACTCGAGTTAAGCATGTCTTAGTTCCAACCGCGGCATTATTTCCATCGATCTGGGATATCCCCTATAAAAGCCAGCAGTTCCAAACGGGAATGACCTCCAGATCACATCAACCAAACTACACTCAACCATCACAATGAAGTTCTCACTCGCTGCCATTGCTGGTTTCGCCAGCGCCGTCGCTGGTGTCGGCCTCCCGTCTGCCTTCACCCTCGTCGCTGACGGTGGCAAGACCGTCCTGACCGACGGCAGTACGTGAACCATCCACTCATGCCCAAGAGAATGCTCACAAAATTGTCAACAGATAACCTCTGGATCGGCGCCAACAGCACTACCCACGAGATCGCCATCCGTAAGTCCCCCGATCCCAACACATACCCGGTGCAAAGCCTAACAACAAAAACAGTCCGCAGCGGCGAGAACGGCGCCGTCTCCTTCACCTCCAAGAACGGCGTGCCGACTGCCTTCCAGAGCCTGTACGTCATCGACAAGGAGGTCTCCCCCGTCGGCCTGACCATCCCCCACTCCGGTGCGACCCCCAAGGGCGCCAGCACCACCGGATTTGGCCAGACTCCCAAGGGCTACTTCTCCTGGGAGGGCAAGACCTGGTTCTCCATTGATGGCTACGGCGAGGCCAAGGAGAAGGAGATCTTCTGGTACGGTGCTCACAATGCCGAGTATGCTTCTGTCAACCTCTGGGTTAAGGAGTGCAAGGGCTGCTAAATGCTTTCCAGAAGCATTTGACTTGTCCCTCTTTGGAAGTGCGAAGATAACCTAGCGAGGCTTTGTATATGTTCTGTCTCCTGTATTTAATCATCAATTTACATATTGCTAGCGTGTTGGTATATAAATTCCCAAAGATTTTATTTCGAGAATTTGTGATCGACATGTGATGGCTGGTAGTGAGCACTCCATTGGGCGTTAGGGGACGTAGAGGCTGCATACCAACAGATGAAAATACCTCAAGATGCCATCCTCAATATCCCTAGTATGTGCAGACCAAGTTTGTATAATTCACCCATTGTTAGTTCTTTCCAATCAACGCCTGAATAGTCGTCTCATAATCCTCCGGCTCCCTCCCCAAAATTCCCTTAATAGCCGGCGACACAGTAGCCGTCTCCCCATTCATAATAGCCTCCCAAGCAGTCGCCCACTCCCGGGAAAGATCCACCCCGTGATACGTATGCTTATCCCCGATCTGGGGGAGCTTGACGTACTCATCGACAGAAATCTCCTTAATACGCAACGGCCTTCCAACAGCCCGACCCAGAATATCAACTGTCTCCTTGAGAGAAATCTCTCTCTGCCCCGAAAGCAGAACCTTCTTATTAAGATACTCAAAGGCCATGGGGCTCTTCGTGTAAGACAGAATTAGCTTGGCAGTCGCCTCACCCAGTTCATCGCGTTTCACCCACGAAACGCCCGGTCCTGTGCCGGAGTGCGGAATGGCGATCTCGTCGACTGGATTGGCGGGGTCGAACCAGGCAGTGTAGATAGGGAACGATTCCGAGTAGAGACCTTCGCGGACGGAAGTGTAGGAGACTTTATCCGCCGAGCATTGCTCGGCGAGGTATTTCTCCGTAACAAGATGCGCACCCATAACATGCGCCACACTTGAATCTGCAAGGTCACCCCCAAAGCCGAGCGAGGAGTAGAAAATATACTTGACGCCGCTTTTGATTGCGGCATCAATGGCCAGTTTATGCGCCTGTACCTCAGTCAGCACAATCCCTATTCCCAGTAACTTCTTAATACCCTGGGGTACTTACATCAGCCCGATGCTGAATCTCAAACGAAGCATAAGAAATCAACATCAAAACATCGACGCCCACGAATGCATTCGTCAGTGTGGAGGGGGTATCATAATCGGCCTGGCGAACAGTCGAACCAGCATGTTCCAGCTCGGTCAGTTTCTCGGGATGACGCGCGATGAGAATGAGTTGTGAGGCTGGGACGAGGGTCTTGAGGTGGTTGACGATACTCGAGCCCAGGCCGCCGGAGGCGGGGAAGACGCCGATTTTTGCACTCATTGTGGGGACGCGGTTGTTGCTGTACGAGTTGGGTGGAGTTCAGAATTGGAGAATCTGTAAGTGTAGGTTGTCGCTGCGATTGAGTCGGGATTTTTAAGTACAGTCTGCCAAGGTTGGCCAAGGTTGTCAGCGCTTCGCGGTGTTGTCCACGCCGAGCTGCTTATAAATGGCTCGGCTACCAAGCGTCCGAGGGCCATCGTCGGAATTCCACCACAGCGCGATGCTTGGTGCACTCGCTCTATCATCAACAATTCGAGAGTTTGCGAGATTATTAACGTTCTATTCCCCTTTAATTCAAGAATTGCAAAAGTGGAGTCGGAAATTGATTGCGCAGTGGCCGAAATGACCACCCCTTACGAGTTCACGGGTCGTTATAATGAAGGCTCATTAGTTCATGAATTTATAGAGAAGAGATGGTATATCCAATGCAGACGCCGTGCCCAGAACAGTCAAATATGAGAATGCCCGTTTAGACTCCGCCAGTTCCGAACAGCTCCATCTTGATGCGATCGGCCTTCACGCCAAGGCCCTCGAGGCTTGACTTGGTGTCAGTCATGAACTTGTCAGGACCGCAAATATAGTATTCAGTCTGGAAATCGTCCAAAAACAGATCGTTGGTCGAATCAAGCTTGCTGAGGTCCACGCGTCCGACGTGGTCGTAATCCACGCCCTGCTTGTCCTCGCCAGAAGGCTGGCTCGTGAAGAAAGTCGCCCGTAGATTCGGGTACTCCTTCGCGAGGCCGGCGACGTGGCCCTGGAAAGCGCGCGCCTTGGATGTGCGGGCGCCGTGGATGAAATGAAGTTTGCGCTCGGCAGGCGACTTGGTCGTCAATGTGTTGAGGATCGAGGTCAGGGGAGTGAGACCCACACCGGCGGAAATAAGTACAACAGGGTGATTCTCCTCGGTCGGGGTGTAGAAGAAGTCGCCGGCCGGGTGGGAGACTTTGACGATATCGCCCTTGTTCTTGGTGTTGTGCAGGAGGTTGGAGACGTAGCCGGGGTGAGCAGCAGCAGTCGACTCTGTAGCGTCAAGACCCTTCTCCTTTTTCACACTGATGCGGTAGTAATCCGGCGACGGCTTATCACTGAGCGAGTATTGACGAGGCTGGTCACACTTCAGCTCATCAACATAGACCTGCACAGAGATATACTGGCCCGGTTGGAAAGCAGGCAGCGGCTTGCCATCGACAGGAGCAAGATAGAAAGAAGTGATCTCGTCCGACTCGGGGACCTTGTCGATGATCTTAAAGTCCCGCCAATCGGTCCAGCCTTCGCTCTGCTGGTAGATCTGCTGTTCGCGTCCGATCATGATATCGGCCAATTGCCAATAGGCGGCAGCCCAGGCATCCTTGATCTCCGGCGTGAGGGCCTCACCGAGGACTTCGCCCATGGCTTCGAGAAGGTATTTGCCGACGATCTTGTAGTCGTCGGGCTTGATGTAGAGCGAGGCGTGCTTGTTGCAGATCAGCTCAATGGCAGGGCCCAATGCGCCCAGGTTGTCGATGTTGGACGCGTACGCGAACAAGGCACCGGCCAGCGCACGCGGCTGGTGGCCGTTGACCTGGTTGGGCATGTTGAAGACATTGTTCAACTCTGGATGCGCGGCCAGCATGTTCTTGTAGAAGACCGTGGTGATGGACTTGCCATGGTCGACCAACACCGGCACGGTGGCCTTGATGAGCTGCAGTTGGTTTGGCGACAATCCCGAGATGGAACCCATCTTGAAGTCTGCAATGCAAATATTTGAAGGAGTTCGTCGATCGAAAAAGTTGTTTTGTGTTGTGTATCACTCGGATGTTGCACAGGAAAACAGTGGAGGCGGTCGCGGCCGAGTCTTCATTTTATACTATCCATCCCCCAGGTCCCGCAAGCGAGCCAGCAGACGCCGAGTCCCGGTGAAGATGGATCGTCTAGAAATCTATCGCAATGTGCCTGGCGGAATTTGCGGCCGTGACGGGCTGGTTCACGGATTGTCCCGCATCTCCGCGGAGGTGACCAAACATCGCGATGTGAGTGGCCAGCCAGCCACCGCGCTGGGTCCGGATGGGTTGATGGCGATGGACTTTTCTCGGCGATGGTGCCAGGTTCATGCCGCGACGGGCCGCAAACACGTGGACTGTAGATATTTCTGTTCGAAATAGCCTCAGTCTCACGAGAGAGGAATTCCTCAGTGTGAAAAAGCGCGCAACACCTTAATCAACACTGAGTTCTAACCAAGCACATGGCTGCGATCAGTTTGTTGGTTGCCGTCAAAGCGCCGATCGCGGGAAGATCCATCACACCAATGAGAACGATCCTTATGCATCAACAAATAGAGGCAGCGACAGTTATCGAGTCTCAAAATTGAGACAGTTTGCTCTGCAGATTGAGTGACTCTTGGCGAGTCGGTAGCCTGCCGACGTCGAAGCCGCGCATTTTCGGCAATGCCGACAGAGTCAGCCCACACGAAAATCTTTAGGAAGCCCCACCGATGCCGAACTGCCCGGTGCTGCGAGAAGAGCCGCCTCCAATCACGCAGTTTCGATTAGTTTGCAGTAGGTCGACAGGGTCAACGAGGAGCTGCGTTCGCATCGACTACGGGAAAAGTGGTTATCGCTGGTTTTGTTGCTGGGGTTCGAACGTGTTTGCGGGGTAGATAAGGTTGGGTTGAGCAGAAACTTAATTGGATGGGCCTTGATTGCTCTCGCAGGAGTAAAAAAAGAAAGGAAAGGAAAAGGCACCAGAAGACATGAAATCTTGCTCGTAACGAAGGGTGGCATGTCCAGAGGTCTCTTTATCTGCATGCGTAGATCACTTTCCCAAATCTTACTCATTCCTGGGGAAAAAAAATGGAAAGACAGTACGGAAGTGTGTAGCGGCCAGGGCTCACTTTCCAATTTCAGTCGGGCTTGATGCCTGGGTTTTATGTAGAGATCTACACCTCAATCTGACATCGCTACATAACAGTCATCGAAGCAGTCATCCGAGCAGTCTTTTGAATGATCAGCAGCTGAACAGTCATCTCAACAGTCACTTTTCCAGCATCAATCTCAACCAGGGCAAAAACGCGGGCGGTTAAAAAAAGGAAAGTGAGCTTTGGCCGCTATACTCTTCCGTAGACAGCCTACGACAGTTCACCACTCCCGCGCTTAACACATCACACATCCCTTTTGGGCATAGTCAGATCCAAAACGAGATAGGAGACACTCTGTCCCAATCAAGAATGAGGCGGAATGTTCACGAACTTACCAGGTTTACTCGGTACAGCCTCCTCGCTTCAGTGGTTTCAAGTTTGCCGAGGTTCATGGGGATGATGATTCATGCATTCTCAGCTAATCTCACTTAGCTCCTGGAATGGTTCATCGGAATTCGAAGTCAATCTCGACACTCTCAATCCACGTGATTTAGACAGCCACGCGTGAGCCCTGAGCTGGAAGGCGCCGAAGGGAAATTGTACAAGCAAGAGATCTTCCGATACAAGCCCAGGGAAGACTCCGGAAAGTGTGAATCGCTAGAATAAAACTTATTCATACATAAATGTGATGAAACGTAAACCTACAGTCGCAATGCGCGACATTTCGAATTCAACTGATTCCAAGCCAAAATTCCTTACCCGGATAGCCGCGGCATTCCTCTCCCACCGCCACCGACAAATACTCATGCACGACAGAAATTGTACAATTGTAAAGTCTACAGGACTTGCACACCTCAGTCATTTGATCGCCCCTGTCTCAGCGACTCGGTCAATGTCCAAATCTCCCTCTGTCCTTCAGAAAATGACTTGTTGACAATGAGCCCTCGACGTTAAAAACCTTGCGTGGTAGGAGCAGTTCAATTATCCACCGTCCAATGACAATGGGCCTCCACTCTCATGGACACGATCAAACAGTGGAAACCCATTCAAAGCTTCGAGTCGTGTTCTAGACAATGTCGGGCTATCCGTTTGCGAAAGGCCGGATGCTCCCGTTTTGGCAACGGGCTGGTGGCCCAAGTGGGGTTCCGACTCCACACCGAATCTATTGACCTCATCACTACTCGGCTTCCGCTGTCACGCTCATCGCGTCGAGCAGCCCGGCCCAACTGGGGTAAACGGCACCACGCAAAAAGGCTATCCAATGCCCGTCAACCCAGCACAGCATACAGCAAAAGCTAGCTGGCCGCGCCAAGATTTGGTCGATGATACAAGGACCTAGCTATACTTTGGTGGAGGGAGCTGTAGTGACGTCTGCTATGACCCCGGGGGATTGAATAAGTATCTCGTCACCGGATCGTTTGAACGAGAATGTGATTTCAATTGATCTTTCCAAAAAAACGCTGCTTGATTCTGTCAATTCGCCCACCCAGACTTCATTGCCCTGTTCAATTGAATCCTAGATGCCCAGGATGATCTTCCACAAGCGCACGCACTCTGGGGCGTCGTCTCTTGCTGGTCCGCCAGGTCCCGGCGGCCGTGGTCAGCTTCCTATGCTGCAGATGCCCGACAAGCTGCGGTATAACCTGTTGTGTGTGATGGGCGAGTTTGTGGGCACATTCTTGTTCCTTTTCTTCTCTTTTGCCGGCACGCAAGTGTCCAATACGCCAATGCCCGAGCCTGGATCTTATCCGAATACTTCCAATCTGCTATACTCTGCGCTGTCTTTTGGCTTTGCGTTAACGGTCAATGTCTGGGCATTCTTCCGTGTTACCGGTGGTCTGTTCAATCCGGCGGTATGAAATGCAGATCGACCCTCAATTGTTCCCATGCTGATAACTTTCAGGTGACTCTGGCGCTTTGCCTTACCGGAGGGTTGCCCCCACTTCGCGGACTGTTTGTGTTCCCTGCGCAGCTGGTCGGTGGTATTGCCGCGGCAGGCGTGGTCAGCGCTCTTTTCCCAGGCCCCTTGAATTGTGCCACCCGACTCGGTGGCGGCGCATCGATCTCGCAAGGACTGTTCATCGAGATGTTCCTCACAGCGCAGTTGATTCTCGTAATCATCATGCTGGCTGTCGTCAAGCACAAGTCGACCTACCTGGCACCTGTCGGCATTGGTCTGACATTCTTCGTCACCGAACTTATTGGTTAGCATACCTTTATCCAAACTCGCCAGAGAAAGCTTACTCACGCTTTCCATGCAGGTGACTACTATACCGGCGGCTCCCTCAATCCCGCACGCTCGCTAGGCCCCGACGTTATCAATCGCAGCTTCCCCGGGTACCACTGGATCTACTGGGTCGGACCTCTTCTCGGATCCCTACTTGCCTCTGCCTTCTACCACTTGATGTGCTATGTCCGCTGGGAGAACATCAACCCTGGCCAGGATTATAACGAGTGGGAAGTCAAGGCAGGCAAGTCTGGTTCGTCTGCTGCCTCTGAGCATACAGTCACCGATGGCTTGCACAATGGTCCCCAGACCGAGACCGAACCGAGCCGCGAGATTCCTCCTGAGCAGCAGGTGTAAACTGTACATATAGTGTGTGCAGCATGGAGCTCATCATGTTTGAAGCGGGTGTAATCAATCTGACGGACTTGGAATCTGCGTTTATGTGGCCTGGTAGAATGAGTTTAACTGCGTGCGCACGAGAGAGCAGTGGCATCTTCCATCGATTTTTGTCTTGGCACTCACAGGTGTCTGGTTTTGAGCTATATTCATGAACCGGCTGAATCCATGTTGCTATGATCAGTGTATTTCTAATTATAATTTAAAACCTGATACTCATAGTCGAATAATGCTAAGTAGCTGCAGAAAATACGAGCGCCAAACTCGTTAAGAAAAGTGGCGGGCCTAGTGGCCCTGCAGCCTCACCACTGATTCTCAACCGTCGTCCAGATTACAACACCAAAAGCACCAACAGTCGAGGTCCTGCGCGCCCGGAACTATTACTGAAACACTCAGATCATTATCCTTCCGGCCCAGAGACTGCCCGTATAGCCTGACCGTCTCACAACCAGTTAACGAGATAAAATTTGCCGACGGGAAGGCGCAAGCCGACAGCCTTGTGAAAGCAGGTCAATCAATCAAAGCAGGCGAAGTTTTTCCCCCTTCCAGCGAAACGAGAATTCCGCTAGAGTCGCAAACTGCCAATGAAGAATCCAATAGTTGCAATATTGACGTTTAGATGGATCCTCTTCGGCTGCAGATCAGCCGCTGGCGCCCCAGTCAGCTGCAGGTCCGGCCACTCGCAGTCCGATGCGCCCTCCAGCAGAGGAATGCCGCACCACCAACACTTGATTCGAGACAGCGGCATCAATATCAAGAATAAGTAATGCCCCGCATCTCTATCGCTACGCAATCCGTCTCCCGCACAGGCGAGGGCATTGGAGGAGGTAGAGGAGGAGGAGGAGGAGGAGGAGGAGGAGGAGGAGGCTGCTTACCTGCATGAAACCCGTGCCTCCACCAAACCACCGCCGCTTCGGGACGCAAGGGTCGCAGGGGCGTGAAGAATGAGAGTTTTCGAGGTTGCTCTGTTGCTCTGCAGCGCAGCCACACCAACAGCAGGGTCAGCTTATCTCAGACACGCGTGCGCAATCGAGGCAAGTCCATCGTTTTGCCGCCACGCGCTCATCAACCGAACTGTACACTTTCCTCTTTTCGCGACATCGCAGGAACGGCCAGTCGGGTTGCGACGCCATTGCAGATCTACCGGAGTGCTTTATTGGTGCTGGTCTCCCCCCTGGCAAGAGCCTTGTGTAACCCGTGCGCCATCTCCAGCCCTTAAGAGCTCCCTCATGCCGCACGATTGGATTCCCACCGATCTCGAGTGAATCACCTCAAAAATGCATCACGGGGGTACGACAAGCGATCCAGAGGCCTTGCGCGTGGCCGATAGAGCTGGTCTTGCCGAGCCGGGTGATTCGCAGCTGCTGGGTGAGTGTTGAGGAGATGAGAAGAACGCGGGTAGACACGAAGCGTCGGCTAATATTTCCGGCAGCTAAAATGGGCTACAAGCAGGAATTGAAGCGGCAGTACTCGACCACGCAGGTATTTGCGATCGCATTTAGCATCATGGGGCTGGTCCCGTCGCTTGCGTCGACTCTGTCCTTCTCATTACCTGCGGGGCCTGCTGGGATGGTCTGGGGCTGGTTTACTGCAAGTATATTCATTCTCATGGTTGGATTGGCAATGGTACGAGCTTCTATACCGGGCTCCTATGACGCAACATGGATTTAGCAGGGACTAACGACATATCCAGTCCGATCTCGCCTCTGCAATGCCTACCGCTGGAGGTCTTTACTGGTGGACGCACTACTTCGCCGGCGAGAAATACAAAAACCCCCTCAGTTTCCTGATCGGTTACAGCAACACCCTCGGTCTGATCGGCGGGATCTGCTCCGTCGACTATACCCTCGCGCTGATGATTCTCTCGTGCGTCGCGATCTCCCGCGACGACGAGTGGTCCGCCTCGCGCGGTGTGATTTATGCCGTGTATGTGGGACTGATTCTCCTGCATGGGATCTGTGCTGCACTTTCAGGGCGCATCATGCCGAAAATCCAGACTGCATGCATCTATATCAACATCTCGCTTGTGATTGCCACCGTCATTGCGCTGCCAGTTGGAAAAGTCACGCGTGGAGGCTCGCTCAATTCGGGGAACTTCGTCTTCCGGGAGCTGGATAATGAGACAGAGTGGCCGACAGGATGGGTGTTTATGCTTGCGTGGCTTGCACCAATCTGGTCAATCGGATCATTTGACTCGTGTGTGCACATGAGCGAGGAAGCTATGCATGCGGCAAAGGCTGTTCCATTGGGAATCATCTGGTCAGCAGGCTCTGCTTGCGTGTTGGGGTTCCTGACGCTGTCTGTCATCGCTGCAACGATGGATCCCAATGTGAACAACACGATCAACTCAAAGTTCGGACAGCCAATGGCACAGGTTCGGCACCATGCTATAGTCTTGTGCGTATCGATACTTCGGCTAACAATCTTTCCTAGGTTTACTACGATGCCCTAGGCAGACATGGCTCCCTGGGATTCATGATCGTCCTCTGCTTCACCCAATTCCTCATCGGCCTCAGTCTGGTATGTCTCACTTTACCAGAAAGAGAACCCTTGGTCCTAACTCTAGCAATCTAGATTGTCGCGGCCTCTCGTCAAGCATGGGCATTTTCCCGCGACGGTGCTCTCCCTTTCTCTCGATTCTTCCGCCACGTCAGCCAACGTATTCAGTACCAGCCCGTACGCATGATCTGTGGACTAGTCATAGCCTGCCTGATCCTAGGCCTACTATGCCTGATCAACAATGCCGCTGCGAATGCCTTATTTTCACTATTCGTCGCCAGCAATTACCTGTCGTGGGGAATGCCGATCTTTTGCCGGCTGGTCTGGGGCCAGGATCGCTTTCACCCGGGCGAGTTCTACGCCGGCCGCTTCAGCAAACCGATTGCATTCATCGCAGTGGTTTATCTGGCGTTTGGTGTTGTGTTGTCGATGTTTCCGACTACCGGTCCGAATCCAGCTCGTAAGGATTTCTTTCCCCTGGTGCTATGCACTCATTGATTGCTAATTATCTTTGCAGCGGCCGATATGAACTATACGATTGTCATAAATGGCTTTGTTTGGATCGCGTGTATGACTTACTACTTCCTTTTTGCCCGACACTGGTTCACTGGGCCTCATATGACGGTGGATGATTCGAGTTCGACTGATTCAGGGGATGTCAACTATGATCCGGTGGGTGTGCCGGGAGGATCGGGTGCGAAGGAGGAGTGAGGGGCCGAGTTTTGTGAAATTTCTCTTCTATTTTCTTCTAGATACCCCTTCAGGAATATATATTTAAGCATCAGTCAAGCTCCTATCCAAGGCTAACTCTTCTTGGTCCCTTCTTGTTTACGCCGATCTTCGCTAAAATTAGCCCGATAATGACGACATTACCCCCACACTTTCGGGCAATCAAATCCCCGCGAGGCACGGGGTTGCAGCCGACTCCTCAACCTCTCAACCCCAGACTCACGCGTCCAACACCCATGCCAACGACGCGAAGCCTTCTTTGTGCCCAATAATCCGAATATGAGTCAGGAACATGAGATCCCCGGAGAGATAGAAGACACCGACAGTTACGAAATCACCCAAGCTCCGAGCCCCGTGGAAAGCGGACCGATCCAACCAGCGTCCGAACCCCCCGAAACGTCCAATGGAAGCCCTCATCGCGGACGCAGGAGGAGACACTGGCAGAGGGCCTCTCCAATGAGGATTTGTGGATGTTGATTCGGCGATTCAACAAGGTACGGCTGGATCCTGCACTAGCTTTGTTCCTGTTGAGCTAACATGTGCGACCAGCAAATTTATCATGTGAAAGCCCTGCCGAGCGCAACGCAGGACCTGGACCTCAATCGTGCCGAAAATGAGGTCTATCCTCCCGAGAAGCTGCGCATGACGCTCGAGCGGTTTTATACTTCTGTCGTGGTTGGGTTGATTGAGTTCTTCCGACATGTTGGGAGGCTGCGGTCGTGGAAGGAGCCAGTCAGGACTGCTGTGTTCTGTGGGGTATGTCAATCGATTTATAATTGGGAGTGCTGTTAGGCTGACTCTTTTGAAGGTGTACTTCTTATCCTGGGCCGTGGATCTCCTGGTCCCGACAGTTCTGAGTCTCATGATCGCCCTGATACTGTGCCCGCCGATTCGGTCCTTCCTATTTCCCTGTCTACCAGTCAACAATTCAGACAAGGATTCCGCTTCCGACAATTCAGCTCCTGGCGAGCCTGAGTCCCATGATAGTTTGACTGGAGCCCCGGAACAGCACAAGGGTGAGACAGCTGAGCAGGAGGCTAAGGTGCTACTTGACAGCTTTGCAAAGATGGCCGTCGAGGGAGCTGCAGGAAAATACGGTTACACTCCATCTGCCGACTCTACCGATGATTTCACCGCGGTTCAGCTGGCTGAGCCTGCTGGTTCTCTGCCCGAAACGCCTGAAGATGAAGCTGTTGATGAAAAGTCCAAGAAACCCATGAAGAAAAAGGTCTCTCAAGGGATGGATCAGACTATGCGAGTCGTCAGTGACATCACGGATATCTATGAGAGATTTGCCAAGTGAGTGTCGTTCATTGTCGTGTAAGGATTTATGCTAACCAAGCCGCAGTATCTTTTCTCCAACTCCCCCGTTCTATCTTCTCGCACCACGACTCCGTCTTACTGCCATCCTAAGTATCGTGTGTGTTGCTGTGCCATTTACACCCAGCTACCTCATCATCAAGCTTGTCGGGTTGACTATCGGCATCAGCTTCTTCGGAGGACCAATCTTCACCTGGACATTCGACCTCTTGAACCGAAAGATTCCGGATTGGAAGAAACAGATGGACATCAACATGTACGCATCCGGCCCCCTTACAATTTCCTCTACAGCCACTAATGAAGACGTAGGACTCTCCTCGACGGCGTTCCAACAAACGCCCAACTAACCCTCACCCTCCTCCGAATCGGCGAAATCAACTCCTCGCCCCTCCCACCACCCCCATCGTCCGAAGACAGCGAGCCAGCATGGCCCATCAAACGCAAATCCAAATCCGTCATAGCACCGCAATCCAGCAACCTAACAACAACAAGCGCAAACGACTCAACCTCCGACCTCTCAACCGCCAGCACAGCGGTCCCACCGCCAAAACCCAAACGACGAACCATCTTCAAAATCCTTAAATTCGTCCGCCGCACCATCGCAACAGCAATCCGGGGCCACATCGCCTTCGACCGCGCAATGGCAATCGCAGGCTCAGCGCACACCAAGAACCTTCTCGGCATGCTTCAAAAACACCGTTTCTCCGGAACACCCTACGGCCCATTGAAATTCGATGCAAAATTCGAGCGGAAGCGTGGAGCCGCTGTTATTGATTCTACCAAGGAGCCGCCCATCTTGTATTTCACCACCTACCAATCGGCTGGATTGGAGGATCTGCGAATTGAAGCTCGGAAGAAGGGTTCTGTGCTGTTCCAGATCCCTGTGACGGAGATCCAAGAACTGAAGAAGACAGAGGGTCTAGGGTGGAAAGGGAAGCTGATTGTTGAGTTGACGGCCGGTAGTAAAGAAGCGGCTGATGGATTGGTCATTGTTGGGAATGAGATTGCGCAGTCATTCCATTTGACTGGGATGAGGTCAAGGAATCAGTTGTTTAATCGACTGGTTGCTATTGATGCTCAGTTCTGGGAAAGTCGATAAATGTCGATCTTAAGATATGGAGTGGCCTCTGTGGATGTGACTGATGAATGCACTTGAAGCTATCAGCAACCCCTTTCAATAGACACCCCCTAAGACATCAAGTATTTCTTTCAAGCGCTGCTGTAAAACTCATTCCCTTGAAATGCAAGTCCAATTCAGCTGTTTTCCCTTGTTCCTTTGCGGACTGACGCAAATGCTTCCCAGAGAAACGCTGCCGAATGCCAGGCAGCGAGAGATCTGGAGGATTTGACCGGTTCGTTCGTGTCAGGATCGTTCGTGTCAGGATCGTTCGTGTCAGGATCGTTCGTGTCAGGATCAAGAGACGCGTGTGAAGAGTTTGGTTGATGTTGTGGTCTGTCGTCGAGGAACGATACACGATTCGAGTGGGAGAGGCCCAACACTAACTATTGAAATGGGCTTTTAAATGGTAAGGTGACACGGGTCCGGCCATGGTAGTGTTACTGGGGTCTGATCCTATACCAGATCTCCTGGTAAACAAATGCAATAGCGTCAGCAGTGTTGAATCCCACGGTTGAGTCCGAAGTGGGTGTTGGAAAAGTCAGTCAGCCGCTGTCGAAATGAAAAAAGACGGGTGTGCGATGAGGAAGCTCATCTTTTGACCTAATGCAGGAACCATTCGCAGTACATATGGGCGTGAGTGGGAATCATGGCAAACAGAGAAATAACAAGTAGGGAATCATAAACAACAGCATAACATTTAAGGGGCACAAGTAGCAGAGAACGACCTCTCATGACGCCAGTTCGTCAGAACATAGGCGTAATGATACCCGATTCCAAGATTATGATTGCCAACTTATTACACGGTTTCCTCACAAAGGTCAAGTCAATGACTTAAAAATTGATGAAAAAAGAGAACCCATAGAGTGGAAGGTACCAAAATTCGATTGCCCAGATAAGCCGGAATAGTGTTTCTCGCATTGCACAGAGCGGGAAACACAAAATATCTCGAGTGCAAAGCACAGGAGGGTTCCCCCGAAGGGAGAGCCAAAATTTCTTGGCAGTAACCAGCCCTGGGGTGGAGGTATGAACAGAACCGGAGCCACTTTTTTCCCACATAACGACATAATTGCGAAGAGGGCTCAGTCTGTGGTTGGCCCATTCGTGATAGCAGTCAACCAAAGTAGCTATAAATCGACTCGAAAGCCTTATCCTAGGATGGAGGGGAAGGTGGAGAAGGAGAAGAGAAGTTCTGTAGCGGGAAAAATTGTCCTTTCATGCATTGAGGTGGTGGGTGGTGGTCGCACCTTCCTTATCGAGTTGTAGGCAGCGAAACCGAGGTGAGTAATCGAATCGAGGGCAGCCTCAGGCTGTGAGCTATCTGCTGACAAGCCTGAGGGACTAGCAAGTGCGAGGAGAGTGCAAAGGGAGTGGAGCAGCACCATACTGAGGGTTGTACGTAGCGGGCAAAGAGTTTGCAATCTGAATAAACCAACAGTGATTTCAAGTATCATGAATAGTAGTACGGACAGGGATATATACAGCTCAAAACACCAGTATTACCACTTCTAAGCCGAGCAAGCCAAAGTTTTGTGATGGTGAAAGAATCAAGGAAAATCGTAAAGAAACAAGGTCATGAATATCGAATCCTCAGCGGGATATCTATTGATGCCGCCAATTCAGGCAAGTCACATCATACATCTCCGGAAGCTCTTTACAGAGCAGCCATGACACCGAGCATACCAGCAACACCGGCAGCAGCGGCGTTGACGTTGTAACCAGCGACAGCAGCGTTGGAGGTGGTAGGGCTGGAGGAGTCGGAGCCAGTCTGGGTAGCGGTGCTAGTGGCCGAGCTCTTGGAGGCCTGGGAGGTGATGGTGGAAGCAACGGTGGTCTTCTCGCCCTCGGAGTTGGTAGCAGTGACGGAAGAGACGAAGGCGGAGGCATTGCTCGCGGCGTCAGAGCCGGCGGACTCGCCAGCCGACGCGATGGAGCTGGCACCGCTCTCGACGGCAGTGGCGATGGAAGCGGCCTCGCCGGTCAAAGTGGAAAGAGCATCCGCACCGCCAGTGTGGACGGCGTTGGCAATGGAAGTGGCTTCCGCGGCGGCGTCAGAGCCAATGGACTTGCCACCAGCTTCGGCGGAGCTGGCGATGCCCTCAGCCTCTGAGACGATGGAGTCGACGTCGATGCCGTCGGGAGTGGCCATGACGGCGGTGGCCAGGAAGAGGGCGGAGGTGATGGCAGTGAACTTCATTGTGGTGGCGGTGGGAGGTTGAGAATTTGAGGTTGAAAAGTGGAGGATGAGTTGATAGATAGTCGACCTAGTATATATTGCTGGATGGTTTGGTGGAAGATAATCAACAACGATCCGGGGAAACCCAGGGGTTCTTTATAGACGATCATTCAACCCAAAATTTGCTCCTGAAAGTTAAACATAGAAACACAAGGCGTAGGGGTCCGCAGTTGGGGCAGTGGCAATGACGCCGTTTCCCCTATACGACGGAGCCTTTTGCTTACGATCTGCGCGACAGGGAGACGACGGGCCAGAGCGACGGGGCCTGCAATCTTGGAAAGCCAATCGTCATTTCACTGCTCCACTTGGGCTGAGCATACGGCCAGTGATTTGTTTCAAGCCTTTTCCGTCCCGGAGTCCACGGGCCGAGTATTGCAAGATCCAAGGAGCTGCATCGCATGTGGCTGCATGCTGCGCCTACTGCACGAGGTACGGCCGCTCAGTCATGACAGCGTGCATGAGCCCAGTGATGCTTGTTTCTTTTGCTCCAATACGTGCTCGGTCTGGGACAACACAGCCTGCACTGGATTAGCAACCGATATGCTGCTGCCTCTTAAAGTCAAAACCGTCAGAAACCACGGGCTATCCACCGCCACATCCCCCTTGAGGCCGGGGAAGATCTCCACTAGCCACGGCAGTCGTGTGAGAAGGGGGCTTTTCAGGAGGGAGGCTCCGTCGAGTGGGCTAATTTCTCGGCATTGGGGCAGGCTGAAGCATTCTGCGTGGTAAGTTGATAATGGCCTTCCCACTTCGGGCTGAGCCAAGAGTGATGACGTTAGTCCTCGAGGTGGATGAAGCCCGCTGAAGCGGATGGAGTCGATGTTCCGGTCGCCACCGATGGCAAAGTCAACATTTCACTTGGCGGCCTGAGGCAGCTGATCACGTGTGAACCAAAAATAGGTCTCGACACCTGATCCCTCAGCCAGGATGCTCCATCTGGTAGGCGCAGTCGTTGGGGGCCTAATAGTACGTGCGTGTAGGTCTAAAGCGCGGTACGGTCGAGTCCACCTTACCGGAAGGATATTATTGAATATATGGCCTGTCAAAAGTATACAGCTGGAACGATCATGGCCGGAGGCATAGCCACATGAGCCACCGATACAGCTAATCTTCGAGGCAGCAAGCATAAACTCGGACTGAAATCAGAAAGGTCACATAATAAGACAAAGATTGTGAGATTCTTGATATAACACTGCATCATGATTGATTAGGCAACAATGATTGATATTCTGATGCAACACTGTGTCGCGCAATTTGATGTTTCACGTCACAACGGCTAAAGTGCATATCTCTACTCCGCGATGGTCCCCACTAGTTAGTTCACTAGTGTACACCACGAAAGAATGTGAACATTTTTAAACCGCTACTATCGATGCACAAGAGATAAAGATCATACTAGTCATTAACTATTATCTAGTCTAAAATCGTCTAATTAATGCATAAAATGTATGTTCAAAAACATGCTAAAACTATGCACACGCCGTCAGCACGCACATTCAAATTACGAAAACTGAGAATAATCCTGAATGATACCCTCCCATCCACCAGGGTGACTGTTTTCCGTCGGGTTGGTCTTGCCATCCAAGACTATCACATCCGTCATCCGTGTGCTGATCGAGTACCAGACCAGATTCTTCGGCGCACCCACGACCCGCATCATATTCGACTGGCATTTGCCCTCGCAGGGCTCGTTGTACAGACCGTTCCAGGATCCGTCGAAGAAGGCCCAGGCGGCGGAGTTGTACAGGGCAATGTCCGATCCCCCGTCGACGTTAGTCGCCAGAGATGTACGACATTTTGCATCGTCAGTCGAGCACCATGAGAAGTCGGGATCGCCGAACTCAGAGGAAGCGGTCCATGGTGCTGGCGCCATCTCGTATTCGCCAGTACCTTGCATGTAAGGCGTCTCACTTTGGAGAAGGCCTGCATACACGTTGGATGCCTGGTGGAAGTTGTAGTTGTAGAGCCAATGGTGTTCAGAGCCAGTTCCGGTCAACCACGTTCCCTTGGTCGCCTCAACCAGGACGCCACGACCGGTAGAGATGATGGTCAGAATAGACTTGCTATCGATATTGTGGTCGGCGGTCCAGCCCCAGAAGTTTTCCATATACGCAGACGAAGATTTGGTAAGGTGCATCACCATGAAGGCAGCCATGCAATCCTTCGGGTCTTGCGAGGTGCACACGTTGGAAATGGTGGTTTCGGCAGTGCCGCCTACAGTGATTATGGTGTTCCAGAGACCGACATCTCCAGGCTGGGCTCCAGCAGCGTTGACCTCGAGGATCTTCGCACCAGGGAGGATTTCACCCACGGCAAACCGCATGTCCTGAATCTCGATGACACCGACATCACCAGGGTAGCCAAGTCGGACCACTGCGCGAGGCGAGCTAGGGTTCTTGAAAGCACTGCCATATCCAGAGATAACAGACCAAACCTCGCCGACAATCCGGGTTCCGACAGGGACATGGAGAGTATCAGACACTCGGTAGACACCAAAGGGAAAGTAAGTGATCTTGCACTCCTCTGCATTCTTGGCCAAGATTGCATTCAAGGCCTTGGTATCATCAGTACGACCATCACCCTTGACTTCATGCCCGGAGACGGTCTTCACATTGACGATATCATCGCCACCATATTCAGCATAGGTAGGCTGGCTCTTAGTAAAGTACTTTCCACCAACCAAAAGGCTCTCCGATTCAGGAGTAACCCACGTCTTTCCAGCCTCATAACCACCGGGCACTCGTGTTCCCCAGATAAACGAGTCGACATGGGAGGCGGGCGGCAGACGAGTCTCTCCTTTACTATCGATGGCAATTGGCCTCTGGGAATCATGCGACAAGTTCTGGATAATGAACTGGCTGTTCTGGTTTCCATCATCATGCGACGACTCATGGAACAGAATGACGGGTCCACTGTTTGTGGATGTGGAGTCCAGCAAGACAAGACTGCCCAGACCGTTTCCAGTCATGTTCACGCCTGTTCCACAAGACTCAAAAGTGGCTCCTTGGAGCAGCACCGACCATCCACCGGTAGCGGCGAACGCAGTTCCAACATAGGAGAAGCGAATGTTCTTGAAGTTGACTTGCTGGTTGGAGTTCTTGATACCAGTGGCACCACCGATGATGTGCTGTTGATGTTAGGATTTTGTACTATGGGAAAATAGTATGGCAGGGAGAAACGTACGACGTCTGTGACGGCAATAGTCGATCCAGCATTGAGATCGATACCAGTGTGTGTACCAGGACCGGTGGGCATGCGAACTTTGATATTGTTCAATCCAGATCCCTGAGCTACTCCCCATTGGAGAGCAGTGATGGGGACACCGGCGTCGACAGCAGTGGTATCCAGAATGACATTCTTCATCAACATCATAAAGGTAGTCTCGGGCTGACCGTTATGCGCATCAAAGCCGAACACCAGGAATTGGCCACGGAACTTGGGCGAAGCCTTGATAACAGGTGGGTTATTCGGGTTACCAACGATAATAGTCCCGACTGTCAACTTGAGCGTGCTTTCTAGTTGGTAAACTCCGCTGGGGAGATAGACCTGCGCGGGATAACGAGTTACTCCATTACCCTTACGGGAGCCACCGCTGCCCATGTCGTCAATGGCCTTCTGGATGTTCGCGGTCTGGTCACCAGTTCCATCGTTGGCAACACCGTAGTCCATCACGTTGCGATAAACGGGATACTTGCTAGGATCAGAGACGTACGGAGCCAGCCCCGCTCCTTGTCCTTTGTGGTCTTGTTCATCCATCCAGAATACTTGGCGTGTCGCTGAGCCCTTGGGAGCACATGTCTTTGATGCAGGAGCAAAAGTCGTGCTAGCAGACCTGGAGAGAAGTTAGCGTTCATCGTTGTCAGTATATTCGACATGTCGGGTACGTACGAAGGCTTGGGACGAGGCGTCAAGGTTGGAATACGAGTAACCGATGAATGGTGGCCGGAATTCGTGGTCGCGGCGGGAATCAGACTGTACGTCACAGTTGTGCTCGGAGTCACCGTCGAAGTCGGAGTCTTCGTTGGAGTTTGCTTCGACGACGACTCGGAGCTGCTCTGCGAGGTAGCCTGAGAGGAGCCGGATGTATGAGAAGAAGTGGGCTTCTGAGAGGGCTTTTGAGACAAACTCGACGCCTGCGAAGAGCTGGATGTCTGAGAAGAGCTCTGTGTCTGTGGGGCCGGTGATGCAGACGAGCTGTGTGTCTGCGAAGGCGAAGGAGAAGGAGAGAGAGAAGGAGACAGTGTCTGTGAAGAACCGAGCTGAGCAACCCAGTCGGGGATTGTCGGCGAGCTGGGAGCCGCTAGAGTGCTGGACGTCGACACTGGGGTTGAAGATGATGCAGATGTTTCCGATGAACTGGGCGTCACCTCAGAGCTCGTTGTTTCTGGCGTAACTGGTGGTTCCGTTGTACTCGGAGTGTCTGAGGAACTCAATGGCTCCGGAGTGGCCGTATCCTCAGGTATAGGAGCAGGAGTCGGCGGGTCGGTTGGCTTCGCTGCTCCAAGCAGTGTATCTAGGAGATTCGGAGCATCTCCAACCTCGGACAGTAGTGTCGGAAACAGTCCAGGGAAAAACGCCGACTCGGAGGGCCCCTTATTGACTTCATGAACGTGCTCAATGTCGCTCTCACGAAGAGGCCGGACAGACCCTGACACTGTAGAGACAACAGCTGCCAAAGCAGCAGCAGACATTGTTCCCCGCATCCTTAAACCGCGATCCTCAATTCACGACCTCGAGCTCAGATTATGGGCTATTCAGCAGGTGGAGAGGAAGAGAAGAAGATAAACATGGAGGTCTTGCAGGATGGGAAAAGGGTGCCGGCTCGATTCCGTCCGGCATGCAACACGCACGCCGGTCCCTTGGGCGGTTGGCATGGCGCCGTCAAGATACCTGGGAGCCAATGTTTTGGGCTCGGCAAGTTGGTTGGAATGCGGGTGTTCGGCGCACGACGGGCCGCGAGCGCCGCCCCTTGCGAGATCCGGGATTTGCGCGTTTAGGAAGGCAACGACGGGAGTGCGTCATGGTTCGTGGAAACCGCCAGGAGGACAATTGAAGCAATTCAGTGTGTTTCTAGAGATGATATAGATCGTTGCCGGAGGAGAGCCCTCTCGCGTCGGACAACGGCTGCCCAATTGGGAATATGGGGTCGTGACTTTTCAGGCTTGGCGCCCCGGGCTAACCACTTTATTTTCCCTATCTTTCTCTCTTTTCTCTCCTCGGATAATCTCCAAGAAATAGAAACAAGGCGATGGGTTAGCAGAGATTGGTTTGAACGTCGTTCACAAGGGAATCGGTAGAATAGTCGTCGCCAATATGCGTGGTGATCATTCCATGCCTTGTTCACTCTGACAACAGTACTATATTTATACATCAGACATTGCAACATTAAAACACAAACACCTTTGATTTTACACTAGCAGCACGAAGATTATAATCAATTAAGAAGAAACTTATTTGCTCATTAAGTTTTATTTTTTACATCACCTCAGGGTAATCTTTACTCTAGTTCCTGCGAGCTAGCATTATCGTTGCTTCTGTAGGCACACAGCTCACAGCATTTACAATAGGTTTCACCTCACGAGACGTACGGCTAGAGCCGCCCCACAACAGCGCAGGATTTTGCAGGTCTGAATGAAATTCAAGCGAATTTGGAGAGAAACTGCTGTTGCAAGCGGCAGCACCACCCGAAATGGAAGGCACACTGCATTTGAACCGCTTGGAACCACCGACACCCGATTTGTACGAGAGCAAAGGTACTTACTACCTCATCTCTCCTTCGTTAATTTACCAACATCTGCTCGAACCGCCTTGCTATGCTCAATTGCTCGAAAAATGATACTGACTGCCTTGTCTTGCAGCGCCATCTCGCCAAGCCTCCGCCGGGAGCTTTTGGCAGAGCTTCAAGATGCCAAGGAAGTCTTATGCTGGCCGGTTGGATCGCCTTCCAATCTCTCCCAGTCGTCTCGGCCCGCGCTAATTCAGAGTCGGCAACTCTGTGCGAGCGACACCGGAACATTCCCGTCATGGCGAATTGGAAGGCTCGATCATTGGCGGTGAAGTCCTCCATCTGATTCAGATTAGATGGTCGCTGTGGCCTTTCTCGTCTGACACCGTCCCATCCATCCAATCAATACGGGCTGACTTGGGTTAGCCACCATGGCGCAGAAAATCTCCTATAAGAAAGGGACACATCTGGGGGTTGATACTGTCTTCGTTGAATCTGTCAATCCTTTGTCGTTGGCCTCTCATCCGCAGTCGCCTGCTCTGCGTGATCGTCAGTATGTCTCCCAAGGACAAGATCACTCCCACAACGAGCGACGAAATGAACCTCACTAAATTCAAAGTCGGCGATGCTCACCTGTCACAGGGCGTTTCTCGCATGGAAGCTGTGCACCGCGAGGCCAAGAAGAACCGCAAGTTGCTCTGGCTCGTCGCGATCTCTGTGCTGGTTTGCGCACGGCATACTCGATCGAGTCTTGAAGGACATACTACTACTCAGTGGACGCCTCGTGTCCTATTTCAAGCAACACAGCTCCATCCTATCGACCCTATCTATCGCCACGAGCATCATCAGCGCCGTCAGCAAGCCTTTCATCGCCACAATCCCCAATATTGCCTCCCGTCCATACACCTACATCTTGACCTTTTGGTTCTACGTGATCGGCTACGTGATCGCTGCGTCCTCCAAGACCATCTCCACTTATATTGTGGGTGAGATATTTGTTGCTATCGGAAGTTCTGGCCCCAACCTGACGTACGACATTATTGTCGCCGACCTAACGCCTTTGGAGTGGCGTGGATTCGCCGGTTCTACGTTGTCTACCCGGGTCATCATCAACACTTAGTTCGCCAGGAAGGTCGTGGAGGCTATCTACAGCCGTGACCAGTGGCACTGGGGCTATGCTATGTTTGCAATTATCATGCCCGCTGCGCTAGGACCGGCAGTCGCAACCCTGATCTGACTCGATCGCAAAGCCAGAAAGAGTGGAACGGTAAACATCGCTTCTTCGAACGCGGTCCACCGTGATGAAAGAAAGCCTGCGCGAAAGTAAGGCTACAATGCACTCCATGGAGGAGTCATAGCCCCTGCTGCCGAGCCTTCTCGTACCTGGACAGAGTCTCTATAGTGTGACGGATGAACCTGGGAATAGCCTCGTCTCGTAGAAGGATGCCTGAGGCATAATATTGGGTCGTTTGCACAACGCGTTTGCTGGGGACTTAACCCCTCTTTTTCTGGCGGACTTTCTTTCTTTCTCCTTCCTTCTTCATCTTCGAGATCCTCATCCTGTAGGCACCGAATGAATCTGTTTCTTTCGAACGGCCCGTAACATATAGCACAACTTGGAAGAGCTTGATGCCTTTGGATTGATACTGCTTGGCGTTGGATGGTCGCTGCTGTTGCTTCCTTTCTCTCTTAAGACCTACGCAGACGGAGACTGGGGGAACCTTTCCATGGTCGCTATGATGGTTGTAGATGAAATTTTATATATCGCCTACGTTATTTGCGAAATTCTGTGGACACACATTTCCAGTGCTCTCCCTCGACTCGTCTTTAACTGAACATTCATCATGGTCATCGTTATTGACAGCATCTATATGCGTAAACGCTGCCGTTCCCTGCCTCATGAATTTCGTCGAGCAAATGCTGACAATAAGTCTCCTATTATATCCGGAGCCTCTACTGGAGCTCGTATGTCTACATCACAAAGCCCTAGAGCTATCAAAACTGAGTCTACGCCACCAACACCGTCACGTTAACCCTGTGCGTCGCCGGACCCATCGTCGGCCCCCTCCAACGCTGGACCCGGTATAAGATGATTTAGATCGCAGGCCTATTCATCAAGATAATCGGGGAGGGTATCATGATCGACGGGAACAGAGCAACAGATAACACCGGAGCAATGGAAATGCCGATGATTCTAGTCTGGTTCGGCGGCTCAATTTCCAGAACTGGCAAAGTGTCAACTTCTCCCTTCTGCATCTCGCAGTTGCTTTTACTGCAGAGAGCTTGGTGCTTCCTGGGGGTATGTCTGGAGTCAAGTTGATAGGCAGGCTCAATAGTAAGATTTGTTTCGGAACTCCACTAGAGCTTATCATCATGAGGTAAGCCATTTTGGTAGATCGGGTCTTCCAAATGACATCTAGAGGGAAGGTGAATCGGTTGGTGATGTACGATAGTAATGTGTGGATAGACATAGGAAAGACAAATTTTGTGTGTACGTATCAGCTATGGAGGGGGGAGAACAGTGATTGGCTGCGGAAAGAGGATTGCGGGTCAGGTGACATGCAAACAATCGAAGTAGGCATGCAGTTACAACTATTCGAAATCAGATCTGCGTACCATTGCGCTTCGACATTGATCCAGGCTACTTTGAATGGAATCATATCTAGGAAAAACATCTAAGATTTTCACCCGATTTGCGGTCTGTCCCTTTGGGACACACCGTCCCGCCCGCACGTGATGGGTCTAAATCTCGTATTCCGCAAGATAGGGCCACTGACCACTTGGACTCAGCTTCTCCTTATCCTTACACTCACTGAAAACGACACTCAACATGGGCCGCTGGTGGGGACTCCCGCTTCCCCCAGAGATTGTTCTGGAACTATTTGATTATTTGGAACCCTCAGATGTCGTGGCTCTCGCGCAAGCCGCTGAGGGTTTCGCCCAGCTCGCTGTCTCAGCATATTCATCTAGTCTTCGCGAACATGGACGAACGATATTGTTTTCTGCAGTTACATGTGGACATATAAGCATTGTCAAGCATTATCTGGAAGGAGGAGCCGACCCCTGCACCGCTGATGATGAGGGAAACACGCCATTGCACTGGGCCGCTGTTTTCGGTCACTGCAACGTGGCGTCTTTACTCATCGATGTGGGAGCCGATATCAATGCACGCCATAAGAATGGACTTAGTCCACTCGATTATGCCATTATAACGGGATATGATCGCGTTGTGGAGGTTCTTTTGAATAAAGGAGCTACCATTACGGATGTAAGGATCGGCCAGACTCAAAGAACGACTCTACATGCGGTTGCCATCAAGGGATATAGCCTGATTGCAGAGATGTTGCTGAGCCACCGAGCTTCTATTGATGTCAAGGATGCCCATGGTCATACGCCTCTTCATTTGGCTGTTTCGGAAGGGCATATTGGGATTGTTCGGGCGCTGCTTTGTGCTGGAGCAACTGTCGTCATCCAAGATGAGTTAGGCGACTCGCCACTGCACCTCGCTGCCGGCAACGGTTATATTGCTATCGTACAGGAGCTTCTGAATAAGGGAGCAGATCCATCTCTGCAAGGTCACGAAAATGATACGCCATTGCACCGGGCATCTTCAATGGGTTTCGTTGACGTTGTCCAGTGTCTCATAAAAGCTGGGGCGAATGTGTCTGCCCAAAATTTAGATGGAAAAACCCCTCTTCTTCAAGCCAGTGGCGCCGGTGAGGCCGCGACCGTGCGGCTGCTTCTAGATGCCGGAAGCGGTCCTTCAATTTCAGATGAGAGTGGGGCCACGCCACTACACTTCGCTGTCCTTTCAGAAAAAGCAACAATCGCCGATATGCTAATAAAAGCTGGAGCGCATGTCGATAGCATAAATGACAAGAAACAGACCCCCTTACACTGGGCAGCAAAAGGACATGAAGAGATAGTTCCTACTTTGCTGAATCACAAGGCTGATATACATGCTCTCAGTCATACAGGGTGGACTCCGCTACATTGGGCGGCTAACGAGGGCCATGTTGGTATAACGACAGCTTTACTGGAAGCCGGGGCCATCGATCAGATTCAAAATCAACATGGGGAATCAGCGCTGCACTTGGCCGCCCAAAAAGGTCATGAAACTGTCGTTCAATTGCTTATCCAACGGGGCAGCAATCCGCATCTCACCGACAATGAACTTCGCACAGCTCTGCATTATACAGCTGGGGAAGGACATGAGGATACGGTAAAAATGTTGCTGAGTATCAAAGTCAGATCAGACGTCAGAGATATCGATGGTCGGACTCCGTTATACTATGCAGTACTCCATGGGCATGTGGCAATCGCAAATATGCTTCTTGACCTCGGTACCAACCTTGATGAGACCATCAAAGAAGCATTTTTAGAGGCTGCGGAAGCTGGACACGAATTGATGGTTCAACTTCTCATCGAACGTGGAATTGACCTGTCTTTCAACGATTCAAGCGGATATACAGCGTTGCACCGAGCGGTTCTGGGGAGCCAAATTGAAGTTCTTGAGCTTTTACTCGGTCAAGAGGCTGATAGGTCTGCCCGGGACAACAATGGAAAGACGGCGTTGCATCTTGCTGCCCAGGAGGGCGAGGACGAAATTGCCAAGGTTCTTTTGGGAGACAGTGGAATAAGAGATCTTCAGGATTATGATGGCTGGACGGCTCTGCATTGGGCGGTTGAAAACGAACATGAAAACACCGTCCGGACTCTATTAGGTGCTGGTGTTGATCCTGGTATTAATTCCTTCAACGCATGCACGCCGCTTGACTTAGCAGAAGTTGGGGCTCTAGAAACAATGGAGCAGATTCTGCGAGAGGCGTTAGCAGCGAGAAATAGACCAACTATGGACGAAGCGTCTCCATGAGAATATCAGTGCATTCTATCAAGTCGAGGACCGGTACATTACCACCAGAAGCGCCATGACTGCAAAGCTGCAGATCAAAAATATCTCGTTGAGGTTACCACGTCACCACTTGTTATTACCTAAAACCGCATATTCTTGCGCATGTTAGCGATATAACGCTCACTACAGTTTACCAACTCTACCAATCGTGAAGTAGTGAGCTTCTCTCTGCTGCTTATCATGTGTACATCGTCTTACGCTGCCAGAAACGATCTGACTTTGTTCTGGCTTGCAATGTCACTGGCGCATACGGCGGCTTCACCGGTATCGACCTAGATACAGCGTCGCAGATGGATGGCTGGTCCACTCGCAAAGACGGTACCATAGACGAGAACTTCCTGCGCGACATTGCTCGAACCGACTCAGCCGGCATGACCGAATTTTAGAAGAACTTCCCGGGCTACTTCACCTCTCGCACTACGCATATTCACGTTACCGTCCAGGCTAGTGTGACGGGCAAGGATTCCAGCTACAGCGCTGCCGGCGTTCAGCATCTGGGCCAACTGTTCTTCGAAGAGGACCTTATCAACTTGGTATACCAGAATGCCCCGTATAAAGCTCACCTTTCCACCTTGAACTGCACCACCAATGCTGAAGGTTCGCTTTACTCCACCGCCAATGGAGATGGATACTCTGCGGTTGTCTCTGTCTCTCAGCTTGGCGAGTCCAGCCAGACCGGCCGTGCATAGACAATCTCAATGATCGGCTCCGACGGCCTCCATGGATCTTCGATCAACTGCTGGGGCTTCAGCGGCCGTGCTTGGATTTCGCGTTGCACGAGAGCCGGCGAAGGCTAGTCGCGATTGGCCGCTACGACGCTGGACTGGGGGCTAGACCATGGCAAAGGCGGCATTAGCGACTCGCTCACCCAGTACCATTTAGGAGTCTCATCGATCCACACGGTCCTCGGACGGCCAGCGTCTTCCATTGCCGATCGAGTAATATGTACTGTACCGAGCGCAAATATTGTCAATTCAACCGACGGCCGATAGGAGGCGGGGTCTGCTTTTATGTTTTCTCCTTGCGCCCCGGCCCCGGCCCCCGCGCTCGCGCTTGCATTGCTATTCTGCTCGGATGAGCGTTGAAGACATTCACCATGGTCGAGGAAACTCTTCACCGATCCCACATAGATGTGCGGCTACCGTCAATTGTCGCTCAGCTAGGGCCAAATCAACCTACTGGCAGCAGCAGTTCTGCGAATCTGCGCTGTAGGCATAGCTGCCAGTTAGGTGCTTCCCTGTTAGGCAGTAGCGAGATACTGTGAGACACGTATACACACATAGAAAGAGAGACGGAGAGGAGAACGCAAATTGTCCCGGAGTAGTTTCGTATCCTTGATTATGGCCGATTTGATTGATTCTGTCGGATCGCAGGAATCCACACGTGCTATACTGAGGGGGAAACAACCTTAAGGCACTTTGTCGATCAAAATAATAGACCGCTGTTGAGAGATCCTATATCTAGGGACCAGTCTAGCATCATGGATATGCGTTTACCGAGTTGATTCGGCTACCATACAATGGCATTCGGAATGCTACTGCATCAGCCGGCCTTAGTGGCAGTACATCCCCTCAGATGGCGAATTAGGAGACCCACCCACATCTCAGGAATGAGCAATGATACAATATTCATGGATTTTGTACCAAACCTATGATAAGGCGATGAGAGAGCTGGAACAGACAAGAAACGGCAATGGCTCCGGTACTCAGAATTAAAGAGTTATTTCAGTGCGCAGTAATATACAGTCTATTCGAGGGCCATGAGGCACTATAAATGCAAATCTCGAATCTTCTCTGATAAATAGTTCTTCTCCGTACTTTGAGTTGAGGCATCTTATATCGCGAGTTCCGGCAATTTGGAGACTTTGGAAAGACAGCGTTCGATTATATGCTGCTGAAACCTCGGGGCTGACAATGACAGCGGTAGCCTCAATCAAGATAGGTCTGGCATTTCTTGATCCAGAAAACGACCTTGTCACTTCGTTCGCATTCTCAGAGGAGTCCCAATTTATTTAGCAACCATGCGCGTTTTGTACCCCTCATAGTTGCGCCATTCTGTTTGAGGCATAATCTAGTAGCTTCGAGACCTTTGCTTTCAGCGTGGCCGGCATTGCTCTTCTCCAAGGTGCTACATCATGAGGAGAAGGATCAGGCGCTGATCCCGGCGGCCCATATTGATACCGGTGAGGTGTATCTCGCGCAGTGTGCCGAGCGGGAGACGGATGCCAACGACCAGATTGGCAATATGGGTACTAAGGATTGGGATACACAATCCATGCCGGGCTTGGGGCTGGGGATAGATGCGTAGAAGCACCAATTGGAAGCTGGAAGGGTCAGTAGTCAGAGACTAGCCGGTGAGGGTACTCGGGAATCGAAGGAGGAAAGCTATAAGATATCATCCAAGGCCATAGTAGACAGAGTGCTTGTGTTTATATTGCCAATCTTAGCTTTGGTCTCCACGTGTTTTAGAACTGATGACGATCGGATCCATCTGTCTGTCGATCGCGACACGTGATCAACTAGCCGTGCCAAGCGTGCCAAGGTCATCGGCCACTGATAATGCCCGCCCAGGTGCCCAGGTGCATCCCAGTCCTTGATAATTACGTTCTCTTCCTCAATTACCACTTTTTCCCCCTTACCGCTGCACGTACTTTGATACAATGAGCGCTAAAGAGTTTTTGGCCAATGTTGAAAGCGGCATCGTGTCTGTGAATTGCCACGAGGATGTCTTACGGATCGCATTCATCTATCTAGATGAGGGGCTGTGGACTGACAACGGGGTATTCGATGTGGTGGACAAGCTGCACGCGAATGGCTGGTCCTTTGGTGAGGGCGAGTTACGCTTTAACCGGTAAGCTACCTCCTGCTATGGTAATCTATAATAGCACTATATAATTAACAAATAACGGTACGCTGGATGTATTCTACCTTGCACAGCTAGCAGCAGCCATCTACCGCTATTCCTCGCAACTGGATGGGGACTTTCCCACCTTCTCTGATTTTCCTGCCTTCTATAGCGCCCACCACGCTCTCCTGCACTCCTGCGCCTGGCGCTCATACTACTCCACGCACTTCCTCGCCCAGCGCACCACAGCGTGCTTTTATCGCCCACCTGACCTCCAGGACCTCCCCGACTCCTCCTCCCCGCTAGGCATGCCGCACCACGGTACGGTATCCGCACACGTCCTGAAACTCCCCCGCTGGGCCTACAGTGTTGAGCGCACGCGACGTAGGCAGCCCTTTCTGCCATGTGAAACTCTTACTGCACTAGCCCTCCGCACGCTGGAGGCAACCATGACACGCCTGCACACGGCCTGCCCCAGCGCACCTCCCTATTCGGAATCACATGCGCGCTTCTGGCTCGACTACTTTACTCCTGATCCATCTCCATCTCGTCTGGCTAATAAACCTTCTCGGGAAGATTGGTGGCCTAATAGCTTTGGGATATTGGTCGCACAGGGAAAGTATGATATACACTGGTCGGAAGCAGAGTATTCCGCACAGGCATCGGGAGGAGAGGTTGCCGAGGGAGATGGCGAGTTGAAGCAGGTGATATGGTGTGGGTTGCCCGATGGAGGGATTGGAGTGCAGGCGTGGTGGAGGGGTTGGGAGGAAGAGGTCGGAAGCGAGGAGGAGGTGGAGTTCCTAGCCGCTGTTGCAGTTGAGGAGATAGCTGGGCTAGGACTAGAAGGAATGGATATGGATGAGTTGGACTTGTCAATCCGTTCACATATACTAATAGCGGTTATGCAGGCTGCGGTGAAGGATGGGCAGGAGAGGGAATGTTTCCTGGGGGAGCTGGAGAGGCGGATGGTGCAGAAGGGGAGAATTAGCAAGGAGAGGGCAGGGAGGTGGGCCAAGGAGGCCTTGGGGGTCATGGAGCCGTATGTACGAATATGGCAGGGCGTGTGGCCTGGTGCAGAGGAGAGAGGGGAGATGATGCGGCGGATCTTGGTGGAGAATGCGCAGCTCTTTGCACGCTGGAGAGTGTCACATCTTTCGAAGCAGTTCAGTTTTGAGCTGGGACCGAGGGAGTAATGGGTTCAGTCTATCATTACGACCATCAGACAACCATTAGACAGGTGTGTGTATGTACATACAGAGTCAAGCATCCAAGACCGCCTAACCAAGCCCATTAATTTAAGTTCATCATACTGCGGCTCCTTTGCTACCTCATTGGCCACAGAGAATTTAATCTTCCCGCAGCACATAGGATCCATGGATACCACCTAGTGAGCGGCCTTGTTAGTGATTTTGGGCTGCGTGTCTATCGTTTTCTCACAGCGCCTCATCACCACGACCAAGTACACATCTCATGAAACTTAAAATGTAGGAAACAGAGATATAACATGACAGCCTCAGCCCTGGAGGCTAGCCATAATCTTCCATACCGACGTAAGACGACGAGGGCCATGCATTGGGAACGAGTTTATTTATTCTGCTCCTCTGTCTTCCATGTCGTCGCAACTTCGTCACAATCCTTCATGATCTCATTCCACTGAATTCGACTCCACCGTTCCGGCCTTTCGATTGCGTCCACGAAATGTTTCATTGCAAGCACCATCTGTGCCGGACGGGGAGTCAACCTTCCCGCGCCATTCGTTTAAAGCAGACTTGGAAGATATAGTATGCGGATGGTCAGGGCCTAGTTTTCGGTCGCGAAGTTGAACGCATTCGGCCATTAACTGCAAAGCGGCTGTGTATTGACCCGATGACCTAAGGGTATGAGCAAGGTTGTTCATACTGGTCAGAGTGTCGGGATGCTCTGGTCCGAGAACCTGCTTGCGGGTCTCCATCACCTGCACGTTGAGTTTTTCGGCCTCCTTCCATATTCCCTGATCCAAACAGGTCAATGCTAGGTTGGCCATGCTAGTAAGAGTGTGAGGATGCTCTGGCCCTAGCACTTGCGTAAGGGTATCCGTCACTTGTAGTTGTAAGATTTCAGCATCCTTCCATCGTCCCTGGTCCCAGTAGGTTGAGGCTAGGTTGGTCATGCTGGTCAGAGTATCAGGATGCTCTGGCCCTAGCACCTGCTTGTGGGCCTCTATCGCCTGTAGGTAGAGCTCTTCGGCCTCCTTCCATCGCCCCTGATTCCGGTACGTCGACGCTAGGCTGGCCATGCTGGTCATAGTGTGGGGATGCTCTGGTCCTAGCACCTGCTTACGGGCCTTGGTTACCTGCAGGTAGAGCACTTCGGCCTGCTTCCAACGTCCTTAATGCAAGTAGGTCAATGCTAGGTTGGCCATACTAGTCAGAGTTGAAATATCCTCTGGCCCGAGCGCCTGCTTCCGTGTCTCCATCATCTGCAACTGCAAGCTTTCTGCGTCTTTCCATCTCCCACATAGCAGATATACTAGCCCTTCATTTCAATACTATTAATTGTTTGCTCGTTGTGTGGACCAAACAATCTCGTTGTTGTCTTCATAACCAAGACCGCCATCTTCTCACTCTCGATAACATCTCCCTTTGTATACGCAAACCATGCTGCTCTATGGACTAGGCTGGCCCATTTTTGCAACATACCCTCCTCATCTGGCCGCTGCGTGACCGCGGATTGTACATGTGAAAAGAGCGTTTGACACACAGCCCATGTCTAGACTTCACCAAAACCCATAATGGGTCCAAGGTCTGGACCCATTACCCAACCCACGTGGGTTTTGGGTATTCAATTGCCCGACCCAACCCAACCCATAACCCATGTTGAAATATCACGGTTACTGGGATAATCATGGGGGCTGGTATCACGTGCATGCCTATATACCTGTTCACCAGTCTACTTGTATCTTACACAATCAACTCCCCTCAACAACATGAACACTGAAGCATCACTTATAAATCAACAACCCACATGGGTTTTACCCAAAAACCCATTTCAACCCATTTCAACCCATTTTTGCATAAAATCTAGGTCTTGGCGCTCATAAATCCGATCATTAAGCATTGTAATTTACAACCGTTCTGGTTCTCCTCTTGAATAACAATTATTTAATTCCAAAATCCATTGAAACCTTTGTTCTAAAGACTAAAATTATATTGTGAACTCTATGTTCTACTTTAATTACCACTCAAAAAAATAGATTTACCTTTGAGTAGGCAGTTATAGTGTTTTGGTGATTTGAGATGCGGAAATATATAATTGATCCCATGTAAAGTAGGTCCATTCTTTGAAAAGTATTCCTAAAAATCATTAAGAATCTCCCCCCCCCCCATCTAATGTTTCTTTAATTATTATGGGCTTAAATATAAGGGTTGATTCAAAATTCCGCAGGGAAAACTTCCAAATTAGCTTTCATTGTTGTTTTCTCCGGCAGAAAAGTTGGCTTCGCAGGACTTTGGTCCGCGACCGAAGGCCTTTGAGGGGTCGAGGGTGAAATTTTTTGGGAGCTCAAATGTGGGAATGGGTTTTATATGGGTTTTATATGGGTTTTATATGGGTTTTTGATGGGTTTTTGATGGGTTTTTGATGGGTTTTTGATGGGTTTTTGATGGGCTTTCTATGGGTTCTCTGGGTTTTCATGGGTTTTTGATGGGTTTTTGATGGGTTTTTGATGGGTTTTTGATGGGCTTTTGATGGGCTTTCTATGGGTTCTCTGGGTTTTCATGGGTTTTCATGGGTATCCCCATATTAGTGGGGCTAAGCAGCCAATTATAATCTGTTATATATTATTACTTGTGACCTGTCTCCTCTTTACTTAGACTTAGAGAATCACTGCCTTCCCTGCTATTGTGCGTACTCCCCCCTTCTTCCCTCCTCTCCCCCTTACAGAATCTCCCTTAGTGGTTGTAATGTCTCAAAGCCAGCAATCTGACATTTACTCTACCTTTGGGGAGGATTATGATCATCTTGCCTACACTCTACCCTCTTCTCAGAATCTTACACCCTCTAATAGTCAGGTTACAGTTACACCCTCTGATGCTGTTGATTTCCTTCGATCCCCCTGTCCAGTCCCACTCTCTTTTACCCGTGTTGGCCCTGATCGGAGAAAGGCATATGTGCTTTACGACGCTATGGCACATACAGAATGGGTTGACTGGTGGCTTCAAACTGACTATGGTCAGAAGAGCAAACTAGCCTGGGATGCGAATCATAGTTCAAAGATATGGGAGAACTTTGAACAGGTTGCGAATGCGAAAGATGGTGCACCAAAAGTGATGTGCAAACTCTGCTCTAGAGTTGTAGAGCATCCAAATACATTTTTGCCAAATGGAGAGGGATTTTATGGTACATCAACAATGGCAAAGCATCTGAATACCATAACTTGTCGCAACGCAGGACAGAACAGGAAACGTGAAATCACTGGATTCTTTCAAAAGGGAGTATGGACTTATTCTTATTATTCTATCCTAGTATTATGATCTTCTCTAACTACTAACCACATAAAATTAATAGAATCCTCCACCAATCGAAGTCCCTTTTTCACAAGATATCTGGGAAAAGGAACTACTTGATTTTTTTATGCTTAACCGACTTCCATTCAACCTTTTTGCCGAACCATCATTTCATCGGCTATTCCAAACCAACCGGTCCTCAGCCTCCCTTCCTCATATTCCCTCTCCTACCAAAATGCGTCGTCGCCTACATACTCTTACTGAAAAGCAGCAAAGCACAGTCCTCAACCTGCTCCCTAATAATGCGAAACTCTCGATTGCATTAGATTGCTGGACATCTCCATACAACCAGGCATTTATGGCTATCAGTGGCTATTTTGTGGATAGTAACTGGGTGTATCAAGAGGTTCTACTTGGATTTAAACCACTTTATGGCTCCCATAAGGGTTCAAATCTAAGTAGTTTTGTCCTCGAGACCCTTGCTGAGCACAAAATCCAGGATCGGGTATTTGGCATTACTACTGATAATGCAAAAAACAATAAAACAATGGTTGATGCTGTTCAACGATCACTCCCTAGTGATGTAACAGTTATCCGCATACCCTGCCTCGCTCATGTTATCCAGCTTAGCTTGAATGAGCTACTTGGTCGCATGAAGGCTGTCCCTCAAAATGAAGTTGCAGAAAAAAGATGGACAGATCAGCGGTCATCTGCGGCAAAGGCAAATGCTCAGCACAAAACACAGAGGATAGCACATGCATTAAATAAGGTCCGCTATCTTGCGATCTATATTTCAGCAAGTCCTCAACGCCATGCAGCTTTCTTAAAGCTCCAAGAGAAAGCATCCCTAACAGAATCACAACTTGTCCCAATCCAGGATGTGAAGACTCGGTGGAACTCTACCTTTCTGATGCTTCGTCGGGCCAAGAGACTACGTGCTTTCTTTGGGCCTTTCTGCAATGAGTATGACTGTGATGAGATGCTGCTCAATGATCAAGAATGGCGTCAAGTTGAGTATCTTCTCCAAATCACCCGGCCATTCTATGTCTTTACAACAGAGCTCTCAAAGACCACAGAGGTTACAACCCACCTTGTCTTTAAGCTCTACAATGCTCTCTTTGATCTTTTCTTTGATGCAGAGAGACAGCTTCGACACAAACGTGTTCTATGGAAGAAGGATATGCTTGCGGCACTTGAGGCTGGTCGCTTAAAGCTTGATGAGTACTACTCTCAAACCGACAACCTAAAAGGACATATCTATGGAGTCGGAACAATGCTAGCACCAGATAGCCGATACCAGTTCTTTCTTCAAGATAACTGGGAGCCTCACTGGCGCGACACCTACCGAAAGTCCTTCCGGGAGTCATTACTTCCATACCAAGAGCGTCTTGCAGCATGTCAACAACAACCAAGTGACGCCCCTTCAATAGCAACATCTAGTTCTCGGTTAAACAAGATGCTAAAGAGCAATTTCTCTGTGAAGCCAGCTGGCGATGAGATGAGCCAGTATCTAATAGTGGTATGCTTCTTTATTTCTTTGGTTCTCTTTATCTGATGTCAGATTAAACTAATTGATGAATCTTACTAGATCCAACTGATGCTGACCCTCTTCAATTCTGGCGAGAGAATCAGTATCGTTTCCCTGCAATTGCACTCCTTGCTCGTGATGTTCTCTCTATCCCAGCAACAGGTGCTGGTGTTGAACGACTCTTCAATACAGCCCGAGATATCTGCCATTATCGCCGTGGCCGGATGAAGTCAGAAACAATCGAGGAGCAAATGTTATATCTATGCGGGACAAGGTTTACTCTGAAGAATGAAGAGGCAAAGGCACTTGAGCAGTATTTTACTGAGGCTGAGATTCAGGTTGCAAAAGAGGAAAAGATAAATGATGAAGATGATACTGAGTTTGGTCTCATTAGTGACAATGAGGAGGAGAGGGAGGAGGATAAGGAGAGGGAGGAGGATAAGGAGAGGGAGGAGGATAAGGAGAGGGAGGAGGATAAGGAGAGGGAGGAGGATAAGGAGAGGGAGGAGGATAAGGAGAGGGAGGAGGATAAGGAGAGGGAGGAGGATAAGGAGAGGGAGGAGGATAAGGAGAGGGAGGAGGAGGATGAGAGGGAGGAGAGGTCATGCGAGGCATCTCCAAATTTAGTAGATATCGATATAGAGCCATCATTGCCACAGAGTGTAACCCAGATACGGGTATCTGGCAGAAGGCGTAAGGAGCGAGAGGACGATGATTTTGTATACGAGAATAAGAAATCCAGAAATTAGTGCAATCAATCTTCTCTCTTTCCGTTTAATCCAGAATTAGATCGGTAAGCAGATTACTCAATATTACAGCCAGAAAGTGCATTAATTATGCAGCATTTCGACAGAGGAACGAGAAGGAAAAAAAGCTCAGACCGGAGTCCACGGTCTAACTTTCGGAACTGTTTGTCCTGTTTACACTATAATGGGTACCCACTGGGTACCCATCGTGGGTCATGGGTTCTCGCCAAAAACCCATAACCCATGATGGGTTCTAGAATTGGACCTGTTGAAATATCACGGTTACTGGGATAATCATGGGGGCTGGGATCACGTGCATGCCTATATACCTGTTCACCAGTCTACTTGTATCTCACACAATCAACTCCCCTAAACAACATGAACACTGAAGCATCACTTATAAATCAACAGGACCCAAAACCCATGATGGGTTGGGTTGGGTTGGGTTGGGTCATGGGTTTTTTGGGTTCTGCCGAAGTCTACCCATGTCTCAAAATCGCCGGTCGGAAACGCATCATGAAGTATCTCGATGAATTGTTGCTTCCAATGTTCAAGTTGTCCATGGGCCTCAAGCCACTTCCGCATAGCAAGTTGCACAAGCCGATGCATTTCGAATGTGGCCCCGTCCGCACTAGTAGATATCATCGAGTAATTTCTCAACATCACAATATTCTCTTCAAAATCATCATCCACGCCACAATCGGTTCCAGCACTCTCATCATCATCGCAGATGTCTGTTTTGTCTTCCAATTTCATATTTTTATCGCCAATTTCCTTAACTGGCTGATGTTGAAGCAGATTTTCAAGAATGCCTTGGGGGTCAAAGAAACTCATTAGTGACAGAAGGTCGGCTGCTGCTGCTGGTGTCCCTTGCTGATGATCTTGTTGGAAACATCACGATTGGCGTCAACAGGTCTGCCACACCAGCTGAAGCCACTGGTGGAAGTGTGGATGCTGTATTCGGTGCTTCGCTTACTGTGTCTCCAAGCCCGGGTGGTCAGGCTATTGCTTCAGTCCATGAACGCAGCTCAGTCAGTGTACCTACTCTCACGTTCGTTCATGAACCCCCTCTGGGATATATTCCTTGGATACAGGGGTTGCACAGCCACCAAAACACACGCCTCTCCACTGGATAGTGACGCTTGCTCGTAGCTTGTGTAGCGATGCACGAATGTTTCATTAATGGTGGCCCAAATAGCATGCCTAGAACCACAATCGCCATATCCACCGCAACTAATTTTCTGGTATTCCGTGGTCTGTTGATAGAACCCTTCAAGGCCTGAACGCTGCTCTTGGCGATTGTCCCTGAAGTGAATCCAGTGGCAACCGAAAGTAGCACCAGGGCTGGAAGAGACTTGGTAGAATTGAGACATTATCACGATCCCTGCGGCAAACCTTCCCGCGGCAAGGAGATTCAATGGGCCGATTCGAGGTGCTAGAATTGATGGGAGACGAATTTCGAATAGAGACGCCACATTGAAACTGACCCCCAAGTATGAGGCGAACCATGCAGTCATACCGCGAGACACAGCATATGCTGGCAAGTAAAAGAGCAGAGTGGACGTGCCAATAAATATGAAAATCAGGGCCGTAATTATTAGGGAGTTGACAGGCACTTTGAAATTGGAGGTCTGGACGAGATAGGTTTCCCGTGGGAGCATGCGGACCCGAATCGTGAAAAAAGAGAAGATAAGCAAGGGCATCGCGAGGAAGCCCAACACCCTCATCGAGTCCGTCGTAGAGCTTCCATCTCCTCATCGAGCACGGGCCCCCACTGTGACATAGTGGAGTGGATTGAGGCTGGTAGTGGTAACAAAGAGGTGGTTAGACGAGGGAGAGTGAGTAAGTAAATACTACCCTGCATATCAACAATGCCGTCTATCTACCGCCTGCCCCACCTTGGCTCGGGGAATGGGAGACGAGACGGACCAATTGTGCAATCCTCGGCCCCGACTTTCCATTTCCCCAATCTCGCCAGTTTGTGACGATTCGTTGCTGCGAATCGGCCATTTCTGCGAAATAATATCATTCCAGCGACCTCAAATTTGATCAAAATCCTGATATCGGCCTGGTATGCGATGAACGTCAGCATGGCGGACGACGGCTTGACCAAGCGACCCAACTACCCGAACCCAGAGCCCCAACGCCGGCGCCGACGACCGCCTGTGTAAGTACCTTGGGTGGACTGACAAACCCATGAATCTATACGAAGAACAAAGCTGACAATATACAGTGCATGCGAATTGTGTCGGAGACGAAAGATCAAGTGCAATCGCGAAGCTCCGTGTAGCAATTGTCGCCGCTCGAAGAACGCGACCTGCATCTACAAGGAGCTCTCGCCGCCACCTACCCTGCGCAATCGCGATGCCCAGAGATCGTCTATGGTTGTCAATGTTTCAAATCCTGGTGAGAACTGCTTTGCAGTGCAGGTGGATGGACAATCCACTTCGGGGAGTGCCAGGACCGTCTCGAGCCATCCGCCAATGTCAACCGCACCCAGCTCCATGATTTCGACGCCAATGAGTCACTCATCTATCCAGGAGACTGAGTCGCTACGATCGAGAATTAGTGAGCTTGAGCAGCAGCTCTCTGCATCGAGGCAACAGTCCGTCGTGAATACGCCCAGCCCGCATTACAATATCAGTACCACAACCTCTCACATCGCCGGAACATTCCATGTACATCAAGAGAGCGCGACTGCTGGTCAGCCGCCTGCGATCTCCCGCACCATAATGCATAAGACTCGTGTGTTCGGCCAGAGCCATTGGATGAATGGGGCTGCTCAGGTAAGATACCAGCTGATACCACAGAAACGAGTCACGCTGACCCCGCGCTATTTAAGTTTGCCGAGATCCTCGATATCATCGAGCCCTACATACAAAGTGAGACCTCAAACACAATGCGCAATTTGCAGAGGTGCAAGTATCTAGGTAAAGTCATCAAAGCAAAGCGGACACCTGCATGGCCGTGTCCTCCCACAACGGAATTGCCGCCAAAAGAGATCGCAGATGTACTTATTGACAATTACCTGCGGACTTTTGAAAGCGTCTACCGGGTCCTCCATATTCCAACCTTCAAGCGAGAATATGAATCTCTTATGTCGACCGAGACGCCCAACATGTCATTCATGGTTCAATTGAAGTTAGTACTTGCCATTGGGGCAACCATCTACGACGATCACTTCTCTATGCGAGTCTCGGCCATCAGGTGGATCCACGAAGCCCAGACCTGGATCTCCGAGCCCGAGTTCAAAAGTAGACTTGGAATACCATTTCTCCAGACTCAGATTCTCCTCATCCTTGCCAGGGAGATTGTCGGCGTGGAGGGGGCAATGGTTTGGGTCGCGACGGGTGAACTGATTCGGGTCGCAGTCCACATGGGCCTGAACCGCGATCCGACATTCCTTCCCAAACTATCGTCATTTTCTCGAGAAATGCGTCGTCGACTATGGAACACCATACTAGAGATCGCACTCCACACGAGCATGGAGTCAGGCGGACCTCCCATGATTTCTCTCGAAGACTTTAACACCCAGCCTCCCAGTAACCTCGATGATGAAGCATTGGATTATGAGGATGCAACTTCCGAGCCAGAAACTGTGTTCACCCAAACTTCAGTCCCACTGGCTCTTCGGAAAATGTTCCCGTTACGTCTGGCTATCTTGAAAGCATTGAATGGCATTGCCGCTCATGCGGGATATGAGGACACGCTTCGAATGGACGCCGAACTCCGTTCTTCATACAGATTCCTCTGTCGCACGCTACAAGGGTACAAGTCCAGCGATCGCCAAAACGCGCCCTCCGAGTTCCAAACTCGCATTCTCGATTTCCTCTATCGTCGATACCTATCATCACTCCACATGCCCTTCTTCGGCGCCGCGACGCGTGCTAATCAATACGCTTTCTCGAGAATGGTGGTAGTGGAGGCATCATGGACGAAATGGCACACGATATTCCCATTCTCGCCAAGCAGGGGCTCCATTAAGTTCGACGAAAAATTCATCCCTTCGAAACCGGATGATCTCACCCGACTAGCCCTATGCAGTTCAGGTACCTTCCGCACCAACTCTATCCAGGCTGCTTTCCTGATTGCTGCTGAGCTCAAAGCCCTACTTCAAGAAGAAGACAGCCTCGGTACGAAGTCACTACCACCGCACCTTGTTTCCACCCTGGAAGAAGCAAAAAGGTTGTCTCTACGGTCTATTGAAGCTGGAGAAACCAATGTCAAGGGCTATCTGTTCCTTTGTCTAGTCCATGCCCAGGTCGAGGGACTAATTCGCGGCATATCAAGGACGGAGCTTCCGGAACTTGTTATCAGGGCTGCGGACGAGGCTGAAGAAAGGTGCCTGCGCATTTTGGAGGCGAATGTTCAGAGCCTGGACAGTATGGGGGCGGCATCTAATGTGCTGGATGAAATGCCGATCGAGCCGTTGCCTGATGTGCTGGCGGATTGGAGCTTGATGGTAAGTTGAGACTTCTCTTGATGATTCAGTGCCATCACTGAAGTACCACTGACTTTTTCTAGATGCCCGATACCCATTTTAACCTTGGCGGCACTGATTCTATGAACTGGCTAACAATGGATTCTCTAGCCTCGTGTTACCAGATGGCCGATTGACTGATCAACCAGGGGTTCCGAGTCAATTGGGTCTGAGCATACACTTATGGATAATTCCATGATGGCCTAATGCATTTCAGGCTAATAACCACAGCCATTTTTCGGACTCATCTTCACCCTTGACTCACCGATTGATTTCACCATCTTGCAAATGTCGTGCGCGAGCAGGGAGGTTTGTCTCAGCGCGTAATACAATGAATAGGACGACAGTACCCGATTGGCAACGGCGCAAACTGAACCCGATCGCTCGGACAAGTAATCCGATATGTGGCGTGGACCCAAACCGTGGCTCATCGCGGCACGTAAAGTCTGATTGCTTCTAGACGAACAATCCCGAATTCCACCAGCCATTATTGGCCAGTTCTGTTCGCCGGACTGCGACCCAGCCACGACTTGATGGAGTATACGCCGTCGCGCCACATGAGCTCATTCGAGCGACAATATGGCCACGTCAATGCAAGCCAGAATTATTGATGTCGTTGTCTGGTTGTACTGTGCAATTTAGCAGGAGCCATTCGAGAAACACATCTTGTCGACGCCAATTCCGCAGCCGGGGCTTTTGCAGCGAATGGTAGACTGCATCCCCCGACCCTCAGATTGACCAGAACTAACAGCTACTCTGTTCAGTTTCGCTACACTGTCATCGAAGGCCGTTTCTCTCCTAAATGTTTCCAGCAAGATATACCAGGACATAACCAGACCTAATGTCCGACCAGGAGAAACGCAATGATGCCTCCTCGACTGACAGTGACAGCAAAACCAACTTCACCGACCCCCGGAAAAGATCGAAGATCTGAACGCGAGGTTCTCTGGCGATACAGCCATTCCAGATGAACCAGAACCCTCACAGCCTTTACGAGTGCGGTTCCGCTCCGATGCCGACGCCACGCGGCATGCACGACGGCAGAAACCACGAGAGGACATCCGAGCAGAATGGGATCGCTCTCAGCGACAGGGGCTTCCCCATCGGCCTGCTATGCCGTACTCGCACGAGTCAGAGGACATTGCCGATACACCATTAGGCGAGCGATCACAGCAGGGTCAATCAGGCGGCGAAAAGCAGCGAAAGGGAGAAGAATTCCAGGCATCAGAAGAGAAACAGCCTGTTGCTCCAGACACATTGAACCTGCAAAGCACCCGCAACAGACTACGCATCGCGGCGACAAACTTCAAGCAGAAGGCCTCTCGCTGGGGCGAACGAATGGGTCGCCCAACCACCGGCGGCGACGATCTCTACTCGGGTGTGTATCACAGCGACTGGGCAACGGGAAGCCAGCCACCTCTTTCTGACGTGACGGACAACAAGCACAAAACCGAGGAAGAGAAGCGAGAGCACAAGGTCGAAAGTAGCTCCGAGGCGCATCGCCTAGTACGCGATCTCACGCAAGATCACTCTGCAATGCGGCGCAAGGTACGCGGCAAGCCCTATCCGTATCGCAGGGCGCATTTAGTCGGAGGCGAGGATGAATCTAGTATGGATTCGGGATTACGGTATCGATCAGGCGGTGGTGGCATTCTTTCACAGTTGATCAAGCTGAATGGGGGCGGACAAAATGGGGACAATTTATCGCGAACACCGAGTCAGTCATCTATGTCCTCGATGGGTTCTGTGATACCAGGGCCGGCGTCGCGTACGGGATCATCAGATTCGGGGTCTGGGGCGGCGACGGCGAAAAGAGGGAAAGTGAAGTGGTACAAAAGGCCGCCCAACACGTCAACATCCACCCTGATTGGTGCCAGTGGAGGTGCAGGGAGCCTGAGTGGAGCGAGCACTCCGGTATCGAATGAGGTATTATCTGCAGCAGAAAAACGACGTGGCAAGCAATCTGATCGGAAAGTGCGACTAGAAGACGAGATCCGAGTGACGGTACACATTGCAGAGATCATCTGTCGACAGCGATACATCATGCAGCTCTGCAGGGCATTGATGACGTTCGGTGCCCCGACTCACAGACTGGAAGAATACATGCAGATGACGGCCAAAGTGCTAGAGGTTGACAGCCAGTTTCTCTACCTCCCAGGCTGCATGATCATGTCATTCGATGATCCGTCAACAAGAACAACTGAGGTGAAACTCGTTCGCGTGGCACAGGGAGTCGACCTCGCTCGTCTTTCCGATACCTATCTCATCTACAAGAACGTTATCCACGATGTTATTGGAATTGAAGAAGCGGTGCAGGAGCTGGATGAGGTAGTGAGGAAGAAACCACGGTACTCCAAGTACATCGTTGTGTTAATCTACGGTGTCGCAACGGCGACAGTGGGACCATTCGCATTCAACGCGCGACCGATCGACATGCCAATTATTTTCCTCAATGGCATTCTCGTGGGAGCGATGCAGCACATTGCTGCACCCCGCTCAGCCCTGTACTCAAACGTATTCGAAGTATCTTCGACTGTGGTGACGTCCTTCCTCGCCCGCGCATTCGGCAGTATTCCCAAGGCCATCGTCGACGGCAAACGCCAATACCTCTTCTGCTTCTCCGCCATCTCCCAAGCCTCCATCGCACTGATTCTTCCTGGATTCCTCGTCCTCTGCAGCAGTCTCGAGCTTCAGTCCCACCAAATCATCGCGGGCTCAATCCGAATGGTCTACGCAATCATCTTCTCCCTCTTCATCGGCTACGGGATAACAGTCGGAACAACCATCTACGGACTACTTGACAACGGTGCCGTATCCGACATCAACTGTCCGAAAGACGGGGCCTTCCCAAACCCCTACGTACAGCGCTTCCCCTTCGTAACAATCATGACAGTCTGGCTCTTAATCATCAACCAAGGTAAATGGAAACAACTGCCCCCAATGACGATCATCGCCCTGAGCGGGTACACAACGAACTACTTCAGCACGAAAAAGCTCGGCTCAAACTCGCAAGTCGCCAACACGGTCGGCTCGTTCACAATCGGCATAATGGGAAATCTGTACAGTCGGCTCTGGCACGGACACGCGGCAACGGCCATTCTCCCGGGCATTTTCATCCTGGTCCCGTCGGGACTGGCGGAGGGTAGCTCGGTGTTTAGCTTGGGGTTTGGTATGATTCAGGTTGCGATTGGGATTACCATTGGCTTGTTCATTGCGGCGTTGGTGGTTTATCCGTATGGGAAGAGGAGGAGTGGACTTTTTAGTTTCTAGTCTGCGAAGAAGTAACAAATCAGAAATTCCTACTCTTCGAGTTCGCCTGTTGTCCAGTCTATGCCCTCGTGTCGAGATACGAGAGCGAGCGAGTTCCCCGCGGTCAAACCTCTGCAGATGCAGGGGGAGGGTTCTAGAAATGCTTCGATCGCGAAACCGAAATCTGCATCAGTTGTGTGTCAACTGCGGAGATATCGAGATACGGATTCTCCTTGTTTTTGAGCAAGCTTTGCCAAGCTCGTTCAATATCCTTGCTCCTACCGATCCACTTCTGAACATACACGAACTACCATCGCCAAGCGAAGACACAGTATTGAAGGCCAACTACAATAAATTACTGTTCATATCTACACTGATCTAGCTGGCAATTTCTTCACTTCGCATCGCCGACGCGGGGCGCAAGCTTCATTTCCCCAAACAAGCCTTAGCCAAACGATCGACAAGCGAATCACGACCGCACGCCCGCGCATGATTTGCCGATCTGCACGATTTCTGGCCATGAGCGATTGGAAATGCCCGAAGATGCGTAAACCGAGCTAAAGCTTGCGTTACATCCGGGCGGACTTCTATCAACTGGAGAGTAGCGCACCAAACTGGGGGTAGGGAGTGTCGTGGCTTAACTCCGACAGGCCAGCATGGGCGAAGTATAAATATTCCTCGACACCGAGCATCTCAATCAACACTTTACCACCGCAATCAAGTTACACAAGTCGCAATGGTCAAGCACCTTTACATCCTCGCAGCTGCGACTCTCGCACTCGCCGACCCAACCGTCTACCTTATTCGCCACGGCGAAAAGCCCGACGACGGCGACGGACTGAATGCACAAGGCGAGCAGCGCGCACAGTGTCTGCGGAATGTATTCGGGGCCAGCTCTTCCTACAACATTGGGCATATCATGGCACAGACGCCGAAAAGCGGTACAACCATCCAACATTGGGATTCGTCTGATTTGCTTTGCTTCGAGCTCATGCTAATTAGAACAGATGGAGGCCGCCAACGTCCCCTCGACACCGTCGAGCCGCTCGCCTCGGACCTCGGGTTGACTGTTGACACTTCCTGCGACCGGGATGATTCCAAGTGTGTCGAAGATGTTGTGAAAGATTACGATGGCTCTGGTAATATTTTGATCTGCTGGGAGCATGATGCGTTGACGGATATTATTAAGAAGTTGGGGGATGATGATGCGCCGGATTATCCTGATGATAGGTAAGCCCCTAACCCTTGTAATGGCCGGTGGCAAGGAGAGTACTGATTAAACTACGGTCGCTTAGCTTCAACATCATCTGGACTGATCCCTCTCCTTATGATTCCATCACCTCGGAGACGAGCGAAGACTGCCCGGGCCTGGACAGCTAAATCCGATCGTAAGGTATTGTGATGCATTTCAGACAGATAAATTACGATTGGCTATGAACAACATAGAGAATCCTGAAAATAAATGAATTTAAATGACCAGCATCTCTAACTTGCACACTGCAAGGATGCCAAGCAGGCGACCAGTCGCCCAAATACTCGATCCTTGGATCAGTGTAGGAATCCAACTCTTAAGTTTTATTAAAGACAAGATGCTTCTATCGAGCATTCGCGGCCGTCGTCTGATCCCGCCAGACAGCAAAGCCGAGTAGTTCTAAAAGATGACGCTCGCGATGTGTAAATGTGGTCACACCCTCTTTACAGATGAACTTCTGTGCATGGTGCAACATTGCAACCGAATTCAAATCTTTCGCAGAAAGTTGCAGGAGGACGTCGTGGGTGATGGCGATGGTTTCGTCAGCTGGGGAGGTGGGTAACTGCTGGAGGATGTGTCGGGTCTTTTTATCGCGGGCTAAAGAGTCACAGTATGTTTCCAGCATGCGATTGCGCACGATAAACTGCAATATAGAAGGAAGCGAGTCCCGCTGGACGATGGTTTGCGAGAGTGAATTTTCCGGCTCCGATAGACCCCGCTGCATGGCGATGGCGTACTCGAGATCTTCGAGGAGAGGCGTCAGTTGCATGCGGGCAACGGAAGCGTGGTCGAGGATCGGACGGCCGTAGCCCAGCTTCTTCCGCCAGAAATAGTTACACAGAACGAGTGAGATGATGCAGGGGATGAGCACACAATATCCCCACCACCGCTCCGCCGTCACCATCGACGCAGCACCAGCAACGAGTCCATTAAGCCCATTGACGGCGGCATGCCATTGGAACCGACGAAATCGCGTATGCAACCTTCGTCGAATCTCATCGCTCGGCTCGCGAGCCTTCACCGCAGCATCATGCAGTGTAAACCGTCGAATCAGATATACCGACCAGATGGCATTCGCCAAACCAAAGAGCGCCGCCAGGGCATTTCCGATATACCCAGAGAGCAAATTACTAGCTTGGTAAACATGATGATCGGCACCACCGATAGCCATCAGAGTCCCAACACCGACAAGAATCGAGCCGGAGCCCATCAACACATCCATAACAATCCGATCAACAATTTCTGTCCCCAATTCGCGAAAAAGAACGCCGAGCCGCGATCCCAACAACCGCGTAATTTCAACATTCTTCGCATGATACCGTTGAAGACGGGTGAGATGCTCCCTCTCCTCCCGAAGCAGCCTCACATTCCGCCAACTCAGCCTAAAATCCTGAATAGCCACAAACACCATTCCCAGCGCCAACGCACCCCCAATCCCCATCAGGATCGCCGCAAACGTCGGAACTGGAATTTCATTCCAGACATTGGCAGCAAAGTCGCCCGCGTTCGCTAGCTCCAGGTAGCCCACGCTCGCGAGGAGCGAGTTCTTAAACTGTTGCTGGTGGAGCAGGCGGAACAGGCCGCGGCGACGGACAAGCAGGACCTGGTCTTTGGACGATTCGAGGGATTCCTGCCAGGTGATGTCGCTCGCTTCACGGGCTAGCTTGGGGACGGGGAGTGGTGAGTCGAGGCTTGATAGCTCATGTTCACAGTCGAGCATGGCTGGCGGCTGTTTCGGGTGTGTTGCGGAAGGAGGAGTGATGAGGGTGTCGGAAGAGTCTGCGGGCGTCGCCATTTTCGAGTCAGACTGCAAGGACAATACAAGTTTCACATGTCGGCCTGAGACAAGTGGCCGTTGCAAGGGGGAAGAGAAGGGAGAGGCGGGAGGTGCGGAGGGAAGAACGAAAGAAGGGACGGTCAGGGACTCCGCGGTGGGGCGCGCCTCGTAGGGCTGACCCGGCGATCCTTCAGCCCTACGCAACTACTAGTGTATGTAAGTACTTCACTAGCGGAATATTGGCAGGGATTGTTTACATATTTAGAAGCCACGTCGTGGATCAATTCTGCGTGAAGGCATCCCTAGCAGGATTAGTCCCTACGATGTACTAGACTACTACTGTTGTAGCACGTATCCTCCTCGCGTAGCCTACAAAACACGACTCCACCAGCAGGCAGCCAGGAAAAGAGATTATGCAACGCTAAGCTATTCATAGAGCCAAACAAATCAATGCAAAAATGCTAAGAAAAACAACAAAACTCAACCAATAATGCTATGCAAAAATGATTGGAAAAGAAAAACTACGCCCGCTTGGCACTTTTTCCATCCACACTGTTAATATCACTTTCACTAAGCGCCCGAATCAGCTTGACGCCAGCGTCCGCTGTATCATACGAATGTGCATTCCAGAACGCAGCCTCGCGATCTGATCCCTTCAGCACATCATCCTGCACCTTCTCATTACTAGGTGAAGGCGATCCGTCCGAGACAGCGGTATCCGTCCCAGACTCGTAGACATTAACGCGCTCATGGAACCGGACACGTTGGCGCACGCGGGCACCGGGGGATTCAGGGGAGACAGATCGTCCATTGCGGAGATTTCGGCTCATGTCGAAGAAGTTCTTCCGGACCGCGTGGCGACAGGCTTCTTCTTGGGAGAGCGTTTCCGCGAAGATTTTCTGCATGGCAGTTGCGGCCGTGAAGCGGATGGCAAGGTAGGCCTGTTCGGCGATGAAGACGGTCAAAAGCAGCGAGGAGAGATGCACTTCGGACATGTCGCCGCGGTAGAGATGGACAATCGCCGCAGTCGAGAGGGTGCCCATCCAAGCGAGGAAGTCGAGGCCAAGCAGACAAGGACCGATGGAGTCAGCACGAATCGGTGGTGGACGTTGGTTCTCTCGCGTCAACTTGAAGAAGTCACCGCGGACCTCGAGCCAGTTGTTGAGGAGGAATCCAAGCGGGACGAGCGGCCAGGCGACGCCGAAGAGAGCGAGATATCCGAATTGCACGCACATCTCGAGGATATCCTCTTCAACCTCGTATCTGTCCGAATCCGCCTCGCTGCGCAGACGTTGCAGGAAGGATGTTTCGCCGGGCGGGTCGAGCAGCAACAGATCGGTGGCTTTGGAAAAGCTACGCTGGCGGGTGAGACCAGCCTTGCGGTCTTGATAGTTGCGCCATTTCTGGTACAGTTTTTTCTTGGCGAAGGGGAGGATGATTTCCTCGCAGAAGTTGAAGATCTGGGCGGTCATGGAGAGATAGATGACTTCTTGCTGGAAACGAGAACCGTCCACCTGAAAGTCCTTGTGTGCCATTTCGATGTTGAGGCCGGCGCGCTTGATAATATCGAGATGAGGGACAATCGACTTGCCGAAGGGGACGTAGATGTATGCCGTCAAGATGGTCGGAAGGAAAGAAGTGATAAAGTTCATCACAAAGGACTTTTGCGTCTGCGCGAGATCGTAGAGATCCGCAGAACGATAGTTCTCATACTCAGTCAGACGAGTCGCAATTCTGGTCAACAGCGAAGTAATGAAAGGCAGGGAGAGCGAAAAGAGGATAGTCGGGACGAATTCTAGGAAGCCCTGGAAGCGACCACTATAAACCTCGGAGATGAAAACCTCCGACGCGAACGTGATGACGATCAAGCTGCCCAGAGCGACCGCCGCGACTGAAGCAAAGGGGATGAGCAACAACTGACGCATAAATTGTTTCCATCCGGGAAACACGTGAGTGACCTGGCCGGTGATGGGATCCTTGATCTCCTTCTCCCATTTATACTGGGGGCGATTGACCTTCAACACGCCGCACCCACGCACACCCCAGCGATGCGACAGATCAAATTCGCGGACTTTCCAGTATTCCACGAAGCATATACACCACACGGATAGTGCGGAGCCGTATAAAATCGAATATGGGCCGAAATATAGCCAGCCGATGATGCCTAGTGCGGCTGGGACAACGAGGGCGAGTGAATAGCACTGGATGAAGGCGAAATAGAATGCGACCTGGAAGAATGAGTATTTGTCCCAGCTTTCAGATTACCTAGATAAGATGCCACGCTTACCTTCTCTCCAAATAACGATCGGATTGAGTCCAGATCCTGGATGGTCAGAACTGTCTTCCGACTCCACTGCTTCAGCATCTCCGAGCAGGCATCTTGATCATGTAGCGGGAATGACGCCGTGACATTCTTCCATTTTCCGAAGTTTGGTGTAATGCCCGCACCACCTAGTTCTTTGGCCCATGTGACGGCGTGATAAACTGAGCGAATCTCTTCGGCGGGGGTTTCTGCGGTAGCGGAGATGTGGTCGCCGTCGGGAAGAGTATGTGTGATGGCGTACATCCAATCTTTGATTCTGTAGGGTAAGACGTTAGCACGATGAATCCTGTTGTATTCAATGCCCACTCCGCGGGCTGTGGGACACTCACCTCGACTGATGTACCATCTTCCCCAGATGATCCCGTGGGACGCGAATGCACACAAGGAGAGCCTGTCCATGGCCATGACGCACCTGCACGCGAAGACCAGCTTCGGTCAGATCGGTCATGAGCGTGCGGAACTCGGAGATAGCGTGCGGTTGATCTGCGATGGTCCGTCAGCACTGCAGCAGCTGTGGTCAGCTGGGGAGGGGACATACCGAGCTCGCCGAATTCATACTGCAGCACCCAGTCGATGCCCAGGTTGTCATTTTCGGCGGTATGGGCAGTGGTGGTGCCCGCGAGCCAAGACATGGAGAGCAAGTTGGGGTAATGAGGGGAGAAGAGTGAAAAAGACGGTGAGATGGGAGAAGAGAAGAGTGTGGGGAGGAGCGCTAGAGGGGTTCCACCATGGCGCTAAGATGGGCGATAGGGGCAGGGGGGAGTTCTGGAAGAAAATAGGAGACGATCATCGAAGATGATGATGGACACTCATATGATGACTAGCGCAACTACATATACACTTTTCTTCCATTTATTTCTGGAAATTGCCCGGCGAAACCTGTTGATTGCTTTCTTCTCCACCTTCAGCCCTACAGGGTTGACGGTGACGTGGTACCTGTTCTTAGCCTTACCTAGGTAATGAGCACGATCTGGTCTCTGGCGATTACGAGTGAGACAATAACACCTTTAAAATATTCTTTCTACTGATCCTTGTATCTCCCCACAGATTGCAGAGTGCTGATAATATGTTCCTTGCCTCGCAGGGCTGGTCGAATGAACGAGGGCCAACACCGCACGATGCGGTACGTGTTACGGCCCCACTCAGCCTTGCAGCCAACTCAACCTGGCGGTGAACACTAGTATATTCACACCAAATATTACACATGGCCTAAATATTAAATACTCAGAAAAGGGAACCAAGAGGATCGCAGCAGGGATTGATGATTCCAGGGCTGCATGTTATGCATCTCTAGTTCCAAGATTGCTGGAATGCGACGTCAAAATTCGAGTAAAAAACTGCTGCCTGCGCCAAGCGCCAAGCACGGGCATTCATTCCTCCAGGCAACATTGGACGATTCCCCCGTGTATGGATGCACGTAGTATTCCGAAGAAATTAGGGCGGAAGCCCCGGATGTGCCAAACAAGTCACGGCAGAAAGAAAAGTCGTAGTCGGCGGAGTCGAACAATTTAGCACCCAAATTCCAAGCTTGGCAGGCATTGATTGAAGAAATCAGGCCAAGACGATGACGGCAGCTCGGCATAACCGGCCGATCGGTAAAGCTCGCGCCGAACTGCCGCTACGCCCAATCCGCACTAGCACCGCCTTCGAGGCAGGCATCAAGATTCACTACAGTTTCAATTGACATCCCAACGGTTGGCCCATCCCAATATATATGGGGATCCGCGATCGACGACATTCCAATCGTCCGTCTCCGCGCCTGTCCAGGTATCCTCGCTGATCCATTGACCAAACCGACCGTTCCTGATTGAAGGGGCCGGTCTCTCGCATATACCTCCCTCGACAGGACTGCGTACCTTTCTGGCAGTTGAATGGTCGAGCATACCCCATACTGCAATGGCAGGGCCACACGGATCCATGGCGCGCCCGACTGTCCGCCAGAATGCCACTCTCGGCCTGAGCCTTGTGCTCTTCACCTTTATGTTCCTGCCCACTTTTCTCGTCCTGCTGGCTGTCGTCGTCTTTTTTATTCTGGCATACCCCAAGTTGCGCAAGACCTATCTAGAAATCATGGGTCTGGAAGAGGAGTCAGTCGACGATGAGAAATGATTTATTGATACATCTGAAACACACTTCAAGGTACGGACGCCCCTGCCTGTATCACTTGTTGAGGGTGCATGCATGCAGTCTGACTTTCTACTGGCAGTGCACTTGGCATAGACGGAGTCACGGATCAACGACCTCGGTTCAGATGCAATAGCTGGAGTTTTGGTACCTTGGCAATGTCTTTCTCTCTTCTTCTTGTCATTATTCAGCGACGTTCACTACATACTAGTACTTAATATGTACCAGCAGAATCTCCCATATCTCCTCTCAACCATTTTCTTGTTATACCGTTTCCCTCTAGATCCCAATTCAGCACAATTCCAGCAGAATGGACGACCCAAGAACCACCTCACCCGCTGGGAAATCCACCTGCCTGGTGCCAAGGTACAAGTCGAGGTGCCGACACCCGGATTCAAACTCTGCCCCGGCCACCCTCCGAACGCCCTGCCACGCTGCCTCTCCTCCACCACCCACCACGATTGGCCACATTTGCATCCACCAGGACCGGTGGGTCGGCGGGTAGGGCTGGAAAGCCTGGGGAGGGGGACAGGGGGCCAGTGACTCTTACTAAGGCCGTGAAAGCATTTTCGCCCTCCATCCAGGCAATTTCACTCCACAACACCTATGCAAAGCACTGAGCAGCCCACCATCTCCACGAGAAGGAACACCAAGCCACCAAGAACAAAACTAGAATGGGCTGAGCTCCCTGTTGACCTGAAGAAAGCGCACCCCAGCGCTCTCATTCCATCCAACTAATGGCACCACCTGGACACGGCCATGGCACTCCCTGAAAAGAAGGACCACCACCGGTCCGAAGAAAGATTCAGCTTTTTTTCTTCTGAAACCCAGAACACCATCAGCTCGCCAACCTGGGACGGACTGTTTCCGTCCGGAAACTTGGACCACATCTTCCAAGAAAAGACGAAGCAGCGTCCGGACCCGTCTCGACCCGTCTGGTGGTTCGATGTCCGCGATGCCACTGAAGAAGACGTCTCGCAGGTAGCGCAGGCGCTCTCCATCCACCCGCTGACGGCCGAGGACATCGTCATCCACGAGCCGAGAGAAAAGGTCGAGGTCTTCAAGAACTACTACCTGATCTCGTTCCAGACGCTGGTGGATAATCCGAAAGAAGAAGCTGAACGTCCTGGTTTCCCTCATCCGGCGGAGATCTACATCCTGGTTTTCCAGTACGGAGTTGTGACCTTCTCGCCGAGCGGCTGCCAACACATTACCCGCGTGCGGGAACGGATTCGAAAGATGCACGATCCGCTGATCCTGTCCAGTGACTGGATCTGCTATGCATTGATGTACGTCACCCCGACCCCAAACTTTTCCAAGAAAGTCAAACTAACTCTGTATCAGCGACGACATCGTCGACTGCTTCGAGCCCTACACACGCGCAGTCGAGCAAGAATCCGAAGCAATCGAAGACCAAGTCTTCATCGCACGAATCGACGACGTAAAAGCTCTAATCCCATCCGTCGATGCCCTCCGCAAGAAAATCACGCACATCATCCGCTGCCTGCACGGGAAAGTCGACGTGCTAAACGGCTTCGTGAAGCGGTGCCAAGCACCGGATCGACTGCCCGTGTTTCCGGACGGCGAGTTATTGATGTACCTGGGCGATGTGCAGGACCATCTGATCACAACTTTGTCGACGCTGGGCCATATTGATGAAATCATTGGTCGGTCGCAGGGGAACTGTCTGGCGCAACTGAGTGCGACGAATTTGAGAGTTAGTTTGACCATCAATTCGGCGTTGAGTAAGGTTACTGTCATTGCGACGATTTTTGTGCCGTGTCATTTGGTGACGGGTATGTGGGGAATGAATGTTGAGGTCCCCGGGCAGAATGATGATGGGCTTGGGTGGTTTTTTACGATCGTTGGTTGCTTTGTTGCGTTTATGGTTGTTTGTATGGGTGTTGCGGCTAAGTTCAAGTTGCTCTGATTGATATTGCAGGGCACTGGTCGATAGAATTGGTTGGATGTCTAGAAATTATATTCTTATTGGTGGTAATGAACCTTCCTATATCAGTCATGTTCTTCGTTATGGTGTAGCAGCTGTGCGGACTCGGCGTGGCGTTGAGTATGTCGAATATCAAAGTCAAAGTTCAGCTCCCCAACAAGCTTTTTCACATTACTGCAAATAATTATTTGTCACGCAAGATTCTGAGAAATGTTGGGGCAAACTTACCCAATGAGATCCTGCAAGCTGAAGCTAACAACAGATCTCAGTACCTCAAGCGAGACAAAGGCCGAAAAAGCAGGATCCTCAATATGTCGAATACTCAACAACTCATCATCAATCTTCTGCATCTGCCGCGCAAGTGGGAACGAATCCGGCGTGGACAGGTACGGAGGCAGGGGCTGCGAGTTCATGATAGCAGCTGAAAGATGGCATAGCAATGACGTGATGCGATGCGAATTGAAGTCCGCCGACTTGAGCGCTATCTCCGCCAACCTCGCCATCCACTGCTCATTACCGTCATGACCCGAATGCTCCGACTCTATAGCAAGGGTATCCAGACCTTGTGTGGTATGCGCCATCAGCGACATACTCGTCAGAATCTGCTGAATCTCGCCGATGATATTATCGTAGATCTGCTTTGGGAATTTACCCCCGATCGGCGGCTCGAATATGCTGAAAAGACTGTGCATTCGCAGTTCGGTCAGAAGCATCATTTCCTCTTTGAAGATCTTGTGTCGGGAGACGAGGAGCTGGTGGCCTGGTGATGTCTTGTCGTCTGCATTTCCCAGGTCTCCGGTAAACCAGAGCTCGATGGTTGTGTGCATGCAGCTATAGAACTTGGCGAGGATAAAGAGACTGCGGCCGAGGAGCTTGCGCAGTTGCGATTTTGCTGTGATCGGGTAGGGGAAGATCACCCAGAAGAATGAGATGGCGCAGCCGGCCGCGACGGCAGCTAGTTTGTATGGTCCGAAGAGGTAGATTTGGTAGTAGGGTTGTCCGTTCGACTCTGCTGCAGTTACCCCAATCTTTTTCACTTGCAGTTCGTAGCCGACAATGACGTCTAGTGTGACGATGGAGATGACCGCTGCTCCGAAGTATTGAGGTACTTTCACGTAGAAATAGTACTATGAATGCGTTAGCGTGAGCCCTGGTCATCTGTAGTGCAGGACATACCTCGAAAACGTTAGCAAGGTACAGAAACACAATCACACCAGCCGTCTTTCCGTCAACGATATACCATACGATCAGACTCAGAGCAAGCGAAATGACAGTTGCCGCTATACGGACGACAAATCCGAACATGGTCTGTCCACTGGTCGGGTTCATCTCGATGACAATGACGATCATTGCCCAGATGCATCGCTGTCGAATGAAAAAGTCCTGTGTCTGGTGCAGGTAGGCAAGAATGCCAACCGAGAACGAAGCCGCCGCCACACGGAATCCAAACGTGCTCTGATCCGACTTGAGCGAGTGAGAAATCTTACGCAGAATAATACTCCCCTTCTCCCAGGCTTTTTCTGGTGGCAGATGTTCCGGGTCAGGAAACCCAGTCGATAGTTCATCGCGAAGGATATTTGAAGGGTCAAAATGCGAGGACTGTCTGCTAGCCGACGGGCTTTGGCCATCCTTCTTGCCGATGTTCAAGGATAACCATTCTCTCACAGACTTTGGCTTCGGAAAAATCAACCTGCCGCGCGCCATCGTCCCATCCTGCACCTTCCTCTCCGCAAAAGGAACCAATCTCAGCGTGGCCGACAGCAAATCATCCTGTAAATGACCCATGTACAGAATCAAGAAGAATTCCTGTCGCACATCCGGATCCGTAGAGAAAACACTCTCCCCTTCAACATGTTTCTCGGAAAATGCCTCGAGGCTCGCCAGCGCCTCGGGCAGCTGTTTCCTCCGCGAGTAATAAGCATGCAACTCCCCCTCAAAGCGTGACGTAAACGTGCTCTGGCCAGGACACAACCTTTCCCCCCTTGCTTCCTCGTCCCAGTCCAGCACCCCACGATGCGTCTTTTTCTTGGCCAAATGCTTAGCCGAAATAAGCTCCAGGGCGAGCAAAAAATGCTCCAAGCCAAGACGAACCAGACAAGCAGCATCCAGGAGCCGCGCGTGGTGCGTCTCCACCACTTTCACCATCTCATTCGAAATTTCCCCTAGATCAGCGCGATCCGCACGATCCTGATTCCGGCTCTTTTGGAGAAAGGGACCCTCACGCGGGCTCCCATTCTTGACGATCATCTCCAGAATCTCCGGCAACATGGACATTCCAGAGAGAGGGAGCAGAAGAGACCGGAAAAGCGAGGCGATATCACTCAGATCCACGGCTGACAGTTTCCCCCACGCGATCTCGTCTCTAGAGTAGAACACATCAGCGTGCAACTTGATGTGCAATCCATTGAGCTTCGTCACAGACCCCTGCAGCGCCTTAACCTTCGACTGCAGATCTGTCTCGCTCTGTCCCGCGGGACCCTGATTCACCCCGGTGCCTGCATCCGCGTCTGCATCCGCGTCCGCACTCTGCATATTACGGCCCAGGGCGGGCCGTGCATAGTGAAGAAAGCCCCTGCTGAAGATCCCGCCGGCCGCTGTACAGTCTGCGAGCGCAATTTGCGATTGGAGAACCCCTTCGACGGCGTCGACGTACTCTCACATCGTGGAAGACATTATCTCGACTCGTAATTGGTAAAATCAAGAGTGAGACACCGGTCGCGATGGCGAAGCCGATCATGAATCCTTTCAGCAGGCGGGAGACGAACTCGAGTCCCTCTGCTAGGGAGGTGAACATGCCGGCGCGGGTAATTGTGACAGAGGCGAAGATAGAAAATGCAACCATTGGGTCTTGCAGCTCCATTGGCTTCAGTGCGCGGAGGGAGTTAGCACCCCTGCGTTATCATTAGCGTGAAGATCCATCTTGATGTTCTCGAATTGGGCCATCGTACCAAATCATGAAGATTAGCCAAATGGCCGATACGGCGCAGGCATCGCTATTATAACCCGTTCGAACAGCCTCACTCGCATCCGGTGACGTAGTATGCTCTCTCGCCTTGACAGCACAGAAAACAGCGAGACAGCAAAGAGAGGCAGAGACACACGTAGAGAGCAGGTCGAAGAACATGATCTTCATGAACTTTGCTCGAGGCATCAGGCCCTGCGAGAGGACAGAGATCAGGGCCGACAGGTACCCGATTGTCGATGTGATGTCTGAGATCGCATTGCTCTGGTATCTGGTACTTGTGAGTATTTAACCAGGCCATGCGATTACGGAGTCGCATACATGGCGATGGTAATGGTTGGAGCCAGCGCTCCTTTCAGCATCATCAAGACACTGTGGGAGTCCAGATCGAGGTATTCCCACCATTTTTGAGGGCTGATCCACCTATTGTCATGTCAGCATGTCTCACGAATCATATCTCTTGGCATAGCTACCTGTTCCTCTTGGCTTGAAGTTCCGAATCCTTGGACACCATGGCGGCTCAACACGATCCAAATGCATATCCTGCAGCATCCAGCTGGCACCTTCGAACGGGGCAAAAGTCAGAAACGAAAAATAAGTAGCCCCAGGGGATGAAATTTGCAGATTGCTCTCGGTGCTCAAACTAGCGGCGCATTCGGATCGGGATGCCGTGCGACGCGATCCGTACCGAGCCAAGTGCCGATGGGGCAACGGGGGAGAAATATCGGTCTTCTGCCACTCATGCAGGTTCCAGGGGCTCCTTAAAGTGGAATCAGGGGCCTCTTGAATGTTTTTGAGATGGCGGCAGTTGTCGCGGCAGACACGAACGGATTCGTATGGTCCGGTCGTCACGTGAGGGTACGTGCTGAACTATAACTCTATGCTACACATTTTCGATCAAGGAGCACTCAAATCTGGTTTATTCATGAGTCCTTCCTCCGTCTGACCCTTTTTCGTGGTCGATGTGGGTCTCTTTGTTTGGTTGGCTTTTCCCTGCCTCCGCATAGAGCGACACGAGCGAGAGCTTCCGCATACGCGAGCCCTGCAGAAAGCGGCGACCAAACACAGAGATAGCCGTGCACTGTGGAGCAGCCACCGGAGTATATCGATTGTCCAAGGATGCCTGCGAACCCTCCTGTGTATCTGTCTCCTGCATGTGATACAGCGAATAAAGTCTCCACAATGATCTCCGCGACCGAAGTCGCAGTTGGGGCTCATCCGGGTCCTTCGTTTCCGCGTTCTTCTTGGCCTGGTCTTCGTGAATCCACTTTTCCTTCAGGCGGGTCAAATCGGTTTCGGCCCGCTGGAGCTCTTCCCGAAGCTCCATCACCTTTCGTTCTTGGGCAGCGATGGCAAGTAACGGCGGTGGCTTGGGCTTTACCTTTTTGGCGTGCGCGCTCATACTGCTGTGGTAGGAGACTTTGTGGGTCGGGAGTGCGAGGCCGCTGAGGCTTGACATCGAGCTCTGGTGCACTAGCGTAAACGACCTCGAGATTCCTGCTCTTTCATGTTTGTCTGCCACACTACAGTGGTTTTTTGGGTGACCCTGTACCTGTTCCGCAATACTAGATGGTATCTGGCCTTCAACACCAAAATGCGTTCTGAAAGATCACAACACATTTTCAATTTACCTTACAAATATGATGCAAGTATTGTTGCTTAGTAGTGTATGACATATTGGAGAACTGTATGATTTATTTTCTGTTTTATCTCCCTGATTCGGGTTGAATGAGCATAGACAAATATATCTGCGATTGGCAGCTTTCAATGTGCCTTCGCTACAGTACACTATATAATTGTCGCGTGAAGGCAGCATATCTATCCTAATATGATCCTCGGGATAATGGTAAAGAGATGTCAATCTATAATTAGGCGTAACACACCTGCAGCCCTATCATGGCCGGGCTGTACACCGACGCCGTGACTCATTCCCAATCCGTGGCTGTTCCGCCACAACACCGCCACAGCCCGATTTGATGCCGCGTCCACTTTTTCCGCCGAGAGTCGACCACTCACCATCGCCATTGCCAGTCACAATGGCCCGTCCCCAACGAATTGGTTACCGGAAATAGCACGGAACCAGCCAGAAAGAGATCTCCAGTTCGAAATCTGTGAAAGTGGACAGCGTGCACGATCAGACTGGATAACTAGCCGTGACATCATGCAGAAGACACTAGACGGGATGTGCGCTTGGCTTGCTGCACTCTTCGCACTGGCAGTGGGCTCGCGACGAGTGAGGCTTTGGCTCGTCGTATCAGATAGCTGGGTACGAGATCCGGGCGGAGGTGGGCCGGAGATAGAGAGGCGAAAAGGGATTCCTCCCTCCCCCGTGCAGGTAGCACTCAAGGTAGCTATCACAACGGCAGAACACAGCGTAGACACGGCAGACACCCGAGACTAGGCAGACAAAGACGCGTCGGGTTGTTCTTTGTGTAGCGAAGGTGAGACCGCAGGTGAGAGGGCGAGACCGTGCGCTCATCAGTGGACCTACACAGCGAGTGGAGCCGGGCTGTCTGCGAGGGCACCCTGGACGATCCTAGAAACGCGTGTTCTAGAAGTAACACAGTCGACAACGGGAGTGACATCAGGATGGATTGTTGCTGACGAGGCCGGAATGCGCCTGTCAGAGCCTCGTCAACATTCGCCGATCGACAGCCCTACCGACGCTGTTGGCAGGACCCGCGCAGGGCGATCCCAAGACGATCCACGGACGTGAAACTCGGCCAAGCTGCCAAGCGGATAAATAAGCCTGCTTGTCCCCTGAGCTTCTACCGCCTCTCCAACTTTCGTCACTGCCTCCCCGTCTAGGTGTGCTTGCCTAGAATACCACGACTGGTTTTTTGAAATACATGCGTAAGTACACGACTGTTCCTCGCCGAGGTCACCCCGTCATGCTAACCACCCTTCCTGTTGCTGCAGACCGGATTAATTCGTGGGCGAAAGCTCACGCATCCTCTCGCGACCCTCAACCTGTCAAAAGGACCGCCAGCCAGATCCTCGAGACGGTCCCCTCCACCGAGAACACCAATGTTGAAGTGAAACCCCCTGAGGGCCCCCGGGGCCCGCGTCCGCGTCCGATGAGAAACCCAAAGAGAAACCCAGTCTGCCAGTGCGCATGCGAAATGGCACCATCCGCTTCTCCGCGCATACCAAGGAGGCCCTATGCCACAGCTGGGTCAACGTCCTGCTGGTCTTCGTACCGGTGGGTATCGCCGTCAAGGCAGCCGGCCTCAGCCCGGCCATTGTCTTTGCGATGAACGCCGTGGCGATTATTCCCTTAGCCGGTCTACTGAGCCATGCCACAGAGAGTGTGGCCAGCCGTCTGGGCGACACGATCGGTGCCCTGATTAACGTCACCTTTGGTAACGCCGTCGAACTGATCATCTTCATCATCGCGCTCGCAAAGAACCAAATCCGCATTGTCCAAGCTTCTCTGCTTGGCTCTATCTTGGCAAACTTGCTGTTGATTCTTGGCATGGCCTTTCTCTTGGGTGGACTCCGTTTCCAGGAGCAGGTGTACAATAACACTGTCACTCAAATGAGCGCCGTTGTGCTCAGTCTGGCCGCCTCGTCTTTGCTCCTGCCAACAGCCTTCCACGCCTCGTTCAATGACAGCGACAGAGCTGACCTGGAGACACTCAAGGTTAGCCGCGGTACAAGCGTGGTTCTCCTGCTCGTGTATATCCTCTACATTATCTTTCAGTTGAAATCGCACGCCTACCTCTACGCCAGCGTTCCCCAACGCATCATCGATGAGGAGTCGCACCCCGGTGTCTTGGCTGAATTTCTGGACAGTTCCGACTCTTCGTCCAGTTCCAGCGACGAGTCTGACAACACCACGGCGTCTCGATCTACTGCAAAGCGTATCAGACAGGCGATCAGCAACCGTCGCCGCCGCAAGTCTAGTACCAGCACGACTTCCAAGGGAACTGCCTCGCGGCAATCCATTAGGAAACAAGTAATGATCAACGAGACCCAGGGCTCCGTTGGAAACTCCATCGGCAGCAACAACTCCGTCGCCATGGCCGATGATGAAGTCCACTACGATGCCGACAACGATCTGAACAATGCATCGACTGAATTCCGTTCTCGCGACTTCGGTCAGGCTCTCAGTCGTAGTGGTACTGCGCAAAGCGAACCCCCGAAACGCCATCGCAAGAAGCACCGGTCCAAGCGAGCTGAGAAAGCCGCAGACAAAGCCCAGGCCCAAGCTCAGGCGCAGGTAAACCCGCAGATGCAGGCAGCCAACGTTCAGGGAGCCCGTCCATCGATGACCGGCGCAGCGTCTTTTCCGAACTTCGCGGGCATGAGTGGTGCCGGTGAGAACGAAGCACAGCGCAAATGGTCTCCCTTCGGCCCAATTCCTTCTCTGCTGTCGAACACGGTCTTCAGCTCGCAGTCCCCTGCCAACTCGCCGCATCTCGGCCCCGGGGCGGGCCCCAAGCGTCCTGGAATGGCTCGCAGTAACTCTCTGCCTGCCCGCGTTAGTCGTTCCCCGCATGTCGGTAATGCCGTGCAGTTCGCTAGAGGCGCTGCCCGGGTCACAGAATCCCTGGACCCTGTCGCACCGGATCAGCCTGCTCCTACCCAGGTGTCAGAGATGTCGCGTACTGCCGCCGTCGTCATGCTGTTGCTGTCCACCGGTCTCGTTGCTATCTGTGCCGAATTCCTGGTTGACGCTATTCCCGAGATGATTGCCAGCTCGCCGGTCAGCGAGGCCTTCATCGGTCTAATTATCTTGCCCATTGTCGGCAACGCTGCCGAGCACGTGACGGCCGTCAGCGTTGCGAAGAAGAATAAGATGGATTTGTCCATTGGTGTCTCCGTCGGCAGCAGTATTCAAATTGGTGTGTTTATCTTTTCCCGGGAGAGCTGGGCTTATCACTAACTCTACTACTTGTAGCTGTCTTTGTCACGCCGCTTGTCGTCATCCTGGGCTGGATCATGGACAAGGACATGTCCTTATACTTCACCCTGTTTGAAACCGTCTGTCTCTTCGTTGCTGTCTTCGTCGTGAACTTCCTGGTTCTCGACGGTAGGAGTAACTACCTTGAGGGCGCCCTTCTCATGGCTGCGTACATCATCATAGCGTGAGTGTTCTATACCCCCTTCCCTTTTGAATATTGACTGACTCGTCTACCAGGCTGGGCGCGTTCTTCTACCCCAATGACCCTGAGGCCGGTCCCTTGGCCGGCACGTCGACTTAGTCACCCCAAGTACTCAACCGGAGCTGTCGCTTCCCGAATCGTCGGTCTCTTCGATACCGGATCGGTCCATCTGCAGCGGTACTACTGTCGTTGCGACATTGCTCTCCTCGCTCCACTTCCGTGGCACTGTAGGAGTTTTTTTTTTTTTTTTTTTTTCTTCCATTTTTAATATTTTTTACTATTTATTTCACGTGATATCACGTTTTGCAAGGTTGGTATGCCCAACAAATGAATATACTATCGCTACACAGGGGAGCATCGACTCCCCCTTCCCCTAAACTACTCTCCATTCTCCTATTCCAATATATCTCCGTAAAACCAAACCCACCTTCCCCACAATTCATCCAACCGCCAGGATCAATCCATTTTCTCCCCACTGTAACTCTCTGTCGGGTCCTCAGGGGCTGTAAGCGCTCACTCCGAATCCTGGCGATACGCAGTTATGACTCAATTCACCCTTGAATTTCTCTCGTTTCGCGTCTTCCGGACTGGTACGGAATGATTCGGACTTTGGTCCACCCCCGGGCAGTTGAAATCGCTGATAATGTAACTGCGCCACGTGTGCCACTCCGAGTGGCTGTGTAACCGAGCCACAGTGGCTCTCCGCTTGTCGACGTGTTCGACAGTGGGGTTGCGGCGGGTTGTGTTGGCATGCATGGCATGGGCACTTAATCTGACATGGCTGGCCCTACGGCCCTACCAGGCACATCCGCTCTTCCTGGCCGTGGCTGGTGTCTACCTCAGGAGTCGTGTCCTTACTGTCTGGCAGCTCAGCCCCTGATATGTAGGAGACAAGCTTTGGGGACGGGAAGGGCCGATCGTTCCAGAGATCGACCTCCTTCCGCATTTTTACCTGTTCTTCATGGAAAAGCACATCATGTTTGCGATGGCATTCTGTTCACTTCCAACTCTTGGCCGCCGGTAGTATCCTTGGCGCCTAGCATTGATTGCATCTCGTTTCATTCAGCTGGGAAATGACTGGCCCCGAGCGGTTGTCACTTTCTGTCATTGACCCACAGCTGCGACCGGCCGCAGATCATCAACAGTACAATCTACTCTCATTCTCACCTCCGTACGCTGTCAATCTGACCTTCGTCCCAACCACAGCTCCCGGCAAGGGTTTCACGAATTGCTCTGCCTAGTTCATGCTTGTTCGGCGCTAAAAAGTGGATCGGAGGTGGGGGAATGTTTCGTTCGGTTCTGGGCGGAACGGCGATATACAAATCCACTCCAGCTCACTAGCAGAGACTAGGGAGTAGAGGGCAGGTGCCTGGTGGTACCATCTCATACTAATTAGCCTTCACTGTAATAAATCCCTCTCCTATCCTATTTAGGGGTCCTCCCCACACCCAACATAAAACAGCCCCTTCCCCCCAACTTCCGTTCTCTCTCACATTACCACCTCACACGCCATGGCCTACTACGGAGGAGAACCCTACAACCGCCCGCCCCCAGGGCCCTACGACCAACCCTACCCACCGCAGGGAGGCTACGAACGCCCTCCCTACGAACGCGGCCCATACAGTGCCCCTCCACCGGGCGCCCGACCCCCGGCCAACCCACCACCACCACTCCCGGCCGGCTGGCACCAAGAATGGGAGCCCAGCACCCGCCGCGCATTCTGGGTCGAGGATGCCACAGGTCGTTCGCAGTGGGAGACACCCTACGGACCGCCGCCCGGCCCACCCTCCGGCTACTACGATGGGTCTCGCAGCGTGCCGCCGCCCGAGCCGGCTGGTGGATACTATGCGCCGCCCCCTGGTCCTCCACCGATGGGCTACGAGGAGCGCGGGTCCTACGGCGGCGGGTATGAGCAGCCGCAGGAGGAAAAGAAGTCCAGCAACGCGGGCAAGTATCTGGCGGCTGGTGCAGCCGGTCTCGCGCTGGGTGGTATCGCCGGCGCGGTGATTGAGCACGAAGTTGGTAAGTTACACCCCTTTCCTTTCCTTTTTCTTTTTCTTGTTGGTAGCATGCAACCCAAGCTTTAATTCATCTACCGGTCTAAAACCTGATACTAATGACTTCAGAATCCGACCGCGAGTCCGACCAGGAGGAGGAGCTCCAAGAGGCGCGCCGCGAGGCGTACGAAGACGGCCGCGAAGACCAGGCGGAGTACGACGAGGAGTACTATTAGAAGAAGTCACTATCCTCGCATATCTCCAGTATGTTTGCGAATCTCCGGGGCGGCGATAGACTGGCCTCGGACGAGCACTTCCCCGAGCTAGAATACGATAGTGATCAGGCCGGTTAGTTGCTGTATGACCCGAAGACATCAAAGTACCTGGACTTTGAAGCTCTCATCGACATAAGTTCACCTTCGCCGAAGTCCAAGACAGGGTTGACCTTGCTTGTGCACGGATTTCGTTCTCACTGGCGATTTTGTTAGCTTTGCTTTCATTTTACGGATTTTAACAGGGATTTTGGACTGGGATGCTTGTTGGCTCCTGTGGGATGTTCTTAGGTTGCAATGCACTTATTCCCCTCCAGCGACTGAGCTGCTGTATCCTGTGTAAATTATCTAGATTCATTGACCATCAAGCCGTAAGAAATAATGTCATAGCTGGATGATTATGGAAAATTTCAGAATGTCAAATCTGCATCTCATACAGTACTGCTTCTACAAGTGAGAACGCAATAGGGAGATGGGGGTAAAAAGAATCATAGATGACTTACCTAGGCCTGTGATAATGATAGATGGATAAGAATAGAGTGAGTATGGCTAGTAGGTAGTCAAATGAACAGCATCAGTTCAGAAAATCCTCCGAACGAGGGTCGAGGAACCGAAACAAAAACGAAAAGATTGACCAGAAGATGACTTACCTAAATTTCACCGCGCAAAGGCAGGCAAAGAAAGATAGGCGGGACGAGCCCAAGGTCAGAAACACCGTGACGGTGCAGGTGATCCTCAGGGAGGATCATAGGCGGGCACGAAGGCGACTGCGATAGCGAGGAAGCCGTCCCTCCACGAGGGTCACGCAAGCCCAGAAGACCAAATCCAGCGCATGGATAGCTAAAATGAACATGAGGCAGAACTTGGGGTCTTTCCAGTAAGGCAACTCGATAATGAAGGTGATCATGTCCCCAATAGCCTTACGGCCGAAGATGAAGATCGTAGCCAGGTCAAAACCGAGGATTGCGATAGATCCCATGAAGCAATGACGTGCGGTACAACCATGCATCCACTTGCCCAGGTAGGTGTCGACGGTCCAGTAGAAGGTGCATTGGACGAGGGCAACGACACCCACGGAGGCAAAGAACAGAATCGGGTGACCCCAGCCGGTATGGGGGGAGAGGTTAGTGGTAGCTTTCCAGCCGTAGACTCCGACCATGAACGCGTAGTAAACCGCGAGGATGAGGGAAACACGCTTCAGATACGCCAGGAGGGGCACATGGGCACGCTTCTCGTGGGTATAGTAGTCGTCGAGGGTGAAGGTTTTCTTAGTGAGCGACATCTTGTTCGAAGCGGACGTGTTGGTATGGAAAAGGTGGTATGGAGTTTCTGTGAAAGAAGTTGTGGAGGGGGAAAACAGAAGCAGACGGGAGGTAGTTAATACGTGAGCGGCGCGTGCCTGCCTCGCTGCCTACGGCGGTCTTAAGCGAGTGCCGTTCTCATAATCACTGGCAGAACAGGCAGGCATGCCTCGCTGAACACCCTCCTGACTCATCCAGCTGTCGTGTCTGTACTCTATCTCTTTAAATCCATCCTTTCCCTTGGGCAGTACCTCGCAGAACGTGCGCTTCTAAACAAACCCAAAACACCAACTCAAGAACCGAACAACGCATGTTCCCATTCAAACAATTCAACGAAGGGTTAGACTAACAACAACCCAGAAACGAATGGACTTAAGATGATCAGACGCACTCCTACCTTCATTCCAATTCCTGAGGCCGAGATCAGGGACGAGCTTCACAAAATCAAGCTGGAGACGGGCATGGAGCTCGAGATGAGCGACTCGGACTCCAATAATCCCAGTGAAGTGAGCGAACTCAGCGAAGAACCAGCGCCAATCCGGAATAAAGAAATTTATGCTGAGTGGACCCCGAGAACTGGACTCTACGACCTTCGTACGAACGACGCTGCCGGTCCCGCTGCCTTTCTCACCAAACAAAGCCCCAGCACCGAGAAAACACCCGAACAGACAGGAGACCCAGGGCCTAAGCCCCTGGCCGTTCAACTGGGTCGCAGGAGAATCACAACGCCTCTTTGAACTTTGAGAAAGTGAATGAACTGCTGCGAGATGAGAAACAGAAAATGGCAGTGGCTGGGTCACAGGAGAAAGACAGTGCCTCATTGAACAGCAAAAAGGAGGATGAGCGGCTGTGAGGCGATCCGTGAAGAAGGACATTGGAGAAGTAGCTGAAAACCGAGATGCAAAAGGCGGAAGTGGCTATGGGGCTGCGACATAGCAGCCAAAAAAGGCCAGTTGAGGGTTCCTTACAAGATATGTAGGTGGATTATGTCGTCTGAGTAACAATCACTGCGACTCTGCTCATTTATTTTGGCATGTATTGACTTTCAAGGGGGAAGGCTCATCTTTCATCAGGCTGGATGGTGAGTTACACTTCCTTTTACTCTTTCTTTGAACTTTGAAGGCCTTCTAGCTTGACCATTCATGGGACAAACGGCTTCGTAACTCTTTATATGGATACAGAGACAGATGGCAGATGTAATTGTAAAAAAAAAAAAAAAAAAAAAAAAAAATTCTCTATTGTAGCTTTGAAGTAGACCTAGAACTCTCCAACGCAGCTTGACGGATTGAACCGTTTGTACCTTTGTATTTGCTGACGTTTTGCCATCTATGAGCAATGAAGCCAATGGTGAAGCCTAGAAAGACGGTTTCTGTGACGGTTTCTGTCTTCCGATACAATCAATACAAACTCTCAGCAGACAGAGCATATGCTTCCAAAGGGTATTTACTGACGGAAAATTTGCTGGAAGCAGTCATGTTGATACTGTTCACAGATATTGAGTCCCTGGAGCTGAATACTGCCCTCCCTATAAGCCTTCGGCATCTCTATAGTGCCAATTGGAGGACGATAAACCCTGTAGGATAGGCTAGGCCAGTATTCAACGTATCAGGTTCAAGCTCTTTGTTCACTGAAACTCAGCTGCTCATGAAGGAGAAAGATCATTTTATCATAAGGTCATGATATATCCTCGCTTGCTCCTTTGGTAGGCTGTTTCACATCTTGTTTTAGCTAGTCGTGGAGGTAGTCGGGCCCGAACAAGCCAGCATCAAGCTAACCCGGCGTACAGTGCTCAAACATGGCTCTCTCCACTGACCCCGATGCCGGGATGTATATCACGTCTCTCAGTCTAGATTTTGTAGGCCCCAGGGAGCATTTGGCAAATTGATTGAGTGCTGAGCACACTATCACATCGGGAACAGCAGATCGGGTAGGCAGGTAAGCCGACATCGACAAGACTCGAAGTGTACTCACATTGTGTTTATAGTTGACGTGTCCCTTCAAAGTCCCAGCTCTTCTAACATGTATGCGCGTTTCTTACAGTGAGCTGTCAAGTTGGCCGAGCTGGGTTCTTCGGGGTGGACTTGCTTGGTAATTAAGTTTTGAGGAAGAGGGTCATCGACAAGTTCTCTGTGGATCCTGGTGTAGTGGAATAGAAGGCCTAGTGGGTGCAAAAAGTTGTCAGCTGTGCGAAGAGAAGCCGTGAGGGGCACTGGAATAGAGTAATTCTTGGGAATGTCGACAGAACTAACAACGGTCTCTTCAGCTCTTTGCAAAGCATGAAAATACCCCAGGAAACGGATCATTCAGTACCCGCGAAGGTCATTGTCGTTGTGAGCTGCCGGGTGGCCTGAGAGCAGTTCAGTGGTAGCCAGGCAAACGCGTCACACCAGGGTATAAATGAGGGTCTCCAACCTCTCCACTAATTTTTCATTCCCTCATCTCCACACCTGATCTTACTCAGTGTCTGCGGTACCCCTTCTCGTCTCTCTCTACCTGACAGCACCCTGCACAGTGAGAGATTCTCGATCTTCTCATGTTGTTTAAACTGTGCCAGTAAGAGAGGCATAATTTACAGGAAAATTTTTCTTCAAAGAACACCATATTACTGAAACTGGTATGAAATGCGACACCAGGAGATCACGAATCACGGTATGTAGACAACGCTACGGCACGCCCACATCCGCAAGGATCGGGGGAATTCAATGCCTGATGTGTCTGAATCGTACCAAAAGTAGAAGCAGTTAACTTTTTGAGATTACACTGCCAGTGTGTAAGCCCGAACACGCTCTGCGACATCCCAAGTAGTGACTTTGCGAAGAGCTCGGTTGGTGGTGGGCTTGGATGCTCATCCGCAAGGATCACGGACTGCCTATTCAAGCAATGAAAGAAACACACCGCCTGTTAATTATTCAATGTCAATGAGTCTTCATGCGTACGAGTAGGTAAATAAGTAACAGATTCACGCACCTACAGCTGCGTCGCGCAAGAATATCTTCACAATTACGCACCTCCGTCCTGTGAATCGGCCAACGGTCCATCAACGACCCCGCGTACAGTCCCCTTCTCCATCCTCGAGCCACCGGCTCAAGTGTTGATGAAAAGGAAGCCGTGTCACTGTGACAGGTTGGTACCAAAAATTGCCAGACGATGCAACAGGGGCGGGGGAACTTAGAGGGAAAGGAGTATAGGGAAGTTCTGGAGGAGAAGTCGGCCTTCATTTATGTTGCCTGATCAGCTGACACGGAAGCAGCGGGTAAATGATGTAGAGGTGAGCCTGCTGAAACGGGAAGGCACGCTCTCTCACGCAAACATGAGGCATCCTGGCTTTCTGCGAAAAGACAGCAGTATATGCGTGCTTCCTGGGGAAGGATATCAAGTCGTACGCCACTGCTGCTTTGCTGAACTGATAGATTGCTTCTACATATGCCAAAGGTTACTCTTCAACGACCAACAAGAGATCGTATACCATAGTCTGCGTCGCCTCATTATGCACTCGGGGAGCTCTGTTCTGAATAACCCCACCACGAGACAGAGCTTCATTCAGATCAGTCAGATGTTGCCAAAGTTCCGAGTTCGTACAAGGAGGAATTGAACTGTTGAATGGAGATTGGAACAGAACGGGGTGTTATAGATAATCGTATGAATGTGAGCAAACTGGTATCTGCTCGCAAAGCCGTTACAAGGTAGCCTGTTTTATGAGCAAGACTCGATCGAACGATGGAGCTTAGCAGCTCGCAGCAACTCCGTTGATATTCTGGACTCGAGGCGTAGGGATGGCGAAGGGATAATAATGTCACGGAAAGGTGTAGGGACACTGTGAATAAACATAATCATCATCTAACAACAAACGGGGGTTGCCATGCTTCACAAACAGCTTCTAATTCACCAAATATTGTCTTACACTCGTGGGCGTGGTAGAACGTAGTTATACATCGCCAGCCAAATCCACCGGCGAACAATCTGGAAATTCTCGTAAGTGGTATGGACATGGAGATAATCGGTATCCATGGCGAGGGTATCGTCGTCGAGGATATCTTCGGATTCCCTGGCATCCTGTACTCGTTAGTATTCGCCAATAACAATGAGATTCAAGTGTGTACACTATTGGCTCATTTGGGCATGAGACTGGCATCCGTCGGCTCAATATCGTCCCATTGAAAGTATGTCAGTCCCTCAAAATAAATAAAGAACATCCCGGTGTAGAGAAGTTGATGTGTAGGCGGCCCCGGCCACGATGACCAATGAAGTGTGGCATGGGCTGTGCTGGGGCATTTATACTGCGGCACGACGACCAGCCTGGCCCTGGGCGCTCGAATGCGTGCATGTCATAGGGCCGCTGCTGCGTGTGCAGCTGCCAACTTCGAGACTTGGCGCTTCATTGTTTTGGTGTTGGGTTGACATGTGAACTTGGAGAGGGTCAGTGTCGAAAGAGGCGGGATAAGCGGCAGCGAGGATTTGTTATTGTCAGCGCGTCAATGGCCGCCATGGTCTGCTTGCGCCAGTTCCTGCCTACATCACCTACAACACTGGGTACCTGCCATTTATCATAGCATTCACTATTCACTTGCATTAATCTGAGAACTAGACTATTCCTCATTCGTCAATCCAGATCCACTGAACGCGTCGCATCAGATTGCAGTTTAATAGTGGTGGGAGCAGCTAGTCCAGAGGCAGTACCGGGTCCGTGTACAATAGACTGGCAATGAGCATCTCTTCGAGTAAACATAAACGTGAACATCAATTGGTATATCATAACACTCTTCGTTATGTGTAATGCGTGACAGCTAATATATACATCCACAATTTAGACGTGGTTGTCGTCACCAACTCCAAACCAGCATTCCAAAATGCAAATCAATAATTGTATGAGAAAGCACCCCAAATGCAATATCTCACGCCGTGTTTCAGGCGAGATCAAGGCTCAACCAACTGCTCATGCTCAGGGGCAGCTTTGCTAACTCTCCGACCATGGTTCTCCTTGCGCTCCGCAGCCAGCGAGGCAGCGAACTTGCTCTTGGCACGAATTTGTGGGCCCTTCCAGTAGAAGACGTAGATAGGAGCAACGACAACGCAAGACAGACAAGCAAGAACAGTGGAAGCGTACTCAACCTGCCACTTGTCTCCGATGTTGCTGTACATGGGGGTCGCGTACATAGCGGAGATACCAGCAAGCAGATCACGAGCGAAGGCGTTACCACCACAAGCAGAAGCAGAGTAAACACCATACGAAGCAATCATGTAATCAACTGAGGACAGATAAATCGCGTAGTTGGCGATACCGACCATGGTGGAGAAAATCATGGATGCGATCCAGGGGATACCGCGCTCCTTACCGAAGGAAGTCCACGCGAAACCGAACAGACCGATAGGTTCGAACGGCGCAAGCCACAAAAGCCATTTCATTCGACGCTCAGGTACCATCGCGTCGTCGCCCTTAGCCTTGCGGATATGTTCATCGCGCCAGAACCAGGGGAAGTACGTGAAGTACGTTATGAAGTAGGCAAGGTTGATAGGGATGACAGCCCAAGCCTGAGCAAGAATACCGAAGCCCCAGCCCTGCTCGTACACAACGGCGAAACTCTCCAGGAAGGTGAAGATGAGCGCATCGGAAAATCCGGAGAGCAGCGACAGACAGAAGACGATGGGCTCGGTGAGCAGCATGTGGAATGGACGCATCCAGATCTTGCCGGCCTCCTTCAGCGACACACGGGGCTTCTTCAGCTCGTTCGGACCGTAGATGTTGGGGTCTTCACCGGACTTGCGGCGGCGCTTGGCCTCCCTATCGAGGAGGATGGTGGAACGCGATTCGGGCATGAAGAAAATGATGGCCTGAGTGACGGCGCCGAAGATCAGTTGGATCCAAAAGAACCATTGCCAGTCAAGGACTAGAGACAAGAGATGTTAGCACGCGTCGTTGAAGCTATGAAGGACCAGACACTTACAGCGCTGGATGGGACCACCGATGACACCACCGATACTGGTACCGATACATGAGGACAAGACAATGAACGCGAGCGGGAACTGCTGCGTCTCCTGCTCGTAGATATCGGCAATCAGACCCAGGGTCACACTACCGCCAGCGGTAGAGATACCACCCTAAGACACGTCAGTAAATTGGAAAAGAAGTTTGCGATCGCAAGGAAGCGCACCAAAGCACGGGCAACAACAATGGTTCCCCAATTAGGCGCCAGGGCAGCAGGGATTTGCCAGATGTTGATCAGGAACATGGAGAGCTGGAGGATAGGCCAGCGACCGAACTCCTCAGACCAGGGCGCCCACAGCTCGCAACCAATAGAGTAGGTGACCAGATAGGCCATCTGACCTGTGCGCGCATGCTGCTCACTAATGTCGAAGGCAGCAGCAAGGGGCTTTATAGCATTGGGAAAGACCGAGGTGTTGAAGTTCATGGACACCTGCACGAAAGCGACAGCAGCGAGGTAGGACCATTTTTTCCAACGGGGCCAGCAGTAGCCCAGCTTCTCGTAGCAGTCCTCTTCCTTGAGTTCGCGCTTCTCATTCGAGGGAATGATGTCCTCGCGCTTTTCAGCGGAGGAAGTTGAGTCGGCCATCCGGGGAAGTCTGAAGATGGAGATAGTTGGTGTCAACTCCAGATTTTTTTTCCTCGGGCACCCCTTTCCTATATGTACGATAGGTCTAATCGGTGAACTGAGGAGGCTCCGAGTGCGAGGACCATCGTCATAGTCTCCAAACCGGATTTATAGAGGATCCATTTGATGTGCGGAAGGAGTGGGTGTGTGGACCCTCAAGTGGGTGCATCTTGTGCTAACCTTGTGCGTCCATCAGATAGTGCCTGGCCGAGTCACAGTCGCACTGTCCAGCACTGTCTAGTAGTTAAAGCCGAACAGCAATTCTCGGTCCAATTGATTGCTTCTCGACACTCGAACGCATCGCTACCATTCGGCGAACATTCGGACTCGCGGGCGGCGGAAAAACGCGCCCGAAAGGGTGGGCCAGAAATTTCGGGCGTGACTCTAGTCGCGAGATCAAGAACAGAACCAATGGGCTTGCCGGGAATTCCTCGGAAGGCGTTCGACCGTGAAGGGATGCACCGAGACCAATGATGACATGGGTGAACGACGGCACTGATAATGCAGCCATCCAGTGCATATTGCTGAATAGCGCCAAGGGAAGAGACGTACGGGAATGGCACTCGGCCCGATGGAAACTCAAACGAGGCAACAAACTACAGGTACGTGCTTTTTTTAAAAAAAAAAAATTAAAAATTTATGTTGGCAGTCAGATTTTGAGGTTTGTTACATCATACCGATTTTCGATCCAGGCCTTCAGACCCACCCGATGCTTGGTTGTCTCCACTAGCAAGTAAACCGATGGCACTGACGTCAGTTTCCGATTGACAACAATTGCCATCGTTCTCTGCTCGCACGTACGAGTGCAAATATTCCCACATAATTAAATATATTCTGCACCATTGGCCGTTGAGAATGACTGTATTATGCAGCGCTTGTGAAATGCTTAGTCAATTCGCGTCGTTGCCATGTCGGAATGGCGATTAAGTCCGACCGGATCAGACGATACTTCCGATGCTTTTCCAGTGGTGAGACTGCTTTGGCGCGGCATCGGGAGAACTGCGGACGATTAACGATGGCAATTCAACGCCACGTCGGAGTGAAGCGACTTAGTCAAGCACGGTATTCGATGTCGGATGCGAGTTGGAGAATCCGAGTTAGTCGGCCGAGCGAGGCAATATGAATATCCGGCAGGAGAGGACCACATCATGGTTTGGCCGCGAGACATCGCGTTTCAGACCTGGTAGATAAAGCTGGACCTGGAAATATACATGTAGCCGACAGTTACTGTAGTGTCTTTGATGGATCTGCTCCAGGAGGTTTCATCATTGTCGGGATATATTCTCCTGTCAGAACAAACTGGCTGTGACCCACTGCTAGCGACCGATGGATAACATCCCTTGCTTGGTGTACGCATTCTTGCGCTGGGCTGTGGCCTCGGTGTTGTGACCGCCGAAGGCCGGCGTGTGGGATCTAGGGGTGTTTTTCAACTAGACTGAACATCTATCTACATCTATCAACAAGAATCAATTGACTTTTGCTTTGGAGCATACACACTGTCCACTTAACTGTGTACACAGTACCTAGCTGGTGATACCAACAATCATCAACCTCCACTCGTTCTGAGCCCAGGCCTCGAAGTTTCTCCACCAAACTGGTTCACGTCGAACCTCCCGGTCTATAGAGTCTACAAGGAAATTCCTTGACGGATGAAAACAGTGTCGCCTTATTTGCCGAGCAGCGACTGCGGTCGAATCGGTTCAAGTTAATTCGAGCCTCATGACAACTAACTAGTGGTGCCTTAAACAGCATATCCACAGGTCGTTCCGCGGCAGATTTGGCTACGTTGACGGGCGTGCATTCGATCAAAATGTGATCCACTGTGTCCCAGTATGGCCTTCCGTAGTTTAAAGACAGATGGATTTTAAAATTGGGTAACCAGGAATTTGAGTCGCTCCCTCGTAATCAGAATAGCCATTTCCATTATTTGCCAAGCCACCCATCTGTTGTGGTCTGTTCCGTCGGCCTTCCCGTAACCATCAGAGTTTCCCAATTTTTACCAAGAATATTCTCGATTCATTTACGAAAGCCTCGTTGTTGGTGTCGAATGTTCCCAAGAATTCCAGAGGTCTAGACGCAATTGCGCAAAATGGCCTCTGTTCCTCTTGAAAGGTGTTTCTCCTGGAGGTGTGCGACCGATACTGTGGTTACTCTCCGTCACTGTGATGATTCCATTTGCAGTTGGCCCACAACCAAACTGACAGCCCTCTAGACAGATTGATGTCTCTCCCAGCTGCAGTTCGAAGCCAGTCAGTGTAGAAATCTCGAATCGACGGATTTCCACTCTGGCCATCGTGTGATTCGCCTGCATGAGCACGGCCTTGGCGTCGCACAGGCCTTCCCCGCATGACCCCAGATTCGCACTTGGCCAATTTAAAAACGCTCGTGTCCCCCCTTTTCCTCTTTTCCATCTTCCCTTCCCGACAGTCTGAGGGTAAAGTTGTCCTATTGACCGCTATCGCTGTGATTTAGGTATCCGACATATCCTGTCAACCTCGATTACCTCCTCACCCCGACTCCACAGCGATGGGCTGATACCCTGTCGGAAATAGCCCATCATACTGGACATGTGAAGACCCTACCTATTAAGCAGTCCTGCGGATCGTCTATCTGCTTCTATCAGAGACACCCGATCAATCCAACGGTCGTCATTCCAGCAATGTCCACAAGGAAGCTGTGGATCTCACAGCCTTACAGGATGGCACCAGTTCAATTGGCCACAGCGACTCTGATACAAACAGGCAGAAGATCTTGAGGAGATGGCCAATGTCGATCTGGGGGGCTTCAGTCGGCAGAGAAGATAGAAGGAATGTGGTGTTCTTGCGCGTCGAAATGGACCTCAAGCAAGACTATGATGACTCGAAATAAGATACTCTGCAGAACTTCCAAATGGTACCAAACCCCGGCGACGACAAGCTCCCACAATTCGCTTTTGTGCGGGTGTCGATTGCTGTTTGCCTCTAGATACCAAAATGAACGCAGACATCACAGCATGTTGACACGATCTCGATGTGTTTACATGAAAAATTGTCGGCTACATCTATCTACCGTTCAAAATTATCTGACAGATAGTTATATTCCACAACTAAAGGAAACGTTATCTTTGCTATTCTTCCTTCAGCGATATTTCGTGGTGCATTGTGTATACTCGAGATTATGTCATCGAGGGCACCCCTCTTGTAGAAAGGGAAGGAACGCGTCTGCCTCCCAGAGGGACTGAAAAGGAGCGACCATCATGCAAGCAACTCAAAAAGAATTGTCCGTACAGAAACTTTTCTTCATTTTCCTTCTCTCTTGCAAAACTTGATCATTGCTGTGGGAAACGCATTATCTGAGGTGTCTATATTGTTGTGGGCGTTCTTGTCAGCACTCTATCCAGAGCAAAGCACTTGATTTGAGGTGTTTATTCAGAGATCCCTTGGTTTACACTGTTTAACAGGTTGCGACACGCGGACACCGGATCACCAACACGGGCAAACGATGCTGCCAGTGTGAATGGATTGACGTCTTGACGGAGGGAACTTCAATCGGCGACGGCAGTCTCAAGAAACTTCCTGGCTGTATGAGCGATTGGCGACCGCTGAAGAGCGGTACCTAAAGTCAAAAGGAGAACAGTTACTGCGTGCCTACACAATCCCTGCGCGTAAACACGAAGAACAGCCTCCGACATCCTCTGTACGTACAACCCATCATCCCGAAACATACAACATCTGTCTTACTGGCATTTGGAGTGATGTCAGGGTATGTTTTGATGGACGGTACTCTTGTCAAGCGGCGGCAGACTCACAAATCTGGCCCTCACAGCCCAGTTCGGTCGAGTTTAATTGCCGTTTGCTTCTAGCAGAGTACCAAGATCAAAGAAGGCTTAAAATCCGGCAGGTGAGATGATGTTTACACTCTCCCATGAGTAAACACTAGAGTCCATCTGCGACATTGATATTCACTTCTAGTCGTCCTTGTGGTAAGTCAGACGTCCTTTTCAGAATATCATTCTCACATTTATTGTATTTGCTATATTCAAAGCAACAACTAGGTACACGCGACAAAGTTGTCACCGCTAGCACCAGTGTGGGTAATGACACCCGCGAGCTGATCTCCAGTGTTGAAGATCACTCGGTCCGCGCCGGGGGATCCACCATCATACACCTCGCCCGAGCTTAGGATCGGGAACTCGTAGTATGTACCGCTGACCGAGAAGTCGAAGCCTTCGTAGTTGTGGTAGACATGCGGGTAGCTGTCGTCCGTGTCGCCGGACGAGTACAGGTCGTAGCCAGCTGCCATGGCGGAGCTCACGGCGCTGTTGGTGTAACAGTGGGTGCCACAGCTGTAGGCGCAGGCGCGGGTCTCGAGGTCGGCCGGGATAGCGACGGCGACAGCGCCGGTGAAGAGGAGAGTGGCCAGGGTGAGGAGCTGGCTGGGGTTAGCATGGATTGTCGGGAAGGTGTGCTGAAGACTGTATACCTCGGTGAACTGCATCTTGTCGCTCGATCCGGTCGGATCAACAGGAGATCAATGGAGAATAGATCGAGAAGACTTGATGATCAATTCCAAAATCGCAGGTTATTCAGGTCCTTAAATAGCCTAACTTGAGCACCAACACCATCCCTTGTCTCCTTTCCTCCGTCTTCACCCCTCATCCCCAGCCGAACCCAGACGATGTTACATCTAAAGCCATCGCAAAACCCCCAATTGACCATAGCCAACCGCAAGAACAGAAGCTACCGTAGGGCACATCCTTCACAAACCAACCATGCCCGTTCGGGTATGTTGGCCGATCTGTAGGCATGATACGAAGGGAAAGCGATTGGGCGGGGCGCCAGCGTGAGGAATCGACTGGTGCTCGAATTCAGTCAATGCGCCGTATCCGAAACGACGACCTGGCGGTGTCCCCGTCGGAGTGCAAGTGGGGGATTTATGCAGGATGCTATCGGGCCAATCGGTGGTCGTGCTGACGGGCACGATGCCGTTCTAACGGCTTGCCTGAGCCGTTGTGGGGTTGCTGGTTCGGGGTGGGGTCAAGTATGCAGGAGTGTAGATTGTACAGTATGTCTGCACTGCTTGTCGAGTTCGCGAATCGACGGACAGGCTCAAAAAAGTCTCCATTCGAGGACACTGTGATAGGATCAGAGTGTTGTGCCTGGGAAAGATCGACAGGGATCGGGTTGTTCAGGGGAATGAACAGGGTCGGGAACGCGCAGAAGAAGCTGGAGGCAGAATGGTCCCTGGTCTAGCTTCATTAGACTGGAAAACCTCTGTAGCCAAAATCTCGGGGTCCATTTGGCGAATTCCTTCAAGCTGGCACTGTCTGTTGCTGCGCTGATCATCGTCTTAGGCTAAAGCCAGCCGATGCCCTTTCTTGGCGATGAACACTGTGAGCTGGATGTTACCCATTGCGAATAGTGAAGATCAAATGACTGGAACAGTTGCATCTCGTTGAAACCGCGAGACGAGTGCGAAATCACTGCGGGTTGCTGTTCAAAAATCTGAACCCAAATGCATACAATTGTTGTTGTCACGTGCCATTCTGAGTGCTTGATCCTGCAGGCCACCACATCGTCGTACAGCTGCAATTCGGGAGCTTTCACGGCCATCCACAATTTATTTTTTACGATTATTTTCTCGATTCTGTCTGAATCAGTCTATCTTGCTCCTGTTTCCGTTTTCCCGTGATAAACAATCCCCTGTTTCATTTCCACGCAGAATACGAGCTGCTCTCATGAATATATATATTGACGGGCAATGAGTTTCCTAAGTACGACATCAGTATTGGCTAATATCAATTAGTTACTTCCTAGACAAGAAACAACAACGAAAGTTTCCGCGTATCTGACGCTCACCTCGAAGCAGATTCGACACAAGCACCGAAGCTACGACAATACAGAGTCTACGTGACTATTCATCACCCAGCGGAGGTCGCCGTTTGAGACCGGCGCTCCGACGGAATCCGGTCGATCTTCACCAAAAAGAATGCCAATTTTATTTTTTCAGCAGCTGCAAGATAATGAATTGCGCTGCATAATGTTAGAGCGTATATGCTTCAATGTGGTATATACCAGCAGGGTATCTATCCGACAACTATATCGTGAATCTTCGCCCACCACCGACCAGATTTCTTAACCGGCTCTTCCTCATCAACAAAATCCCGCCTCCCAGTCCAAATATCCATATCCTCCAGCGACACCCACTTGGTCTTGTTCCAGAATTTATACGCAATAACGAAGAGCGCGAAGACGGGAAGGAGGATGTAGTTGATGACAAAGTCATCGGGACTGAACGGGTTCAAGAAGCAAGTATACCCCTGGAAAAACACGAGGAAGATGTTCAAGGCGAGCGAGAAGTAGGTACCCCATGGATAGAGCGCGGAGCGGAAAGGCAGTTGCGAAGTGTCTTGTCCCTGTGCTACGAGGGCTTTGCGGAAACGAATGTGGGAGATGCCGATTATGGACCAGACGAGGAAGGTTGCGACTGCTGGCTGTTAGTATAGATCATGGCACAAGGTTTTTGGTTTACTGACCTCCAGATAGGGTAATTAGAGCGGAATAGACCTTCCCTGCACTGGATGATTGTCCCAGGAAGACGATGCACGCGAAGATGTTGGTGAAGATCAGGCCGACCCAGGGTACGCCCGCCTTGTTGGCGCGTCCGAGAAATTTCGGGGCTTTGCTGTTGCGAGACATATAGAGCAGCGTTCGCGAGGCAACGTAAAGGGAGCTATTTCCTGCGGATATGACACTGATCACGATGAGGGCGTTGATCAGGTGTGCTGCAGGCAGAATGCCAGCGTCAGTCAGGGCGATGGTTAAGGGTGAGCTGGCTGTCTTCGAAGTATCACCAAGCAATTGCTTGTCGTCGTAGGGCATTAGAATGCCGATAAAGAAAATCGTGCCTGGCTGGTCAATAGCCGAACGCTTGGAGTACTTGATTTCGAGAGCACACACCGATGTAGAAAATCAGGATTCGCCAAAAGACCTGCTGAATGGCTCGAGGTACGGCCTTTCGAGGATTTGCCGACTCTCCAGCTGTGATTCCAACCCTGCGGATGATCAGCTTTGCATACGAGGCCAAGGGCATCGCCCATAGACTTACATCTCAGTTCCAGCATATAGCGTGCCAGCAACAACAAAGGTCTTCGCAACACCATTAATGCCGTCATTAAATGCCCCAGGGTCGTGGTAATATTTGAACCCAATTGGTCCCGGGCCAATACCACCGGCACTAATGATAATGGCCAGTATGAAGAAGACGATGAGCGCCAAAACTTTGATCCTGGTGGTTGTCAGTCGTGGCCCAAACAATAGAGAGGTAAATACTCACAAAGAAAGCCAAAATTCCATTTCGCCATATGCCAAAATTCCCAAATTCGACAGAGTAAGGAAGAGCGCCCAGAAAATGAGGATCCAGCCCCATTGTGGTACGGCTTCGGTCCAGTATCCGATAACAAGCGAGATGGAGTTGTATTCGTTGGCGAGAACCTTTTAGCAGTATATCGTTAAGCACTTGTCATGATTCGTAGCGAAGCGAAAGCAGCTTACCGTGACCCACAACCACCAATATGCCCAGCCCAATGCAAATGCAAGAGAATCGTCAATGAATCGTTCCGCATATTCGATGAAGGAACCCGTCACGGGAATGACAGTCGCCATTTCCCCTAGAGATTGCCTAAACGCACACAATTAGCCCAGACCCGGCAATTGTTGAGACCGCACATACATAACGAAGAACACAATCGCGCCGACGAGCGAGAAGCTAATCAGGGAGCCAGCGGGGCCACCCTCGTGCAGCGCATTGCCAGAGCTGACCAGCAAGCCAGGACCAATGATTCCTATCTCGATCAGCTCAAAACCCTAATTGTACAGTATGCTGGGGATGTCACACTTACCACCGACCGCAATCATCTGCAAATGTCTCGACTTTAGCTGCCGCTTCAACGGCGCCTCGAAGGGATCTCTCGGGACCTCCTCATCGACCTGCTTGCCCCAATCGCCAGAATGCAAGCTCTTCGAATCGACATCTTGAATGGGACTGCGGTATGCGACCGTGCTGGTATCCTTTTGATCCGCCATATCCAAATCCGGCTATTTCAACACGTCCATCGGACCACCAACGATCAAGAATTCAAGAATGGGAAAGAACTGACAGCTGCGCGACAGTACGACACTTTCTGACGCGGGCAAACGACTCAGAGTGTCCCACACTCCGCGAAGCGATGGTGGGCCGCGTTCATTTGCTGGCGATGTCGTGCTGTGCCCCGGTCGCGGCACAATCTGGTGATCGTTCTGATTCCTGCAGCGGCTGATCCCAGGCGATTATTCGGCGAAATCCCTCGCAAAATAGGACCCGGCGAACATTCTTCGAATCCTTTTTAATTGGCAAACCGGTCTCCGGTCGCTATCTTGGGGCGATGCTACTGTGGAAGAAGACAGAGTCGCGCTGGCGGAGGTCGAGGTCGGCCGGTTGATGTGTGGAGCCGGCTGAAACTTCGGTCGCACGCCATAAAGCCAGCTATGAGCTCAACCCCATGTGCGCGACTGCACGTGCGCGATCTGTTTAGATGACGTGGGGTTGAACGGGCTCTTTTTCCTTGTGAGGGCTCTATTTATCTACCTAGCCTTCATTTTAGTCTCTTGCTGAATTCGAATTACCTTAAACACAACCATCTCGACAGTGTCTAACAGAGCAACTGCTGAGCTACATCGTACACCACCAGGCACTGAAAAAATACAGGTAAAAATTATCAAGATGGTCATGATTAATTTTTGCGGATTCCTGCACAGATTGTTTGAACAAGAGAGACGTCGGCAAAGAGAGCCTGACTCTCGCATATCCACTATATCATGTCCGGGTAAAAGCTTCGAGGTGATAAAGTCATCGCTACACACGAAGAAAATGGACTTGTCACAAACCACGACAGGATATGGCAGCCATGTGTAAAGTGGTACCCCGTGATTCGCTCATCTCAGACTTGGGAGACTAGCGGTCGAGGGCCATTTCCTAGAAAAGCCCCGATAGTTTAATCGCACTGACCACAAGAATGGTTGTCAGTTTCAGGATTGTTCAACTGCGATCTCGTGATATCGCTCCAGGGCTAGAAAAGCCTATCTTTAGCCAGAGTTTGATCATGCCGAAGCCGAGGGCCATGACTGAGCTTAAATCTTCATGTCTCGGCGATAAGCACGGAGATCAGCAAAACATCGAGCCCAACAGGCTTCAGATCGTCGATCCAGACTGGGTACTGCGTGCTGTGCTTTCATTCCCGGAGAGTCCGGGGAATTTATGTTTAGTATACACTCCCTGGATGTGATTCGACCACGCAAGTCATCATTTTCGGGCCCAAACAATCGGCATCGGTAGATACTCACTGGGTACCTCCCCTGGGTAAATTTCCTGTCTCTGGAATCAAACCCCAAAGAACCCGACCGCATTCATATTTGCCGAGTGCGTCTATCGGCATGTGGGGCGCCGGATTTTAAGGTTATCCTGAGCACAGAACTTTGAGGCCGGGACCGCAGGGACTCCATCGTCGTTCGCCAGGGGCGTCGCGCTGAAAGAAGGAGGACAAATCGATTCAAGTGATCGACCAGATTTCAAACACCATGAACAGAGATCCTCTTCTGCTTGTTTGGTTGTCTGGTCAATTAAGTCGATTGATGTTGAGCGTGTCTTCCGGGTGCTGCGTGGAACATAGATGCTCTGATGGTCTGGGCCCAAAAGAGGATTTGAAATGCACATCCAGGAGAAGAGAATTGGAAGGGAACAACTGTATGAGTAGCTTGGCTAAATTCATACGAGGAAAATGGGGTGTCAGGTAATAGGGAACGTAGCTAGAAGTCACATCGTTAGTCTGGTCAATACGGAGGCATGAGTCTTCTGTATAATGCTTTTTGCTCATATTCAACAGGTAATATTGATGCGGACGAAGGTATAAACGGTGGTGGGCGTATGGAGGGTCACATCATCGTATACTGGGAATGAGCTTGGCCTGGTAGTAGCCATCAGAAAAGCAACATAATCGTCATTGTAATGAAGGGGGAAATAATTCCTGGTCAAAAAGGGAATCTGGCATCAGATTACCGGAAGGATCACGTAGTCATCAATTCATAGAATTTCCGTGAGATATTCAATCATCACTTGCAAGAGAAACGGATGGGCGGTATTGACTCGGACATGAACCACCACCAACCAAGAATCCGAGATCGGGGAGGGATATCAAGTATACTGAAGCAGGTGTCCAAGTCATAACTTTCACTTGCACCAGACTCGAGAACACATGTAGACAATACCAAAGAAAAAATTCCATGCGGTGGAATATCCAAACATCTTTGCAAGATAATAGAGGTCATGTTCGTCGTTCGTGACCAAATCACAAGCGTCACCTAAAAATTGGGGAGGGGCATGGGGTCAAACATGGCGTCCAGACAGTAACTTTATCTTGCATCAATCTAGGTGGATCTTGTCAACAACAAGGGTGCAGTAATTCTGGGACAGGATCATAAAGTACGATGTATCCAGTCATCATATGCAAGGGAACAGAAGTCATGGTGGTGGTTCATGTCTGGATCACAAGCGATCATATCACAATCGGGGAGATGGATCGGTTATAAACATGAATAACCACTACAAAAATTCATTTTCCGCCATATGTGGGTGACCTTGGTGACCCTGTCAACAAGGATCATAGAAGATTCTGTCGTACCTACCTCTAAAGAATGAGGTGTCCAATCATCAATTGCAAGATGAATGAAGTTGTTGTGGTCACAATCGGGGATGGGACAGTCTGCGGACATCTCAGAAAAGCGGTAGAGGGATGGGGATGGGGGCTTTTAGTCTTCAATGAGTTGACAGGGATGGCCCCTTTCACAGGAGGGATTCAGGTGAGCCCAACTAAGATAAGATGGCTCCTGATCAAACCGATGCATAGCCAGTATACTCTCAGCCTGACTGATGATTCGACCTTTGGCTATGGGGTCGCGAAAGATCGTTGAGGTGGTAACACTATGGCTATTAGTGTGGCTGAAACAAGAATCAATTAGCCATGTGCTCTGAAATCACGCGACCGTGGGCAAGAATGAAACGAGCAAGTGTAAAACAACCAGAAATTAAGATAGCAAAGTCCTCTGGGAGACTCTTAGGGGCTTGGACTAGGCTGTATCGTTCTCATCATTGCCCTGACAAACAGTCAGACATGGAGGTTATCTTGGATGACAGGACGAACGCAGAGGAGAAGCCTGATGGGAAGTAGTGTTAGTCAAAGGAAACCACAATGCAGCCAGCACCTGAATACACCCCCGGGCGGGGGTGGGTTCGGCAAGACGATGGTGAAGAAAGATGGTCAGGAGGAACATGAGGATGAGAAGATTGAGGTGGGAAGATGGATGGAGGCAGAGAGGAGGCAGCAGGATGTGGGAGGAAGACAAGGCGGGTGGGTGGATGGTGAGTCAGGAGAGGGAAGAACAACAACTGGAAGGGTCAGGGCAGCAAGGCTCACTGAATCACAGAAAACAGAGCAATCACTAGGCGTCAGAACATCATGAATTTCTTCATCCTTAACTCAAACTTTCGGACAATGAAGCAGAATTAATCAATACCAAGCTTGTTGGGGAGAGAAGGAGAAGAAGTAAGAAGTCGAGATTTGAGGAGGGCGGTATTTACACCAGCGGTAAGTCGAGGCAGGATGCGGCAGTTTCCACCCCCAGAATAGTTGCTGGTATCTGGCTAGAAGTTTCAGTAATATGGTTGACACAGCCTCATACTGTGAAATTGCAAAGGAGATGTTTGTAAATATCCATTATCATTCGGACAGTAGATAATGATAGTCCCTACATCGTGCATATCTTCACGTTGAACAGATTAACGGACAGAGCACATCACATCACAATAATCGTGCCAAAGGCTAATCAAATAGTCCTGAAATTATCGCCTATACGAAATTATCCAGCCCTGTTTCAAGGTATAGTTCGTGAATCGATCCTAATAAGGGCTAAACATGTCCGTACCCTACCCCTCATCTTCGCGCGTCTGCCTAGACCTGTCTGTTCCGGAACGGACTAGTGCCAATATTCTGGGTGATATATACCTTCACCCTCCCAGAAAATATTCTCCTCTTTCTTTCCTTCACTCCCTCTGGTCCATAACGAAGTAAGGGAATGGAATCCACCCAGTCGGGCGTTGCTTGGGTGTATGCGGTTATGAAGGCGAGCGATAATACATCAGAATGGTCTATCGCATTGCAAAGCGTGGGGACCGTCCTCTCACACCTGACGGGCCTTTCAGGCATAATCTTTGGCGCGCCCTTCGTGGGGCCCTTTGTGGGATCTTTTCATCATGCCTTGGGTTAAGAACTCGAGGGTGGAGAAGAGACTTGTGTATCTGTAGAGAGATCTGTAGATCCTGTCTATACTTAATACCTCTTGTTCATGCCTAATATTTTGTTTGTGTGTGGGCTCCTTTCATGAACGCTCTTCCATCTGTTCCTCTTTTTGCATCCCTTTTGCTGCATATTTGTGCAACTGGCCCTGCGCCTGTGGTAGCCTTTCATAGATGATATCAAGTAGTATTCACGCGTACATCTGCGAGGCACTACAAAGGGACAGTTATAGATTGCCCAGTTGCTAGAGCCTCAAGGCAGTGATGAATTATGTCCATCTGGCGACAGCACTCCCTTTCTGTCCGCTGAGAAACGACCATATCCGATCATCGCCTATGAGACACGATCCCGTCCACTCTTTTACAGCGTGCAACAACACATACTAATTATTAACTAGTCTCTGTTGCAGCTGAGCAGACTATCTCCCAGTACTTTATACCCCTCCGACAGAATCACTACTAACTTGCCTCGTTGTCTAGAGCAGATCCTTCGATGCGACCACAGCCCAGAGGGCGTTCCACACCCCTCCAGTCTGTGAAACACGCGCAAATATGACTACGGCGTCTGTTAATATCATGTGGAATTTATTCCTGACAAGGGAAGCGAGTTTGGGGCCGTGTTGAGAGCTTGGGCCATCTAACGGGACCCTGCCATACAGCAGTAGGCAGGAATACACATCCGATCGGGGTTCAAGAGCAACTACATCCTACAAGTCACGGCTAATACCTCAGCCGTTCTCTTTATGTTTCGTCGACCCAGCCTTCCGCCTCTCTGTTCACGCATGTCCCGTCGAATCAAGATACTGCAGGATTCAACCCCAGTCCAGACCTCATCGGATGATGCAAAGTAATACACGGTTCCCAAGCTCCGAAATCGCACGGATAACGGGTTGAGCAGACTCGGTGTGCAAATTTACCTATCGAGTGGCTGGTGCCATTCATCACTACAAATTGGGGATCAACACATGGGATGCCCTTACTTCATGAATTCGAACACGCAATTCGGGGTTTATGCACAGCCAGATGGTTAATCTGTCAGTAATGGTGGCAACTGCGGTGAGGAAATGACGTGCGTCTAGCGAGGTCACCAATCCTTGTTGAAGCATGCGAGTTGCAGGTATCGAAGCACATACCTTGAATGATGAAGTTGGGCTTAACCGAGTCTATACTGACAGGTTATAAGAGCCAGAACATCTTTCCCACATCCTCATCTGAACGCCCACATCGAACTGTGCAAGCCCCTGGCATACCGATTGAAAGCAGAATGGAGCTAGCCGGTCATTTAGGCATTAAATGACTAGCGTAGGCATTGTCGAATAGCGAGAAGAATATATCTATGGACGCCTATCAGTGCTAGTCATCTTGATCGTTCAAAATCCTGCTTGAATGTTTAGTTGCACGTTGCACAATTGTTGATCAGATTGGCTGTGGTTCATATACTGAATGACTCGGGTCTTTTCGTAGGTAAATAGAGAAAAACAGATAGAGCACGGAACCTCTACGATAAGCCAAGATGGCCATCTGCTTGGAGATCCCTCTGTTCGGAATTGTGCAGTATTCAATTCTTTTGACGTAGCGATATTCTATTATCGTCTATTTCATATTCAACATAACCATAACAAGACTCCATGGCTGCCTCATCACAGACGAGACTTGCTCTCCTCACGTCCTTGCAAGTTGGGGTGGGGAGTGCGGACCGGGCGGGTGACGGCGTAGAAAGCGAGACCCTGGGACTTGGTGGAGAACTGAATAGATATTCGTGTTAGGTTCTTGCTTCCAGTATTGCATAGGCGGGCGGTTCAGGGAATTGTGACATACCTGAACCTTGGTTCCGACAGAGAAGAAAGCAAAGTCACCGGGGACTAGATGGTGAGTGACGCCGGTAGCCTCGTCCTAAAGAATAGTTGTCAGTAATGTTCTGAATTGACGCGGCGGCAGAGACTTGGAACAGAGGCCGAAACGAAGCATCGGAACTTACCAGGATGTCAATCTGACCGCTGAGGACATACTTGCTCTCCTCAAAAGCGTAATGGGCAGGACGAGCAGGGCCAGCCTGGATCTTGTAGAAACCGGAGGTGAAATGCGCAGGGGACTCTGTCTGGGTGCGAGTAGTGTGAAAGTCGGCAAGGGTTGCGTTTTCGCCTTGGGGAAGGGGAATAAATTCGTGGCCGGCGCCCTTGACGACGTGGAGGGGGACGAGATTTCCAGACACTAGATGAGATCAATTGTCAGCTTTGAAGTCCCTGGAAGCATGGCTATCTGTGAAGGGTTGAGCTTGGCATCAGCACGCACTTTTGATGTTCTTGTTAGTACTAACGATATGTGGATGCAAAAATGAAGTCTCATTCAGGAGTAGGTCTGAGAGCACTTCTTAAATGCATCAGCTCCCCACCGGTCGCGTCCCCGAGGGAAACTTCATGGAGGGGGGTGCATTAACCACAAGAGGAGACGAAGTCCCGGGTCAAGAAGCCGATGGTGTGGGGACCCATGCCGGGTGGAGGTCCGGCGACTCCAAAAATAAGAAGCATTGCTGCCATCTCGCTGACATTTGCGAGCGATGTCCAAGATCGATTGCGAGAAAACATTCCGAGTTATTGCGGCAATCGAAATGCGAATTGTTCGCGCTCTTAACAGGAAAGCCTAGTCGAAGGCTTCCCGAACCGACAGGGTCTGAAAGGAAAGCCAGGCCGGGCGAAGTGGAGCAGCTGGCGGCGTGCGGAGTGCGGAGAATGAGGGGAAGACACATTCGAGGTCTAGAAGCTCAATCAGTAAAGCTGATATTCGACATAATTGGCGTAAAATGCGCATGCAAGTTTTCCGCTATGCGATCTACTCATCGGAAAGAAGATCATCGAAGAAATTGTGAAGGAATGAGCTTAGCAGGCGGATTCCGCTCACGTGATATTTACGCTACGGGCGTCTCGACAGATTACACAGCACCATTTGGCAATCGGCTTGAAAGTCATGGATCTCATTTCGTCTATGTGGTCTAGTTTATTATTCAGTTCATATTAACAGAATCCAGCTCATCGCTTCAAGTCCCCTCGCCGCCGCAGCCACATGACGGCCGAAAAGCAGATAATCCCAGCTGCATACGCACTCCCCGCGAATGCGATGAGACCCCAATACTCTCCTCCACAACGGTGAAGAATCTCACCCGCAATTGGCACACCTGTCAAAGCACTAGTCGCGATGTTAGCAAATTCCCAGACAGAAAAATGGCACGGAGGACATACCCAAAGCTCACAATGGTATACACCGTGGTGTAATAACGGCCATAATTTTGGACTGGACAAAGCTCTCCGACGCAAACAGGCACGAGACTGATGTTGCTCCCGCTTGCAAATCCAAACACGACTGAGAAAATGATAACCACAACGATATTTCCGTCCGCCGGCATCCAGATAGCGAACACCGAGACCACACAGAGGATATTCGTCAAGAGCAGGGTATTGAACCTCCCAATCTTATCCGCAAGAACACCCGGCAGCCACCTCCCGGGAAACGAGCCCGCATTAAGGAATACAACCATGAGATACGACGTGCGACGATCAATGCCCGTGGCAAGGGAATACGAGGCGATATACTCGAGCGGAATAAAGAACCCCCACTCAATAAAGAAGACACCCAGCGTCGTGAGTGCCAGAACGGGGTCTCTGAGAATCGACAAATCAGGCAAAAAGGCCTTAGGCGACGCAGGCGACGGCGCCTTGGGCGGGAGATTCGCACGGACGAGCAGGACACCCGGCACAAGCAGAAACAGCGTAATCAGCCCAATGATCCTGGTGGACCACGCAAATCCAATTCGCGGAGCCATGGTCTCAAGCACAAGAGGAAAGATCACACCCCCAATACTCCCACCCGACAAAGCCAGGCCCGTGGCTGCACCACGTCGCCGACAGAAGAAATGGCCGATACTCGCCACGGGGACAATGAAAATGAAACTCGTTCCCATCCCGCCTAGAATCCCGATGACAACAAGAAAGTGCCAGTACAGCGTACAAAAGCCCATGAGGACAAAGGTAAGTATCAACAATGCCGTACCGATAAACATTAACAGTCGAGGACCTCGGGCGTCGAAAACCGGGCCAATTTGGATACCGCAAAAGAACACGAGGAAGTTGTATATTCCGAAAATCCACCCGATTTGCCCTGAGCTCAGGGAGGCGAGCTGGTGTGTTGAGATCCACGCTTGGTAGATACCGATGCTATTCATCAAGCCTAGTCCGCCCATGATGGAGCTGAAGCTGCCGGCTACGACTAGGTTGGCGCGGAGGCCGCCCTCTGGGTAGGTGTCTGCATTGTTGACTTTGGGTTCGTGGTGCATTTCAGAATGCAGTTGTGGTGCGTTGTATTGTTTGATAATATGGAAGAGGATTTTTGTGTTCGATTGGAGTCAGCTGGGTTCAGAGAATTGAATTGGATCTACTGAAGACTAAAATCCGTGTAGATATCCCCCTCTATATACCCCGACGGAAAACTTTCATTCTATCCAATTCCACTGCCAACTGCCCAATCCACCATACACGCCTGCAAAAGCAACATGATGACCCATCTCGGGGTTCGCCTGCTGGCCGAGAAAGACGGCCGATGGGTGAGGCGTGGAACATTACTGCCAGTGGATTGCCGACAACTGTCAAACCGAGGATGTACTCCTGGCATCCAATCATGTTCTCGGCTCAATCGGAGATTATTTCTTTTTACTCCTCCCGGCGACAGATGGCCGTACCTTAAAAGTCCGCGTTGGTAGGTTGGCCGAGCTTGCGGCTTGGTTGTTTGGCGCCGAATCCGCCACTCGGCCACCGGCGAAGTCACGTGAGAGTCATGGAAGTAGTCCTTTTGCAACAAAGTGCAATTCGGGGAACGTCGAGGAGTTTGCCGTGGAGCACTTCTGTTCGAATGTTCGCCGACGGCGTGACTGTTCCCAATTGAAAATTTTAAGAGGAAAAGCATTTGAAACAAGCCAAGACTGGGAAATACCGATACAGATGCTGAAGATTTTGGCATTTATCTACAGAACGCTTGAAGGAAATTCAAAGAAAAGTCAAAGGCCCGTAGCACTAAACGCTGTCAATAGCAGCGAGTAATCAAAAGAAAATACATCCGAAAGGAAAAAAAAGCCTAAAATTATACACCGATGCACAGATAAACACCCTGGCCCACCCCGATATCCACCGGCTATGCTCCCAGTCACTTACTAGATTAGGGGGAAAGAAATGAAACGCCGATCCAAGTAAAGATGATGTGTTTAAGTCAGATCGAATCACGAAAACTGACGGTTGCGTTTAGAGGGACTCGGAGTCCGAAGATGCGCCTCGCGCTCTCGACTGCGCTCCGTGATGAACGGCGTACTCTCCAACAGTAACGGGGCGTTTTCTTTCTCGGCATAAGCGTGGTCCGAGACTTTCCGATTGACTTGCTGTGGGTGGTAGCCAAAGCTGGGTTGATGTTGCAGCATAGGTTGTTGGTGGTTGTAATTTGGCGGTTGTTGAGGATAGTATTGGCCGTTGTCACGCTGGTCCAGAGAATGCCGAATCGCGCTCAGAGACCAATTGCTTACTACTGTCACTGTTGAGATGCTGGCCAGAAAGATGACCTGGGAAACAAGTTAGCCGAAAAAGGATCTACATCATTGTGGAGGGGGTGCGACACATACAACTGCTTTCCAGCTGATTGGCTCAATGAAGCCGTTGATGATCTGGGCCATGGTGTGCGCCGAGATCTTTGCACGGCCGATTTTGGCCGGGTCACGATCCATGCAATCCTCCCAGCCCTTGCACGCCGGGGTCAGTGCTGGAGGCCGATTCGGATCCGCACATCTGTTGTTCAAATATTCCCTGGAGCACTGGGTGATTTCCTGGCGGATGTCCATTGATGCCAAATCGGCCGCGTGGGCGAATTCCGCCCGAATGGATGACACGACGGACCAGATCACATACACCACCACCGAGAAGATACACAGGTTGACCATGAGTTGCGCCCACCAGGATAAAATGCTGGGCATATGCGGGTGCGCTTCCAGGAACGTAAATAGCTGAGACAAGGAGGAGCTATTGGACGAGCTGATGCCGGGCTCCATTTCTTTGCCTTGTTTCGCCGGCTTCCCCCGGAGACCCTCGTTGCTGCTTGGCCGATCACTGTCGTCGTCGCTATCCACTCGAATTCGCCGGTCGAGCTCCTTATCCCGTTGCCTCCGCTTCAACACGCGCCGGGCAGCAGCAGTGGAGTAGTGGTTCTTGCGAATCTCCCCTCGGCCCGGACTGGCGTTGGTGAATCTTCCGCGTGTGTTGAAAAGCGAGTTCTGTCGCTCCGTCCGCACCGGTTGCTCCGGGGTATCCTCGTTGTCTGCGTTTTCGGGCGATGAGAAATTTTCGGCACCGGATGAAAAGTCAAGATTGACAGGTTTGCGCGGTGTCGTCCAGGCTGACTGGCCGAATCGGGGGGTCTGTGAAGCGGGTTGCGAGGTGAAGGGTGATGGCGACGCTGGCTGGGAGAAGAGGAAGGGATGGGAGTTGGGGGCGCGGAGACCAGGGACTGAAGTCTTTTCTGGGGAGCCAAATGCGCTATATGTACCTGTTGGCAATGAATGGTTAGACAAAGACGACAAGATAGCACAGGGTGGTGGTCAGCTGGGGTGAAGGGTGGCTCACGCTTCTTGTTGTCGCTCTGCAAGCCGACCTGGTAGAATCCAGAGCTGGCATCGCCCGGTGGCTTATGCTGCCACTCGAATTCCATCGGACTCTCCGCTGTACGGGGTTCCATGGTGGTCTGCCGGTGGGAGGATGGAGGGGAAGGAGTGCGGGTTGCGGAGCGGGAAGTTTTTGTTTGGGTAAACAGACTCCGCAGCAACAGAAAGCAGGCGGGCACTATACAGCTGCAAGACAGCAAAGTCTCACCTCTCAAAGGAAACACTTAGTTTTTGGTTTTACACTTTTTTACTGTCTATATCTAGTCTTGGTGCTGAAATCCTTTGTAGTGAGGCCCTTCCTGGTATTTTGCGTGGAATCCCTGGTACTCTGCAGCTCCTAGGCAATTTCGCAACTATCCAACACAATGGGCACAAAAGACAATTGTACAGATGAAAAGGCTGTATGAGACTATAAGGAATAAATTTACTACTAAGAACTGGAGAGTTTTCCATACAAGGCGAAGAACCATGATGAATGAATATTGTTGAAGGCGCCTGCACCTTCAATGTAAGTGATGCAATCAAGATTATAGCGGCTATAGTATCCAGATCTAATATCGACCACTTCGCCTATTCATCCATTTGCCATTGGTACTCCAGCGCTTCCATGCGACTCCGCTTGTTTCTCGACGTAAACCAATCCTTCTCGAATCCATTTCCTCGATCCACTCCATCCCAGCGATGGCCCGGTCGTATCCCATACCGATTGGGCTGGAAGGCACCCCGGTATAATGGTTTCCCAGTGACGCTCGATCCGGCACCAGGCCTCTTCGTCAGGAACTCGGCCGCAGGGTCGTTCCAGCGCTCTCGGGCTCGTAGGTCTTCGTTCAGCGATTCATCCTCAATCGTCCGCGCAACAGGCATCGCCCTGATGTCCTCCAACTCTAGCTTCCGAGACTCCCGTTGAGCCCGCTGAACATCACCCATTTGCGCCTCGCGCTCCTGTTCCTCCTTCTTCTTTTTCTCTTCTTCTGCCTTTCGCGCCTCGGCGCGCTTCATGGCAACATTGATGATTCGTCCCGACGCATCACGGTAGATAGTTTCTTTCGACGTCGCGTCGGCAGCAGAAGGGTCCTGGTATTTCGCCATCTCGGCCTTTTTCCTCTTTTCTTGCGCTTTCACCATCGCCGCGGTCTGCGCTGCTGTCTGTAGACCCCCTCGTGCTCCAGTCTCCATCTTCGGACCATCATCGTCCTCCTCAACCACCGGCGCATCTTCTTCTTCGTTGGCTTCTCGTGCTGAGCGCTCCGCGGCTGCAGAGGCAAGGATGGCATCTGCAGCAGCTTGGTCGCTATCCGCGCCCGGAGCGGGCCCACCCACTTTCTTCCATCCCGACTTCTTTGCGCGGCGAAACTCGGCGGACATTGCAGATGTGTCAATCATGGGCTTGTATTCGTCGTCTTGGTCGAGAGCTGTGGAGGAAGTGCGCAGGTCTGGAGGGTCATCGTCGGCGATGATGAGGCCGTTGGATTCGTCGGTCTTAGTCTTCTTGCGCTTCTTCTTCGGGCGCTCTGTAGCCGGGTCGGCGGTAAGGTAATTTTTCGCTAGGTAGTCAGCGAGGGAGCCCGGCATAGCGACGTGTCCTGGCGGTGTGTTGCGGTGTCCGTTGGTCTGCGGGTTTGAGCGCTGGAAGCTCTTGGCGGAACGATACCGATAGCGGAGCTACTTACCAGAAGGAGCAACGTTCTTCCGAGGAATCTGCTGACTGCAGTCAGCACCAGTTCATCACTTTGGTGTAAAGCGATAATGACCGAGTCCACGCATCCATTGTCTTTCCATGATAATCTAATCATTGTTGCGCTTAGCGACTCTATGTCGGTTTTGGGTGGACGTCGACGCCTACGAGTGAATTTCCGTCAGGTGACCCGAAGTCCCATGACGTGCAGTTCTGCCGGTGTGCTATATACAGTGGGCGGTGAAGACGACACCTCCGAAAGAAGCTCCATCACGTGATCCATATCCAGTGCATACTGCATAACCAGTCTTGTTTTCGACCCTCAAGGACTGTCAATTCTTCAATTCTTTACCGCAACTATGTTCAATCAATGAATTGAACTAATATTGCATGTCCAACTACTGCCACGTGTTGATCTACTGCGCATTGAACTTAAACGCGTACGGGTTTGCGGATTCAGAAGGATTGCTCTCGCTTCACTTCGTGTTACGGGCCGTTCGAAAGAAACAGATTCATTCGGTGCCTACAGGACGAGAATCTCGAAGATTAAGAAGGAAGGAGAAAGAAAGAAAGTCGGCCAGAAAAAGAGGGGTTAAGTCCCCAGCAAACACGTAGTGCAAACGACCCAATATTATGCCTCAGGCATCCTTCCACGAGATGAGGCTATTCCCAGGTTCATCCGTCACACTTCGCAGGTCATTTGGCGTATACTACCCAGCGGGCTGGGTGTACGGGGGCGCCAGCACCCTGGTATACATTTACCGTACAGCCTTCTACATACCAGTGTCGTCCTTCATGTGATTGCACTGATGCGAAGATATATGTTGTCAACATAAGGTTGAGAATGTGGTGCGTGATGCCACACATGTCCAACAAGAACAAGATTTGATCTTCCGTCAACAAGAGTGAACCTCTTCCTGACAGGGATTAACTACCAGTATAAAAAACTTAGCTCTGAGAAGCACGTGGCCACCTACGGTGTACCAGAGGAAGCATGTGCCCTTCAGGAATAAAATTAAGTAGTAAATCGAGAGCAGAAGTAGCAGACTAGAATAAATCGGTTAACAGAGCATTGTAGAGAGCCGTCCTCCATGCTCCCAAACCCAACTCATAGGTCAAGGCCAGAGGCGTTTGAATACCATTGTACCGAGCCCGTCACATGCGATTGACTTGAAACACTGGAAACAGATGGCTGGTCGAGATATCCTTCAGTTGCCCTAAGCAATTAAAGTAAAAATTCAGTAGGTAGCATTGAAATGTAGCATTGATCTCAGTCGCGTACTTCAGGCGGGAGTGCTATTTGTTCCCCACAAAAAGTACCTAGCAAACAGGTAGGCATCGTTCTTGGTTCGGGCTACTTCATCTGAAACTCCACCATCTTATCCCAGCCATGATGACAACCCATGGCGCGGAATCTGACCACATCAAGCTCTCGAGAGTCATCTTCTTGGTAGATGACTGTTGGTAGATGACTGTTTTCTGAGCCACTCGGCCTCGTGGGCCAAAATATCGGAGCCGGCAGTAACCATCATCATGTGGCGCGGAAACGTCTTTGGGTCCGTAAAGTTGGGCGAGATCCGAGAATCACGTCGATCCAAGTTGGCAGGCACTTAGCAACGGCGAATGAATCGCGCGATATTCAGGGAATAGAGGTTAGTTCCAGCAGTCGGTATTGCCTCGTCACCCGGGTCTGCGACCAGGTCTGTCGTAGGGTAGAAGCAAAGCATGCAATTGAACGTACTGGGTAGGAGGCAGGTAGACGTCAATGTGACTGCGAGGGCAAGAGTCGCGCCAGCATCAAATTTCCAATAGCAAGGAGATTTTGATCGAATTTCTCCGGGTGATTATGGACATACTGAACTGCAATTTCGACGTCGTGGTACGTGGCCGGGAATGGGTTCTCAGACGCTTTGCGATAGTCGAAATCGAGGACAATGAACCCCGAATTCGCGACTCAACCCAGACTCGTGACTCATCCGTCGGCAGAGTTCGTCATGGGTGCCATGTCGGGGCAGGACGAAGCCGCTGCCGTGGTTGCTGAGAAGTACCGATCTCGGGCCTGATTTCCGACATTGCGAGGAGTACTAGATGTGGGCTTTGATGGTTCTGCCCTCGTCGCGGGTGGGAATGTGTCGTACTTCGTCATGGCTCGTGCGAAAGCCACCGAGGACCACCCAGTGAGCTAGTGATACCACGGCGCGCATGAACACTGCCGTGCATTTTTTGACGATGTAGAGGCCCCAGACCTCAAAAGGCATTCTGAAAGTGCTTTGAAAGCTGCGAGTGAGTTTGGAATGAAGGTGGGGCTGGGAGAGAGTGAAATAGGTGTGGAAACTTGTGAGCACATCCTCCGTGAAGGAGATTTGTGCTGTATACCACCCAGCACAAAAAAGCAGCCAGCAGCAACTGCTGGTTAGGTAAGTGGTTGAAGCACCTACGAAGGAGCACTTTCTCACAAATATTGTTATTTATAGTCCCCTCTTAACAACGTAATACCCGATGGCATGACTGGTTTTCGCGCAGCATAATAATCACGACTGACATTATTATTCTCCAGTTGATGGCCCACAAACAACACCCAAGGCCCTGGAAAACGCATTAATCTCCCATATTGCAAAGAACGTCTACAAATTCGTGTATATTCTCCTCGGACATCGGCTCCACGCCTGTCAGAACCCCAACTACTCCGGCCGTCAATCAACAAAAACACACCAAGAGATTGGTCATGTTCTATCTGATCTCTACTTTATCTATGAATTACCTGTCGTACCTATTTACTACTGGGAGAAGCTGGTCACTTGGCCACCGGATATGAACGTCGAAACAGGCAGAACATTGGTGCCTAATGCGAAGGAATGGCATGGTCTAAACTGAAGTGATATAGACGTCGCAGGAATCGATATTCCGAAGTATCCGCCTTAGCAGCCTATTGCAAATCTCGATTTCGGAGAATACGCTCCCCATCGCTCATCCAACTACCTTGACTCAACCAGACACTACCCAGTGCCCAGACGAAACACTCCGCGATCGACTGATTTCGATTCTCGAGATATGAGCCATTACTTGCAAAAGGAGCCCACAGAATGAAATAGGTTCGACTTTGGCCCCTTGATCCAGCTCCGATAGACGACAGAACCCTCATATTGAGGACCAAAATGTGTCAGGAGTCCCGGAGATGATACACAAGTCAATTCTAGATACCGGTTCAAACCGGAACAGCAGTTGGCATTGAGTATATCACTGTCAAGTACACTGTCACAGCCAAGACTGTCACAGGTGATAGTGGCTCTCTTCACTAGAGCGACCACTCCCTTTGATGTACGCTGATTTCGAACCAGGGAACAGGAACCCGCTTAGGAATTATAAAGAAGATTTGCCTCCCGGTGGCGGTGAATGCGTGTTTCAGCCTAATCGATACCCCTTCATTCCCCGAAGGTCCAGCCAAATTTAAACCAGAAGCACCAATTTTCTGCCAATAAACCAAAATCCTCAACAGCCATCCCGAGTGTATACAGATATAAACTCGGATCGGAAAAACAATCTGCCACCCTGCTGACCAATCCAATCCAGCAAAGCACCCATATCTCCACCTCTTAACCTGCACCTACAGTATACGGACACAGTGCTTTGAACTACCACAACTCAGCACAACCAAATAAACAAGCCGTCACAATGCCCCGCTCGCAAGAAGCAGAAGCCTGGGCCAACGCCGTCTACGCCGCAGTCCAAGAAATCCCACTCGGCAAAGTGACAAGCTACGGACACATCGCATTATTACTAGGTGAACGTACGTTCCCCAGTCCCCAGAGACAAACAGACCTTCCTCACAGATGGACCTAGTTATGCTTACATATGGCCAGCGCAACGACCACGCCAAGTCGGCGTATGTCTCAAATCCCTTCCGGAGGTCGAGTCCGGACTGTATTTCACTTCAGGGAGCGTACCCTGGCAGCGGGTGATTAATTCGAAAGGGATGATTTCGCACCGGTACCTCCCCTTTCGACCTTCATATTCTATGCCCCTTTCGCATTCGTTTCGCTGACGGGAGACGGCAGTGGACCTGGGAGCGCAGAGCGGCAGGCTGCGGCCCTGAGATCGGAGGGCGTGGAGGTTAAGGAGGACAGTATGGGGGAGTACTATGTGGACTTGTCGAGATTTGGCTGGTTTCCGAGGGATCTGCCTAGTGAGGATGGTGATTCTGATGAAGAGGAGGAGTAATTACACCCTAGTCTAGACTGACTATATAGTCTTCTATTAGATCAATAATACCCTTGTTCTTAATGTGTTTCATAGTATTGTAGAACTGTGGGGTGACCCATGTCACATATACACTACAATTAGTACGACACGTAGCTTGCTCATGCAGGATGCTGCAGAACGCATCCATAGATTTACAAGAGGATAATGTTACTGCCTACGCTGCGAAGAAATTCTGAACGATATCGTGTACATTAGCTCGGCAAGCATAATGCACACTGCTCATTCCACCCGCATAGCGGCTGAATCATCTATGGGTAAAGCCAGTCACAATCAAAGCCACAGGTCAGAAAGGTATGACGGCAAAGAACACGGAGGGCGGCACGAAAAAGAAAATCCCCGACCCATACCGATAACCCAGATAGAAAAAGAAACAAGATAAATCAAACAAAGCCATCCAGACTGAATCCCATAGTCGTCGAGAAAAGATCGTTAAGACTCACATCATAGTCATTCACAAAAGAAAATCCATCAGGTGGAGAAAAGAAAAGCTTGGACATGGGCAGAGAAAATCTTGCAGAGCGCTTGCAGGTAGGAAGAAAAAAAACGCTGGATGAAGATGAAGTTGGGACTTCATCGCCGTTTGAATTCTGCCGCCCACCCGTCAATCCCTTCGCCGCGGGTACCTGGCTGAATGCCCAGGGTGATACCGTCCATTCCCAGCGTATCGTTCATCCACTCGTGACTGGCCATACCGCCGGCATTCGCACGTTTCTCGGGCGAGAGGTCGAGCATGGGGAGAAGGAATTCGCTGATGCGCATGCTCTCTTCGACGGTGTAGTGGTACTTCTCACGCAGGACCTCGGGCAGGGCCCAGTGGCGCAGGCGGTGGATATTACGGAGTTCGCCCTTGCGGTTGAAAATCTCTTGCGACCATTTACCGGACAGACACTGCGACTTGGCGAATGGACCGAGCAGTTCGATGATTTGGGCAATGTGATCGTCGTCCTTACCGTACTTTGTGCCCGACTGCGGATCGAACAGGTAATCGCCAGTAATAAGTTCAAAGACCTGGTGTTTGTTAGCAAGACGTCTCTCATAAACAGGAACCAAAAAAAAAAAAAAAAATGAAAATGAAAATAAAAAACATACCATGCACGCCATGCTCCACACGTCCGTACTGGCACCCCACTTGGCACCAAGAATCACCTCCGGGGAGCGATATTGGCGGGTCTGGATGTCGTTGGTAAAGTGGTGGCCAACCCAGCAGGCGTTGCCCAGGTCGGCAATTTTGACAGAGATAATGTTTGAATCGATTTCGTCCTCAGCTTGGGGGGACTTGTTGAGCGAGATGCCCGACACCTCTCTCTCCAGGAGATCGCTGGAATATCGGTCAGAACAATTTGTCACACAATAGATAAAGGCTGCACTCACGTTGTCTTCTCTCTCTGACTCTGCTGCTCGTCCTGCTCTTTGATACCAAGTGCCTCTTTCATGGAGGGCGAGTCTTCCGATGCTTCGTGGGTTAGAACTTCAACAGTGCAGTCAGGAGTCAGATCCATGGGCTCACCGGCATCGTTGACCATCTGGTTGAGGCTGCTGTGTGAGTTAGAGGAGGTGTGCTTAAAGTCGAAGCTGCTGAAGCTGGAGTTCAGCGGGCTGGGCAGCGGCTGGCTGCCGGTAATAAGGGTGCGCCTCCGGCGGCGACCATTGCGATTGTCCTCCTTGTCCTTCTTCGCGGCTTCTTCCTGCTGCACATGCGCACGAACAATCTGTTCAACGTCGCCGATCTCAATAAGAACGTTCTCGGGCTTCAGATCAGTGTGGATGATGCCGCACTCGCGGTGAAGATAGTCAAGACCCAGCAGGACTTGCTTGGTAATCTGCTTGACGAGCGGCATAGGAATGCCGCGGTGGTTCCAGCGCTTGATGAGGCCCAGCAGGTTCTCGCCGAGCACTTCGAAGACCATGCAGACATGTACACCGTTGGGACCCTTGTGCTCGAAGGAATCAAGCAGACTGACGACATGCTTGCGGCCGGGGTGAGAGGGTTTGGCTTGGACGATGCGGTTGAGCAATTTGATTTCATCGATAGCGGTCTCGGTGTAGTGGGCGGCGGAGCGAACGACCTTCAGCGCGACGTGTTTGCCGGTCGTGGTGTCGCGCGACAACCAGACGGTGGAGAAGTGGCCCCAGCCCAGCTTGCGCACCACGACATAGCGCCCGTTATTGTACGTCTCGCCGACGGCGACAGGGTGGTAGCCGCCCTTGCAATAGTCCTCGGAGTCCTCCTCCTCGGCGGTGTTTTCGGGCTCGGGTGTGGACTCGACGGAGGGGGTGCGCGAAACGCCGGGCTTGACAGTGGACGGAGCAGAGGCGGCGCCGGTGCTGGACGGCGGAGGCATTAGAGGAGAGGAAATGGCAGATGAGGTGAAGGTGGCGAGTGAGAGAGAGGATGAGGGAGAAGTTAAGGTGGGGGGGTGCGGATTGGGAACGTGAAGGTGCGGAGGAAGGAAAAAATACATACGCATCGGCGTCGGCATCATTGGTGACGATAGGCTTCAGGTCGGTGCCTTTTCGCCTCTTCTTGGTAGTACTGCCATTGGCGGCCGAGGCAGCGACGCTGGCCATCTGTTTGCCTTTGTTCAGCATGGCCGTGGTGAGATCAACGCCCTCCATCAAGATGTTGGGAGTGGGAGTTGCTGGAGCTGAGAGGCGGGGCAGCGGGTGTTAGCGTAGGACACAGCAGCGACTGCGAGCGACACGCCGAGACGGTGCAAGAGATGCAGCAAGCAGTACTCGGGACGAACGATCCAGCGGTGCTAGAGTGTAGGCAGAATGTCTGCTATTGCTGGGGGGAATTAGATTGCCGATTCCGCAAGCAGTTAGACGGATGTGGCAAAGGTCGCATCGGGCGCGACCCGGTACTGGCGATCGATTGGGGAAGAGATTCGAGTAAGCACTTTGGCGGAGTAGAATTCGGCAGCGTGCAATGAGGAGTTGAGGAAAACGAAACGGATTGTGGAGTGGCGGAGGAGAGTCGAGATGCGCCGATCGAGTGGCTGGCAGTCCCGGCTGGAATAGATGACAGTATACCTCGCTCACTTGCGCCAGCTGGCATCTATACGATAATGATAGACTGCTAAAATGTGATCAAAATCAACCTGAGATCAAGTATTTTACAATGCATAATTCAGTCCGATCAAAATACAATAGCTCAATGGATGACAGCTGTTTAATGCTTGTTGATGCCCACGGCGCCTATGTTGCGCTGATGTCACCGGCCCGACTTCCAACTTCTCCTCCATCCATCAATCCCAACCAACAGGCCTCTTGACCACCACATTCACCACCCGGCATGGCAAATCCCTACCATCGCCGCCCGCTGTCCGACTACTTCATCTCCTCGCCCCTCGTCGCCCTTCTCTACCCCTTCCACCAGCTGCTATTGCGACTCCGGGGCCCGCCGCGACTGCCCCCGCCGAATGCGAACCCCATTCGGGTCGTCTGCATTTCCGACACACACACCCTCAAGTGGCCCGAGGTGCCCGATGGCGACCTCTTGATCCACGCCGGCGATTTGGCCAACGATGGCTCCGTGCGAGAGATCCAGGCGGCCGTCAACTGGCTGCGCAGTCTGCCACACCCACATAAAGTGGTCATTGGCGGCAACCACGACAGCTACTTCGATGCCCGATCGCGGCTGGAGGAAGATCGCGATGAAGGAATCGGAGCAGGATCGTCTTTTGCCGCTGTCTCTGCATCCACAGCTTCGATCCGGTCCCTCGATGATCGAAACGCCTCGCGTATCGACTGGGGCGATATCCACTACCTCCAACACTCCGCTGTGACCCTTGACTTCACAGCCAAGAACCGCGATCGCAGCAGCAGCAGCACACCTCTCACTAGCGACCGCACCCGCTCCCTCACAATCTACGGCGCCCCGCAAGTCCCGGCACTGATGCCTTTTGGGCCCGAACACGCCTTCACCTACCCTCCCCAGCATGATGCCTGGTCCCGCACCGTTCCCTCCGACACAGATATTCTCGTTACCCACACACCTCCTCAAGCGCACCTGGACATGTCCCCGGTTTTTTCGACTGGCTGTCCAAACCTCCTCGCCGAAGCTTGGCGTGTAAAACCCGCCCTGCACGTCTTCGGCCACATCCATAACTCCGCCGGCCGCGAACCGATCTTTTGGGACGAGGCCCAGCTTGCCTGGGAGCGTCTCTGTGTCTCTCGCCGTCCACGTGCGAAATATAGCCGGATCCTCGCATTGGCCGGCTTCCTGCGTGACCTCTTTGATCCGGCGAGTTGGGTCGATGCTGCGCGGGTGTTGGTGTATGGGGTGCTTGGTGTTGTCTGGTCGCAGGTGTGGGGGGCGAGAGTCGACACGGCAGCTGGATGGTGAATGCTGCTTGTATGTATCGCAGCAGTGGACGGCTGGGTAATCCGCCTCAGGTGATTGAGCTGTAATTATGTCTGGGAGACTTGCATAGCCTTATTTTTTTGCTGGGATACGTCCCCCTTGCACTGGATTCAAACTGTATATAGGAGTCTGATATCTGTTGAATCATAGCCCACCACTTAATGACCTTGAATTTCATGAAGAATCCTCTGAGTTGTCTGTAGCTTTGTAGCTTTGATTGCCGTACGTTTAAACCCTAGAGTATGGACTTGTAGAAAAAGACCTTGTGATGTCTCCGCACATTTCAAAGGCTGAAAGGGGCAGTAAGTCAGACTGTAAGCTGTCAGCGACGGGCATTCATGCGTTTCATGCATCTACCATGCTTCTGCTCCTGTAGGGATTAACTGATGGCTGGAACAAATGGATCTGACCTCCGCCTCTCTGGCAGCTCTGATTTGCTGATCCGATCTAGGGCGGTTGAGATTTTTGGGTCATTTAACCAATTAGTAGTAGAGCGCAGCAAATTACCAGGTCGCTCCAATAAATACTAAAGTGTAGAACAATAAGCCTTGAATACGAAAAGTCACGTGGAAGCTCGACCTGTTTCGGATTGAGCCTAGATCCGCTTATTAACACAGGATGCGAACAATAAGTTAGTTAGTTACACGAATGCATGTGCTTTATCTTCCAACTTATAGGGAAAATAATGCAGGTCATGCAGGTGCAGAGAGGTCATTTGCTTTTTTTCCACTCAATGTGGAGTGTAATTCCCACATTCCCCCCGGCCGGGGGGGGGGATTCAAAAGAACAAAAGCCGAGGGAGAAGGCATTCAGAGCAGTACACAGTATAATACAACTGTCAACTGTTTGTTTGGTAATCTCAGCAGGCATTTTGAGTAAAAGATGGTCTCCTATGCTTTTAGACGATGGGCAATTCTTCAAGCTCATACATAGAGATAAAGCTATCATATTGCTGCAGTTTGAGCGTATCTTCAAGCCTTTGAGCACTGAACGATAAGCCACCAAGCCAATATTCCGTATGTTTGTCCTGGTCCAAGCACAACCTAGTCCAAAAATTCAATATCACACAGCCACACTCTACATCACCCCAAAGAATTTGAATTCGGGCTAAAGATCAAAAAATCCATCTTGTTGACCGCCGATTGCCAGCCCCACAGGGGTCTCGCTTAGAACACCTGTTCCCGATGTTGTGGGAAGCTGAAGATTGAGTTGGACTAATTGGAGTCGATCCCGGCAACTCATGCGACGCTGCCTTGTCCACTCACGTTAACATCGCGGGATTCTGCACAACACTCTCTGCACAACACTCTCCCTCTAAAGACCTGGCATACATCCAGAATCCTTTTGCTGTGTTGACCACTGACAGGTAAGACATCTGCAGAGCTCGCATAATGGCGTTCTTCAGCCCAGCCCATTCGATCTACGCTCGCCGTCTCCTCCCTCCCGCTCACTCCACTCCCCACCTCTACCAAAATAGGAAATAAAGATGGATATCATTATACGAGCTACTATCTTGGCACTCGGCACGGCACGCAAGCTCAGCTGAAGAAGGCTGGGTGCAGCCCTACCAATCGCCAATATGACAGTGGACAATCTTGCCATGCATGACGCAGCTCAGCTGAGAAGAGCAATGGCATAAATTCCCCGATCTCCTTTCTTCAATCTCGAAGAGACACCCTCCCCAACACCGAGAATGCAATTTTTTACCTCCCTCGTGGCGCTCAGCGCCCTCGCAATCCCCGCAACTGCAGTCCCGCACGCAGCCCGAGACACGCAGGTACATTAACAACATCAACACCAAAACCTCACTATAAGCCAACTAACAATAACAATTTGACAGTTCAAATTCCCCTCCCACTGCTACCCAAACCCCTGCGCAAACATAACCTCAACAAACGCAACCTACGTCTGCGGCGACTCACGCCTCGGCCCGGTCGTACCACCCAAGAAATTCCCACTACGCAACGAACTCCGCACCTACGCACGCTTCGGCAACCTCTGCCCAGCCGAATTCCTCACCAAATGGGCCGGCTCAACCTCGGCGGAGCAATGGTACCAATACCCACCGTCCAACGGCTTCGTCGAAAACACAGCCGGCCAGGCGATCATCGGCAACACCACACTGCCAGTCGGACAAAAGGTCGACCGGTTCGGCTCGGAATATGGCACCTTCCTTGCCCCGCTGGGCGCACCGTATATTGAGCGTTCGCTGCCGCCCTCGAACCTTGATACCTTTGATGGGGATTATCCGTATAATTACTATGTGTACCAGGTGACAAAGAGTTTTGTTGTGGGATTGGGGCCTATTGCGCCTTGGTTTGAGCAGCCCGGTATGGGAACGCAGTTTGTTACGTATACTAATGTTAAGGGGTTGATTGAGGAGGGCTATTTGAGGAGGCTTAAGCCTGAGGAGTATGATGAAAGGGTTGAGTTTTCGAATGGGTATACGCCTGGTCCGGGGAATTCGACTGCTTAGGTGGTGGAGTGTTTGGAGGTGTGTGATTGATGGTTTATTGGTGTTGTAATGTTTTGGACCTGACCGTGTCGAGGGGGTCCGGGCTTGGGGAAATTCCAGTATATATAAGTTGCCTATAAGTTGAGCTTCGTAATTAGCGACAATCTGCATTGATAAATGTGGAGGCATAGCTTAATGAATGAAGATCACGGCACTTTTAAGTTATAAGGTTTTGTGGGTGTATTCTGGTAGAATGTGGGTCATCTCCAGATAGAACCAAGGTTGAAGTGTATACCGACGGAAGCTGAAGAGACCCTGAGCCAGTGCAAGAGGCACGTATATTGCGAATCGCATTGGACAGGTCAGACATGTGAAGTAGGGCTGTTGACAGAGTCTTGAAGATCAGCGTCTGTATCTGTCAATTGGTTCACATCGGCGTCGAGGAGGAGAAAGGAGGGGGGTTCTATTGATAGTTCGCGCTGTCATTGCAGGGTAGATGATGAGCACTTCTTGTTCGTTGGGTTATTCACTGGCCATGATCTCTGGTCGTCCGGTTGTTCTCGATCATATATGCGAAGGAGACTGTTAAAGAAAAGGGTCTGCATTTATATCCAAGGAAAGGCAATGACACGATGATCTTCTTCAGCATCAGGTTCACTCTTTCTTCATCGTACTCAAATTTCTGGCATTTCTGACTACAATGACAGTCACAATAAAGGAATAAGAAGTATATCGGGTAAATAAGATGGCAAAGGATATGTTGCCAATAAAACGGAGGTGTTTGGCAAGCAGGAGACGCGATGTGCATTGTGGGCTGGGAGGCGTATTCTTTGGCATCCCCTTCGTGGGATTACTTTTCATAATCGCTTGGGTCAGGAACTCGAGCATGAAGAAGAGGCCGCTCATCCTGAGGCCTTTCCTTCCTGTTCAGGTGTACAGCGCACCTGCCGTCACTGACTCCCAACTCCAGAAACGGGCTAGCGTCTGTAATATATCACCTGTCTACCAATTTTCCATCTCTTTTCCTCTTCACATTTTCGCTTGGTGGACGCGATCATGAAGGCGGCTACCACATGTAACCCCACATTGTACAGCGCGGTGGACTCATGCCTGTTGAGACGTCCGGTATCTCGTAGGCGTAACCTTTGGCACTCCATTCGTGGGATTCTTACTCTCTATCTGGTACAACTAATCTTCTTGTCCAGGATCATTTCCACCAGCTTCTGCAAAACCGAAGCTCGCCCGGGTGTCTGCGATCATGAAGGCAACACCACAATCCTGCATTGCACAACGCAGTTAGTTCGTCCAGCTACCTTTGGAAGCTGGGGGGCGAATTCTTTGACTTCCTCCCCTCTGGGGATTCCGCACTTGGTCTTTGACTCAATCCCCTCTAGGGGTCACTGAGTGTTCACAGCTCCGGGGGCTGCGATCATGACGGCGGCCACCACAGGTACCACCGTATTGCACAGCGCGGTGGAATCCTACCTTGTTGAGATAACCGGGTATCTCTCGGAAATATTCTTTGCACCTTCCCCTTCGGGGATTCATTACTACACCCTGCCTGGTACAACTAATTCTTCTTCTATAGACCACATTCTCACCAACTTCCCAAAACTCAAGCTCGTCCAAGTGTCTGCGATCAAGAAGGCAAGACAATACACGATCCTGCATTGTACCTGCAGTCGATGAACGTCCAGCTACCTTCAGGAGCTGGAGAGCTTATTCTTTGACACTCCCTTCTTGGGATTCCTTTTTTTACCATGCCTTGAGTCAAAGACTTAAGTATGGAGAAGAGATCAGTATTAAATTACCAGTAGTTCTCTTCAAAAAGGGGTTGTCTGGATGTCTTTGTGGTTTAAGCTCCAGAAAGCTACATTCGCACAGTGCAAGCAGTCTTTAACAGCAATACTCGCTATGTATCAGGCGCATTAACACTTTCGCACACGTATAAAAACACTCATTCATGCGATATTTGAGTAACAGTAAGTGTCCAGTATTCTATTATACTGTTGATTCTGTGCTAATGGTCGGGTGATTGGGCTCCCTAACCGACGCACGGCACGCAAAATATAATGCCAAGACTGCATGTAGACAGCAGTTTGGGGGTGGGCGCAAAGGATGCATCCTTCAGTGTAAAGCAGTTAGATTTGCGATTGTATTTGCCATGAAGGCTTGCCAAACGGGCGTTTTATGGGGTTCGCTTGCATCTGTGTTTCCCCATATGGAGTACAAAATCTTCATGTTGCATTTGTTGTTTACTGTTAGCTAATAGCCTGGCACCAAGGAAGCTCGCTAGGGCTGTGTGCTGACTTATAATCTATTGATGCAGAAATATATATCCGCACTGGCGAGTTTTCCGAACCAGGGTTCGATCAGACAACAAAATCTCGACAATTAGTCACAAATTTTGGGATCAAAACATTGACAATAGCATTCATATTTAGTCCACGTGTTCTGATTGCTACAGTTTAGTTGTCAATCCTCCGATTTGTGTCCTCACCTGGGCAGGTCTACAAGTCTTCCGGAGCGAACGAAAACAGCATGTGGAGGCACAACAAACACCTGCACCCAAACACAACTCTGTCCCAAGTCCCCGGGAACGCGGGCAAGGGATAACTGAGACCAAGACTAGTCAAAGATGGGGCCATATAGCTTGTTTTCAGCCAAGTGGTCAGCCCGCCAATTGTAGGGTGGAGTTCGATCGGTGCTCACCTTTGCACAGCTGCGAGTGTTGCACGAATGCGCCCGACAGGGCTGGCCAGGGATGAGACTGGATACCGCGTCAGTAGGGAAGGGACAAAAAAGGCAGGCCGAGCGAGGGATATTCTTCCAGAAGGGATATGGCTTCGATGTGCCCGGGAGAGCAGGCGACGCGAGGCATGTGTGCCTAAGGCTGCAAGGGACGATCGTTTAGTTAGTTACGTCTTCCGCGTCCCCTTTCTCCTTTTCTGGAGACGCGCGACCCAGTTTCAATCAAATTCGCCGGACAATCACAGCAGACATTCAGTAAAGTCGACGACGAGGGTCAAAACCGAATATCGTTTTAACAGTGTATACAAAAAACAACGGCTAACTCTTCAGATACGCATGCCAGCAGATCAAAAGGCCTGATTGGACGCCACCGTCGATCCCGCATTCAAAGACGGGGGCCAGGACGCCCACTTTCGACAGCTGCACAACAACAGCCAGCAGCATCCTCTCGAGCATCGGCACCACTGCAGTGACCAGTGCTTGATCCAGCCAGAGCACAATGCAACCCCCTCATCAAATTTCCGTCGAAGCCGACGCATCCGAGTCTCCACGTTGCCCCAATTTCTCCACACGAACACAAACCACCGCCCGTCGACCTGACCTACGGTATCCCTGACAGGCAGCGAAATACCTGATTCCGCCTTGTGAATACAGCAGACCGCTATCATTGGGATTCGAACAGACTACCGGGCTGGAGGGTAAGTATTCGAACCACAGGTGGGCGGGTTGCCACCGCGTCAGAGCTGGACAGCATACAACCGAGCTCGTACCGAGAGTTTGTCAGTTCCCTACCCAAAGGTACGCAGCCTGGCCTATCATTGGACATCCGAAAACCCTCGAGCAAACGCCCGTAGCTAAACTGGGCAACCGCGAATCGACGAACCGCGTCCCAAGCCGGCTACTTCGTCACTGCATGACGTTTTGGATCGACAGGCGGGGCTGCAAAGCAGTGCAAGACAGGGCACTATTATCTGTCCACTCCTATCTAACAACAGCACATTTAGCGAGCTATCAGCGCCATCTTACCCCTCACCCGGGCGTTGACAATGGAGATACACAGCGAGCGGGGGAGATAGCGTAGCCAGCATCATGGGGGCACGATGCGGAATGCTGTCCGTACCTTAGCAGGGTGTATATCCGAGGTCCACACACCACCGATTGAGCATCGAGTCCAAGTCGGACCCGCCCCGTCGATACTAGTCGGGTATACAAAGATCTCAGGCGTTGTCCGCAGCACAGCCGCACAGAAGCACACATGGAAAGCTTGAAGGAGCAAGAGGCCTGCTTTGATCAGACTGTCATGTCGAGTGAAAGGTTCGAGAAAAATTCCACGAGCGGAGTGGCCCCCATTATTACATGGCGGAGCCAGGCTGACGTCGTCTGTAGCCAATATCGAACAAGCGTTTCGGTCGCGGTGTGAGACAGCGTGGGGCGAAGAAAGAGAAGTGGTCCGTACGATACGAAGAGGCTACCCTACTTTTTACTCAAGGTCTGAATTAGCACGATTAGATTATTTTGAGGGACGTAGTAGCGACTAACTAAATTGGGCCTCAATTCGCCGGCACCCATGGGTGGCCCAAAATCCAAAAGATAAGCTCGAACTATACCAGCACTGAGCACAGCTGAGAGCTGAACAGCTGAACACTGGCCGAGATCAAAATTGAGACGAATCTCAGCACGAGAGCCTAGCCGAGCCAAGCAATGCACAAATGCATTCGGCTGTGCGCCCGAGACTTGCCAGAATGCGTGCAGAATGCTCCACCGCGGTTCAACCTACACTCTACCTTAGGACACACTATAGTTTAGTCGAGTCTATCATTTCCGCGGCCTACCATCCCTTCTACAGCTGACTAGGATGAACGAGTTGTTTTGTCTCTCTTTAGCGTGCAGTAGTTTGCCTGCGCAAGGAGGAGAGCAACACCGAATAATGCACATGCAATCTACGAAGAGATAGAGGCAGCAGCGTCTCCACCGGTCCCACTGATCCGCTCGCTAGTTTCAGCACGGCGCATTCTTGCATCATCGCCCACTGGCGCCGCTCAATTCGGGACGCGGTGACGGCTTCCCGATTGCAGCGTGCCGAGAGACTGCACGGAGGCATTCAGTGATCAACACTGAGTGGCATGATTGAACCTCATACACAATTGCAGATGTGAATACAGAAACACAGACCGAAATACTCGGCTGGCAGGCAAGGCGAAACACTATCAGCTACGGGCCAGATTATTGTCCCAGAGATCTGGGCGACTAAAAGCCGACTCCTTGCGGCCGTTTATTTCCTGCCTTCCAAAATGGGTGCATGAAAAAAATATTTTGGACCAAATCAAAACAAAACATTACACAATTTTTGTATTTCCCGCAGCCTTTTACGAGTCTTTTCTGGCTGCGGTATATGTTTGGCGAACACATACCAGCCATCCACCTCATCAGCACCGAATCAAACGCGATGAAAAGCAAGCGACCCTCTTAAAATTTCGCCCACCGAAGCATCGTCCCAGCTTGATGTCATCAGGGACGCAAACCGCCACGACCGAGCGGGGCCGCGAAAAATGCTTAATGTTGCGATGATTGATGCATCCGGCAGCTCCACCGGGCCCACCAAGTACATGGTGGACCACTGTACAGTACAGACGGCATCGTGCGCCTTACTCTACCTGACTCTCTGCTGCTTCCAGTGCTCACCCTTGGTGCGTGCAGAGACACGGGGGAGTATGGAGCCGCCCCACGATTGCATCTCTTGCCACATTCGTTGGACGCTGGAGCATTCAAATATGCCCTTCCTTCCCCCCAGGTTCTCCTTTCCTCTTCTCTCCGCGTGTCCCCATTCCTATCCTGCACTCTCGTCCCACGTGTCTCGTGCTGGGTAGGATCCAGTCAAGTCTTATATACGCTCAATACACATCTCTATACAGCTGAGATATACACACAATGGCGCCCTCCTATGCTGGTATGTCCGGCAGGCCGCTGTCGCTGACAGTGTCGACCATCGCCACGATGGGTTTCCTGTATGTACCCCTTCTGCACTACATTGCTACTTTATACTGACTCTGCTGTGCAGCCTCTTCGGCTACGACCAAGGTGTCATGTCCGGCATCATCTCCGCCGACGCCTTCACCGACGTCTTCACAGCCGCCAAAGGCGACAACACCATGCAAGCCCTAATCACCGCCGTCTACGAACTAGGCTGTCTATTCGGCGCCATGTTCGCCCTATTCACGGGTGACATGATGGGCCGTCGCCTTATGGTCATGGCTGGCGCCAGCGTCATGATCGTCGGTGTGATTATCCAGGTCACTTCGTTCGTGGGCCATATTCCACTCCTGCAATTCTTTTTCGGCCGAATCATTACCGGCATTGGCAACGGCATGAACACCTCAACCATTCCCACCTATCAGGCCGAGTGCTCGCGCACCAGCAACCGTGGTCTGCTGATCTGTATCGAGGGTGGTGTCATTGCCATCGGTACGATGATCGCCTACTGGATTGATTTCGGTGCCTCGTATGGTCCTCCCGACCTCGCCTGGCGATTCCCCATTGCTTTCCAAATCGTCTTCGGTGTTATTATCATCGTCGGCATGGTCTACCTTCCTGACTCCCCCGTTTCCTCATCTCCAAGGGCAAGGTCCACGAGGGCGAGTATGTGCTCGCTGCGCTGGCCGGCAGGGAGATTGATGACCGCGAGACCCAGGTCCAAAAGCAGCTGGTCATCGAGTCTATCGAGGCGTACGTTCCCCCTCCAACCCCTCATCCCAAAATAAAAAGAGCAATCGCTGACTGTTTCACAGTGCTGGTGTCGCCGAAGGTGCTGGATACTCCGACCTGCTCACCGGCGGCAAGACCCAACATTTCCGCCGCATGTTGATCGGTTCCTCCTCGCAAATCGCCCAGCAGCTGTCCGGCTGCAACGCCGTCATCTATTACCTGCCCGTGCTTCTCAAGCAATCCCTGGGCCAATCTGAATTCATGTCGATGCTAATCGGCGGTGTCAACATGATCGTCTATGCCATCTTCGCCACCTTCTCCTGGTTCTTCATCGAAAAGATCGGACGCCGCAAGCTGTTCATCGGCGGCATGACCGGCCAAATGGTGGCCATGATCATCGTCTTCGCCTGTCTTATTCCCGGCGGCACCGGACCCGCCAAGGGCGCCGTCTTCGGACTCTTCTTGTACATGGCCTTCTTCGGCGCCTCAATCCTCCCCCCTTCCCTGGCTATACCCCGCCGAGCTCTCACCCATCCGGACCCGCGCAAAGGCGAATGCCGTCTCAACCTGCTCGAACTGGCTATTCAACTTCACTGTTGTGATGATCACGCCGGTAATGGTGCAGAACATCCACTGGGGAACGTACCTCTTCTTCGCAGCCATGAACGCCATCTTCATCCCGCCGATGATCTTCTTCTACCCCGAGACAGCTGGCCGCAGTCTAGAAGAAATCGATCTCATCTTCGCCAAGGGCTACTGCGAGAACATGTCGTATGTGCGTGCGGCTAAGGAGCTGCCCAAGCTTTCGGATGACGAGATTGAGCAGAAGGCGCTCGAGTATGGATTCGGTGGGGGTGATGGTGGTGCGGATCCGGAGAAGGGTCAGCCTCCTTCTTCGACTTCTTCGCAGCAGCAGGAGAATGCGAAGCAGCAGGGGGGGAACAGTGGGTTTGCGCAGCAGTAATCTCTGTCCTGCAGTGTTGTGGTTGAATTGAGGGGGAGTGAGTGCGGCGCTGCGCGCTGTCATGCCAACAGTTGGTCCCAGAATGGCCGGTCCTGTCTTATATACCCATTGTCGATTTAAAAGTGCTATGTTTTATGATTTCATGCCAGATGAGGCATGTGAATTGGCTATAGCCGTTGTAATCTAGACTACCCTAGACAATTCTCTTTTATTTACAGTGTGCTCCGAACTTGTAGATGTCTGGGAGAAATTGTTCAGATGAAAATACAAAGGTAGTATTTGTTTATTCATTTTTACTTTTTATTTTTATCTATTTATTTATTCATTTATTTATTTTTGAATTCTGTCATCCCTCTGTGTTCTCTGCTGAAGTGTATTTATGTTCTGTTTACTTTGTCCCCTGTATCGATTACTCCCGCAGGGCAACCCTTGGTTCTGCGGCGGCTAAACTAGAGTAGCCTCGGTCCCTGCATACAAGTATATTGTGAAACACCACCATTCTGCAGATTGTTTACTTGACCTATCACTTTACCTTCTACTTTACCTAGGTACATTAAAGTGCGTAGCATCGTCGAACTGCTCTAGGCTACCCTCGCACATTGCTTGGTGCCGAGGCGTAGGCAGATGACGCGAACGCGATCGGCTGATCCCGCAGCAACCTGTTTTCCCTCTTCTCCTTTCACCTTCACACCTCTCACCCGCCACATCCCATCCGCACTCACCCAGCAAATTCGCATCAGATTTCAGTGCAATTTGAAAATCTCTCTTGTCTCCCTGATCTCGGAATCTCACCGGGGGCACGGTATGCGCCTCGTACTCCCCCGCACGACTCGGGCGCGATGAGGGGCGCTATCGATGCCAAGCTCGTCATCCTGGGGGCGCAGGGTGAGTTCTCTTTCATTTCCCAGACACAGGAACATGAATAACTAACTGATATCGCAGGAGTCGGCAAGACGTCGCTCGTTCGGCGCTACCTCAAAAATACCTTCAACCCATCGACCACCCACCCCACCGTCGGCGCCGACTTCGACACCAAGCAACTGCGCGACGCCTCCTCCGACACAACCATCCGCCTCCAAATCTGGGACACAGCGGGACAAGAACGCTTCCGGAGCATCTCGCGACTCTACTACCGCGGCGCCGACGCCTGTTTGTTGGTGTACGACATCACCAACGAAGCCAGCTTCGAAGAACTAACCGGCTGGCTCCGCGAACTTCGCGAAGAACTTGGCGACCCGAGCCAAAACCCAGTCGTCATCCAAGTCGTGGGCACAAAGACTGACATCGTGGCCGAAGATCCAAGCCGTCGGGAGGTCCCCTTTGAGCGGACAATCGCCTACGTCTCAGACTTCCTGTACCCCTCTCCGCCCCAGACGGCCGATGCCCCGCGCGCGTCAGCCCTGAGTTTTGCGTCCGGCTTCTTCAGCTCGACTTCTGTCGCTGTAGCCAACGGGGCCTCGGTGTCTGGTAGTCGAAGCACGCTTCTCACGCCATCGTGTGCAATCCAGAGTCCTGACAGCAAGCGCAGCTCGACGTTCTGGGGCCAGGATATTGGTTGGGATAGTTGTCATGAGATCTCGGCTAAGGATGGCGAGGGTATTGAGGAGGTGTTCCAGGTGATTGCGCGGAAGCTCGTGGAGCAGCATCATCGCCGTGCGGAGAATGCGATGCACATGGATAATCCTGATCCTCAGACTGTGAGACCTGGCTCGGCGGGGGCTAAGAGACGGAGTTGGCTTGGGCTTGCGTCGCCTAGTGTGGTGACTGTTACCGAAGAAGAGGAGGTGGGAGCAGGAGCACGCGGGCGGCAGAGCCGCTGCTGTTAGAGGTGATAACTGATGGCCCGATGATCATAGGTACGTTCGCCCTGTGATTTGGTTTGGAAATTTTTTTTTTTTTTTTTTTTTTTTTTGCGCCTTTTTCTGTTTACGCCAACATTCGGGCGGCGTCTGGTTTGTTTTAGGGCGGAGATCTCGTTTGATAATGTTTTACGTGTTTTTGATTCTTCATCCATTCTGCATGTTGTGTGATTTCCAGCTCATCCTGATCTATTTGCGCCTGCAACTGCTTAGAGCTCAGTATGTTGCCACCCTCTAATTACAGGGCAGCGGAAGCATGATTAATCCATTTCTTGTTGATCTCGTCGATTTCGCATATGTACTTTTGCTGGTATCACGTGGTTCCTCGGTGATGGCACTTGTGTTCCAGGCATGCTCATACGAGTCGTTCCAGCAGGTAAATGGGTGCTTGCTGGTCTACATACCCACAAGCCATTAGAATTCTGAAATTATGTCTATTTCTGAGTCATACTGATCCTGAAACGGCTCCTGTAGGCCCAACCCGAATCTTCTCTGTTATATGTACCCGGGTGCGATCGACAGGTGGCGACAACCCCTTCTTTACAGTACTCTTAAAGTAAATAATATACCCTAGCATACGCACCAAGTAAGTAATTAAAGTCCCTACCTCGGTAGATCGTAAACAGTGCCGGCAATGAATGACATCAGGGCGGATCCGGTGGGTCGCTGTCACTCTCATTCCGGGGTGTCGATCGACTACTCCATAGGATAGTATTCATACTCAACATAGTACAAATACACTACATATCGACACAGTTGAGTGTAAGGGCAGATCTAGGCTACAAATAATTCACCCGGGTAAATCGCACCTCGCTTAGCCTCACCTCCGTAATCAAATCTACGCGGGCTAATCTCCCCCTCCCATTCGGCTCAGCCTCATGCAGCACCTGCAAGCCCGGGTTAGCGCAGCAGCAGCCCAATCACTCTCAGCAGAGGTCTGAGTAACCCAATCATGGTCCCTGTCACTTCTCCTCCAAGCTGGCCACTGGCTAGTAGCTTGCTTGCTGGCACAGGCTAGCCAGCAACATTTGCGAGAAGTCTGTGCTGACGACGAGCTTGCCCAGCCCGGATGGCTACTTCCCAAGATTCCCTGCTTTTCTGGGCATTCTTCTTTCATCTTCACATTTGTTCAAGATCATCTAGCCCATCGCCTAGCACTGGCAGTTCGTCACATCCCATCTCGTCCCATCCACCACCGTGCCGCTAAGCGCCAGCTAAGACACTCTCGTATTCGACCTGACTTCCATATCTCACGTCCTCTCCACTCCGAATCGGCATGTCTGGGGTGGAGGTCGTCGCTGTTGTCGCGTGCGTAGCAGCCGGTACGTTCATTGCCCTCCACACCATAGAGTACCAGTGACAGCCCAGCCGCACCGCAACCACTCGCATTCCATCCCAATACCTCATACACAGAGCGAGCTAAGAGAGATCCACTAACCACAACGACAGTAATATCTGCCTACCACGACGGCAGCCAAGTATTCAGCGAAATCCGACGCAAATGGCGCGAACGACGCAACTCCCATCCACAGGCTTCCTCAGCAGTCGCCACAGACCTCGAATACTCGCTCCAACGCAGCAGAGAAGACATCCTAACACAGTGGAATGGACACGTCAGCCGACTAGGCCACCGCTTCGAAATGGGCGACGACATCGCCCAGGCCACGATGAAAGACATCCTCATCGGGCTGCAGATCGCACTACTGACGCACCTCCGCGAGAATGGCGTGCACCTGGACATTTTTGCCCTGCTCAACGTGTCGGACCTCAGTCGGGCTCGCACGATATCTGCTCTGCATGAGCTTTACCAGCGGATGGCACAGGCGGCGCCTATACCGTGGCATATGACTTCGCCCGTGCCGCCGGGACTGCCGGTTGTTGAGCCGGGCTCGGGGTTGGCGAGGTATATTCTTGATATTGAGCGGTTGTCGTCTGCGTCGTCACATTCCTATCGATATGGGTCTGGGTCTGCTGGGTATATGGAGCAGCAATGGCGTGGAGGTAATATCTCGACGGCACGACCTTCGCCGCCGGGGAGGGTTTTCAGTGGGAGTATATCCAACTCGCCGCCGGATATGTATCGGGCTCCGATTGAGGGACCATCACCAGGCCAAGGACAGGGCCCGCGAGAACGCAGATCATCAGCATTCAGCTCGTTCAGCTCGACATTCAATACCTGGCTGCGCGAGAGACGTCGCTCATCCGTCGAATCGTCCGGAGGCATCGAGCGAGACGACCGATCCGACATCGCAGCCATCGCCGGCCTACCTTCACCTCCACCAACAGCTCACAATGAAGCTACGGCCACAGCCACAGCCCCGCGCCCAATCCCGCGTCCAACACGCGCAGAACTCGAAGCACCCGCCGAAAATGACGAATTAAACCTCAACCCCTGGATCTCCGTAATGGACGAGCGAACGCGCGAAGAACTCGAAATAGAAGAAGAGGTAGACCGGCAGGTAAAGACACCTCCTCCAATCTGCGCCGACACATCTGTCTCAACCCTCGCCCCAAGACATCCGAGTCTCAACCTCTCGGGGCCCCCTCCCTCAACGCACAGCGACATCTCCAACGAAAGCAGCAGCTCCTCCCGTTCCAATGATATCCGGCTCATCCCCCACAACCCAGGCATCTCACTGTGGCCACCAAGCCGAGACAATGACTACGCAGGCTTCTGCAAAGGCGCCTGGAAACTCAATTCCGGCTTCGAGGGGTTCAAAGTACACAACGTTCCGATCGGGTACTACTCGCTCGTCCCGAAATGGAAATGCACAAACTGTTTCTTCGACATGCCCATCTCCCCTCCTTCCACTTCTTCGAGTCACAAACCCACTTTCGACGAGAAAGTCTACACACACCCCCCTCTCGCATCCGCTACCGCTGGAGTTTCCTGGCAAAGAGCCACATCGGAACTCGGACACGGCCTGCGCCGGGAGATAGTCGGATCGGGACGTTTGGGTGCATGTTCTGCTGTTTTGAGAGTGATCGGTCGGTGCTTGCGTTTGGGAGTTTGGATGTTTTTTTGGCGCATATTGGGGCTTCACATCGCGGGTTTGCGGGAACTCTGCTGGGAAACACAAGGTGTATTGTTGGACGGGTGGCTGAGGTGGAGGAGGAGTTTGATATTAATATTCTGCCTGCTTGCCCGGGGTTATGAGGGATTGGCGTTGATTTTCGGTGCTACTATATTGTCGGAGTATGGCGTTGGGGTTTGTGGGACAATCTGCGGTTGGACTGGGCTAAAACTTCAATCTATGGTAGGGTAATTTAGGTTATTTTGTGATACCCTGCAAGCCTGGTAGTAAATTAATGACTCCTACATATTGGTCTACAAGTAAACTAATCAGGAATCTCGTACTTGAGATTGCCGATCGCCCCACGACGTGCCCGAGCACAAATCCAGATCTGCCTTACTCAGTTAGTGGTTAACCTGAGGCAGGAAATTAGGGCATCGGAGAATTATGATCTCTCTCTCTCCCCCCTCTCTCTCTCTCTCTCTCTCGCGATCTCGATGATTAAACTATTCCCCCTTCCCTGCAGGGACGCGTGGCTGCATTTCCTTGCGTCTCCATCCTAATCTACTGTATGTACTAAGTACCGGTACTTCTTCTCCCATACTAAATCTGCAGTAGAGAAAGTACCCCCCGACGCCCCACTGCTGGCTGATCGGCCAATGTGCGGCCATCTGTAATCACGCCAACGCGCCAAGCCGAAATCTCCCCGTTTCACCCCTGAATCTTCACTCTTACTCCAAAGGTGGAGGGGGAGGCGGACTGCTGAAACGGGGACGGACGGACCTCTTACTAGCAAAGAGGGTCGCACCGTCTCACATGTCGCTCATTCCAATACGTACTGAATATTAAGACCCTGCTTTATCTGCCAGTATCAATTGAACCCTGATCGTCCCACCTCCGAGTCTGTGCAGGGTGGATTCGACTTTCTCCAGGCTCCACCCCGATTCGAGTCTGGCCGGGATTTTTGGGTTGACCAGTTTGGCTGTCGCGGCAGAATCTACCTCCCCCTTCTATCTTCATTCCTCCTCCCCTCACCATCTCCCGACCCCCCTTGTCCGCAGATAGTGGCATGCCATGAGGCTCGCATATCGTGTCGGTGCGGCCGTCGCACTCCTGCTCTTCTCGCTCGTCTTGCTTAACCGCCAATTCCACGCCACCACCAACGTCCCCAAGTCCTTCTGGCACTTCGACACCACCTCTTTCCGCACAGCCCTGCGCCCGCAGACACAGGGCGCTACCCGTCGCAAATGGGGCATTGGCACCAACAACAAGAATGGCGTCGTCTACCAGAAGACGGCCATCGAGGTCCCGAATGAGGGGATTATTGTGATGGGCAAGATGGCCCACGAGGATACGGCCTGGGTGTCTGCCGAGTTGGCGGAGTGAGTCGCCTATTAAACAACAGGAAAAAAAAAAAAAAATATCGCTAATCCTCTCTGTTAGATGGCGCAATTTTATCTACACCGTCGACGACATCAACGCCCCAGTCCACACTCGCTCCAACAAAGGCCGCGAAGCCCAACCTTACCTCCAATTCATCGTCGACCACTACGACGACCTCCCCCGGTAATCGTCTTCCTACACCCACACCGCGACGGCTGGCCCATAGCCTGGCACACCGACACAATGGACTACAGCAACGTGGACTCGATCCGGGCCTTGCAACGCGACTGGGTGCTTCAGCAAGGCTACGTGAGTCTGCGCTGTCAGCTTTCCCCCGGCTGTCCGGCGGAAATGCAACCCTTCCGCAAGCCCGCCAAGCCTGGCAACAACGGCGAGAAGCACTACGCCGAAGCCTGGAAGGAACTCTTCGGCAACACGAATGTTCCCACGCAAATCGGCGCGCCGTGCTGCTCGCAGTTTGCTGTGTCCGCGGAACAGGTGCTGCAGCGTCCCAAGAGCGATTACAAGCGGATGCTGGATTGGGTGTTGAATAATGACTTGCCCGATGAGGTTACTTCGAACATTATGGAGTATTCGTGGCATATTATTTTTGGCAAGGATCCGATTTTGTATGCTCCCCTTCCGTCTTTCTTGGTGAACTTTTACTAACGGTTTTATTAGCTGCCCCGATACCTACCAATGCTACGCCGACGTCTACGGCGAAGAAGTCATCGTGCAGTGATGAGAACTCGAGCACCCTCTCCCGCCCTCTTGACAACATCTTCTTCATTCCTGTATTTTTCCTATACTTTCTTGCGGGAGACGCATTGCTTTGTACATGGCGTTCAGGGTGCGCATATTAGGTGTAAATGATTCATGGATTAATTGAATTCCCGAGCCAATCTGCCTCCAGTGTAAAGCCTACCTTGTAGAGAGAGAAGCGATAATCCCTGGAGAGTGTGAGTACCAGGTAAGCCTTTGAGAACAGAAAAAGGAAAGAGGCATGCCAATGCGCCTCGCCAAGCCCGGTACCCACGAGCGTCGCTATAATCTCGGCGTGTCTCAAGCCACGGCGCCCCTAGCCCAAATATATCTCCATGTCTTACTGTCATTAGAGCTGTGGATAATATGTGGTGGTTGACAAAGGCCCACTGGAATCGATAGTTTGGATATCATATTTATGGTAGAGTGAATAGTAGTAACGGTGTGGCTGTCCAAGTCTGTTCTATTTGTACCTGCTCAAGCTAATATCTGTCCGTAGCTGCCAGCTGCGAAGGGCATCCACCTACGCGATTTGATCCCTACTGAACACGACTCAGCTGATTAGACTGTCCTACATTGACATTTAATTCAAAATACCAGGAATAAAATCCTACTATCCTAAAATGCAAACAAATACCCATTTTGAACCCCACAATCCCCAGAAAACAAACAGATGTTTGCAACATTTTCACACTCCACCGATCGCCGATCCCGATCCGGCGCGAACATCGGCATGACATCATGCATCAATCAATCTTAACCAACCTCATCTCCACAACACTCCAAAAAATGTCCAAACGAACCCTCGACGCCTTCTTCAGCACAGCCAGCAAACGTACAAAGCCAGCATCCTCACAGAATGACCCTCCAACAGCACCCAGCAAGCATGAAACCTACCCCTTCCCAATCGCGTCCCTCCCAGCAAATCTTCAACTCGCGCTCAACGAAACACCTGCAGGGAAAGCACGCGTCATGAACGACCGGCCCGATCTAGACTGCCTCTACTTCCAGCCGTATATTCCGCGGGGGACGGCGAATGAGCTATTCCGCTTTCTACGTGCTGAAATTCCTTTTTATCGCGTTGTGTATTTTGCGAAACGGGGTGGGGTTGATGTGCAGATTAACACGCCGCGGTATACGACGGTTTTTGGGGTTGATGAGAGTGCTTTTTTTGCTGAGGCTCCGTCCGTCGATTCTGAGAATGGCGAGGGGTATGCTGCTGCAACCCCAACCGCGAAGACAGCAAAACCTGGTGAAGAGAAGAGCACAAATTCTCAACCCAAGCACTCAGAAAAAACATCATACAAGTCCCAAAACACCCACGATTCAGAAAAGGAGTACAAAACCAACAACCTGCGTCTCTATAACAAAAAAGACAATACCCCCATCCAACCCGGAAAATACGGGCACTCCCCCCGCCCAATCCCCGCCTGCCTGCACACCCTCAAAAAATCAATCGAAATCGCTACAAAAACCACTTACAACTTTGTGCTCGTAAACTACTACACAAACGGGAACGACAGCATCGCCTTCCACTCCGACGACGAGCGGTTCCTCGGCCACGAGCCGAGCATCGCGTCGCTGTCGCTGGGGGCTGAGAGGGAGTTTCTTCTTAAGCATAAACCTCAGCCTGCGCCCTGGAATCCAGCTACAGTGGAGAAGACGAAGCAATCTCCAACTGACATGATTAAATTACTTCTTGGATCTGGCGATATGATCCTCATGCGCGGATCGACACAGTCGAACTGGTTGCATTCTATTCCGAAGCGGAAAGGGAAGGTTCCTGTTGGTGGGAGGATTAATATTACGTTTCGACGGGCTGTCGTCCCGGCTGGGACGGATAATTATTATCATTATAATGTTGGGAGTGGAGGTGTGTGGAGGTGGGATGCTGTTAAGGGGGAGATGGTTGAGATTGCGTCTAGGAAGGATGAAGATAAGGGAAAAGGGTAGGGCTTTGGGCGTTTTGTGTGGAGCTTTGAGAGGTACTGGGCTTTTACAGACAGTATCATTGTATAATATAGAATACAGGCTGCGTGGTCCAGCTGTTTCTGGCTATAGCCATGACGACGAAAATGACGAAGGATGTCTAGGATATCAATGGAGACGAAGACAGGAGTGGCATCGCCGTCAATAAGAACATAGACCACAAAAAGCTGCCAATGAGAAGAAGACATAAAAGCAAGACCCAGACCATGCAAAGTATTCCTCCAACACGCAACGCAAGAGCAATTAACTATTGCCCCGAGTGAAAGGCAAGAAGCCAATTGAAAACGCAGCCCAGAATAGAGTACCGGACAGTAACTGACTTCTGACATGGACAGTATAAATAGTTGTGGCCTTGCGTACCTACTGCAGTACCTTACTCAACAAACTGTGAAGAAATTTCGTGGCCGACTACATTAATGATTGCAGTCGACGCAGGTGATAGGAGTGCTGGGAACACCAGGTAAGAGGGAGGACGGTGGTATGCTGGCTCTTTCCTGCTTAGGAGAGCGACTGGGATTGAGGATGAAGGTGGGAAGAGGAAATTCAAGAGCGGGATCCTCATTGTATGGTATTCTTGCTTGATTGTGTCTTGCTTTTTACAGGCCATACAACTTCTGATCGCGTCCAACGTCCAGGAATCTGAAGGGAACGCCTACTTGGTGTCCGTAGATGGTGATCTGTACGATGGGAACGCAACCCCGGCATCCTCGAGCGACCTTCAGGAACATCAGTACCAAATAAATGACAGTGAATTGAGAATTACAGAGATCACATGCTACAAGGTGATGGCGGCGAACGAAAGGCGGTAAAAAGATGGGTGCCTGGTAAGCGAGGCGGACGAGGGTATAAATATCATCGACCACCCACTCCAAACTCTCCCTCCTCTCTTCACCCTCCCCTCCAGCCGGAATCCTGTCCACGGGAGGGTCATGACAACTCCATGGCCGGCTGGTATTCCGTGTGCAACAAGAAGGCAGCCTGTTAAGCCACATCAGGATACCATCTCTCCGTGCACGGAACTTTGCTACCGCCAGGACCGCAGAAAGTTGGCGGATCACATCAAGATGGTCAGTACATTCCCAACCCCCACTCTTCTCAATAATGCTTGCTGACGTTCTTACAGAATGCTGTCGTGACTCAAGGTACGTTCCCCTCTCAAATCTCTGCAGCACTTACTGACATCGACAGACCCTAGCAGACGCCCTCGCTCGCTCGCTCGTCACGCACACTAACTGCGAGACTGTTATGTCCCCTTGGTGCCCCCGACAGACTATCACTCCCTCAGCGGACAGCCCACCTGGGTAAGTGGTTAAACTGACCAACCACCCGGACAAATTCCAGTGGTTAAACTGTCCAACCACCGTGACAAGTGGGAATAAACTGTCCAACAACCTGGACAAGTGGTGAAACTGTCTGTCCGTTCATTAGGGATTGGGTTTTGGGTGGGCACTTTGCGAGGTCCCGGGAGTCGCGTCCCCCCGCTGGTTGAAGCTCCGCTCCCAGCGTGGAACCATCGGTAGTTTAAAGCTTTCATAGCGTTACCATGACTATCGATTGGTTGACCGTATAAGCTTGCGTTTTATTTGTCTTGTAGATTGTAGAAATTCGACTTGTACGATGTTGTAAATCTGTAGGTGACGGCTGTAGAAAGCTCGACTATTCGGGTATAGGCTGCTTCCCTCTTCCACCGTCTCCGTCATCACAACCCCGACTGTTTCATTTCTTACAAGCTCACATCTTCAAGCTTACTCGCAGTTTAACAGCAACAACCTCATCTCGTCGAGTATCTGTCAGGCGGTTTGAATCGACTGACCTCACCACACTGATCAACCACCCAACTCTGGAACAGCCCCTTCCCCCACCAACGCAAAATAGTCACCAGGATACCATCACAGCCAGTATAGATGCCTGTCTGGAATGCGGTGCCTGCTGTCTCTCAAACATACAGAAATACTTAACACCCAAAGCTCCGTGGATGCCTTCTCGATAACGATCATTCCTCGTCAAGTACCCGAGTCAACGGCCCTTTTAAAAACGCTGCTCAGCCGCCATCCGCTTATCTCTCCTGTGCTGACAAGTCATTTTGACCTTGACAAATTCACCTACGGACTGGAACAGCATCGAAACCGATATCACTGTTGTGACCTCCCACGCTTCCCGAATCCAACTCCAACGCACATCAACTTTGTCGCGTCCACCGAGCTCACCCACACGGTTTCATAAGCCGAGTCAAGCGCTATTAAGTTATATTGTCCTATTGAAGAAGCATACGCATCATAACTACTTATTCCTCCAGGTACGTCCATCCCGGCCGACCCACGGTACGACGAGCTTCTCCCGCTGGGTCCTGACACTGCGAACCAAACAATCCCACACGCCGGGAGCAACAACAACAGTTACCACAGTATGCATTGCCAGCACAACAAAAGCAAAGGTAAAAAGAGGGAAAGGTAGGAGTTGTTCTAACCATTCCTGAACAAGGAGGCTCGCTCTTCAAATGATGGACAGCGAGCGCCGTTCTTTATGCATGCAGAGAAAACATCGCTGAACTTAATGCTAATCAAACCAGATAAGTCAAACATCGAATATGCTGTCGATAAACTGGAACTCCACTGATGTCCTATGATACTACCGGCCTCGAAGGGGATCAAGCAACTCCCGAACGCTCCCTCGAAAGGTTTGTATCCCCTTCCCAACTGGCGGCAATGCCTTGATCACGCCAGCCGTTCCTCCAATATGCCGGCCCGACTATGCACCACCCTCCCCTTTTATCCTTGTCTGGCCAGTGATGACTTTGCAATATGTTATAAGAGCTCTCATCGAACGATGCATCATAGATGCAAATGACCTACATCCTTGCGTCTGAGGCCCTCTTTTCCATACCCTACCACCATCGCACTGCACCTCGAATGTTATTTCTGCATGGCCTCCTGATAAAGCTAAATAAGTAAACTCGATAGGTTAGTAACGATTTCCAACTGGTGACGATGCCTCGATCAAACCGGCCATTCCTCTCGCAAACGGAGCGAACGCGGTTACATGTCATCCTTCCTTCGACAACGGCTTCGCCTTTGATTGCCCAGGGATAACTGATGATTCGACATTGTATGATGTATCATAAACCCATGCTACTAAGAATACGATTTGAGAATCACCTCTGAGTTCCTCTTCACAATTCCTGTCATCTCTACGTCTCGATCCTTGGTTCCTTATTTCTGCACCACGAGAGAGGCGATGGCTGAGGTCAGCATCGAAGTTCATGGGAGTGAGAGCTGACCACTTCAAAAGTTGAACCAGGTGAGAAATCCAGAGTGCATTTATGCAGGGTGTCTACCTATTGAAGACGGTGTACGAAGTATAATGAAAGGTTCACAGTATAAACCAATTCCTACAACAGTATCACCATTTGATGGACTGATGGCCCACATTCAGCTAGACATGGAATCCAATAGTCTGCTCTCTACACCCCATATACCATTCTCGATATTCAGTCATGGCAGGACCTTTCAGGAGGCTACCTATAGTTTAGACTGCGGTGTTCAAGCTGGAGCAAGGAAGCAACGTTGGCAAAGAACGCGGCGATGTAGGTTTTGAAGAGAAGAGTAAGTGAATAGAGATCATTGAAAAAGAAACAAAAAATATAGAGTAAGCGGTCATCGTTTGCGTTAGGTTATCACTGTTCGTTGCGTGAGGTTGGTGGCTGTGAATGCTGGGTGTTGCAATTCATATTGACACTCTCCGCCGTGTGAACTTCTTCCCTTCTTCGCCATCCCGGAGCCCAGAAACTCACCACTCAAATTTATCCGGCCTTCGCCGAGACCATAGATATGGCCTCCCAAGCCGATTCCAATGCTTCTGGAACCCCTGATCTCAACGTCGCACCCGGGGTGTCCGTGTCGCCTACCGAATCCGTGGCCATCGGTGCCCATATCGATGGTGCCGACTCCCATCACCACCACCATGGGGATGATAGCCCGAATCCTCTTATCAACTTCCCCGAGGGAGGTAGCCCCCGGTCCAATACTGCCAGTGCCAATGAAGTGAGCCTTGACCTCAATACAGTGTCCAGCGACCCCGAGGAGGTCGCGGAGCAGTGGGCTCAGCTCCGACGAGACATCGAGAAGCAAGTGGTCAGTTATCAACCCTGCCCTCCTCCCCCCACACAAGCAGCCCCGCTGAGAATACCTTGATAACGGTTTTCTAGGATATCCTCAGGTTCCGTCTCGATGAGGTTCTCCAGTCATTCCAGCCCACGCTCGAAGCGGGTCTGGAGATCGGTCCCGATCATTTCGGGATGCAGCTTTCCCGTGCCGTCGTGCGTGACGAGGTCGAGCCCGTTTTGGCCCTTGTCGACGAAGCGCGCCTTCTTGACATCTCGCATGAGATTCCCCCTGCCCTCGAAGAATACCTGGAGTCGATAAGTCCTGCAATCTGGAGTTTGATCGACTTTGCTGGACAAGAAGGGCCTACATACCACGACTTGCTTACAGCTTTCGAGCCGGCAAACCCCTGAGAGGTCAGTCTAGATTGCCGTTGTCTCCGTGTATTCATGGAATTCTTCTGCTTGTCCCTTTTGTCACTTTCCTTTGCTGTATCCCTCGCTCTCGCATCAAAGGGGAAACTCATAGCAAAATACAAACTGCCAGGCCTGCTGCTTTTTTCAGTAAATTGGATTATTCCCATGATTTTATTTCTTCCTTACATAGTAAGGTAGTTAATGTAATATGCTAGTACCCAATATGTCCCGTCGTCAGCCTAGGTGCTCATCCTCTCCTCATCTGCAACCTTTTCCCCATGCGCATACAATCGCGACCCCCTCTTCATGACAGGCACGTTTCTGGAATTGAGGAACTACAGAATTGACAAGCATTCCAGCGTAATGTGCCTACAAAAATAATCCTTCGAGAAGGACTGCCTCTGTAGTCACAACGAACATGGGACCAACGCCAAGCGGGTGAACCTTTGACTATTCCAAAGAATTGCGCTGTATCATCTTACTCACCACTATTGTAGCTGCTGAGAAAGAACGGCGTCGTTCGTTGTGAAGGGTCAGTAACGTACGTGAGAACGTACGTGAGATGCCCGGGTCGATCGCAGGACGTGAGGCGAATTCTCACCCGTTCTCACCCCTGTCACCCAGGTCCAAAAACTTCTCACCCATTTCACCCTCACTCACCCTAAGGTGAGATCCACCGCTGGTTTAACAATCGAGGCTCCTGGGAAATTGACCGCGCATAATATGTGGCTTAAGTACGGCTGAGCGGACGGGAAGCCCTGTTCTCCACACCCTATGGTCGTATGTACCAGACTTCAGATGGAAGGGGCATATATCCCCAAAAATTCGACACCCAAGTGCACAAGGGTATTAACGGCCAGAGCTCCCTTTTCCTTTTTTCGTCGATGTTGATGCCCTATTTTCAATTGATGATCGATCCAACACCGAAAGACGAAAATTTACCAGAGATACAAATAACCCTTTTAAGTCCATAACACTTGTTGAGGCTAAGTGTTCAGCCACGTACGAGATTGGGAAACTTCTTCTGCCTTATACACTGAGGACTACACGGAATTAAAGCAGAAATTACCACCGCACCCGCGAGACATGGTAAGAGTGTGAGGATGTTCACATTACGTGATTCCAGTTCCGACCGGAGCAGGTGCTTCACACAGATACTAGGAAACAACGGAACATCCATTCAATTCGCAAGACACGCCTACTGCACAATAAACTGAGTCCCGTGTTCTTTGTACAAAGTGCTCGAATCCAGAATATCACCAGTCGACGACCGAATAAAGTCCACCTTCAAGTTCTTCTCATCAACAAAGGTGATGGACGCGTAGCTGTAATCATCCGCATACGCAAACTCAGTGTAGTCAGGCTTCGAGCCCACACTGCTCAAGCCCTCAATATTACCAGCACCGCCGGCGATGATATACATTGGAGCCTTGGGGTTCTCCATGCCGTTGACATCTGCGGTCCCATTCACCACTGGTGCAAAGCGCTGCGAGTTGTGCACATGGCCGAATACACCGAGGTCAACACCGTACTTGTAGAAGATATTCTCGAACGCAGCTTGGCATGAATCGCATCCATTGCCAGTGCCAGTGGTGTACCAGGGACGGTGACCGGCGACGATAACCCAGGGTGTAACACTGCGATCGACGCTCGCAAGATCAGCCTTCAGGAACTCGAGCTGTTGTCCGGACTTGCCGAAGGGGCCACTGTTGAGCTTCGCAGATCCGTCTGTTCCGTCTGGGGCATCGGGAAAGTCGGTCTCGGTGTCGATCATGACAATGTGCGCCATACCGTATTCGAAGGAGTACCAGAAGGGCGGGTTGGCGCTGCTGCGCGCCTTGGCTGCGAGTGCCTGGGCCGACTTGTTTGATGATGACGAGGCGAACGGGGTAGGCATGGTCTTTTCATAGCGGTGCATGAAGTCAGTGAAATTCTTCTGTCCCTCAGGGCAAAGTTCGAGAAGGTATGGGATCTCAGAGCAGTCTGCTTCGTGGTTGCCAGGGCTGGCCATGTACAGCTTTCGTCCGGCAATAGGCGCCAGCTGTTCGTAGAATTGTTCCAGTATGGCCTGGTAGGCCTCCTTGCCCTGCAGGATGTTGGAGAACTTGAGATACCAGTCATCGGAGTAGCCGAAATCGCCGGGGTGAATGACAATCTCGTAGTCATTGACGGTTTGTGCCAGACGGCCGATAGTGCTGTGGTTCAGCTCGGGCTCGACGACCGGAATGGTATCTTTCTTTTTGCTGTCGACTGTGAAGCCATCTCTGCCGTACACGCCAAGATCGATGACCACGTCCATGCTGAAGGAGGTCTTATCGCCGGGCGTGCGGGGACTCATGAAGTGACCCATCGTGGAGTTGCCGGACACAATCTTGTAATAGTAGGTCGTGGCAGGGGTGAGGCCGTTCAAGACAACCGCATTGGACCAGGTGCGAGAAGTGTCGTATGTGCTAGAGGCAGAGGAGCAAGAGCGGGAGGACAGGCTGCTTGCAGAGGTGCCATAGACCACACAGCTCTGATTGAGCTTCTCGTAGGTGTTCCATCCGAGGGACACAGCTGTAACCGGGTCAACTCCACGTTGAAGAATCATCGCAGGTGTTCAACTCACCATTAGGACCATACACAGCCAACCGCTGCTGGAAAGGCGTCGTCAAGTCCTCCGGAATAGCTGGATAGTTCACACCAGCCAGCGCGCTGGCTGCCAACAAGGGCAGCGCCTTGTAGACAGAGGTAATGCCAACCATGCTCGAGGAGTAAGCAGGACAACCGAATTTGTCCACAATGCAGTGTCCCTGACAGCATGACGGGCGCGTCGATCGAAGGATTTATATTCTGGAAGGCGTGGGTTCAGCCCGATACGCGTACAACATTGGCGTACCGATCAGAGAAGCCAATCATTCAGAATAGGAAACCCACGCCGTTCGCAAGGTCTACTACATCCATACCGATCGACGCGGCTAGGTGTGAGCGGTGCAGCATAGCGTGTCTGTGCCTGGTTCGAGTCGGAGACAGGTACAATTCGGGAGGGAATCCACCGACGATCGCAAAGACCCCAAGGAACTTTCGAGTTAGCCGGCGTTCGCTAAGCGATAAGCTTCCGGGCGTCGGAGGATCAAGCTCGTCTGGCACGTGGACCACGGCGGGTGTTTGACTGGTTTGCGCGATGTAAATAATGCCCCTAAGAATAAATGAAGGAATAATGGCGCGGCCCTGATTGCCGGAACAATTTTGGTGGGCTCCACGCGCGTTGTATCTACGGGTGGATCGGCCACTTGGTACAGGCTTAGCCTGCAGAAGCTACAGCTAACGGTCGCCTTGTCTAATTGTGTCACATTGACTATACCCAACTTACGGAGTCCGCCGATATTGCATATATGAATTACTGCACACCCGCCGTCTCCGCGATGCGCACAACATATTTCACAGCCGACGCATTGCCCGCCTGCAGGTCCTTCAATGCACTCTCCAGTCCAGCCAAACCACCCGGTCGCACCTCGTGCGGATGACCCGAGAACCAGCCCTGCGCAAGACCACGTCCGATCAGTGCGAAGAATGCGGCACCGAACTCGATATCGCCGATCGTCTTTCCTGCGGCAGCAGGCTTATGCACAGATCCGACATTGGTGGTAACAATTTCAACACCCTCAGGAACATCGCTGAAATCGCGACCCGGAAGAATCACTGTGATCTTCGCTGGTGTTGTCAAGGCAGCGCCGAGATTCTGATAGCTGCCCTTTTCGGAGACAGCGTCATACGCGTGGTGAATGGGGCGTCCACCAGCAGCAGCCTTGATGTTCTTGCGAACAGCTTCATCGCCTTCGCGGTAGTCGATAATCGTGTCGCCCTTTGAGCGGTCGATCAGGGTCTCCACGAACGGGGAACCCCTACCCGCCACAGCGATGACGGGGTGAATGTTCGACAACTGCGCAAACTTGATGGCAAAAGCCCCGACTGCAGATGCACCACCGTACACAACGAGAGGGAGCGACTCTGTCGCCGGATTCCAAGGCAAGGGCAAGTGAAGCTGCTGGTACAGGCCAAGAGCCGAGGTCATCGCCGCCAAGGGGATCGTGGCAGCCTCTGCTGCATGTCAGCCGAGAATCCTTGTCCGACCATCACATTATTGCTCATACCTTCGAAGCTTGTTTTCTCTGTCAGATGGAAGGTCGTATGCTCCCATGCGATCGCATATTCGGCATAGCTGCCGCCCGCAGTCATCATCTCGTGGAAAGCGGCAACCTTGTCGCCCTTCTTGAAGCTCGACACGCCTTCTCCGACTGCTTCCACATACCCAGCGATGTCATCACCCGGGTTCGTGCCGGATGCTTCAGGAATCCAGGTAGGCAGTTTCCAATCCTTCGGGTTGGTGCCGGACACGACCACTTTGATGAGAACCTGCCCGGGCTTCGGGACGGGGGTCTCAACGTGCCGGATAGCGACGGAAATGGACTTGTCAACAACAGCTTCCTTCATTTTTGCTTGTGATTCAATGGATAAGAAGATCTTGAGAATTGATTTGTCTTTTAATACCGCTTCAGTTCACGAAACTGTCCAACATTGATTTGTAATGATTGACAATTTAATTCCCGCTATGACGTAATACAATGATTTTATGCATAACGTAACCCACAAGCGAACCGCCCACACAAGCGAACCGCCCACCCCATCAATTTTGATCTGAGTACTATAACCTCTCTTTTATAACCATCCACCATGCCACCAAATCGATCTAGTTCTGCCCGATTTTCGCAGGATAGGCAGGGCAGAATCTCATTAGCCCTGCATGCCATTCAAAATGGTCAAATTACCTCTATTCGCAAAGCAGCACGCCAATTCGACGTCCCCTGGTCCACTCTACGCGATCGCGTCAACGGTCAACAAAGTCGCTCAGAAACACGCGCCAACAACCATAAATTGACAGAAGACGAGGAGAGATCACTTCTACAATGGGTGCTCTCTATGGATTCACGTGGATCAGCTCCTCGGCCTGCTATGGTGGCAGAAATGGCCAATCTTCTATTAGCCGAACGCTGTACGCAGACTGTTGGCGTCAACTGGGTCTACAACTTTGTTAATCGCCATGATGATCTTAAATCTCGGTTCTCTCGAAAGTACAACTACCAACGAGCAAAATGCGAGGATCCAAAGGTCATACGAGAGTGGTTCGACTTGGTTCAACGCACGATTAATGAGAACGGCATCCAACCTGACGATATATATAACTTTGATGAGACTGGCTTCGCAATGGGTCTTATTGCTACTGCAAAAGTCGTCACCCGTGCTGAATACTACGGTCGGAGATCTCTTAAACAACCTGGAAATCGTGAATGGGTCACATCTATCGAGTGTATTGGTGCGTCGGGCTTCAAATTACCACCTTGTCTTATCTTCAAATCCAAGACACATCACCAGGCTTGGTACGAAGATAAAGGGGTAGGACCGGACTGGAGGATCGAAATCAGTGATAATGGATGGACAACTGATGCTATTGGCCTTCGCTGGCTGAAAGATCTCTTTATTCCGAGTACGGCGAGCCGTACAAAGGGTAAATATCGTCTTCTAGTCCTTGATGGTCATGGTAGCCATTTGACACCTCAATTCGACCGACTTTGCGCTGAACATGATATTATACCAATTTGCATGCCAGCGCATTCATCTCATTTGCTACAACCACTAGATGTCGGGTGTTTTGCGAACCTACAGCGCGCATATGGTGGCTTGGTTGAGCGAAAAGCTCGATGCAATATCAACCATATTGACAAGCTTGATTTCCTTGCCGCCTACCCGCACGCTCGCGAGATCTCATATCACTCGGATATAATTCAGAGCGCATTCGAATCTGCTGGTTTAATACCCTTTGATCCCGATCGGGTTATATCGAAGCTTAATATTCAGCTTCGAACACCAACCCCCCCAGGAAGCCGACCAGGAAGCCGATCAAGTGAGTGGAGCCCTACAACACCACTCAACACAAAACAATTATATCGGCAAGAATCTTCAGTCAAAGCTCTACTCAAATATCGATCCGTGAGCCCTCCAACGCCTACAAAGCATGTGGTAGAGCAGACTCTTAAAGGCTTCCATGTCACGCTTCAAAGGCTAGCGATGTTGGAGAAAGAAATCCGGGATTTGCGCGCTGCCAATGAGGTTCGGAAACAAAAACGCAAGAGGTCTAATAAACGCATCGACCGTACTGAAGGCATGTCAATTCAGGAGGGAAGAGACGTAATATTCAGTTCGAACCAAGCCGTTGAATCTCTGGATCCTGTTCATCCAGAACTAGCTCCGGTCGCAAATGAGACTAATACACCACGACAACGGGCGCCACCAAGATGCAGTGGTTGTGGAGGGATAGGGCATAAGATAAATAGATGTCCGAAGCAGTGATATCAATAATTTAATGGCGTTGTGGTTATTTTATATGCAAATCAAAATTATAGGTTGAGATGGGTGGGCGGTTCGCTTATGTGGGCGGTTCGCTTGTGGGTTACGTTAATGCACAGCGGAGATAACACAAGGTCCAGCAACCCACAGTGATAAACAATTCAAATCAGATTTGGAATGAATTGCAAGACCTTGGTTACTCAATCCGCATCGACACCAGGACAGTCGGCACAAGCCTTGCGTGAAGGCAGAGTCCTGCGTGACAATAGCAACATGGGGCCTACACGTGTGGATGATTTCCTCTAGGGGCCAGGAGATAATGCTAGAAAGAGTTCTGTTGGGAGAGCTGACCTCTTGCCCTCCCTCACAGACAGATTGTTCAGTTTTTACAAGGCTCCAAACGTGTAGGGTAACCGACTAGTTCGACGTTGCTCTGTCGTTGATTTTCTGGCGTTGGTGGGTGTGGGACCCTTTCTCTGAAGGAGAACTGTTGCAGGTGCCTGCTGGTGTGCAAATGCCGAGTATATCACTTGACCGAGGGCCGTATTAAAACCGCGGCCAGGACCCTTTAAACCGTCGCAAGACCGGGCTATGCGGAATCATTTATGCCATCGAGGCAGTCTCTCACGCAGTGGGGGTCACGTAGGTGATATGCAAACTGAGTGTAGGTTCCGACTCTGGGGCATGCGCCGAAATGGCCAGCTGGAAAGCCACATAATATGAGTCAAACGTAGTGCAAAAGAAAGTCGTGGGCAGCCCGTTGCTTGGTGTGATAGGCAGTGAACCCGGATGTGACACCAATCACAACAACAGAAAGAGCTCAAGATACAAGAGATCGCGGCCGTGAGCCCAAGCATCAAGTTTGTTTCAGAAAGAGAGTAAAGCTTGAATGAAACACAGTGCTGAAAACAAGCGACGTGTTCGAGAGGAGTTTCTGGTGGTCTCTTCTCCAAGCCGGAGTCCCTGACCCAGGGTTGATGAAAAGAAAATGATATACCTGCTGTGGCACAGTGACTGTGAGGGCCGTTCCAAAAATTCCGTAACTGTAGAAGACAGTCAGGAAAGCTGCGGGGAGAATTTCCCTACGTAGAATTTCAGTGACACCTAGAAAAGGGAAGACTCACCTGAAGTGAGGGAGAAAGGAGGATGAAGTTGCGGGAAGAAGCCCATATTATACCACGACGGCAGACGCTGCCTGCTAAGCGAGATGGAGAATTCCGTCGTGGAAATATGGGAGTTGCGCTGGGCTTCCCCACGGTGCCGGTTCGAGAGGTTACCTCCCTCTGGTAAGCCTTGTACGGAGCTGCTGGTGAGGTTTCATTTACGAACTAGATGATGGCTTACTTTTCGTGTAAATCAAGCTGTACGGCTATGCAATTTCTCAGCCCGGTGTGGGCGAAGGGATTATGCAGCTGCCGTGCCATGGCCGGGAGGAGGATTATGCGGATTATTTTCACAGTACAGAAAGATACAACATGCTGCTCTGGATTCAGAAGACATAGACGCGTATCAGTATCGCTTATTCGAGGGGGAGACCCTATAGACCCGCAGATGATGACATGATTGCTGTTGAAGCCCCTACTCGACCACTATCTTCTCCAAGCCCGAGTCACTGACTCAAGGATTGATGAAAAGAAATGCATGTAACGGCTGTGGCACAGTGGCCACAAGGGCCGTTCCAAAAATTGCGTCACTGTAAAAACAGTTCCGACAACCCGGAGTCCCCTATAAACACATTAGTGCTTTAAGAAAGAAGGAACTTACCTGAAGAGAGGAGAGAAAGAAGGAAGGAATTGCGGGAGGAAGCCCATATTTATAGCTGCGGTGCTGGGGCCTGAGGCGACGCTAGTCTCAATCGAGCAGGAGCCAGCACATGATGGCACCTGACTTAGAACGAATCATCCAGGACTGCCAACGCGTTCTTCCCTGGTCTTTCTGTGTCCTGTAGCTCAACTTTGCGTTTTTCTACTTTCCGATACCATCAACGGCACTTTTAAATTCGCACACCGAGTGCACGCTTCATCATGTCTGCTTTCGAACCATGTTATGATCTCTCATACCACTTTCGACAGTCAAGTCAGTATCCAGCATTGCAGAGCCTTTGACGTGCTATCATCTAGTTGGTGAACACGCTGATCTTTCTAAGTGCTCTTCACATGGTCCCTTTGCTTCATACATAGTGGTTGAGTCCTGCCCTCCCTTCACACCCCTCAAATACAGCCGACCAAGCACATATAACAAAGTCGAGGCGGATTGGCATACAAAACCAAAAGCACTTTGAAAGTAAAACATTTCTACCGAATTGCTGCTGTTTGAGCCCATTATAAATATTTTCCGGCTAGCCTCGTGTCCCAATATTGGTCAATCGGTATACAGGTCACCTGCGCCTAAAAGAACGCGGCAGAACAGCTTTGTTGACATGTATTACGGATATTGACCTCACATCTCACGAATAAATTCTTTATATGTATATTAATTCCTTCTCGATTGTCTAGATTCCTCTGTCATATCTGCTGCTACCCGTCTCCTTCCCATCGGACAACGCATCCAACCCTGATACTTCTCATCACGATGGATCACCTTTGGCTAACCAAAAGAGATCTTTCCTTTTACACATGTGACTCCGATAAGGAACAATTGTCAGTCTGTCAGGTCTCTATAGCTATCTGCAATGGTTGCGGGGACTTCATGGTCCAGATTAACAGCTGGTTGTGCTTTGTCTTCGCGCAATCGTGGTCTATTCTGCCTGCGAAAGCAGCATCTGACTTATGCTTTTGACTTGCTGTTCACAGAAGAATAGCTCAGTCTGCTTTGGTTACCTCTCACTCCGTGGTGCTGGATGAAACCACATTTTCGTGGTTGCCGGGCTCTTCTATAAGAATTAGCATCTCACTAACATCAGCATCAGGCCATCAGGGCCATCATTACGCCATACTGCTTTTAAGCCATTGCTACAGGCCAATTCCCTTCTAAAATACCTGTACTGATTCCTATGGCTTGACGTAGGATACCTTTCCGTCACCCACGATCGATCAGCAACTGTCTTGCCTGACTCCCGCGGTCCCTACATCGTCCAGCCCATATTGTCGTCGGTCTCCTCTGTCACGGACATACACACATGTTATTTTCATGTTAAAAGCAAATTCATGATCACTAAGACACAATGAGACGGTAAGAAAACATACAGCAACAATGCAGACATTGATTTCTGTCTAAGAAATAATGTAGTTTCCAGTGATTCGGGGTCACTCCTTAGATCATGAAGTCTAGAATACACGATAGGAGAATCAAGCCGTGAGACAGACGCAGATTTTTATGTGTTCAATGAACATCAATCGTCGCCATGCTACAATGAGATTCAGGGGGTCCTGCCTAGAATGCGAACATTGAATCTCGGCCTCATGGTCTACGCTTCTTTGAATACTGGAGGCTCACTCTTGCATAAAGGCATCGTCATCTCAAAGACGAAAACAAGGTTCGTCCGTATCAGATCTCCTTGCAGTTTGATAGGAGCGTGTGGTAGCTGCATAGCGTAGTGACATAGCGATATCCACGGCGAGGTAACGGCATCATAGAAATATGCGCTCTCCATGCCTCTTTTTATTGATCGCTGTCCATTCTTGCGTCGCTCAGGTCTTTATATCTTCTATTTGAAGGCTATAGTGTTGAAACCCTGATTATAAGCTTAGCTTTCGCATCTAAGATCAAGCAAGGACTGCGTCTCTCCCTACTTGTGTGTAAGGTCTCATTTTGGCTGAACCCTTCTCACGTCGCGATAAGATCGATCGGCTGGCCAGGAGCTAAGGCGCACGTTTTACACACGGGAGATCGCAGGTTCGCGCCCTGCGTCGATCGGCAAACCTTTTTGGCCCTGGTCCAGTTAGGTTTTGAGATTCAGGATTATTTTGATTTCTGCTATCCAGCTGCGTCGTTGTTCTCTTCCCTTCGCTCATTGCACTATTCCCTGTTACCTTTCACTCTGTAATTCTTTTCACATATTCTCTGGCTCCTTCCTTTTTTTCTTGACTGTTGGCACTCCGGCTATATGTTTGTACTTTTGTTTTCTTGGTCTATGATTTTATCGCCAAGACCCATTCTTGTTTACATTTCTGAGTTTCAATATGCCAGTCTCCAATCACACAAATTCCATGCGTCCGTGGACAAACACAAGGCGACCACAAGGTCAATCAAGCCTGGGAAAGACTAATCAGGCTCGCTGTACCGCCTCACACCTGCTACCCACACGGCGTCTACCTCTTCTAATAATTTTCGTTATATTACAAGTAGGTAATTCTACCGCCTCGACGCGACTAAATCAATGCCCGTTAACTTTCCCTGTCGATCAATGCCTGCTTTGTCCTCGGCAAGCCTTTGTCCTGACAACTTATTGTACTCTATAGTAATCCGCCAATTTAAGCCTGTTGCAATCTCTCGCGTTGTCGAAATTATTCATAGAAAGATCAAACACCTGTATTTGAACGTTCGAAATCCGTATTTTTGAGCTGACTAGATTTAGGGCTAGAACAAGACGCGAGTTGGTATTCCGTTGCTTCCGCGTTGGTGCATCTCCTACCAACAACATATTTCTGTACTAGTATTTCTCTAATAGGAACATAATAAAGAGAGGGAAAGAAATACATGTACTTCGATGAGCCCAAATATTGTAGAAAAACATCGTCCTTAATTGGTAGTTCGGCCTTGCTGCATTCTTTTGCGGACGAGAGTAGATGACGTCAGGACCGACCCTTCGGCTCCACTCAAGGCAGCAAAGTAGAGCAAAAAAGGCGAAAATAATCGTAGGGTCAGTGATGAAATCGAAAAATTCACGAGGCCGTGGTTGAACATATTCGAGCAGGGACCATTGTTCGCGATAAAGTTGCCATATTGGGCCTCAGTTCCTCGCACAATCATCCTTACATCTGGCATCTGGCCGATCTCCCGACTCCGCATGACGACAGAAGCAATGCACCGACCTCGATGAACAGCACCAGTCCTCTCTTCGTGGCCCAGGAGGCCCTGTGCTTCTACCCCATCAGCACAATCTACGACTCATGTCCACGATACCTGTTCTACGCCCTCCTCGCAGCCAGTTGTCTCACGCGCTGGACAGGCTGGCTAGCGGACGTCTTTCTAGGGGCCGCAGCAACATACGCAGGCACAGCAGCCATCGAAGCATTCATCCTTGTTTCGAGCCCGCAGAAATTCGCCGCGCCTGCGAACGTCACGATCCCATACGTGCCCGACAACACGACCCTCTGGAATGACTTCCCCCAGCTCGTCACGGAGACGACCGAGGTCCCAATCCAGCCCGGTGCCGTCGAGCTGGATGGCGATGCCGTGTTGGCGATTGTTGTTACAGGATACCTCGTCTTTCTCCCCTTGCAATGCTGGTCTCGCGTGTTGACGAACGAGCGAGCCCGAAACCTCCTCTTCTACCTGTGGAACTTCCTCATGCTGGCGGGTGGAATCTGTGCCCTCGTGTACTCTCACCAAAAGTCCAAGACACCGTTGCAGTTCATGTTCTGCTATCCTGACATTCCACCTTTCGATGAGACATCTAGCGACGGCTGGCAGGCCTCATGGAGGCCGTCAACCTGGAACGAGAGTGTCTGGGGCACATTCTCGAATGTCACTCGTTTCGGAGAACTGGGCGACATCTGTTTCAACCCTTGCTTCAATTCAAGTCAAATTCTGCGACAGCCTTCAAATCTACAGTCCTGGGCTGCTACGCGTGACTCGGAGCTTTCACACCCAAAGAAGTTTATTGACAAGATCATCTATTCGAAGCGGTATATTTACAGCCTGGTCATCCTCTGCGTCCTTCTCAACTTTGTCCATCTCACGTTCAAATGGCTCCCATACAAGTCGCACATTCCATCAGCGCAAATTATCATCATCTGGCAAGACCGCAAGACAATATGGGAAAGTCTGAAGGGAGATTTACGAGAAGCACTGTCGACATCCTCATCAGAGCTTCTGGCGCAAAAGGAATCAAGAGCCTCGTTGCCAACAAACAAGTCCAGCTGGACCCGCGTCAGAGCTGCATCGACACCTCGCTTCATGAAAGCACTGCTCTTTGTCATTTTGGACTGCGCAATTCTTTTCGGCCTCGTGTTCAGCATGATCATTAGCCCGTTTACAATCTGCGCCTTCGTCGTTTGGATTGAATGGTGGATCCACAATGACGGCCCACAACAGGAGAACCCACAGCAAGTCGGCCAGTGGTCTTACCTGGTTGGCATTGCCTTGTTGATTGTGTCAGCGGGTGTTCTGACTTTGAAATATCGAATAGCATCTGTCAATGAGCTGGACGTTGAGATTTCCAATACTCGCGAGAACCTAGCGAAGCTGGAACGGATAAGAGAAGCCCGATCGCCGGCAGAGACTGTGTCTCTGGCTGGCTCTGCTGAGGCGGAAGTGTCATGATTAGCGACAGAAAATATGACCTTTGCTTCTCAGAAGAACATCCAAGGAGGAAAACGGACCAACGAATGCCGACTGCAAGACGGAGAGATTGACACCGAAATCGTACACCAATGAGCTCGATTCGGAGAGACAAAGCAGTCCACACGACTCGAGAAGACCCGTACACTCAAGGATCCAGCTTCTGAATTTGACATATCAACGTGCAGACACTCAGAAATCAGTACCGTGTGAAATATATGGTAGCAGTCAGACAAGCCCGATGTTTTCCTATTTGAGAAGAGGAAACATACTTTGACAGCCCAACCTATGCCCCTAGAATCTATCCTTACAATGTGACGGCCATATTGATGATGGGATCGGGGCTACAAGAACACCGAGCTAATATTGGTTCATGCAAGTCACAAGTAACAAGTGACGACATTCCGCAGGTTGATATGCTTCCAATTTTAGAATAAAGAAGTTGCTCACAATGACAGAAACAACTGAATCTTATTTGTCTGGCTCACGCTGTATACGTCCATCCTCTATCTGCTTCGCTGTCTTTCATTGTTTTTAACAGCCTGATCATTTTGATAGATAAGACAGCTATGTTGTATGTACAATTAGCATAGTATCATAGAACGTATGAAACACATTTACAACGGTGCACGCTGTTATAAACATCACATAGAATAAGTCTGGTCGCTCACTGCCACCAACATTTCACGATAATCCAGGACCCGTCTCGTCCACCAGCTTCACTCCAGCTGATAGAAACAGCACATGACTTCTATTTTGGGCCGGACTTATTTCCAACTGGCCTCACCGCAGCCGGCAGTATAAAAGAGAAGTAGGAAACTGTGCATCTTCCTCTTCTTCTTTCTCTTCCCCAGGTGAGTCCCCTTCCCCGACTGTGTTGGACTCTCGAACGGGTCGGCGAAGCCTAACCTTGTAGCTGTGTTGACAGTTCCGGAATTTTAATATCGGCCTTCTTGGCCTTAGCGCCCTAGAAGGTACACCTTTTCATCAACACTGAGTGAGGGACTCGGGCTTGGGAAAGAGTGATTCATCCCGCAGCACATATGTGTGACTCCTCGTCCCAATAGCAACCGCATACGCCAGCACCACTTGAGGCTCTTGCTGCCTGGCTCTTGGTATCTCTGTCAACATCGACGCGAGAATCTCAAAGCAATTCTCTTCCTCTCTACCTCCGCTTCACAGATCGCCGCCTTTGTGCCCCTCTACACCACCCATCTCCATCCCACCAACACACGTTTCGAAGACACCCATCACGATGCTTTCCCACGCGAAGGAACTCGTCAAAAGTCCCATCGTGCAAGGCATATTCGGCCTCGTTTTGCTCAAGATCGGACACTCAGCTTTCAACAAGTACAAAGCGCCCAAGCCCGAGCCCGAGCCGAGCTTCCAATCAATCCTCGGCGTCAAGAATCACCCCGCTATTAAAACCATCAAGGAGATCCGATGGAACGACCGCTAAATTTTGACATGCCTTTTCCACCGATCCGAGTATCTACACAGGTGCGATGGCTAGTTCTGGTTGAATGTTGATGGTATGGAGGGTAAGTTGTCTTTATTACACGGGTTGCGGATCATCCTCTCAGCCTTCGCTTCTCCCTTTTCTAACCATTAAGCTGCGCGGAATTCAATCAATCAAAGACGTTTGAAGCCCTTATGAAAATCCCGTATACCCGCTCCATCTTGTATCTGCTTTGTGTTGAGAGCGTAGAGGGTCGAGTGTAGAGCCCCGTACCCGCAGAGACTTAAATCGAGAGCAACCACTCAAGACGCTCTGGAACGCATATTTGCAGTCAATAATACATAACCGAGCACATGTCCGGTGACTAGTCGGCTTCGTATCGGACGCCCCGCACTCTATTCGTCAACAGCTCAGTTTTTATCGCGCGGCACAAACAGCAGAACGTATATCGCGACTCTTTCCGCAAAGTGGCTAAGCAGGGGCAGCCGCCATCGGAAGCATATCCCAGTTTGCCTCTTCCCCGCAAACCTTCACGAGCTCAGACCACACGGCACATCGAGCACGAATCAAACCCCACAGTATTATGTACCAGTTCCCCCTTTATACGGACTAGTCGAGCTTCGGGCCTTTCACGGCGAGCTGGGTCTCGAGCGGGGGACTCGCTGATTGGCGCGAAGATCGACAGGACCAGACCCGATTTCGCATACCTGCAAAACAATCTGGCTGAGAACTCTCATTGGGCGGAGATTTTTGACCTGCGTCTTGGTACTCGCTTAGAGAATGTGCTACATCATGTCCAAGCTCATGTTGCATTCAACACTGCCAGGAATAGGGGAACAGAGAGACCTCGGTGCTAGGCTTGCCCCTCATCTGTGCGACCGGCCTGGGCGATTATAATATCACCCCGGACCATCCAGAATGAGTGAGTCGGGTCAGATCGATCATTATGCATGAGACTGCGGCTAAACCTTCTGAGGACTTCGTTGAGGATGTGTCGCGGAGCGAAGTCAATGCAAACACAAACAATGCACCTAGTCAAGGGCATGTACCCCTGTGGCAGTCGCTGAAGAAATGGCCCAGGGTCGTGGGGTATAATCTTGCGCTGAGCTCGGCCATATTACTGTATGGATATGACCTGGTGATTGTGGGAACTGTTTCTGCGATGCCAGCGTTCCAGTACGTTTCTCTTGCCTGACTCTCGAACGTCACTGACAACACTCAACAGATATCGATTCGGCATGGAGCTAGGCGGAAAGTACATCATCCCATCCGAATGGCTCTCACTCTGGAATGCAGCAAGCCCAATCGGAATGATGATCGGATCGCTCATGGGCGGATACTACCAAGATCGAGGCGGGCGTCGACTCGCCCTTGCAACGGGCAGCTTTCTCTCAGCCATCGCGGTCGCAATGTGCTATGTCGCCGATCTTCCAGACGACATTGAATCTCGACGAGGTCTGTTCTTTGCCGGAAAGCTCTTCCAAGGACTTTGTATCGGCATCCTGCTGTGTGTCGTGCAGACATACATGTCTGAAGTTCTCCCGGTCGTTCTCCGCGGACCCATCATCGCCTTCCTGCCGATTTTTACCCTTCTCGGGCAACTCATCGGGTCGATTGTTGTATACACCTCGCTGAAGCACAAAGGATCTCAGAGTTATCGGATTTGTTTTGCGTCACAGTGGCCGTTCTCTGCAGTTCCGCTAGTTCTGTCAGCCATTCTACCAGAGAGCCCGACTTGGTTGGTTAGAAGAGGAAGGACGGAGAAGGCGTTGAAGATGCAGCGGAAGCTGGACACCGCGGAAATGAACTCGGAGCAGATTATAAGTGATCTCCAGATCTCGATTCGGGCTGAGGAAGAAGAGCGAGGCACTCACAACTATATGGATTGTTTCAGGGGCATCCATGCATGGCGCACGTTCATCGTCGCTTTTGCGAGTGCTTTGCCTCAGCTTTTTGGTCTGCAGTTGCTGGCGAATGCGTCTTATTTCATGCAGATTGTTGGAATGAGCGCCACTAACAGCTTGATTTTCCTAATCCTCGGCATCGGGCTGGGTCTAATTGCCAACGTCGTCAGTTTGTGGTCTTTGAATGCATTTGGACGACGGTTCCTCATCCTCTTGACACTTGCAGTGGCGACGGTTCTTTGGCTGGCAATGGGAATAGCTGGCTGCTTCACCGGAATCGTAACGATCTGGTATGTCACTCCCTAGATATCAACCAATGGTCTCACACCCCTGACTAACCAATGTCTAGGTACACTGCCGTAACCATGATGATAATAACAATGGTCTGTGGGCTAGGAATCTGGCCCGCCTCGCACGTCGTCGCAGCCGAAGCATCCTCCCTCCAACTGCGGGCCAAGACACAAGGAATAGGTTGGTTCACGAGCGGAATAACAACAGGCGTCTTCTCGATAATCCTGCCGTACATGTACAACGCGGATTCGGGCAACCTGCGAGGGAAGACGGGGTTCGTAATGGCAGGTTTTGCGGCGGTGGGGTTCCTCGCGTCTTGGTTTAGTATTCCGGAGATGAAAGGTCGTTCGCCGATGGAGATTGATCGGATGTTTGGGTTGAAGTTGTCCACTCGGGCGTTTCGACGGTGGGAGAGTGATGTTGCTATGGAGAAGGGGGCCGATGGGTTGGGGCCGGCGGGGGAGGCTTGAATGTCAGGAAATGCTCGTAGTATAAGGGCTGGGAAGCTGGTCGAAGCAATGAAAGCCTGGAAGCGGTCTATGAACAGCTAGTACGAATTTATAACGATTCTCAAGACCTACCTGTACTCCTCTAAAATATATACTATTGTCAGCGACCACAGTTATGATGGAGAGATGAGACCCCAAGAGAAAGTTGCGAAGTGTTACGTAGAAAATGCAGGTGGTATAGGTCTAGTCCAATGTAAAACATGGTCCAGAAAGCTTCTTGTTAAATACGGTCCTGATATTCACGGCCTACATCTCCCTATTCTTTACCAATGCAAAGCAATAGAGAGCTCGCGGTATTATGTCTTCAATGACATTGCTAACAGTATACTATTTCTACTACAGAATCGTGAAACTCGATATTGAAGCCAAAATAAACGAGCGTATTCAGGCATTTATGTAGTAATGAACCAAGTTCTGCCCACAGGACAGAAAGATATTGGAAGAGAAACCAGCAGCCCTATCCACGACACTTCCACAATTCCGCTCGGAATCCGAATGCCGTCCTACCATAATCAAAGCCAAGTTATCTATCTCTCACATAACAAACAAGTGATCAAGACAACTCAAAGTCTAGACAGTCCCAAAAGTCTAGAAATATTTAAGCCTGAGTAGGCTTGGGGGAAGGAGGGACGCCAGACGAGCCAGGAGGAGGGGGGATGTCAGAGCCGGAGGGCAGAGGAGGCAGCTCGCTGCCGGAGGGAGAGGGGGCTGATTATCACGCTTCTCATTTCTGTCGGTAGGCTTGGGAAGAGGGTTGGTGACCGAAGGAGGAATGGGAGGTACCTCAGTGCCAGAAGGAGGAGGAAAATCGGACTCAGAGGGAACCGGGGGCTGGCCGTCGCGCTTCTGGTTGCCGTCGGTGGGCTTGGGGGGAGGAATGTCTGTTCCAGAGGGAGGAGGAGGGACGTCGGTGCCGGAGGGCAGAGAGGGAGGCGAAGACAGGTCCGAGGGGACTAAGAGGTATTGTTAATGAGGCTGTATAGACTCGAGGACTGATAATAGCAGATATACCTGGTGCAAGAGGAGCAGCGGCAACTAGTCCGGCGCCCATCAGGGTGGTCATAACAGCAGAAACCTTCATTGTGGCGGCTGTGTGGTAGATTAATGTTCAATGGAATGATCGATGTTGAGTTGGATGTGTGATGAGAGAGGACATGGCCGTCTCCCAGCCCTTCTTTATACCCTCTTGATCGATAATTGCAAGACAATTATCACATCGGAAGAGGTGAATCCATTGTCACGTCATGTTGCTTGCCATTACGATCCTGTCTCAGCTCGTAGTATTTCCTCGTCGTTGTCGTCAGCCAGTTACCTGAACAGGAAGCCTGAAGGCACATCTATGAACACAATGTTAAAGTAAAATACAGTTGAAATAGATCGGCATCTTGCGGGATTATTCTCGACTGGATCACGGCAGATGCTAAAAAGTGAGGACTTACGAAGCCGGTGGATCTGGCTCTCCCACATGAAGTCATCCGCTGGGGGAAATGCTGGGACCAATTCTGGGGCAGTATCAGAATGTATGTTGCCTGGCGCTCTAAATAAAGATCTCCCGAGCGGCCAATAATCTGGGGGCCTGGGCGGACCACAGCAATCTGTTCGTGGCCTGGTCCGAGGAATAGTCTGGATAGCCATCAACACAAGGTCTATGTCGGATCGGTGCGTTTTGAGAAAGGCACGTAACTGCCGAGCGCAGCGCTGTGTGGTGCGTGTAAGGCTGCAGTGAATCGAGGCTGAGGAATACTAAGCGTGATTCCCCATGATTGACATGCTGGCTGGCTTTCGAGACAGGAACTGGCCGCGGTGGCAGTAGATGCAGAAGTCAAGTATAGATGGACACGCGGCCACCGATCTTGGCGTAATGGCAGACCCACACTCCACACTGGATGACGAGGAAGCAATGAGGTACGCCCGATTTGAGCCTTGATTTTTCTTAACTATGTAGGGCTGACAATAATAATACGAGGAGAGGACAAATTATTGTAGAACTGTGTGATTGATGGAACAAGTCACATTACTGTAGTCCTGCACAATTCGTCATATCAATGCTGGATAAGCTTGAATGCGACGACGCTTGGCATCGATGTAGAATTGGAGTTGGGGCTGGACACTAAGGCTGGAACTAGATTAGTTACCCATTGTTCATAGCTGAGTGGGCCGATCTAGCTCAGCGATTACGCCTACTTGTTGCCAATTGAAGTATACAACCAGGTCTGAGCTATGTCCCTGGTTCCCGCAAAGTTCATCAGGAGCCGCAAGCATCAGAAGACCTCTTTAAAGAGATTCAGAGTCGAGTCACCTATTTATGGTCGCATTTGCTTTTTGCTGGTTGTATGTCTGTGTGGGCTCGAAGACGAAAGAACATCCCAGCCTGATGCCAGTGACACCTCAATCGACCCACAAATGGTGAAAGATCATTCAATGTAAAGAATATTTTCCATTTGCAAATCCAGTTGCTTCGGCTGTATTCACTTTTAGGCGACAGCTCACCTCGCATCAAGCGAGTCCGTGACACTAGTACGGAAGACGTCGTGTGATCCACGCTGAATCACTCAAAATGTACAAGGAGAATGGACAGATACACTCTATAGGCCTTTAGCTTGAGAATCTTATGATCAATAGGACATTCCATGCAGAGATCAAAACTTTGGAGGAGGTCGAAGCATGGGCTGCCTCTGATGCAAACCGAGTGACACGTACACGATCAAAAAGCGGCATGATCCTTCCTGATCCAGAAGTTGATATCTCCGAACGCCAAGATCTGAATACCGGATACACTTCGAATAGATCGTATGAACTTTTGCTCATCGTCACGCAAGAATTAATGATGCGAGGGTTCAGTGCGCTCCCCGCAGCGGCTGTTGCGAGAAATGGGGCGTTTCATGTTTCGGAAAAATCAGCCTTACTCGGTGGTTGCATCTGAGCAATCCGTCTCACCCCATCGCTATACCCAACAGTATCAGCTGTCGGAAGCCGACGGCAGTAAACATCTCCCCTTCAGCATTGCTCAAACTGATTTCGCTTACTGGCCTCAACCAAGCACACGCGCCAGTATGGGCAACTCTGAGCACCCCCCTTTTTCTGTTCCCTTTCAAATATTGTGTGATTCAGACGCATCGACCCTTATTGGGCAGCCAGTCGTTTTGTTGTTTTCTGCTTCTGCATCCAGGAGGGGCTCCTCTGACATTCCACCTCTTTTGCGGATTCGAGCTGAACACAGCTATCCGCGCTCTTCTTCTTGCCTCCTCAAATACTATTTTCAAGCGGTATCTCATCTATCTAGGTCCTTCCGCTTACGGTTCTATATGGTTCTCCGAGTCGCTTCTTCAATGCCTGGAGGTGCTATGGACTCGTCCTCTCCTCTTCAGCGCTTTTCCTCTTCCCATACCAACTCCCTTCACGCATCGACGAAGAGCTCATGCGGCTAATATGATAGACCTAATATATTTTGTATTCAAAGATAACAACCACTAAATAATGCAAATACAGAATCCAGTAAGTCTACTTCAATGTTTTGGCTACGGCAAGGAAGATAGGAGAAGACTACGTCCCGGTAAGATCAATCCTTGCTGACTTTCGCACTCTTGAGCACTGGACGATGGCCGCCGTACGGCCGAGCGCACTCCCCCTCGTCTGTGGGATCTTCCTCGCAGGTCGACCGTACTTCTCAATCCAACATTCTACCTACCAATGCGAGAGGTACCAGCCCAATTGTAGATCTTGGGCACGATCAGCAAGATCCCCCAAGCAGAAAGCCAACCCCACTAAAGAAGAGATTCCAATCATGTTCAAACGAGTCCGCTACCTATCCGACCCTTGGGTTTGCAAAGGGTGGAATTAATATCGGTCCTGATATTCAGCAGCAAAGTTGGCAATCGAAATTCCCTACGAATATATGGTTGAAGTGGACATACCCGTCGACAGGCCTGGTTGTACATAGCCACATAGCCAAGGCCCAGCGAACAAACACCAGCAGAACCTGCTTCACTTCGGTTTATTGATTCAATGAACCAATTTGCCTTGGGGGGGGCCTGAAAATGATCAAGACGTGCATGATTCAAGCCCCGGGCGAGTTCACCACCCCAGGACACAGCGACGTCGACCACGGTCTCCAAGACCTGACGGACAGATATAAGGCTAGAAGAAAGTGTAGCTTCAGTGCTTCAAATTAGTATCACATTATCTTACATGTGCTTGTTCGTCTTGGAAGGCCCAGGTGGCACGTCGATACCGGTACGAATGGCCCGGAATGGCGCCGGCGAAGCTATTGGTCTAGTTAGCTCGGGTGCTTTCAACTGATGCACCGTTCGCCTGGCCTCTACGATCAAGGCTTCGATGGCCTCGAACTGATGCACAAGGTGATTCAACTGAGAGAAATGGGAGAGGGCTATTAAGATCGGGTATTACTTACAATAAGCTAGTAACGTCCTCTGAACGCGGGGGTTCCGGGGGCGGCAGTGGGTGTCCAGCATTCCGTGGTACAATGGCCTCTGCCTTTGATTCTTTTTTTGATAAAGTTCTATTTGTGCAACAGCCACATTAATGGCTACAGCGTCCATCTCGACCAGAGCAGTCTTGAACTAACTCATTGCGCGTAAACCATGCTGGCTCACATCTCAAGCTATCATGATCATTTTTAGATACCCATGGAGCATTCCTTTCGCCCGGCAAAGCACTTGCTGTTCGTGGTAATAGTCCTTTCTGACGTTTCCAGTTCTGGCTTGCCTCGTTATACTGAACCTCGTTATACTCGGTTCCTCCAGTTTTCTGTAGTATTCTTAGCTTTGGTTGCAACATTTCTTCCTGTTGCTGCACTTCACATAAAGCATAACCAGCAAGAAGCAGCCTCAATATCTCATCTCGACTGCAAAGAAAACCACGATAGTAGATCCTGACTAGTAGCTGTATGAGTGATGTTTTGTTGACGTCCATGATGTCTCAGATTACTCAAACGATAGCCTAACTAGCTGCTTATCAACCCTGTAATTTGTGGAACTAGCAGATAGTGAAGTCTTTGGAATTATTATTTATGTACCCCCGGATGCATAACGTAATTAACTACTGACGCACCCGCCCACTATTGAATATTCAAAAGTACATCAAGCCACCAAAACACCATGTCGAACTTTAGGATATCGGTATCGACTAGTACTCGTGAGGGGCCAATTGAACCATCTCAGCGATCGATTGATTGACTGAAGAACTATGTGTCGGCTCCCGTTCAGGATGCCATCTAGTCAGGGTTTTTTAGTGTGTTACAGCGCTGCTTTTCCGAGAATACCCGATTACCATACAAAACAGGTAGGAGATTGGGTATCTGCTGAATCATCCTGCTCCTGATTGTAATATCAGTCTCTCCGATCGACACACCATTAATAAAAAAAACTAACTATTAGGGCACCGATTAATGGAATGGCCAATATTCCGGCAGCCGCTACACCTAGGAGGCGCCCGTTTGGCTGGTGGGGTTGGCAAAATAGCCTGTTCAACACGTTCAACTGGCTGCACTGGTGGTGGTATGCCCTCTCCAACCGTAACACCCTGTTCACATCGAACTAGGCGATTCGTTCGTGCTCGTTTTCGCCGTTCCTTCTCATTCGCAGCACGTAACTCAGCATTTTCCTGCGTTAGTAGCGTGATGTTATGCAATATGAGATACCAGCCTTTGATCATCTGATCTAGGGCAATCTTGGAAGGGCGATTCGTTCGTGCTCGTCCTGGCCGTTTGTTCTCATTCACAGCACGTAAATCAGCATTTTCCTGCGCTAGTAGCGCGGTTTTATGCAACATGAGACAGCAGCCCTTGATCATCTGATCTAGGGCAATACTGGAAGATGTAGGAGGCCTTCTTGATCGTTCTTTGAGGAAGGCCTTGAGTGAAGAAGCAATTTTTTGTAGTTCAACTACTGTTCGTGGTTTTGTGCTGAGCTGGCTTGATTGGCTGGAAGGTCGGCTGATTAGGGGTGTTGGTGTTCGGAGAGAGATATTGAGCTTTGAGAGCACTCGTTCTGGGTCTAGTGGGACTAGACCAGCTGCCGCGAAACTATTTTGAATAGTCTCTAGTTTAAACGCTTCACGTGCTTGAGGATATGCTGCTAGAAAATCTAGCTTGTCGATATGGTTGAATCCTAACCGTGCTTGATTTTTAATCAAGCGGCTATAGGACTGTTTGAGAACAGCGTGAAATCCAATCTCCAGAGGTTGAAGAAGATAGGATGAATGTGGCGGCACGCAGAGTGGGATGATGGAGTTTACAGAACAAATGCGGTCAAATTGAGGTGTAAGATGATTCCCATGGCCATCAAGAATCAGAAGGCGATATTTTCCTTTCGTCCGGATTGATGTGGATGGGATGAATAGATTTTGGAGCCATCTGTTGCTGATCTCATCTGAAGTCCAGCCATTTGGAGAGACTTCAATTCGCCAGTCTTTCGGAAGCCCATCAAGCCAACTAGTGTTGTGGGTTTTGGCTTTGAAGATAATGTATGGTGGGAGTGCAAAACCAGCCGCACTAATTGACTCAATAACAGTCACCCATTCACGATTTCCCGGCTGTAGAACTGCCCGACGACCATGATATTCAGCTCGAGTAATCACCTTTTGTGCTGATATAAGGCCCATCGCAAATCCAGTCTCAGTAAAGTTATAGATATCATCTGGTTGGATGCCATTCTCATTGATGACAGATTGAACCGTCTTAAACCATTCACGTAAGGTCTTCCGGTCCTCATTTTGAGCACATTGATGGTCATAGCGCTCTGAAAAACGTGTTTGAAGCTCTTCTTTGCGTTTCACGAAGTTTGATGCCCAATTGATCCCAACAGTCGGTGAGGGGGTGTTTCCACGGTTGGCAAGTAGAATATTAGCCATTTCTCTCACAGTAGAGGACCTAGGCGCTACACCGCGTGAATCCATTGAGAGTATCCACTGAACAAGCGATTCTTCTTCAAATTCAGTCAACTTATGACTATTAGCGCGTGTATCAATGCGAGAAGGTGTATTGTGGAGACGACGCGCGAGTGTTGAACGGGGTATCTGGTAACGCGCAGCGATAGCACGTGTAGAGTCGGTAGAACCATTCCGAATATCTCTGATGGCCAGGAGAATTCGGCCTTCCTGTTCGACTAAATTTCGGCTTGATCGAGCGTGTTTTGGTGGCATGCTGGGTGGTTGAAAGGGGAGGGTTCGCGTCAAAGCGCGTATTTCGGCCAGAAAGCAGATCAGGTCGACAATAACAAGTGGCTCGGGCCACATTCGACCGGAAGATCTATTTTCCGGGTACGGTGCTCGATTTGTAATCTATTATGATTGGTCACATATAACAAACAACCCTCTTTTCGGCTGAATGGCCCACTCGTCCGTTGATTACGTTATCCATCATACTATTCGTGCCGTAGGCGCACATCGCCAGCCAACATGCTGGATGCCGTAAGACCAAAGTTCAGTTCGTTGGGGCGGCTTTCGCAGTAGTGCTATGACCTATCCTCACTCCCTGTACTACTATCTAGGGTACCGGACTGCAACATGCAGAAAGCTCAAATGGGTATGTGTTGACTTCGCTCAAGCTTGGGCTGTTGGGCCATGCTAATCGCTGCCGGGTCCCCACAAGGCAACGGAGAGGAATGATAGCCTCCGGAAACTCCTACCAATCACTAAGACAGGTCAGTGGGAGTGGAAGAATAGAGGTCCACTGGCCGACGACAAGACCAGAACTGAGTGATCCTCCTGCACCAATTTCCTGGCCAAAATCTTTCTCAAAACTAATCAGGAAACCTGTGCCTGTGTGAGAAATTAGAAGGAGGGAGGAAATCAGGTAGGGGTGGAGCATGTGTTAGCTTCACCCGAGTTGGGGCTACTAGTCAACAGCATTACGGCAGGTTCATGCTTGTTGCAGTGGTGACCTAGACTCTTTGTTCCTAAATTGCAACTTTCCGTTCACTGAGAGATGAACTTCATTTCCCACTGGCCGATGGAAGGCCGTTGGCGACTCATCTCCTCGTCTCGCACAACCGGATTGGGTGATATATTCTTGACAAATACAATGAGGAACGAACTCCCTTCTCACGTTCAAGTCCCAAATTTGATTGGATATTTCAAAAGCGTTAATTGGAATATTTAAAGATGGCAGACCCTTGTCGGAGGATCCTCCATCCTATGCAATAAAGAGCAGTTACTCATTGCCAGCAGATTAATCATGTGATGGACAGTGGTGAATACAAAGAGACCTTAGCCTCCATTCTCACACTAGCTCAATTCCAATACATTCTGGTCGTTCCTCCCCTACTCCAGCACCATTTCAAATACTTAATCTAGGCGATACTCCTCATCAATCTGAATAAGCGCATCCAGACCATCTCGCTCCAGCACATCTGTATCCAGAACCATAGTGACCATCAAAATAGCCGGCTCACTCTTGCTAGCATTATCACTAATTCGGTGATGGCAGCCGGGAGCCTCGTACCACGTTCCTCCAGTCTCGATCGTCTTCATCGGGTCGTCGTTCATTTTATTCAGAACCCTACCGCTGAGCACGTATGCGGAAACAGACGCTCCGCCGTGTCGGTGCGGAGGTGTAGAGCCATTCGGAGGGAACTCGACGCGCAAGCCGACAATGCTTTTGCCTGGGCAGTTGACTAGCTTGTATTGGTAGACGATGTTGAGTGCCGACCTGGGGCGACTGGCCATCTTGTTAGCATATGTAGCTTGTCAAATATATATATTTCTTGTGCGTATTGCTCACCTCGAGTCGTAGATTGGCTCCTGCATTTTGAAATTGTACGTCTGAAATATGTGGTCGATCACAGAGTGTATGGTAGCTCCGCGCAAGGGAATTTTCGGGATGAATTTGTAGAGGTAGACAAGACGCCCCTTTAAGAAGTCGTGACGCAACTTGTTGGGGTCGAAGGATTGCCACCAAAATGTAAGGCCACCATGGCTGGTCCTTTCCGGGTAGCCTATGGTTCTCTGCTGCTCTTAGTTGAGTTTGTTGGGGTCAAATGCAGGATCGTAGTCCTGTTGATGCTCGCAGTGTATTGGGTATTGGATAGGCTATCCGTGAGGCTCATAGGCTATGCGTCGCATATGCCTGCCGCTTTTGCGCTGTTGTGGGCCCGAATACTCATCAATAGGCGAGTCCAGCGACCGAAGCTGATAAGCAATCACACGTGACTGCGGTGACGTCATGTGTACTGTCTTTGCCCAGAAACGCTGGCAGATATAGTTAGTTGCAGATGATTTGTTATTGCAGTCAGGCGTTTGAATCGAATGTCATTGGTCATAACAGCTCAGGGTTACCCTTCTGATATCTTCGTTGATGATATGTTGATTAGAGTCGTGACGGCATCTTGCAATGGCGCAGCAGTTTGGATATATTTCAATTGCAGAGAACGCTCTGTCTTATTATTTCATTAAAAGTATATAATGGAGATACCTGCCGCAACGACCAAAGAAACAAGGCAGAGATTTCCTGGGATGACGCGAGCACTCGATCCACCAGCTTTCCCAGTGCTATTGGGGACGTCCTCGTCGCTAGAACCAATGCCACAGCGAACAGTTCTGCGCCAGGTCGGAGTAGAACTATCACTGGTCAGAACATCGGAATGGTAATTGTCCACTCGACCCTGGAATGTCATCTTAATTTGACCTGGAATATAGTATTCCGGTTTCCAGTAGGACAGATATCTCGCACCGGGCTGCGCCTCGAGGTACCCAGTGACGGTGAGATTTGCACTGCCGCTGTCGAATTGCATATTCATGACCGGATCCGGATATTGCCAGTTTTCCGAGCTATTTCGCATGGAGATTGGCACTCCATAAGTGGTCAGATTCGTCCACGCTTTGGAGATTAATATTCCTTTGTACGGCCTCTCTTCGCCGGTGTAACAATCGCTCATGTTGAAACGGAGACGCCGGCTATAGCTATGGTCAAAATTGGTGGTGGACACGTTATATGGTGCGCCCTGCGTGCCTGCGAGGGACAGGTTGAGGTAATTGCTAGATGCATCGACTTCAAATGCGCTTGAAGAAATCAGCATTGAAAATGCCAGTTTTCCGAAAGGCGTCGCTTACCTAGCTGAGAAAGGGACCACTTTTCTGATGGAAAAGTGATTGTGTCTACCAGCTCCGAAGTGTTGAATCCGAGATTCCAAAGACCGAGATAGAAATCAAGGGGGTTCTGGTCGTCCCCGAACTTCTTGGCTGTTTCGGTGACGGCCAGTCTGCCGTCGAATTTGGCGATGGTTCGAGGGCCGTGGAGTTCCGGACAATCGTCTTGATGAGACTGCTCACTCTGGTTCGCCGCTAGTCCTGCGAATGGGTTGAATTCAATCGTAGTTGTTCCATTGTAATATCTGTCCCAACAGTTAGTCTCGATGTATGAAAAGATGTTCCCGGGACGACACTCACGACCCGACCCATCGGTAAAAACCAGCAGTCACCGATCCATTTTCCACCCTCCAATTCGACCCGTCAACCATTTCATAACCCTCCGCCAAGCCCAGAATACAGGAAACAAAGAGAAATAGCATCCAAGACAGCCATGATCTCCTGATGCCCCACGGCGGCATCTTGATCTCGTCCAGCCGGTTTGAAAGAACTCAGTAGGCCGCGGCCATCAAGGCAGGTGGTCCATATTTAACAAACCATTTCTCGCCTGGTTCGCCCAGCATTAATTAGCGATGTTTGCTGATTTAATTTTCACCGCGCCACCATGACTAGCGAACTGTTTAGTCGAGATTTAGTTCCTGCCAAGACTCGGTGGTTGCCGAGCCAGCCGCCCGATTGGCGCTCAGGCTGTTCGCCGAGATCGCCAGCCTCGAATCGCGTTAGACTGTCTTAGATTTTGACTGGAAACTGGTCGGTAGGGTCCGACAGGGCAATTCATGAGGCTCTTTCCGCCGGCGTATTTCCAGGATGCGGCGGGTACAACGCCTGAGTCCAGCTATATGGCCGAAAAAGCTTTTCTACTGTGGTGAAGGGTAGCATTTCATTGAGCTGGTTCATTGGACCCGCAATGTGTGATCATGACGTTGTGTTGATTTGTATGAAGGAGTTCCATTTGAACTACAGTATATGTCAAAGAGTGGTCGGCGGAGATTAAACGCCCGAATCGTACTGGGTCACGTCGTCTGCGTGGGCATAGCGATCCCAGTTCTTGCAAGTCGAGTTTTGCGACGCCATATCCCACGAAATATCCGAGATACGCTCGAGCTGCTGAATTGCAAACCCCTCCGAAATGTGCCAGGCGATGTGGCAATGCATGAGCCAAACCTGCAAGGGCGAATGTTAGCAAAGTGTCATGATATAGCAGATGTGACCTTGGGCAACTTACTCCAGGGTTGTTTGTCTTGAGAGCGATGACAACATATCCACTCGCAGGAAGCATAACGACATCTCGACGGGGGTATTGACAAGAGTCAGGCTATCAGTCATGCTGCTGTCAAAGTTTCCGTATCCCGTCTGAAGGACCCAGAAGTCATGCCCATGAAGATGCATTGGGTGATCCTGAGCGAAGGGCGAGTGGATGACCATGTAAACCCATTTGTCAGCGGCTGGAAGATGGATGACACGCTGCTTCTTCAGCCATGTGGTGTTTCCCTGAGCCACCTGCAACAGGGATGGGTATTCCCATTGCGTGTGGAAAGAAGTCTTGTTCATGAGCCACAACATCGCATTATCGGTGACCTGGACCTCCACATTCTCTCCTGTCTGGTATGTATAGGTCTCCGATGCATCGAGCTTGAGATACGAGATCAGATTCGACGGGTCTTCGTCAGCACAAGAATCGCTGTAGCTGTAAGCGGAAGTCGTAGGGTCGGTGGCGGAGGTGTTGTCGTACCGAATGATACCCTTCACCTTGTCTGTGGCATCGGTCTCGGAGCAGGCTGACTGCGGAATAGCACGCATCCAGAAGTTGCCCGCTTTGATCTGCTTACCGGTGAGGATAATATCGTACCTTTGTCCCATGCCAATGCTGAGCTGAGTCGTGTTGAAAGGGTGGATAGGCACAAAGTCGTTCGCCATGACTTCCATCGTATGGTTATCGATCATGAACCGGAAGTGCTGGTAGGCTCCGGCATTGACCAAACGCATTCGGTATCGGGTTCCTGGGTTGAAGACCGTTTCGAAGCGAGCGTCTTCCTCGTTCCAGGTGTTTGTTCCGTTGATCAGACTGTTGGGTGTGGTCGGCGGTGCTCCTGTGGCCGCTTGGAGACTAGCTGATCGGCAGTCGACTAGAGTTGCAGAAAACGTCAGTTCATTTCTTGTTTAGACTTGACGTTTTGTACTTACGTGGTACAAATCATTCAAGAACACATGCCCAAGATCGACATTGTAGTTCGCAGACGCAGGTCCATTAATCAGGATTCCACCCAACACTCCATCCCAGGCCTGGACATAGAAGTGGGAATGATACCAACCCGTTCCATATTCGGTCGCACGCCATCTGTATGTGAAGGAGTCACCAGGGGCAACAGGGCACTGTGTGATGCTAGGAACGCCATCCATGCCATCAGTGTAATTTTGTCGGATGCCATGGAAGTGGAGACCAGTGCCGTTGTTTTGCAAAGTTCTTGACGTGGAGAACTGTATCAGCAATATGAGGATACATTCTGGACGATTCTTCCGAGCCTCGACTTACCGACTGTGTCGCCCCAGTCGGCGATGATGGTAGGTCCTGGGAACGAGCCGTTGATCAACTGCACAGGAAACTCAACACCATCAGGCGAAGCGGTGCCGTTCTCTATATTGAACCAGTATTCGCGTACAACACCAGTGTCTGGAATATTTTCATAGTAGTCCGTGGTGATGTCAAACCCCTTGCTCCAGCACTTTCGGCTGTTGGGTCCGTGGACGCAGCTGGTGTCTCGTGGATGTTTGGAAGGTACCGACATGCCAAGGACGGATGGGATCTCAACGAGTGACAAGAGTAAAAATAAGGAGAAACGCATCTCGACCGAGTCTCGAGTATCCCAATGAGTGGGTGGCTAGTGCGGAAGCAAAGGAACAAGGGTGGGAAGGGAAAGTTGGAGGAAAGACAAACGAATGGAAAACATCGGGTCGGAAAGTCGAGGCACCGAGCGGCCAATTATAGAAACAACCCACATATGCAACAAGAACCACACAGGTGCTTCTCGCATCAGTGACTTAGAACACTTCAGTCCTGGTCCTATCCGAAGCGTACTAAAGTTCCAATGGTCAAACCCAAGTTCTCCACTAACGGGATCTTCACCACATGGCCTATTCTAGGAACCCATGGTCGAGTGACACAGTCGAGCCCACCTCTCCCGCTAGGTCTTCCTTCCAAGCTCTTCAGTTCTAGAGTGAATCCTTTGCCAGCTCGATCTAGGCATCCATCGCGCGTCGTCCCTCGAATAGAGTGTGTGCACGAAATATCTTGACAGCTTGGCAGACGATCAGTTGCGACCTACCTTGATAATTACTCGGACGGGTTCAACTCCCGACAACTTGTAGCATCACAAAAGACTTCTTAAAACTTAAAAAGGTCAAAATAATCAACAGTCTACAAAAGAATATAGTTCTTATTCAGCAGAAGGCTTGACTCCAAAGGTAACAGCAATTTAGTTCGTATTAAAACTATCGATGATTAGCATTTGAATTGTTACTATCTCCAGTTTCGCCCGCTTAGTGCTAATAGTTCAACAGCCTTTTCAGAACTCACAATCCTTCCCGGACTCTCCAGCCAGTCCCTGATCCGTTCGGGCGGTATCCGATCTAGGTGGTCTAACGCCTGTCACGATGGCTAGCAGACTCTATCTCAGCCCTGCCGGGGATACACCAATAGAAGATGATCTAAAAACTGAGTATTTGGGACACTGCGCCATGGCTGACGAAAGAAAAGCACGAGAGGGTACGTAAGATTCGAAAAGGACGACGAACGTGGTGATGCGGACCCTGCTGGATGGGCCCCATGTCGTCTCTCGGCTAATTCGCTTGGTTGTTGTTAAATCTTAATCCACCACAAGGCACAGCTGCGATATAGCCATGTAGATCGGCGAGGCTTACGTACGCGTGCTAAATAGAGTACAGAGCTTATTCTAGCTTCGGAAATGGAGTACGCTGTGGGTACGCTGTGGGACTGTCTTAGGCTTAATCGATTTTGAGCTTTCCATTTCATGGTTTCCTCTCCTATTATTGTGCCGGTTGAACTAAAACTCGTGTGCTTGTGACACTGAGTTCCATTTGATAGGACTCCGCCCTGCTTATACCCATAGCTACAATCTCAGCATAACGCAGTATTTCTCATTTCACTCTGCAATTTGAAGCTGGGCAATCGTGTCGATCCGACAAGATGTAATTTCGTACCTTTCTTTCACTACTCTTGCTGCAAGTCGGCCTCGGAGTCGCAACTCTCCACGAACATGCCAAACGTGGTGCCGAGACGAACGCAACAATCTACGCATACGGCACCAACTCCCCTGCTTGGCCCATTGCCTACGGCGTGAACGATGGTATGTCGAGCAGCATTCCCATCAAGGGACCCTGGCTAACACTATCTGCTGTAAGACTGCTGTATATCACCGAATACCCCACCGCCAACGAGGGCATCACTCCTCTCATCTGGGACCTCGCCTCCATAAGAGGCGAATGCTGGTTGCCAATGCCGCCTTCGTCAATGGCACCAAGGCCGGCTCCATGTACATCAAGCCCGAACAGAACTATGCTGTCGGTATCCTTCTGCAAACTCGCGTCGCCTATCTCAACGGTACTGTTTCCGGCTTCGCATTGTTCGCAACGCAGCTGGTGTACAACAACAATACACTCCTCGAAGCGCAATTCTGGGCCAAGAAGACCAATACCACGGGTGTTTATGGGTTGACTTGGACTCTTGACGATAGCGAGCCGAATGGAGACTTCCCTGTCGTTGTAAAGGCCTCGGGAGGACTCATGAAGAAGCCCTGGAGCAGAGCATTTGATTATCCTTGGCGCACTTTCATAATCAGCATCCCCGCGTGCCCTTCCCCATATTGTAGTTGACAATTGCGGAACAAGGCGAACGCGAATAGATTGGGTCGTGTGCTAAGGCCGCGTGCTAGCATAGTCGTGGAATAAATGTGTTTAGGCAGAAATTCAGGCAAATGTGATTTGGCAGCCTTGGACTTGACCTCTGACGTCATATCGAAGTCGGTTCTATGGTCATGTGACAGTTAGAACAATCATCCTGGGTCTGTCACCCTTGTTTCTAGTCTACGTAGGATGTATCCAAGTAAACTATAAAGCATGGTCATATTTTCTGTGCTTTCCCAGTAATGGAGCGTCCGTTGACAACCGATGCATGTCATGATCGTGGTGAAATGATACTAAAAACTCATAATAAGCATCGCCAAGACTATAAATATATAGAGATGGGACTACACCGACTAGTACATCATTTCACATGGCGTTGATACATTAGTGAGACACTCAAAATGAATTTTCACACGTGCTGTGCTGTGCGATGAAATTTATATTGCGAAACGAGGATAAGCCTGAATGTACTAGGAAGCTCTACAACGAACGATGGTATGGCTACCAACGGCAACGCAATGCAACGCGAATATCCGTCGGCAAAAAGAGAGAAGCGGAGGCCAAAAGGAAATCTGGAAGAAGCAAAGGCGCATGTATGGCTTGAATGATTGATTACATAAAAAGAACCCGGACCCAGACAGAGTGTAGTCACGATGAAGCTCAAATATTCGTATGTCCTATTGGCGGCATTCACCCCAGAACTTCAACAAGATAAATCTTAAAACCCAGACTAGTAAACTTTAATTCAGCTCCGAAAGTTGTTTACATGATGACACAGCAGCTGTTCTGTTTCTTGGCCTGTAGGTTGAATGTTAGAAAGAGCAAAATGGAGATTGAGGTGGTGAAAGCGAACCTGGGTATAGAACATTTTACTCTGGGCCGAGAGACCGTCACTCTTTTGCACGAGCGAGTCGATCTTCTCACCACGTTCCAAGACGCTCTCGATCTGTAGGTTGTTAGAAAGAGTCTAACTAGCAGAGAGTGTGATAAACATACGGTCTTGTGCAGGACAATCTTGGTCTCGTCCAGCTCCTGCTGTATCTTCATAATGCTATCGGCCTGGCTGGGATCCTGGTATTTGACAATGTATTCCTTAAGCGCCGGCAGGGGGCAAGCATTCTCGCGGAGCGATGGGTCGGAGAACGATGTGCGAGGGTGCTTGGCGAGGAACTCGTCGACGATCTTCGAAAGAAGCTGGTGGGCGACGAGAGCGGGATACTCGCCATCGGTGACAATAACACCGGCCACGCCCTCGGTCCGGCCGTATGCGTGGAATGTGTATGACTTCTCTTCGATATCCTGACGCTGACCGGGCTTCGTGCGCTCGGCGACCGTGCGGGTGAACAACAGCATGAACTCCTCATAACTGCGATAAAACAAACGTCAATATCTGCGATAATATCGAGAAAGGTTCAAAGGTCTCGCGAAACGTACTTCTGGCGGGTGAATCGGGAGAAACTATCGAGTGTCAGCATTCGGCCCTATGACGGCATCGGCATGTGCCCTGCGAGTGGGCGTACCTGGAGAGGTCCTTCTCGGCGCAAAGCTGAAGGGCGGGCGAAGAGTCGTTCCGAAGAACCTGTATGAAACCAGAGTCAGCAAGCGTCATCCAAAGCCAGATCGGGAGCTGTTTCTTTGAACACAACATACGCCCATGTAGAGAATCTTCATGGTGGCGGAGGCGGGGTGTACAAGTGGGTCGTAAGAAAGGGGACAGGGACAGAAGATAAAACCGAGGCACACGGTGATCTGAAGTGCGAACAAGCGGTCTCGTGTGCCAGGCAGGCGGATTTCAGGGACTCGGCGAGGGGCACAGGGGAGCTGCGGTGGAACTCCTGATCGCCGGCGATGCTGGCCTGTCTCCGCAATTGTCAGCAGAAACCTCACCGCCTCGGCCGTCATCTCCAGAAGTCCGGATGACTCCTTTAGGACATCCAACTATATAGACGCAGTACTTCAGGCAGTACGACCAGCCTGACACTATGGCTGACCTATCCACCATGGAGTCGCAATGGCTATCACAGCTGACAGACATGCGCAAGGCCATCGCCGACCTGAAGCTCCCGACAGACCTGCCCCGCGATTCAACCAACTACGGCAGCGAAATTGAGCTGGACTTGGACGATGACTACTCCTCACCGGGGACGATAGATGATGTTTGGGATATCATCAGCTCTGACGAAGAAACGACCGACGACCTCGGCGATGTGGACGACTTTCGCCCTCCGCAATTGTCCTCGTACAACCGTCTCTGGCTGGAAAGTAAATGCCAGGAGCTCGCCTCACGCAACGCCACCATGGATGCCAGTGAACTCTGTCAGCAGCTAGAGGCTACCCTGGCCGCCGATAGCGATGACGGAGAGCTGCAGATGTCTCTCGCGGAGATCGTCGGCTTCGGTGACCTGGATCTGGTCATCGAGCTTATCGCCCACCGATCGGATATTCTGTCGAATAAAGGACAACGGGTGGAGGCACAGACAGATGGACTGGCAAGTGGGAAGCTTTTGACTCGTGCCGAACGGGAGGTTGCCTTGTGGCAAAGAGACTTCGAGCACAAGAACGCACCTCTGATGGCGGCCCAGACCCGCGCAGAGCCTTCCTATCCTCATGTGTTCAAGTCCCTGTCCGCCGGGAACACACTTTCAGCAAATGGCCGGAAATACGGCCTTCCCGTCGGCAGCCAGAAATTTGAAGAGCCCAAGTATGTAGAATACGAAATTCCAGCAACCAAGGTAGGGTCCCTGGCCAAAAACCAGAAGCTCGTCGAAATCGCCGGCCTAGATGGCCTTTGCCGCGGAACCTTCAAAGGCTATAAAGCCCTCAACCGCATGCAGAGCCTTCTTTACGAGGTAGCATACAAGACCAGCGAGAATATGCTCATTTGCGCCCCGACCGGTGCTGGTAAAACCGATGCAGCAATGTTGACCGTTCTCAATGCCATTGGGAAGAATACTGTTCCTAATCCTTTAGACGAGCCCGATGCTACCGAGTTCACTGTCCATGTAGATGACTTCAAGATTGTCTACGTTGCTCCGATGAAAGCTCTTGCCGCAGAAGTCACGGAGAAACTCGGCAAGCGTCTCGCCTGGCTGGGGATCCAAGTGCGTGAGTTGACCGGTGACATGCAATTGACCAAGCGGGAGATCGTGGAGACTCAAATCATCGTCACCACCCCTGAGAAATGGGATGTCGTGACTCGCAAAAGTACCGGAGACACTGAACTTGTCCAGAAGGTGCGGCTGCTCATCATTGATGAGGTCCACATGTTGCACGATGAGCGCGGTGCCGTGATAGAATCGCTGGTTGCCCGAACTCAACGTCAAGTGGAGAGCACCCAGTCTCTGATTCGCATCGTGGGGTTGTCAGCCACCCTGCCCAACTATGCCGACGTCGCCGATTTTCTCAAGGTCAACAAAATGGCCGGACTGTTCTTTTTCGATGGGTCTTTCCGCCCTGTGCCCTTGGAACAGCACTTCATTGGTGTCAAGGGAAGGCCTGGGTCTAAGCAGTCGCGGGAGAACATCGACACTGTTGCCTATGAGAAGGTACGCGACATGCTCGAACGTGGCCACCAAGTCATGGTATTCGTGCACTCTCGCAAGGATACTGTGATGACAGCCCGCATGCTCAAACAACTGGCCGCCGAGGAAGGATGCGAGGATCTATTCAGCTGCCATGACCATGAAAATTATTCCAACGGTCTCCGGGACATGAAGCATGCCCGGGCGCGAGAGCTGCGAGATCTCTTCACCAGTGGGTTTGGAACACATCACGCTGGCATGAGTCGAAGCGATCGCAACCTGATGGAGCGGATGTTCTCCGAGGGTCTGATCAAGGTGCTCTGCTGTACTGCCACTCTTGCTTGGGGTGTCAACCTTCCGGCAGCCGCGGTAGTCATCAAGGGCACCCAGCTCTACAATCCACAGGAGGGTAAATTCGTCGACCTAAGCATCCTTGACGTTCTGCAAATTTTCGGTCGTGCCGGCCGTCCTCAATTCCAGGATACTGGTATCGGCTTCATTTGCACCACTTCAGACAAGGTCGACCACTATCTATCTGCTGTGACTGCGCAGCAACCCATCGAGTCGCGATTCTCGAGCCGACTTGTCGACAACCTGAACGCTGAGATCGCGCTTGGCACTGTGACATCTGTACCGGAAGCTGTGCAGTGGCTTGGATATTCATACTTGTTCGTTCGCATGAAGCGGGAACCCCGAAACTATGGCATAGAATGGGCGGAGATTCGTGACGATCCCATGCTTGTGCAGCGACGCCGCCAGTTGATTATCCAGGCAGCACAGACTCTGCAAAAGAGCCAGATGATTATCTTCAATGAGAAGACGGAAGATCTCAGAGCCAAGGATGTCGGTCGTATTGCCAGTCAGTACTACGTCCTCCAAACCAGCGTGGAGATCTTCAACACCATGATGCGGGAACAGGCTGGAGAGGCAGATGTCCTGAAGATGATCAGCATGAGTGGTGAATTCGACAACATCCAATCCCGAGATACCGAATCCAAGGAGCTCCAGCGACTGCGCGACGACGTGGCTCAGACCGAAGTCGAGGGAGGAAACGATTCACCCCATGCCAAAACAAATTTATTGCTGCAGTCCCATATCTCTCGTGCCAAGCTTGAGGATTTCGCCCTCGTGTCTGACATGGGATATGTCGCCCAGAACGCCGCTCGTATCTGTCGTGCTCTCTTCATGGTGGCTTTGAACCGCCGGTGGGGCTACCAATGCCAGGTGCTTTTGTCACTGTGCAAGTCAATAGAGAAGCAGATCTGGCCCTTCGACCACCCTTTCCACCAATTCGACCTACCCCAACCTGTTCTCCGGTACTTGGATGAGCGTTTACCGGCTTCATCTATTGAATCCATGAGAGAGATGGATGCCGCCGAGATTGGAAGCCTTGTCCATAACCAAAAGATGGGCAAGACGATCACTCGATTGCTCGACAACTTCCCTACTCTGAGCGTGGAGACCGAGATTGCACCTCTGAACCGCGACGTTCTTCGTATTCGCCTGTCCATCTATCCCGAATTCTCCTGGAACGATCGTCACCACGGCGCGTCCGAGTCGTTCTGGGTCTGGGTCGAAAACTCGGAGACCTCCGAAATCTACCACCATGAGTACTTCATCCTCAGCCGCAAGAAGCTATACGACGACCACGAGCTCAACTTCACCATTCCGTTATCCGATCCTCTCCCCAGCCAAATATACGTCCGCGTTATTTCCGATCGTTGGTTAGGAGCCGAAACCGTCAGCCCCGTCTCGTTCCAGCACCTCATTCGCCCAGATACCGAGAGTGTGTACACCGATTTGTTGAATCTGCAGCCGCTGTCGATCTCGGCGCTGCAAAACCCAATCCTGGAAGAGTTGTACGGTCAGCGATTCCAGTTCTTCAATCCCATGCAGACGCAAATCTTTCACCTTCTGTACCACACCTCGGCCAACGTTCTCCTAGGATCCCCAACCGGTAGCGGAAAGACAGTGGCCGCCGAACTGGCCATGTGGTGGGCCTTCCGCGACAAGCCTGGCTCGAAGGTTGTGTACATCGCTCCGATGAAAGCGCTGGTTCGTGAGCGTGTTCAAGACTGGCGGAAACGTCTTACTGGGCCTATGGGATTGAAGCTTGTCGAGTTGACGGGTGATAATACACCGGACACCCGGACGATTCGTGATGCCGACATCATCATCACCACGCCAGAGAAATGGGACGGTATCTCACGTAGCTGGCAGACGCGTGACTATGTTCGCAAAGTTAGTCTTGTTATCATTGACGAGATTCACCTCCTGGGTGGTGACCGTGGACCCATTCTCGAGATCATCGTATCGCGAATGAACTACATCGCCTCTCAATCCAAGGGATCAGTCCGACTGATGGGTATGTCGACTGCGTGCGCCAACGCGACTGATCTCGCGAACTGGCTTGGGGTCAAGGAGGGTCTATACAACTTCCGCCATTCTGTCCGCCCCGTCCCTCTCGAAATCTTCATCGACGGGTTCCCCGAACAGCGCGGCTTCTGTCCTCTCATGCAGTCCATGAACCGACCCACGTTCCTTGCAATCAAAAACCACTCTCCCGAAAAACCAGTCATTGTCTTCGTTGCCTCCCGCCGACAGACTCGATTGACGGCTAAAGACCTAATCAACTACTGCGGTATGGAGGACAACCCTCGTCGGTTCGTTCGCATGTCGGAGGATGACTTGGAGCTGAACCTTGCCCGAGTCAAGGACGAGGCTTTGAGAGAGGCGCTTAGCTTCGGTATCGGCTTGCACCATGCCGGTCTGGTTGAGTCTGATCGACAGCTGGCCGAGGAGCTGTTCGCCAACAACAAGATCCAAATCCTCGTTGCTACCAGTACCCTGGCCTGGGGTGTCAACTTGCCCGCGCATCTGGTCGTTGTGAAGGGAACGCAATTCTTCGATGCCAAGATCGAGGGATACCGCGACATGGACTTGACTGATGTCCTGCAGATGCTCGGTCGTGCCGGCCGTCCACAATTCGACAATTCGGGTATCGCGCGTATCTTCACCCAAGATTCCAAGAAGGCTTTCTACAAGCACTTCCTCCACACCGGATTTCCCGTCGAGTCGACCCTGCACAAAGTATTGGACAACCACTTGGGCGCTGAAGTATCGGCTGGCACAATTGGAACCAAGCAGGACGCGCTAGATTATCTGACCTGGACATTCTTCTTTCGCCGACTACACAAAAACCCATCGTACTACGGTCTCGAGATCTCTGTAGAGGAGCAAAACTCCATCGCGGCACGATCCATTGCCGAGGAATTCATGATTGATCTGGTAGACAAGTCGCTCGATGATCTCGCCGAGTCCTCTTGTGTGCTTGTCGACTCGGCGACCGGCGAAGTGGACTCCACCCCCTTCGGCAAGATCATGAGTTATTACTACCTGTCCCATAAGACAATTCGCTACCTGATGTCGCACGCCAAACGCGATCCCACTTTCCAGGACGTTCTTAGCTGGATGTGCTCGGCCACCGAATTCGACGAATTGCCCGTACGGCACAACGAAGATCTTATTAATGCTGAACTGGCTCAGAACCTCCCTCTGTCCACCGAGTCGATGGGCGATGTGCCCATGTGGGATCCACACGTCAAGGCCTTCCTGCTGCTCCAGGCGTACATGTCGCGGATCGACCTCCCCATCTCTGATTATGTCGGTGATCAAACCTCGGTATTGGACCAGGGCATCCGTATCCTCCAGGCTTCCATCGACGTTATGGCTGAACTGGGATACATCCAGGCGTGCCAGATGCTCATCACACTCCTACAATGCATCAAGTCCGCTCGCTGGCCAGAGGATCACCCTCTCTCCATCCTGCCAGGTATCCCCGTCACCAAGGCACCACTGGGCTTGCCCGCCTCCTTGGCCGGACTGTCCTCCCAACCATCATCCTCCTTCTCAGAACTGGCCAAGATACACAACCTCCCCTTCAACTTCAGCAAAGCCGCCTCACAGCTCCCGAACATCGACCTCTCGCTCGCCGGCATGTCAGCCAAGGGTCTCTCCATCAACGTCACACGCCGCAACAGCCCAACACACTCCGAGCACCGAATCTACGCGCCCCGATTCCCGAAACCACAAACGGAAGGCTACTTCCTCATCGTCTGCAGCGCCCGACCAGACGGAACCGACGGCGAACTTCTCGGTCTCAAGCGCGTGTCCTGGCCATCCAAGCAAACCCAAAACCAGGACAGAGGTCAAAACCGGGGCCGGGGTCGTGGTGGTGTTAGATCCAATCGAGGTGGATCAGGGCAAGGATCGAATACTATCAAAGATAGACACACTGGCCCGATCTCTACTCGGTCTCTGGTCAAGTTTCCTGCAGCAGCGCTCGCCGAGTCCTCCTCCCTTACAACTGCCGGTACTGCTCGCGTGAACGTGCGCCTCATCAGCGACAGCTATATTGGCATGCAGTGGTCGTTGGTGAATGCGGAGGTGGATGTGGATACCGGTCTGCCGACGCAGATTGTGGAGGAGCCCAGTGTGCCCGAGAAAGCATGAGCTATTATATTATATCGTACACGCATTTTATATATCATCACGATAGAAATAAACTGCATCTCCTAGATTAAGAACAGTGATACTCTGCTCTACAGGAGTTTGGTAGCTCATGGTGGTAGACATAGCCTAGTCATACAGCAAACCCTCACCACGGACACCACCCGCCGCAAAAACACCCTTCTCCATCCTCGAGTTCATGACTCAAGGCATGATGAAAAGTAAAGTAACCCCACGAAGGGGATGCCAAAGAATACGCCTCCCAGGCCTCCGAGGGTGACTGAACAGACGATCATCGCGATGTGCAATGTGCAATGCAATGGACCTTCTGTGGTGAACCGCCGTCATGACAGCGGCCCACCCAAACAAGGTATATATGAAGAGGGAATAAAAGGAGACAAATTTAGGAGTCGACGGCAGTATTTATACCGAGCGGTGCAACGGGCACATGGCAACCTGTTTCTAGGCAGTGAAGCGAGGACTTCGACAAAAGAGGAAGGCACACGACTTCGAGTTAGAATAGTGTCAGATAGTTAAAATGATGGCTCATGGTGTATCCCTGGACGTGCTCTCTTCTCCAAACTCGAGTCACTAACTCAAGCATGATGAAAAGAAGGGAATCCCCAGAGGGGAAGATGCAAAGTAACTATATGCCCACCAACGTACCGAAGTAGTTGGACAGTCGGGCTGTCCGCCGCAGTGTGCAATGCGGGACAGACTGTGGTGATCCGCCCTCATGACCGTGGACCACCCGGACTGCCCGGGCTATTACCCCCGTGACATGGAAAGTGAAGGCACTGGAGGTAGAATTTAGTTGGCAGAGAAAAAGTAATCCCACGAAGGGAGTGTCAAAGAATAAGCCCCCAGCCCCCGAAGGTAGCTGGACTGGTAGACTGTGGTGTGCTGCCTTCTTGATCGCAGACACCCGGACGAGCTGCGGTTTCGCCGAAGCTAACAAAGTGAGGCCCTGGGAGATAGAGGTTAGTTGGTAGCGGTGAATCCCACGCAGGGAGCCCATGAATATGCCCGAGAGAGACCCGGTTTCTCAACAAGGTATGAGCCCACCGCGCTGTGCAATGCGGTGGTACCTGTGGCGACCACCTTGATGATCGTGGACCACCCGGGCTGCCTCAGGTTATGATTCCTGGGCATGAAGGTGCAAGCCCTGGAGGTAGAGGTTAGTTGGTCGTGGGTTGGAATCCCTACAGGGGAAGATGTCAAAGTATCAGCCACCGCGCTGTGCAATGCGGCGACGGTGGTGGACTGCCCTCTTGACCGCGGTCCACCCAAGTCTACGGGCGATGAAGAGGAAGAACAAAAGGGAAGGAAAATCGGTCGGCAGGCAATATTTATACGGTCGTGGTGCGGCGCTAGTCCCGATTGGGGAGGGCAGCCATCGCAGGCAGGTGCGCGTTGACACCGCGTTGACACAGCCTGCAGCCCACAGGAAGGATAACAAGGATCGTCTGACCTGCTTGAGATAGCGAAAGTGCTTCTTTTGCTGCTGCTGTCTAAAGGACCATCTCTTCGCTACTAAGCAAGATCGAAGTCTCCGTCGTGGCTGTCGGAATGGGAGTGTGGCCACACAAATTGCAAGATAATGAATGCGCCTGGAAGCGTTCACGGATAGTCAGTCGTTGTATTATTTTGCTTTAGTCATTAAATACAGTTTAGATAAATCAAAGTGTCCAATTGTGTCATTCCAACAATCAAACGATCTATGAAACACAATGTGAACTACAATTTCCCATATTCCCGCTTAAAAGGAAACGTAAACCCGACTAGGGAGCTATAGTGTTTCCAAAATAATCGAGATCTACAAGGCTGCAATTTTAGACTCATAACTAAATATCTTGCTTGTGAATGGAAGCCCAGGGGCATTTGAAAAAATGATAATGACTGTATCTCTCTTCTATTCACGTTGGACCTTGACAGACATACGGCGATAGCGTCTAGCTTGATAAATTCAAGTGTTGTATTTGCTCCCACATAGTCTTTGTTTGGTTCTTGCTTTGATCGCCGATATTTAGCTATCTTGAGATCCCAAGAAAGATCCAGCCTCTAAAGCAGAACGCTTGCTCAAACCTGCGACGCTCGCTTCATGGCCGGCGTGAACTGGGGACATAGTCTCACGCATTGAAAGTGAACAATTCAATATGTCCGTGAATTTATTGGCCTGAAATAGGTTGGCCGGCATGACGGAGAGTGTACATTCTCTTCTCAAAATGCGCCGATAACCCGTGAATCTCTTCATCAAACTGTTCTTACCGAGCGTCATTATGAGGGGCCCTGGTAGCAACAATCGGTGTCATCATTCAGCGGAACGGCAATTTGCTTCTTCGATGCTCGTATCTTGGGTAGGGGCGTCTGGGTGAGGACGAAGGAGGACGTTTATCTGCCTTGTCGGCTGCTTGTGGGGCCTTCACGAGTCGTTGTATCAAGCCTATGATATCTTGATGCTCCAGCTTAGGCCCGGTAACAGGAAAAGGCCCTGAAAGGACACGATGGATTATGCTGCACCGGGGATAGATACAGAAGGACTCGGAGTCATTCAATCTACTACGGATGCTGGGCTGCCGCTGCGGTCTGACACGTCAGGCCGATCAATCTTGCAATCTAACAACAACGCATTCATCAAACTGGCGTGCAAATGGAAATCTATTTCAACATCCTCAGTTCCTACACTCTAAATCGAAATCCCAAACCACTTCTTCAACCCCCTCAGCCTCTCCTCCTCCGTCCCAAACTGATCAACCACCCTCGTCTTCCCACCCATATTCAACTTAACAACATCATTAACAAACATAATCTTCCCAACAACGCTAACATCATCCTCCCCAAGCAGACTACCTTCCCCCTCGAGCAACGGCAAACCACGCGTCTCCCCATTCCGAATAAACCTCACAACCCAAAAATTACCCCTCTCCCTCGCCTCCCAGCTGGTAAACCGATTCATAACCTCAAAATCATCCTGAAAGAACTCAAACTCCGCAAAACTATAGAAGGTATTCCACTCCTTCCCAACGCCATTCCGATATTGATACAACCAAACCTTCTGCTCGGGCCGCGTCTGTTTCGGCATATTCCCGTATACCAGACGAACCTGCTGCGGGCCCAGGTTTTGCCAGACTTGTCCCGAGATCAGGGGGAGGGGTCTTGTTGCACCATCACCGCCGAAGGCTGCGTCCGCGTGGTATTCCTGTCCGGTTGGCAGTTTGATTATGTTGACGATGTGTGTCCTGCGAGCGTCAACCATCCGGTCATACTATGGCTGTTGAAATGCAGCACCCGGGCTTCATACCACCCCCTAAACTCCCCTTGTGGAATTCCATCAATTCGCCCTCGATTCCGCACACCAGTCATGTATACGTCAAACCCCAGTCCGAGGAGGGCATGGTAAAAGAAGATACTGCATTCTAGACAATACCCTCCCCGTCCGGTAGGATTCTCCACTTCGGCACCCATGAGCTTGACATAGATACGCTGGGGCTCGATCTCAGCAAGGTTCGTCTCTGAATAATGCACCGACAAATTGTCGTAGGGGAACCTGGTAATTTGACACTGGAACAGCGCAGTCAGCGCATCCTCGGTCTTCGGGAACGAGGCCGGATGCTGTGCGTATGGTGCATATTGAGATGGGAGCGCAAGGTACGCCAGATACTTGCTCAATTGAGCTTCCGAGTACGCAGAAATCATTCGAAAACTCTCAATAGGGTGTTGTGTTGTTGTGTTGTTGTGTTGTTGCAGGAGTTAAGCCGTGGTTTGGACCGCGGATGTCGTACTGCGCCCTTCGAAATGAGTCATAGCGGTTAATATAAACGGTAGAGTTTGTAGGTAGCAATCCATTGCGAGTAGCACCTTTCAATTGGGGCTTTGTATAGTAGTCTACTGTATATACAGCCTGCTGGCATCTCTGATCTGTCTGTGGGGTGGCCGTTAACGCGGAGCTGAGCACGGCAAATGGTGGACGACGAACTGCCCGCATCCCCGCTTCGGGTACGCTTCGGCAACGCCCTTGTGACACTGCCATTGGCGTCGCCTTGATTTCCAATCTACATCACCCATCTATACCCATCGCAACAAGCAAGACAAAGCCAAAAATGCATCCAAACCAACAAAAACTGATCAACTGCGCCCGCGAATTCTTCGCGGAAGTAGAAGAGCTGTACGTGTCACTGCCACACAGCTTATTTGTACTAACAACACCAGAACACCGGGCAAAGCCCTCGAAAACCGCCTCAATGCCAACTACGGCCCCGGAACAAAATACTACGAAACACTCTGCACTCTAATCCGGCAGGGCATAACCAACAACGAAGGTTGGGTCGCAACGGACGAGCTAGACGGCCCGAAATACCGACGGAGTCGAATTAGCCCTCCGTGCGAGGAGACGCGGTTTTTCAGTATTACGACGGTCTACATGGAAAGTGAAGAGGTGTATCGTGGCCAGTATCACCTCCATCCGTATGGTGAAATCAACTGTGTTGTACAGCTTGATCCTTCGGCCGAGTTGATGGGGATGTCAGGATGGCAGGGCTCGGGCTGGACTTCTCCTGCTCCTGGGACGCATCATTACCCTGAGGTTAGAGGAGGTGCACTTGTTGCATTGTTCTTTTTGCCTGCTGGGCGGATTTCATATAGCAGGGCGAAGCCGGGGGATCCTCAGCCTGTTGGGATTTAGTCGTGGGAGTAGGCAAGCGGTGAAATGTGAGGAATATTTGGATATTGTATGGAGATTGTGAGGTACGTTTGATTCATTAGCAATATCATACTGAGTTTGGTTTAAATTAAGAAAGGGAATCATGTGAAGTATAGTGTTGTATTGTCCACCCTCCCCAATATATACATGACTTACCTGCTGTGCCCTGCCCACCCTCCCCATGTGTCACTACATACTGTTAATCCGTATATAAATGCCAGACTTACTTACCTGTCCCTTCCCACCCACCGCACATAAGACATTAAACATTATGGAGCAGGGTGACCAACATCCTGCCCCCGCCCACCCACCGCATATTAAACATTAAACATTATGGAGCAGGAAGACCAACATCCTGCGTCCACCCACCCACCGCATATATACATTCGTGTGTATACTGACTTACCGTCACCCTTCCGACCGACCGCACATTATATATACCCAACTGTGCCTCCCCCCCCCCTATAAGGACCCAAATGTCCTGCCCACCTACCCACCGCACATGTATATATACCCAACTGTGCCGACAACTGGCGACCCAAGAGCGGAAGCTGACCAGATCGTTAGTGCCTTCTAGCATAACCCGAAGGAAACGCCGAAAGGAACTGCCAATGCAAGTCGGCAACACGCTAATGGGACAGCTGGAGTGCAAGGGTTGACGAGACAGATTCGACTTCCCCTGCAGATCGGATGTCACCGACCAGGCAGTTTAGCCACATGCCCAGGTGGATCGCTGTGTTGGCAGGTGGGGGGTGTAGTTGAGGCGGGCGAGGCGGGACGTGGAGTTGGCATTGTGTGTCTGAATGTTGCGGAGAGAGCGAGAGAATGTGGGTTGGTACTCTCGAGGTGTGGCGGACTTGCTCAAGTGACAGGATCGGAACCGAAGAAATGTCTTTGCAGCTGTTCGAAGTCTGGCAGGTCGCCTCCGGTCAGGTTCAGGTCCCTGTCATAGTACAGGGAGTACATGGCGTAGGGGTCGTCTGGAAACTCGATGGGCAGTGAGGCGGCAGTATACCCCTCTGACATTGTTTCAAGTGTGGGGAAACCGGTGGCGTCTGGACCAGTCGGGATCGAGCCGGAGGCAATTGCAGATCGGTTGACGGGAGGAGGGGTTAGAGGAGGGTCCCAAGCACTGGATTGAGCTTGCAGCTCTCCGTGCTGGTGCGTGTGATCACGGCAGGGACTCGGGCTTTCTTTGGGTGGAGACTGACTATGCACAGAGGAAATGTGCGAGTAGATGCGCTGGATTTGATCTCTGCGTTGAATGGCAGCTTGGTTGTTGAATGTGCCTAGATATTCGAGCAGTTGCAGTGCATCAGATATACCCGGGCTGGGCCTGAGGAGGGCGGCTTTGGGGCCTTGGCCGTTGCCGGTTGCATGGATGATTTCAGCGAGCAACATGATGAAACCAGCCGAGAAAATTGTGTCGAGGTCAAAGAACCCGAATTTGGCTTTGGGAGTGTCAATCTTGTTCAAGGGTTTGCGAGGTATTGGACCTACTGATCATGTTCTCTTTTTGTGACACGAGCATAAGTTCGAGGCTTCGGCGGGCGGCTTCGATGCAGGTGAATGAAAGGTGTTGGAAGTCTCTAGTGCTGTCCTCAAAGCTGGTCTCACCGTGCATCACCAACTTGGTAAGATGGAGCATAATCGGTCGGAGGGTGAGGATGATGGTCTTCAAGATGCACGTTAGGAACGCACGAACAAGGCCGAGTGGAGGAGTCCATACCGTGTTTAAGACAGTGTAAAGCGAGATGCTTGTCCGCTGTTCTCTCGGGGACGCTTTGTGACCAAGAACGGAAGCGCCAAGTGATGAAGTGTGGGAGATATGATGGGCCAGTCGTGTGAGCGACGAGATGATTTCTCGAACGCTTGCGAGGAAGTTGTCTTTCGGACCGAGCTCATTTCCGTAGATGACTTCGAAGGTGAGCAGAGGATCGGGGTGGAGGGATGGTCGACGTACCTGAATAGATTCGTGTCTGGATTTGCGCGATCTGAATGTTGATCTGCATGGCGGCCGAGTTGGGGAATCCGGGCGAGTCTGAGGGGAGAGGCGCGTCGATAAAAGTGTCCAAGGTGAAGGGGCACCCGGTGGCGATCATGAGTCGCTTCTCCAGCATGAGAACAGTCCACCAGAGGCGGTTGGCGTGCGTGGTTTCCGACCGTCGAAGTGAATGTGTTGTTTCCTTGCGATGGAGGCCATGCATGGTGCATAACCGGAATGAAATGCCAGCCTGGTTGATGTTAGTCAATGTCCGACATTGATGAGGTTGGGAGGCTGACATAAATAGCAGCATCCTCTTTGCGATCGGCATTTTGAAGGTAAACAACCATCAAAGCCAGTACCTCGATGGCAGCCAAGCCATGCTTGCGAAGCTCAGTGAGGGGTGGGAGAACTCGTTCGACGTAGCTGAAGTAGTGCAAGCCGGGCAGCTGATCATCAGAGCTCGTGTCACCCCTCAGTAACTTGCCAAGTGCGAAGATGAGAAATATCTGCAGCGTCCAGATGTTGCTGTCTTGCAGCTGGGGATTGCCGCTCTCAAAGAATGATGAGATACGGTCAGAGACGTCGCGTGCGTCGAAGAGGTGTTGAGGTTCGTAGAAGTAAAGCATGATTGTGTCGAGGAGTTGGAAGGCATCCTCCTCGCTAGGCAGGATCACATGAGCCTTGAGCTCATTTGCTGCCTGCCCAGAGAGCTGCAGAGAGGGTCTGGTTTGTGGAAACAGTGTTTCACGCGTTGATTTGAATGTTGTGGCACGGGTTGTTGATGTATTGCATCGCGGCTCAAAGAGACTTTGCACGCGATTTCCAAAGTCTTGGCTGGAGCCGATGTCACGATCGGCAGTGATACCTGCAAAGAGATGTCAGAATATTTTTGTAGAATGAAGATTTGACAGACGCACTTTGCATCGATGATGGATCGACACGCGGTGATTGTTGTGGCTGCCAAGTGCTTTGCACGGGAGATGGGGCAGTCACATCTCTGAAAGTAGACGGGGAACCAAGAGATGGCGATGCATCCAGATCACTTCTAGGCTCATATAGAGCCAGTCGAGCTTCAAGCTCTTGCACTCTCCTGTGTCGTGTCAGCAAGTCCAAAATAGATAAAGGTCATGAGGGAAACGACAAACACACGCTGCGGAATAGAGACGCCTCTGCTCAGAAACAGGAAAGCTGCAAACCAATTCGCGTCGAGTGCAGTAAACACATGGATACTCGCCAGAGCATTTGACTTTCTTTTGTTTACAGTTGGAGCATCTGTAAGAGGGTCAGGAGTGTGAACAGTGGCGTCGGCCTCACCAGGGAGCCGCATGCGCGGGAAAGTAAACTCACGCAGAAATAACCTTGACTTGTTCTTTTCTATGACCCGGAGAGGACCGGGATTCTGTTCTCGGGGCTGTCCGGAATGGCGGCATGTGGATGGTTGATGACGGTTGTTGATGGGGTAGATGGAGAAGGGAAGATGAGTATGCGTTTCGGAGGGGTCCGAGGCGGTCTTGTAAGCAGCCAGGACCCGCGGATGCGGGACCACATTTTCCCGGTGACCTGCACCTTCCCAGAATGGAGTGTGTACCGGATTGCTTAGGTGAGATTTTCTGTTAGATTGTCGCCGATGTCCAGGACAGATGGGATTCGTTCTTCGGCAACTGTTCGCAAGAAAAATTGGAATTTTGTACAGAACATGAGGAGACGTCAACCAAAATCATTATTCATCAATTCAATAGCAGACTATATACCATCACCCTTTCTTAGCCTTGTAAATGTCAAGCAAAAGCCTTAGCGTATCATTACAGTCCTCCTTCTCCATCATAACCTCAACCATGCGCAGTCCCTTCCCAGAATGAAAGTCCCTTTTCGCAAGGACCTCATCAAGCTCACCCCAAGTACTAACCCTTGCCTTGAGAGTTGGATACGACTCTGTAGACTCCACCCCAAAGAAGGAGGCACATTCAAGATATTTCCAGGGCGCGACATCGTTGTAAGATTCCTCGGGTCCATGGATCAGTCGTTCAATCGTGTACCCGTTGTTGTTAATTAGGAACACGATCATATCGAGTTTCTTGTGGAGAATGGTGCTCATTTCCTGTGCTGTCATTTGGAAGCTGCCATCTCCCTGGAAGAGGATTGTTCGGCCTTGAGGCGTGGCAGACTGTGAATTTGTTTCTGCGGATTGGACAATGTGTCGTTGGGCTAGAGCGGCGCCCTGGGAGGCTGGAAGCATGTAGCCAATTGATAACCACACAGATGAGTTAATGAGTGTTGTATCTCTAGGAAGAACAAAGTCCCGTGCACCAAGACTTGCAGTCCCTGTTTCCGTCAAGAGGATATCGCCTGGGCGGAAGAAGTGTGACATGCGACGCCAAAAAATGGATTGAGAGAATTTGTCGGTTGGATTCACGTCTGGCAGTTGTTGAAGCGCAGTGTCGGAGGTCGGTAGCTCGTCACGGGGCTTGACAGGGAAAGATTCGCTAAACCTCAAGCTTTCAATCACTCTGTCGAGAACAGGACCAGGTCGAATTGCCACTTCTTCTTCTCCAATCCTGATGGATGTCCTGTCGATAGTGATCGTGATGTCTTCTTTCGGCACCGTCGCAAAGTAGTATGTATTCACATTACTGTGCACGGGTCCAAGATTGACAACCAAGTCACAACCCTTGACATAAGAATCATAGTCAAAATCTCCGACGGTAGCGTAAATGCCATGGAAATTGGGCAGGTTCTCCTCGATGATTCCCTTCCCAAAAGGCGTAGTGGTAGTCGGGAACCCAGTGGTTTCAACCAACTCCTGGGCATGTCTCGAAAGACCATACCGAGAAGCCCCACCATCAACAAGAATCATCGGCTGCTTAGCATCCAAAATCTTCTGCAAAATGCGCTGGGCAACAACGCCCTCCTGACCAAGATCATTCAGAACAGGCGGAAGCTGCAGCGACGTCGACAGCAACGACTCCGGCACCATCTGTCCCACCATATCCATTGGAAACCGCAAATAAACAGGCCTCGACTGCTCAAGACACGCGCGAATAACACGATCAATCTCAGCGGGCGCAGTCTCAACATCAAGCAAATTAGCCTTCGCAACCGTAACCCTCTCATACATCTCCGCAAAAAGCTCGTAGTCTCTCGGTGCCCCCGAGCAAAACGAGTGATGGAGCTTCACACCCTTACTCTGGAGATTTTGCATCGGCGTCCCAACAATGTGCACAACAGGTGCCATCTCAGCATACGAGCCGGCAATAGCATTGATGGCAGAGAGTTCGCCAACACCGAATGTCGTCACGATGGCGCCGATCCCCTTGACACGTGCGTAGCCGTCGGCGGCGTACCCGCCGTTCAGCTCGTTGCAGTTTCCTACCCATTCGAGGCCTGAGGGGATGACATGGTCGAGGAGGGTGAGGTTGTAGTCGCCTGGGACGCCGTGGACGGCTCGTAAGCCTGTTTGGTGGAGTCTTCGGAAGAGGTATTCTGCCAAGGGGATTTTGACTGTCATTTTGCTTTTTCTGCGCAGGCTTTTGAGGGCTTGGAGAAGGAGAAAAGAGAATGGAGGAGTGTAAAGAGGAAATGCCCTGCTTATTTTGTTCATGGTTGGCCTCGGACACTTCCGTGATTCTCGGAGCCTCCGTGAGGATGAACGCGTTGGTTGGTGGGGGTCTGGGATATAGACCCACTTCTCGGAAGCTTCCGAATATTGTCGCAGTGGCTTGCAGCTCTCACGGGTGCAGTCGTTCTCTCAGTCCTGCGTGTCAAGCGTCTTGATTAGATCCAAGCTCACAGCGCCGCCCAGCACTCCGGCTCTAGCATGCAAAACTCACCGGACTCGCGGATTGCCGGAGCAGCGACATCTTAGCGCCGTCAACATCTTCTGCCGACTCACCAATCGAGAAGTTGCATTCGTTTCCATGCTCTTCAGGTCGGTATCCGAGCGTATACTCCTTCATCTGGTGCAGGATTGTTCCCTTCGTTTTCGGTGTCCTTCTCGTTGGTCGTTAGGCACGAAAAAAAAAAAATATTCCAGGGGGCCTGGTGGGGTGAATGTTTCTTGCCGTCGTTGACAGCTGGGCATAAGCGAAGTGCACAGTATCAACCTAGGGTGGCGTCGGAAACTGTCTGGCTTCAAAAGGGGCGGCCGGGTGTGAAGACATGTCGTGGTGTGGGTATGGGGTGAGGTGCAATCTGGACGGGTTGTTGCCATAAAGCACGGCGGCACTCGTACAATTAATGCGACTGCTACGTATGGAATCACAAAGCAACGCCGCCCCAAACATAGTCATTTCTGTTTACAAATAGTGAAAGAATCATGAATATGTGCATCAATAAATGAAATAGAATATGTTCAGGAATGAATTAAAAGTAACATAAGAAGGCGCGGGTATGCATGAGGCCGAACGCTCAAACAAACCAGCACGAAGGTATATGAAGAATGTCAAAATCAAAAAGCAAGCCTATCACAGAGACTCTATCTGCAGTTCTTGGGACTTGGCAGGGCGATGTCCATACGACACCTCCGTGATCCTAGGAGTCAACGTCTTCCTCTCCACGAACCGCTCATTCGAGTCGAAGTGGTCCAAGCGAGCTCCGATCGGAACAAGCATCTGCCTCTTCCTTTTGACACGGAGATCGAGCGTGCGGTTGAGACTTCGATCGTCGGGATTTGCTTGGCCGTCGCTTCAGTTTTCTTTGCGTCTGAGACGGGAATCTGGGTGGATGGGCTTGGCTTTTGAGGCAGTTGTGGGGATATCGTGGACATAGTACCGCTGACTGATGAGAGTGGTACCGGGGACATAGTTATGGCGGGCGGGTCTGTGACAAGTTTCTGGATCGGCCGTCCAGAATCGGGGGTTGATGATGATTGTATGGAACTATCCTTGGCAGGGGGCCGTGGTGGAGAGCCCGTGTTAATCGTCAAGTTCGGCTTGTTTGACCTAACGAACTCCCGCTGCAGAGAGTGTTCCTTCATCAGGGATGAGGAGCGTGGTCTAGGTTGAGGATACGTCTTGGACATCGGTTTGATAGACTGCTGCCGTATTTTTGAAGGCTTCGGCAGCGAAGAAGCTTTTTGAGTATAGGAGGTAGGCTCAGGCTCGGGTTTAATCGCAGGAAGAGGCTTGTCTTCGAATCGAGAAGAAGTGCCCGATGATCGCGGGGTATTGGAATGCTCAGAGAAAGGCTTTGGAAACGACGGCGACTCGAAAGATGAAACGCTATTATTATTAGGAATTCCCGGCGGCAGCTCGAAGGGGGATGTTCGCGATGGGCTCTCCACCGGTAGAGTATTCGATCTGAGCAGTGGACTGGGGCCACGAGAAAAGTTTTGGGTGCCGAGTACTTGTGCAGCCTTGGACGGCTGGGAGGTCGGAAAGAGAGTAAAGCTGGAGCGAGCTGGGGAAGTGGCTCGTCGTTTCGGGACCGGGGGCACCTTAGCCGTGAGGAATTCCTGCATCTCATGGTTACTAGTAGGTTCGAATATTGTCATCGTTCCAATGGTGGCGGCATGGCTTACCGAATTGCTTGGGACGTGGAGGTTGTCGAGTGTCTTGCTCCTCCTGGCCAGCAGGGAAGGTCTCTGGTTCCTGTTCATGACGGTGCTGAACATGACGCTGTAGCGCTCCATTTGTACATCGGGGATATCCACGTCGAGTCTAGGGCCTTGCATATTCTCGCCGTTTTTCTCTTTCAAGCCCTTCCTGTTGGACAAGGAGAACTTGCGCGTTCGCTGTGGAGTTGAGCTGCTAGTCGTCGTCGGCTTGGCATCTGTTTCAATGCGTGGCCACTCTTCAGTCCCATGCTTTTCGGGTGTCTGTTTGCCACTTGAAGAAGGCTTCTCCTTTGCTGATTGCTTCGGTATGTTCGGTCTTGGTTGTGTCGGAGACGCCAGCGCACTTTTCGCTCTAAACAGACCTCCGATCTTCTTCCACTTGCTTGTCTTCCGCGGTTGTGACTGTTGTTTCTGTTCGTCGACAAATATATTCGTATTGAACCGTGGCGGTGGAAGGTTTTCCTTTGACTCCAACATCCCCGGGCTTCCCAGTGCAATACCGATCCCAATCGGGCTGCGATCCATCATGGCGCGAGACGGTACCACTTCATCTGGCGGCGCAGTCACCCGAAAGTCGAATGTCGCAGTGTCTACCGGTAGGGGTTTTCTATTTGATCGCTCTTCTGCACCAACAGGTTGCGGGAAGTTGAACTGTGCCAAGCTCGACTGGTTCTGTCGTTGTTTGGCCCCATCGTCCAGATCCTGTAAATCATTCCGTGGTTTTGCGTCGCTGTATGTCAAGACTGGAAAGGAAATCGCCTCGTTGGCTGGCGCAGTGCGCGATTTGACAACCATTGTTGCTGCCGACATTGTGAAGTCGTGTTGTTAAGTGGAACCAGTCCAGAATAGTTGAATAGAGCGAAGCGAAGAGGTATAGTCGTAAGGCGCCTAGTTTGGCAAACAGGATCACAGATCGAAAAGGAAAGGACGGCCTTCCAGAAGGCCTCGGTGCCAAACAAAACCAGAATTCATCAATCGCGTAGACAAAGGGGCCGGCCTCTTTAATCTTTAATTGTCTGCGTGCACTAGGACCAGCCGAAGTGGCGCCAGCCGTATGTAGGTCTGCACGAGTGGAGCGGCGATTACGCCAAGGTCTGTACATGAGACACCGCATGACCCAGGGCCAATTAATCCCCTCTAGGTGAAGCAACCTCCAGTGTCAGCCGAGCAGGCCAGCCAACGATACACCGCATCGCGCCAGCCCGCTGCCCTTGCCATCCAGACCACGACCAGCGCTGACCAACCGGGAGAGACACAAGGAGGACCGAGCAAAGGCTGGCAGCGGCGAGCAGCGCAGAATGCGATCGTACCGGATGCCCCAGATCTCTTAGCGCGGCGACGGTCGGGTTTCGGGGGCCAATGCCAGCGCTCTGGGGTCCAGCTGGAGCAGACGGCCTGGAGGGCCGCCACGGGCCCAGACGCATGCACGACCGGCGAAACAAAACGAGAAGAGCCACCGCGAGGATCGGAGCGCGTGATGCTTATTTCATCGCGGGCGAATGAGGGTGGCAGCCGCAGGTTGATTAGTCCGGTTGCACGTTCCAGGGGGGCCACTTGGGCTGCCCGGGCGCAGAAGGCGTGTTTCAGCGGGCGCCGCCTGAGACAAGGCTTTGTCTGTTCGAGACAGGGGCCTCGGCTGCGCGCATTGGGCGCTCAAGTGCCGTCATTGCGATGGCTGACGTCGCTAACATTAGCCGGCGAGGTTTTGCTAAAGAAAAGTGCTTAGACAGTCAGCGCTGCGCTTAAACCGTGTGATGCCAAGACCGCAAAGACCCTGCGGATCAACTCAAGGTGCTGTGGCGACGGCAGGCGATACGACGAGACCTAAATTTTGTATCTTGGCCGATGGTGGAGCAGTCAATGTATTGAAAAACGGGTCCAGCTGTCAGGGTTCCTCCTCTCTTTTATCAGCATAAATTATCCCACGAATCAACGCATGTGACCCATTTGATGGTTATCATGGCCGGTGCATCGCGGTCTACCAGGCCACGCAATGATCTGACACACGGTAGATGAATGACTTGATCTAGATTCCCAAAAAAAATGAAAATGTGACATATTGTGTACTAGTATCCGATTTTTGGTTGAACTTTGTGGTTCTAAGTATCATTCCCGGCGCGGAATGATGTCAATTGATCTAGCGAAAATACATAATCGCCTTACCAGCCCCCTGTATAAGAAAAAAGAATGTCATGACACTGTGAAAATGAGAACTGGAATTTCTGTAGCAAGTATGTCGAAAAGTCTTACCACGAATGAAAACATTGATTCTGTGTAACCACGCTTTCTCAGTCTTCTTTCAATCTCAGCACCGAGGGTTTTGCAGACGACCGATTGAGGACAGCCGTCGCACCTACCTTGAACGAATTGATAAAATTGTATGACATTTATCATGCCATATAGCTCGATATGGCGCGATGAATATTATCGTCAGACAAGGCACTTGGCACTTCATGCCGGCGTCAATTATCAGCGAACCAGCGCTTTGTCAACCACAAAAAGAGAATGTTGCAAACGTTCAAAGGTAAACACAGGGGTGCTTGTGTCTACCCAAAGAGGGTCTGTTGTCTCTGTTGGTACTGAGCAGAACGCAGACGACCGACGGTGCTCTGCATGCGGTTTCACAGACCGTGATAGATGGATCTGCGACATTCAATATCAGTGATGTCAATGAAAAATAGCTGGTACTGACATAAAGTGCAATGTCAGGAGGTAATATAGTGGTTTCCAGTAGCCGCTTGAATTGTTGCGGGACAAATAAAGGTGGAAGATATTGAAAATGTGAATACTGTGGGCAGGCCTGTCTTTGTTCTTGCTCGTAAGAAGTAGGCAGAGACCGACAGTAATCCGCATACAGCTCCCTAGACCGTGAATTATAAGACCGCCAGAGCAGTTATTTTTGAGATCAGAATGCTAACCTGGCTGACTGTCACGAGCATGAATTCCAACGTCCAGGGAAGTTCGGTGTTTTCTTGTAGCAACCCAGTCCACGGGAGTGACATTGTAGACTCCGCGCAGACGCCGTTACATCTTAAGAGGGTTATCGATCTCGATCCGAGGGTAGTGTAGGCAACCGACAGAAACTCGCACGCGATTTCTATTCGATGTTAGTGACCTGATCATAGAAGCCAACATGATGCGAAATGCGATACCAAGAAACCTAGATTCATCATGATGATCCACGGGTAGATGTTGTAGTCATTCTGTAGTGAAGACACGTAGACTGCGTAAACACCATTTTAAGGCCTGCTGTTGATATTGGCTCTGTCAAGGAAGCAGACGACCGACAGTTCCCTGCGTACAGTTTACCGAGCCACGATGCATAGTCTTTACGAGACCATATGCTGAATGTGATGGTTTTCACTCACATAATCCACCGCACATGACCCTTCGTCTAAGTGCCGCGACTGGGGGAGTTTGTGCCCTCTTCATGACACCGCAGGGGGAAAGAGGATGTAGCGAAATGCCCTCAGAGGTAAACACATGGATCGTGAAAATTCCAGCCAACATCTGCGGTTGATCTTGGCCTGAGGAGGTGCAGACAACTGACAGTTGCCCGCATACGGCTCCAGAGATCTAAGTGAATGGCCATCACGCAGCCTTATGCTGAAATTGACTCTCAACAAGCATCATCACCTGGCGTTGCAATTTGCTTGAGCGTCGAGTATGAGTGAGCTGGTGTTTTCACCATGTGGGATGTGGCATGCCCATCGTAGACGAAACACATTAACCGTGTTAACACCTGAAGTGACCTGCCTTTGCTCTTGGTCTGAGGAGGAAGTGGACAACCGACAATTGCCCTCATACGGCTCAAAGGACCTTGGTAAATGACTATTCCCAGTACATATATTGAAAATGGCGCGCAAAAGCCATTGTGCCCTTGCGTTGCACTTTGTTTGAGTGCCGAGTGTAAATGAGATGGTGTCCTCATCACCTGTGGAGAGTAGCAGACCTATAGTGGACGAGACACATGGACAGTGTTAACGCCTGTCATAGTCTAAGACGCCTTTGCCCTTGGTCGGAAAGGGAAGTAGATGACAACAGTCATCTGCATACAGCTCCAAAGACCTCGGTAAATGACCATCCCGTGGATACATGTCGAAGACAACGCTGAATATGCATCACCACCTAGCGTTCCGCTTTTACCTGTGCGAAGTATGAGTGATCTGGTGTCCTCTTCAAGACATCCCATGTAATGTTGCAGAGATTCTATAGATGAGAACACATTGGCAGTGTACCACCCCTCGAGATCTGTCCTCAGTCTTGGTCTGTCGGAAGAAAGCAGTCAACCGATAATTGTCCGCATACGGCTTCCCAGACCGTGTTATAACACTGCACTGGCCATACATCTTAGCCACTGAGCAGGACATCTTCTGATAAGACAACGTATGTCAGTTTCAGTACGAATGGGCAGAACTCATTGAAAAGAAGTCGCCGGAGTGTGGCGGGGGCGATCAAGGGTAGACGTCTGGGCCTCGTGTAGATCCAACCTTATGTTTCGTTGCTTTTGGTGTTAAGAAGTAGGTAGACAACGGACAGTAAGACAGTAACCAGTGTACGGCTTCTCAAACCGTGGTAAGACCATCCAGTGGTCGTATATCCAAACCCGTGATCAGGACATCCTCCGGTAAGACATTTTTATACCAGTATCAGACATCAGTGAGCTTGTGAGCAGTCAAGGAAATCGTGAACTGTAATGTGGAAGGCTTAATATGATTTTCAACGAATGAACCTCTCGTAGTCTCCACCTTAACGCCTGCCTGCTTCCAATATATGTAGCAATCAAAGACATACGGCATGGGGTACGCAAACCACTCCCCGGGAACTGCCTAAGTCAGCTCCGAGGGTTGCATGGGTACGCCGTTGTCTCCGGATCAGGGCCATTGCCACAAACACCAAGCATCATATTAAACGACGGTGTCGGGAAAATGTCGGGGAAAGGGGGATGGGGAGGCGGAGGAGGGAATTGTAAACTGGTACTCTGTCCAGAGGCGTATGAAAAATGTCGAAGTCGGTTGCAGAGAAAACACACAGATGTTTGTGTAGACCCCACCATTTCGCCTACTTTCGTTCTAGGTATCAGTCAGCACATGCACGGCGTTGGATGTTGCTGTATGGTCTAAGCCTTGAGAGCTGTGCCGGAATGCGCTGGTAGTAACCGCAATTGGATTGCTCCGCATCTAGATTCGGGCTTGACGCTAGTAGGAGCATCAGGTTTGAGGTTGGTAGAATCGAGTCAGTAATCGCTCCTGGACATCCAGCTATATCGAAAACTGCCCTACAGTGTAAACGCATGGACTTTGTCCAAACACCCCGCTAGCTTTCTTTCGCTCTTGGCAGGCACTCTGTGCTACCGGACACCAAATGCCTGTTGGGCTCCTCGTCCAGCTTCAATGACAGCACCGTTGATCAACACGATGGATTTCGGCTGTGAAATACGATATCAGTATTAGTCATTGGAACCCATACCTAGGCACCAGGGTAATATTGCAGACTTCTCATATGTCAACACGTAGAATGCGTCTTGACATGACGAGTGGGAGTCTGCTTTTGCTCTTGGTACTATTGTAATAGCGATCGGCAATTGGTGTGTGCCGAGCCCTGCAGAGAAGTACCGTTGATGCTGATCATCTCATATGACAATGTCTCATGTCGGTACCAGCTATCTGGTGGACAGGCATACCTTGTAATGTGGTAGAGAGTGCTGAGTATCACCACATCAGCAGCGTAGACGCCGTAGTAACCTGCTTTGTGTCCCGGGCAGGTTGTAATCTCTCTTGCGCGGTCGCGATGTAGTAAGAAATGGTAAA